AAAATTATAATTGAATGGAAAAGGTTTTTGAAATTTGAAATCACAAAAAATATCATTACATTAAGTAAAAGTTAAGTTTAAAATAGGAAGGACAAAGTTTCGACTTTGCAACAATGATTGCCAAAATTTTGTGTGTTCGAGAGGAATATTGTGTGATGTCCACAGCCTAAAAGACTCTCTTTAAATAAGGAAGACATGGGTAACCTATAAATCTTCTTGCAAAGTCTAGAAATCAATGAGGTAAGTTGACAAATCATCTCCAATGGCTATCACACCACGACAAAGAAAAATAACAACTTTCAGATCTTCAACGGTTATCACCTAATGAAAATGAGTTGATGAATGTAAGGTGCATCTTAGGGAGCTTCATCTTTAGGTTTCTGTAGAAAAAGAATGTTCTTCATTGCATCTAATATATTTTCAAGAGGTGGCAACTTGTCTTCCAACAGATTGTCTTCTTCCTAACGATGATTAATTCGTCGATCAATCGAAAATCATTTACTTGATGGATTCACCATCTTTTTATCTAGAATCATTCAATAGTTGGTAAGGATGCTCTGCGAATAATGTTGACGACATTTCTAATAATGATTGAATGATTATGATGGCTTAACTCTTAACCAATACTGTATAGATTTTTTTTGATTTAATGAGATAAAAATATGATTTTTGGCTTCAATAAAATTCAAACCTTTGCCATATGCAAGTGTTGATATCTGACTTAAATTTTTTTACTATCCACATCTCACCCAATGAAAGACTAATGATAATCATTTGTACACAATATTAGATGTTTGTCGTTGCTTAAAGAGCCCTTATTCATATCATTGGTCATGCATGTAACACCACTGAACTTTTCTTTTAAGAATAAAAAAAAGAATAAAAAATAAATATTTAGAGTAATAAATGAGGTAAGTAATAAGTTAATCATAAAGAGGACAAATGGTGATATCAAACCTAGGAATCTACACTGCTCCACATCCCATATAAAGTAAGATTGATGGCCACTATTTGCGCACGAGATTGAATGTTTGTTGTTGCTTAGGGAGCCACTTCAGATCACTGACCAAGCATAGGAGATCACTGAACTCTCCTTGAACTTTAAGAAAAATAAAATGACTATTCGAGCAGCAGATAAGGTGAGCAAGAATTTAATCATGAAGAAGACAAGTGCTAATATTACACTTTGGGATAGAAACTCATCCAAATCAAAATGAAAAAAAGGCTTTTGGTGCGGATGTGTAATGAATAACTTCTATGAAAAGACCAACCCACTTACAGTTTCAACCTCCTTGTCTTGATCTACATGAAGATGGTTCTTAGACAACCTTGAAGAATTTTCATAAAGCCTCCTTGCTGGAGACGATAGAAGGCCTATAAGTCTAAAAACCTCCTTATAAATGACTCTTAATACATATTGTAGGACATAACTCACTTGAATAAACATCTAAATTGAAGTCACGGCATTGGGAGTGAGATGCATAAAGCTCAGTTATCAATGTTTAACATAAAATGTTTAACATCCCTTCGGACATGTGAAATTAAATATTAAGATAAGACTTATCAATGATCACTCTATTTATGATTGAGGGAAAAAAATAAACCCTCTAGATTCCATCAATGTGGGATAAATTTGGTAATACTTGACTAGCATAGGGGATGATAGATGATTGAATAATAAATATTGCACATAGTTCTTTTCTATCTCGTTCTTCTGAATTTGTGAGTATTGAAATATGGTCATAAATTTAGTGCTTGAGTTTTAATAATAAGATTGATAGAATGAACAACTTCTCTATTACAAAGAAGCTCTCGAAGTGGTTCGAAAACCTAAGGAAACTATTTAAGAAAGCATACCTTAGTTTCTATTTTTTCTTGCAATAATTAAGAGTCATGCATTTGACTTGACAACTAGTGTAATTAGATCACACAAACATTACTCATTATTTCTCATTCAACAGCCTTTAAGGATATACATAATTTGTTTGAACTTATATCTCCTTTGTTAGTATAAATGGTATTATTGATCAAGAATTTTATGATCAGATTTCCATAATGTAAATGTATCTACACTTAAGTCTTTAGTCATTACATCCTCATAATAATAATGTTACTAAGATCTATAGGTAAAAAGTCTTGAATAATAAGAAGCTCTTTAATTTGTAAGAAAATATTATCACATATCATATTTCATTATATGGTGTGATCATTATCCATCACTACTTTATAACTTTAAAATTCACTCATGCGTAAGGATAATTTTTTTAGTAATTATTTGTATAAAAATTATGAGTAGCACCTATATTGATGAGGATTATCTTTATCTTGCAATACTCTTCTTCCTTCCATAATACTATGTTGAGTCAATCGCATGACATAATTCAATGAAACATGTGTTTTGAATAAATTACATTTATCTTGTAGACAAATTTCTAGTGGAGCCCAATCTTTTTCTTGTATGCCTTCTTGAATTTTTTCTTCTTTATGCATCATGAGGGTATTAAGCTTCCTATTGTACCTATGTTCTAGCACAAACCATTCATTATAATAAAAACAAAGGCATTTACTCTTCCTTTCTTATAATTCTACTTCAGTCAACTATAAATGTCTTTAATTTCTTACATTCTTGACTTATCTTTTATGATTGAATATGATTGTCAGATATTTATTAAGGACAAGCTTACAGACTAGAAACTTGTTTTAGTATTTAGAATTATATTACTAAAAATAATTGTCGAGATATTTTTCTATTGTTGGGGATTATAAGAAGTCATACTAAATCTTTGTTGTTTTGGTCATTCTTACTTCCATGCTTGTCATAGTATGCATATCTGTGCTTCAATTTGTACCAAAGTATACATTATATCTCTTAAACCAATTGATTTAGATGTTAATAATTCAGTTTGAATCTCAAGCTTGAGTTTTTTAATATAAGCATGCTCTAAGATTTTTGTAATATACTAAGAAGATGAGATAAGAGTTTTTTAAATTCTGATCTACACTCTGAGACAAAATCATCTTGTTTTAAGTTCAAAAGTCATTGGTAGACATTAGTATAAGTTGATGTACTAAATTAACTCTTGATTTCATCATAAAGTCATATCAATCTCAAAATAAAAATGATACTCTATCAATAAATACTAGTCTAATGCATCTCCCTCTATGTTGAGCATTATCAGTTCAAAATGATTTGATTCTAGTATTTATAATGACCTCTACTAAAGTTTGGTAGATCTAATCTACGAGTTACCTTTCATTCTTAATTCTAAAGAGATGGAGTTGTAAGTTGTAATGGTGTTTGATGTCCTTAATTTTCTTAATACAAGTGTGTCATCAACATCGTCAATTGTTGAGTTAACTATTATAAGATTTACTTCATATCTTTTTTCTCCTCTTTAAGTGTCTCAATCTCTATCTCAATGGATTCCATCCACACAACTATGAGCCCTTTAATTATTTAGGAATGACTAGGAGAAGCTCTAGTACTAGATGATAGAGTCCCTATTCTCAAACATAAATTGATGTTTATTGAATATAAAATAATAATAACAAAACAAAGCCTAAAGTAGAAAGATGAAGAAAGAGGTATGTAAAAGGAAATAAAATACAATTGCCTCAAATCTAGGTTAGTATTAGGCTTCTACTGACCACCCAAGGACTCAAATTGATTCTCCAAAATTGCATTCTCCCCTCCTCATTTTCTTTTATTTATAACCCTTTTATTTGGAGGTAACCCATGTGCCTTCTCTAAAAGTTGTTATTATTCCGCTCATCAATTATAAGCCTGCTAAAATCTTGCCTTCAGTTATTCTCTGATTGGACTAGGGCCTTCCTCATTCTAAGGTAAATTTGTGGAGGTTTATCACTCAACTTGGGCTTCAAATAAAAAATAAAAAGTCAAAAAAAAACTTGTATTGAGAACAATGATGAGGCAAGTATGAGTTAATTCAATCACAAATAAGTAAGTGTTGATATCATACATAGGAATCTCCACTGTTCCACATCTCACCCAATGAAAGACTAATGACAATTATTTGGGCACAAGATTGGATGCTTGTCGTTGCTTATAGACTCATTATTCATATCATTCGCCATGCATGAGACATCAATCAACTCTCCTTGAAATCCAAAAAAAAAAAAACTATTCTTTAGAACAATAAATGAGGTGAGTAATAAGTTAATCATGAAGAGGACAAGTGTCGATACCAAACCTAAGAATCTACACTGCTCCACATCCCATGTAAAGTAAGATTGATAGTCACTATTTGTGCACGAGATTGAATGTTTGTTGTTGCTTAGGGAGCCACTATTCAGATCACTAGCCAAGCATGGGAGATCACTGAACTCTCCTTGGACTTAAGAAAAAGAAAAATAAAACCACTATTAGAGCAGTGAATAAGGTGAGTAAGAATTTAATCATGAAGAAGGCAAGTGTTCATATCAAACTTTGGGATCGAAACTCATCCAAATCAAAGTGAAAGAAAGGCTTCTGGTCCGGATGTGTGGGGAACAAATGCCATGAAGAGACCGACCCACTTAAGGTCTCAACCTTCTTGTCTTGATCTACAAGAAGATGCTTCTTACACAATCTTAGAGAATTCTCATAAAGCCTCCTTGCTGGAGACAAAAGAAGACCCATAAGTATAAAAAACCTTCTTAATAAATGATCATTAATATATATTATAGGACATGACTCACTTGAATAAGCATCTAAATCAAAGTCCATGCACTCAGAGTGAGATGCATAAGGCCCAGATTTCATGGAAAACCTTCTGCAAACATAAAACATTTAACATCTCTTAGAACATGTGAAATTAAATACTAAGATAAGACTTATCAATGGTCATTTTATTTATGATTCAGGGGAAAAAAATAAACCCTCTAGATTTCATCAATGTGGAAAAAAATTGATAACTTTTTTTAACAACATTCTAATGATTTGAGCAAGTTTTCTTTTTTGGCCAAGCAAAAATCTTCATAATCATGCAATTAAGGAGGTATTATAGAAGGGATCTAGGAATTGAGAGTGACAGAAGAAAGAGTGACAATAGGCACCTGTCACTATTTCGAGACTTCTCTTTGTAGGGCTTGACAAGAACACGGGACCCAGATATATAGTGGGGATTCTTCTCGGATAGAACCATTCTTGCAGTCTCTTGGCTCTCAAAGGTGACAAAACCAAACATGCGCTTATGTTGGGTTGGAATTCTCACATCAATCACACGCCCAAATCGTCTGATGCAAAGAAAAAAAATATTAAAAAACCATCAGACCACATTGCATAAAAATATTATTATTTATAATTAATATAAAAAATAACACTGATTATTAGTTACCTGAAATAGTTGGCCACATCCTCCTCCTCGAATGAGCTATCAGAAGGGAAGGTAAGATATATCTGTTGGGAACCAGAAACATTACTTCCCACCCCATTATTTGCATTCCCAGGCTCCATATATTTCAGAGCATCCTCCACCAACATAACTGAATGTTGTCCATGTGGCCTGCAATTTTTATTTTGAAAAATGATATCTTGATAAAAATTTGAATCTCATAAAAGAAAAAACATATGGGTGAAGATTATAAATCATCAATTATAAAATCGCCATAAGTGCCAACCATAAAAGTAAAAAAAATTACTATCAAAAGGAAGTGATCGCACCCATTACCTATCTAGAATCCGAATACTGTTCTTAAGACGACCGAGCAATCTGGTCAAGTTGAAGCCGGCCTTCCCATGCCTCTGGCTCTCCGTGAGATACCCATCTGCCTGCAGCATCTTCCCATACCTCTCCATGTACGCCGAAGGCAGCGTTGCGATGGATATGGGATGTCCCTTCTTTGACTTGAGAAGGTCTACAAGCTCAAGCTCCAATTTTTCGAGCGACCAAGATGGGATCACCTGGTCCTCGTCCCCCAGCTCCCTAGAATTTGGTGGGGTCAGACCAGGAGTCAACTGATCATGGAGGTATCGACAGTTGGCACCGTGCTTGCAGTAACCCCTGTGGTAGTAATGGCAGGCCCTGGGAGACAGCTCGGGCATACTCGTTGACCTCCTCCTCGATCCAGCCATCGGGTGCCCCTCGGCAGGATCCTCTTGGAAGTAAGACCCGTGTAGGAGCTTACCACAGTAGCCATGATTGTCCTCCCCTGAAGGATCTCCATGAATCAGATACAAATTGGGAAGAGCTATCTGCGGTTCCAGTCCAATATGTGGGTCCCATAAAGGAGTAGCTGCGACGCGCACTGCTGAGCCGGAGAAAAGGGCTGACCCGGTGGGCGGGTAGGATGCAAAGTTGGGGTGGACTTCTGGGGGGGCGTTGACGGGGACAGAGAAACTTCCCGAGAGGGCGTCCTTGGCCTCGTTTATGAGGGGCTCTAGAGCGAGGTCTGGCCCAAAGGACAGCCTGATCATCTCCCGGTCGCCATAATCCTTCAGCAGGAGGTACCCGATTATCTGGGGATCCAACTCCGGCTCGATCCTCTGGATTCTGCTCAGAATAGTCTTCGCAGCCTCGGAGAGTTTCATCTCACAACCACCCTTCTCCTTCTGGAATCAGCTGAAGAATTTTACATGCAACACGACACAGAGAGAGACAGTGACAGAGACAGAGAATAAAAGACGATTCTTGGGCTAAAAATCAATACAGGAATCCAAACAGAAAATAATCATAATGATGATGATGATGATAAGAATGCCGAGAGGAAGTTCCTCAGAACTCACGCAGAGGGAGCCGGTAAGTAACCATGAAAACCGAGCGGAGCATGAAAACCTTCAAAACCTCTCTCATGGCGTCGATCGCCATCGCCCAACAATTTTTTTAACCACTTTCTTATTGACTCCGGCTCTAAAGAGGCTCAGAACGAGACAGAGAGTAAGCACAAGGATCATTTCTTTCCAAAAAAGGAGATCCAGAGAACCGAAGCTTGGCACCGGGGAAGAACAAGCCGGGAACTTTCATTTGAAAATAGAAAGCGAATAAGAATGCAGGATCCGACTACCCTCATTGACACACATCCTCCGCACTTGGTCTCTGGCCAGGTGAAGCAGGAGGACGAAGGAAACCCACCATTCTCCCTTCGTGGACTTCTAACAGAAGAGAGAGAGAGAGAGAGAGAGAGAGGACTGCAATTATACGCAGGACACCAGCAAAGGTGACGACTCCACCAAGGAAAAAAGGAGAACCAGAGGACCCACAGAAGGACCGCATTCCCCATGAGAACAATTAGTCAGAAAATCCGCTAGACAGGGAGAATGAAACGAGAGAGAGAGAGAAGCAAAACATGACAAAGGGCCAACCACAGGAACCAGAAGAGGCGAGGATTACTCCTAAGAGGAGGACAGGGATAGAAGGTTTACCACCGATGATAGCAAGGAGAACTCTCTCTCTCTCTCTCTCTCTCTCTCTCTCTCTCTCTCTCTCTCTCTCTCTCTCTCTCTCTCGCTACCCTCAACTCCCCAACTCTCCGCAGGGCCCTTCTCGGCAAGGCCCTTCTCGATTGGCTTTTAAGCAAAACCCATAACCCCAGTACCTCCTCCGATTACGGAGCGGGAGAAAGAAGGATGAAACCCACATTATGAAAATATTAACAAAAATGAGAAAAACCCACCTACCGAAGAGGAACACATAAACCCTCATTAATCATAGAGAAGAAGCAGAAGACGTAGATGAAAAAAACGAGCAGAAAAATAACGGAGATGAAAAAAGCAAGAAAATACCGCAACCTCCAGCAACCTCCACCCCGAAAATCGAGGAAACCCAAGAATACCACGCGAAAACAAGTAGAAACCGGTAAAATCCGAGAGACCCTCCATCGGATCTTTGGAGCTACTCCCAGGACGACTGTGAGAGAAACCAGAGGGGTTGGGCGGCGTACTTTCGCGTATCTCCCCAACGGCCACAACTCCCGCCACCTCCCCTGGCGACCGAGTCCGCGACACGTAGCGGGCCCTCCCTCCAGCGCCGACTTGCGACTTCCGTACAAAATGGAAGGCTCCCCGCGTGGTTATTTGCGTCATTTCCTATTACCCACGTGGGAGTCGGCCGTTGGATGACCGCTTCTATCGGCGCTGCTGGTTCAATTCCCGGAACGGTAGAGCCCTTAGAACCGGGAAGAACCGGTTTCCATAAGCTGGTGACAGGGAAATGGCGGCCATCTTCCGCAACCAATGGCAGTTCGCCATGTCATTGTTGGCTTTTTTAAAGCACGTGATCCGCCGTTTTATCAACGTGCTATCGTAAGAATCACTAGCCGGCCCATTTGTCCCATCAGAAGGGGCTAAACTCTCTCAAGTGATCTTTTAACTTAGGGGCTATTTACGCATAACTCATCTTAACCTTTTTAAAATAACAATAAGTCCCTCATCTTCTCACCTCTCTTAATAACATATCCTTTTTTATTGGCAATTCCTTTAAACTCATGGGCGAAGTGGATATATCTGTAAATAGGACCGGATTTTGATAAGTAATTATTAAAAAATCATTTATTAGCGGATTAAAATGCGTTTATTTCATAATAATATGTATAGCTAATTGTTTCCCTATTAATCTGATCACACGAAATATTTAATAATAAAAAATGGTTAATTGTTTTTTCCTGAAAAACCCTTTTGACCCAACGGACATTCAAGAGATGTGTGGTATGATCCGGCGGAGAATGAAGAGGTATTAACCGGAGTCAGGATTTTTGAACCAGAGCTTTAACCCATGGTTAGTTGAGGATACCATCTCTTTTAAAACGGGGAGTCCGCTTGGGGAGAGAAGGTCAGAGTTGCGGAGCTCTTCAGTTTCCTCGCCCTCTTTCTTCTCGCTTCGCCCGGTGGAGATCGCCGCCGCTGACGACGACGACGACGACGACGACGACGACGACGACGACGATGAGAAATCCTGCTCCTCTTCTCCTCCTCGTCTTCTTCTTCTTGGCTGCCGGCGGGCTTCCCGGTGGCGCCGCCGCACAGCGGGGGCCGTTGGTTGGCGGCTACGCGAAGATCAAGGACGTGAAGGATCCCCACATCAAGGAGATCGGGAAGTACGCGGTGTCGGAGAACAACAAGCAGACCGGAGGAAACCTGGCGTTCGTCCGCGTGGTCAGCGGCAGGCAGCAGGTGGTGGCGGGGATGAACTACGACCTCGTCATCGAGGCCACCGATGGCGCCGCCAGGGGGAGGTACGAGGCAGTTGTGTACGAGCGGGCCTGGGAGAATTACAGGAGCCTCACCTCCTTCAAGCGCAAGACCTGAAGACGGCGACGACGGCGGCGGCACGGTGAGTAACGACTGATATGTTGGGAAAAAAAAATTGGCCAGAAACAGACTGTTAGTCTCCGCATGCCGTGATCCGTCTTCTCCTTCCACCGTTCTCTGTGTAGATGGCGCTGCCTTTTTGTTCCTAGGTTTCCTTCCTTGCTCCCTCTGTGATCTCTCCGTGGGGAGATCGGGGCTTTTGTTCCAAATAATCGGCAAGGCGGATTGCTCGAAGCACTCCCCAAACTCTACCCTACGCATTCCAGCTTTCACTGCCCTCCTCCGCCACAACAACCGAGGAAGAAATCATCAAGCTGATCTACTTACTAGCCTGAATTACAGTTACTGACATCAATAAAATGCCTGAAACAGCCTTGAAATCTTACTCAACTTATTGATCCTTGTTAGTTAAATTGTTAAAGAAGATTATTATCACATCAGATCTTTGTAAATTTCATGCAATCATAGTGGGCTCGGGAAAGGAATTTGTTGGTGAAAAGTTCTAAAAAAAACGAAACTAGATCGTGGGTGGTATGCATGAAATTAACTCCACAATTTCTTGCTATGATATCAGCAATGCATTACATAGCACACATATTTGTTCTTCCCTTACACTCTTTACTATTTACCTGGAGAATTATGAAGCGACATATGATATGTACTATATATGATTTTGAATGATAAATGATTGGGATATGTGCATGATATGTGTATGAACACTTTAACATTATTTTGATTTTAACAAAGCCGTGATCTTTGATGAGATTTACGTAGGGAAAATTAAGGCATGGAAATCTGAACCAACATATGATATGTATAGAACAAGCTATTATGATTATTAAAATCTGAACCAACAGTTTTTGTACCACAATTGATTTACTATGATATAATTATAAATATGTTATTTATTATATTCATCATAATCTGTTTTAGGTGGCCAACCTTATTAACAACATAACTAATATACTCTATATTAACAGTTATAAGAAGCTAACTCGATTAAAATTCATCAAATAGTCAAAGAGATGAAACTGAGGAACCCAATTCGCTCAGCCTTTTGTGCTTTGCAACCTTCTTAAATTTAATACCATGAAGGCTAATTAATACAATATATAGTAAAAAAAATAATAGTAGACATCCCAAAAACACTATGACTCATCATCGACTTATTACAGATAGTTGACTATACATAGTTAAAGGTACGTGTGAGATGCACATGAGCTGCCTTTTTGTTAGTCAACCTATAATGAAAAACTAGTCAAGAGTGGTGAGGTAAAACGCATTTACAAATTCTGTCAATAAATGTGATTATGAAAAGGAGTTCATTACGTTGGTGATGAATACTGCGAATAATTTAGGGAAGTGGAAACCTTTGTGCAAAACTCTACTGTTGACCGTTCATGACAAAAGAATACGTATTCAGGTGGTAAAGGTCAACCACTATGGGCTGCATGCGCGAGAAGTCTAGGCAGGATATATTCTACTTCAAGGATGTATGCAGATGTTGACCAGGCTAAAAATCATGAATACCAAGGGGCCAAGATCTACAGGATTACTTGATAAAGCAGAATAGAGAATAATAGGAGAGAGTTTGGGGAGGGGGGGAGTTGACTTGTTATCATTTGTGACCTCTAACTCAGTAAGAAGTTACCAAAACTGGAGATTTCCTACCGCGATTGAAACCCAGACCCAAAAACCCCGCACTTTCTTTATTAATTAGTAAAAAGTTTGCCAAACCTAGCTAAATATTGTACTTAGGTCCACACCTATACACGTTTAAGTGCCCGCTCTCTGGCATCCACCGATGCCTAGTGTTTAAAACCCTCTAGCTATCGTCTAGCTCTCTGGATGCTTCTGTTCAACGCAGGTGGAGTCCAGCTGTCAGCCAAAATAAAATCTATCATTCTTAGCCCTTCCTCTTTATCCATTTCCGTCCCCACCACGCCACACGATCTGATCCCCACCACCGACAACCATCAGAAACCGTGGCCTGTTGGCGTACATCTTTCTGTGGGCGTTGTCTGGTGGTGGGAACAAAGATCGATGATGCGGAGGGCCGACACCAGATTGGGTGGTCAATGGCAAGCTGAAGTCATTATTACACGACCAGCGAGATGTTTTCGGCCGCAGACATTATGAGCCTAGTAGAGGCTTCTCCATCTCATCCGAAAAAAATTGAAGCTAAGAATAAATCTAGAGATGTATAAAATACGCGATAAAGAGTAATTACGGGTGATCAGAAGGCCTCAGAATTGCAGAATAACAGCATGGCCAGAGGCCTTTCAGTCCCGAAAGATGGTTATTTTCATGTTTGATCTCTTCATCGGCCAAGAACAAGTGAGAAATAACGGATCGTGGATCTAGCTAGCAGATGAACACCGAAAATGAAGCAGATCTCGCGCGACCAAGATTAGATAAACCCGAACAAATAAATTACAGCGAAAATTTTCAATAAACAAAAAAATAAAGATGAAATTATGGACCTCAGAATTGCAGAATGGCATCATGGCATGAAGCCCTTCAGTCCCGAAAGATGGTTAATGATGAGTATCATCACAGGTCACGATATGTGAGCAAAGATCAACAGATTCAGATGAAAAGTCGCATATGTCAAACGCGTAGTGAGGAGCATCGAAACAATACAAAATAATACGTTATATCATACACATGTGGAGAGCTGAATGTCTAGGGTTACCAAAATGAAATCACATCAGAAACTAGATCGTATTAAATCGGATATTAGCAGGAGCCATCAGGCCCACAAAGCCAATATTATACAAAATGGTGACTGAAACCGTATGATTTAGCATAAAAAAAATTATAGAAGTAAGAATAAATATCAAAAAAACATTCAAACCTCTAAGGCGAGAGTTGCTAAGAGAACGCGAGACCAACGCAGGCGATGAGCAATAGTAGCCCTGATGTCCAGGCTTTCTCCCTAAGAGATTAAAATCTCCCTGATTTTTATGTCGAACTAAAGAATAAAACCGTTAGATAGGCACCGGGAGGAAAAGCAACGCCAGTTCCTCCACACTCTCTGGCTCTGAATGAGTATCAAAGAGTCTGGGGGTAGCCACCGGACAGTCTGGACGAAGAAGAACTCATACCCTAATCGAACAGACTCATTGAGCAGATCGATAGAAAGTTGAAACGAGTGCACTCTCCAATCACGGCTCTTCCGCGGTAGAGAAGAAGAGGCGATGGAAAAACAGCGCACTATTTCGCGATTCGAAGACCTTCCAAAGGTCTTCATCTGCCGGGACGCCACAGCTCCTGATGTGGACTTCACAAAAGCTATACACTCCTCAAAAAACGCAGGTAGAGGAGGAAATGGCGCCACGCACATTCAACGAAGTATCACAAAACCCTAGCCACAGAAAACCATTAGAGTTGTGCTAACCCTAACGCCTTCCTCGCACCTACGCCGCCGATACTGGTTCGTTAGAGCTCAATATTGGGGGGGAGTACTTATAAGCGTTGAAGCGGAAGATGAAGATTGAATTCCAGCGGTTCGATCTATATCGCTCGGACTGCAGCGTCACCTGGCTGCCGTTACTAGGGTTTTAAATCTGTCTTATATTGACCGTTGGATGATATTACGGGCCAGGCCGTTGAACTTCTCATCGTGGTCATCCGGGCTTTTCCATATAGCCCGTGGGAAGACCGGGCCTGTTTTCCATGAGATGAGGCCCGAAGAGCGATTTCCTAATGGCTTAGTTGAGCTGACGTCATCGTACACTCCAGCGCCAGCTGGCGGCCCTCCGGTTGATGTGCCATCGGACCTCTTACATACCCCTTGAGAGGTAAGCGAAAGGTACTGGGGACACGTCGACATCGCGAGATCTCCATCGGACGGTCTAAGATTTCCGATCCTTCAAGTGGGGTCAAGTACAACACTTACGACCGGAAGACGGCCCCCAGAAGTGCACGAACCCCAGTTAAAAGATAAGCCAATGGACGGACAGGAGGAGGAGGAAGGCCAGTGATTGGATGGTCACTAGACATCATTTTTTTAAAAAGTCGATCCTGTATTTTATATCCCAACATTATCGGATATTAAAATCACTGTTTTACGATTATCCTTAAATACCCATAAATTTATTGATCAAATTTATATTTTTTCTCCTTAGGATATTCAATTTCTCACATCCTAACAGTGATTAGCCCAAGTTCGCTCCCTCTCTCTCTCTCTCTCTCTCTCTCTCTCTCTCTCTCTCTCTCCCTGTAAATAAATAAACGAACATATATATTGGCTAAATGACTTAGCAATGTGGTTGATATATTTTCCATACATATATATATATATACTTATAAGAACTAAATAACTTAGCAATAGGGTTGATATATTTTCCATATATATAAATAACTTAGCAATATTGTTGGCATATTTTCTTCACATATATATATAAGGACTAAATTGCTAAGCAGTATGGTTGGTATGTTTTCCATATATATATATATATATATATATGGGGCTAAATAGCTTAGCAATATGGTTGGTATATTTTCCATATATAAATATATAGGGGGATAAATGGGTAGGCAACATGGTTGGTATATTTTCGTTATATTTTCCGGGGAAGGTCTGGAGATCGGAGCCTATCTTGGGTTCTAAGTGGGCCTGGCCAGGCCCATTGACCACGGCATATTTTTATGCAAATGGGAAAAGTGAGTTTAAAGGGGATAATATAATAATATTGGGTTTTTAGTAAAATCGGGAAAAAACCAGAGGAAAGGAGCACCGTCGCCCCGTCACCTTCCCTTCCCGTTTCCTCCCACACGTATTTGCCAGTGGATCGACCTCCCTGTGCCTCTCTCTCTCTCTCTCCTCTCTCTCCATTCTCTATTTATACCTCTCTATCTCGCTCTGTCTCTCTCCTTCCTTCCCTCTTTCTGCAAGTCATTGGGAATCATATCTTGTTGCCCATGTTCCTTCCTCTCCATCCTCACGTTGCTCTCTCGTCTGGCGAATCGAATTGAATGTGGGTTTGACGGTAACGGGGAGGTCGGGAAACCCGGAGGGCGGAAGGAGCCAGATTGGGGGGAAAAGGAGGGGAAGAGGTGTGGGTGGGGAGCGATAGGGGGAAGATGAAGAGCTCCTCCTTCGTCGTCCTTCTGCTTGCGATGCCTCTGCCCAGATCTTAGCACGATTGGAATTTTTCCTCGCCTTCTCAGCCGTCATCGGCTTCTGCGGCCCTTTGTATCGGGAGGAGCATCTCAGATCGGTGAGGGCGGCCTTCCGTCCCAGTCTGTCTCGAGACTGTTCGGGACTTTTATTTCCATGCCTTGCTATTTCATTTAATCTTCTCGTCAACGTAAATTTGTTTTGAGGATCGGATCCTCGATTCAATTGCGGTGGACGCATCCTGCGATCATCGGTGGGAGACGTCTGTCTTCTCTTGTTTCGCCTCGGCCGTCGTCCGATCTAATAGATTCATATTTTCCAAATTTTCCGGTCATCAATTCCCTTTTCTCGTGAATTGCCTGGTAAGAATTGGATCTGATGCGTCCTTATCTTTTCCTAACGAGCTGAAAGGTGTTCATCTGGCTTCCACATATTTGAGTAATGTAGATTTCGAATTTGTCTGATGTTTTGTTTTTCTATTGTGGACTGCATGTTGGATGAAGGATCTCTGGAGAGAGGATTTGAGAACACCAAATGGAGTCCGATCTAGGGAAGCTCTTCATCGGTGGAATTTCCTGGGACACCAATGAGGAACGTCTCAAGGAGTATTTCAGTAACTATGGAGACGTGGTTGAGGCTGTAATCATGAAGGATCGCACGACAGGCCGCGCTCGCGGGTTTGGTTTCGTTGTGTTCTCAGACCCCGCTGTGGCCGAGCGTGTTGTCATGGAGAAGCACACCATTGATGGCAGAACGGTACTCAGCACTTGCCTTAGGTTCCCAATTCCCAATTTTAGATGGACAATTGAAGTAACTTTTTAAATTAAGGTGACCAACCTCGTGGGTGCATTTTGTGTGCCGAACCGTGATTCTAGCTTGATGCTCTGATTTTCATTTTTCTATTGCTCGCCTGGGTAAATTGTAAAGAAGCCTTTGCACGTTATATTTGCCTTTCTAAATTTGGCTCGACTAATTTTCAGGTGGAGGCAAAGAAAGCAGTTCCTAGGCAAGATCAACAGACCCCGACTAGAAACAACAGTGGCGCCCATGGATCTCCCGGCCCCACCCGCACTAAAAAGATTTTCGTTGGTGGTCTTGCATCCACAGTGACGGAGGCTGACTTCAGATCATACTTTGAGCAGTTTGGAACAATCACAGATGTGGTTGTGATGTACGACCACAACACCCAGCGGCCAAGAGGATTTGGTTTCATCACCTATGACTCGGAGGACGCAGTGGACAATGTTCTTGTTAAGACCTTTCATGAGCTGAATGGTAAAATGGTTGAGGTCAAGAGGGCAGTCCCTAAAGAGCAGTCTCCTGGTTCCCCCATGAGGTCGCCTATAGGAGGATATAACTATAATATGAATAGGATCAACAGCTTCCTTAATGGGTATACCCAGGGTTACAGTCCAAGCCCAGTGACTGGGTATGGAATGAGGATGGACATGAGATTGGGACAAGTCGCCAATGGTCGTGGCAGATTCTCTCCGTTTAGTCCTGGTTTTGGAATGGGTATGAACTTTGAACAAGGGTTGAGCCCAAGCTATGGCGGTAACGCAAGCAACGGTAGTAGCATCAGTTATGGTAGGGGAATTAGCCCGTTTTATAATGGAAATTCTAATAAGTTTGGGAATCCTAGTCTGTATGGCAGCACTAACGCTCCTGGGTCAGTTTTAAGCTCTATGGCTCGCAATACATGGGGAAATGGTGGCCTCAATCATGCTGCAAATACCACAAACGACAACAGCAGTTTCCTTGGCACTGGAAGTGCGATCCTTAGTGGTTTTGGCAATGGTGGAGTCAACTGGGGCGATTCCACATCCCCTGTTTCTGGCCAGGGTGGAGGAAGTAGTCAAGGTTACGGTGGTATAAATCTTGGCTATTCAAGTGGTGGCGACAGCAGCTTTGGACTAGGAGGCAGCAACTATGGGAGACGCAACAGAATTGATTCTGCTGCCGATACAGGATATAGCGGATCTAGCGGTGGATACAATGGAACCTACGGTGATTTATACGGTGGGAGTTCAATATACGGTGATCCAACTTGGCGATCTTCGTCCTTGGAACTTGATGGTTCTGGCCCATTTGACTATGGGCTTGGTAATGCAGCGACAGATGTCTCAACCAAAAGTTCAGATGGATATATGGGAGCTTTCAATGTTAGACAATAAATTAGAGGTAAGATACCTAAGTACTTGTTGAGTATGCTTGTGTTTCCATTAGTCTCTTTCGGATTATATGACCATAAAAAGCAACAGAATTATTCCAATCAGGAATTGATCCTCTCGCATCTCATATTTAAATTGCTCCTTTCCTACCGTTGCACATGAAACACTGAAATATAGAGTGACTAATTTATCTCTTCTTCTCTATATAGTGTTTTGTGATCGCAAAGTCCTCATCATGCAGATCCCAACTTGTTTATCCATTTTTACACTTTTAAGCATAGATGCCGACTATGTTGTTGTGCCATTTCATGGATCTTTTAACCACTGATTATCGATCGAGCAAACATTGATCCGTGGACCGTAATATTCCCACCACCTCATATCTAAGCATTATTTCCAAAATGTACTTGTGACCCCTAAAATGGAAAGTTGTTGATATGTTGATTGCCCTTTGTTATTTACTTCTCCAGCATAACGATCCCATAGTTTTTGGGAAACTCGAACATGCACATATGATATCAGAGATGGATTAAGATCCCTTCTTTCATGCCATTACTGGAACGATGATTTAATGAATTGTCTATTAGAAACTTTATGGATGTACTTGCGGGTGAAGAGTTGATATATTAATGCTCTAAAATCTTCCCCTTTGAGTCTTGGTGGGCCTTCTCTTGTGTGATAATTTACTAACATATTCTCTCCAGAAATTCCTGATATTTTCCGTGTTTGTGTTTCCTCAGGAATTGATTCCTAGGGAGAGCATTTATTGCATAGCAGACGAAGCTTTTCTGTTTAGATGAAAAAATCCAGCGTGTCAGGTGCATGCCCATATCTTCTCTCTAGCCCACATGGTTAGTTAATTCTCTAAATCTAACCAGAGAGTCCATTAAAAAATTCGATTTCGGTGAATTGAAGTATAAAGAACCTAGCTTTAAGGTTTGAGATTTGAGAATTTTTTTTTCCCCCGTTTTTTTTTTTTTTCTTGCGACGGGTCTAGCTTTTGTTCCTCAGGGTTTGATTGAGATGTAGAATCCGATTGCGGGATGAACATTCAGAGGAGTGTTTGCGATTTGTGTAGGCCGTGTGCCCCCCGCAGACTCCATTTTTATCCGTTTTCCTTTTAAAAATCGTGATGTAATGCCCGGCAGAGTCCTGGGTTCTTGTCAATTGCCAGCTCCACACTCTCCCTTTCTTTTTCCTCTTCTTTTTTCTCTTTTCCAGAAAAATGTTCCAGAGATTTGGTTGATCTGCTGTTGTGAACGTGAGGACTTTCAGTGGGGGGGGGGGATATCATCATCCCCTATTTTAATAATATTTACAAATATGTTGATTCATTTCCTGTGAAACTTTGGTCTTGCATGCACTCCTGATGTGTTGTTATCCGTAGGGCTTTTCAACGGGCCCGGCCCGGGCTCGGATTGTGTATATAAGCCCGAGTTCTTGTGAAATAAATGATTTTTTGGCCATAAAAAAAGAGTTTTCCATTTTCTTTATTTTACTGATCAGGAAAAAAAAAAATCAGTCATTTTATGGATTATGGATCTACTTGTAGAAATTCAATACGTAATTTCTAGTGGGAGTGCTGCTGTCGGTGGCTGCTGAGGGGAGAGGGGTTTGGAGGGAGGAGGGTCTGGGGTTGGCAGACGATAAGAGTCGGCTGGGCTGGTGGAGGCGGAGTGTGCTTTGAATTGGTGCCAATTTCATTTAGAGGGTAAAATTTCAGGACCTTGGGTTCACTCAGGTCTGGTTTCTAATTCTGTTTTCCCTGCTCAAAACCCTGTTTAAGAGAGAGAGAGAGAGAGAGAGAGAGAGAGGGAGAGAGAGGAATGTACCATGGGTCGACCCCAATTTCATCTGTATGTCTGCACCTGGAGTTCTCCAGCTCTATCTATCCACCCCACTGAAAACCCTATTTAAGAGTGCCATTTCTCTCTCTACTCTCCACCCTTCTTTGCTCTCTCTCTTTCTCTCTCCAGGGTTAGTGTGGCTTCACCTTAGCTGCTTTTGAGTTTCCCTGGGTCGTAGCCAATTGGCAGCAGGTTCTCACCACTTCTTTGTTTATCTCCTGAAAACCTTCCGTTTTGGGGGGATTTCGGATAATCCTGGATTGTGTTTTAAGCGGAGAGGGAGGCTTCTAGGTCCCCAAGGTTAGGTTTAGGGTTAGGGTTTCAGTGGGCGGGAGGCTGTATTTGACCAAGCTGAGAAATCTAACCTACTCCATTTAATATCCTATAGTTTCGAGTTGGACAATCTCTTCATACATCTCCATCGGGGGGGTTATTACAGAGCAATGATTTCCTGAAAATAAATCACAAGTTAAATCCTGCACCATCTGCTATCAGTCTGCTTTCGAGGTATCTAGCCTAATTAATCCAATAATCCATCTCGATTGGGGAATTACAAGGTGATTTCTCTGTTTGATGATCATCTTCTTGGGAAAATCACACGTTAATTCCTGGGATTACATAAATTCGCATGAATTAGGATTACAGATTATTCATATGCCACATTAACTTATTGATCAGTTTTGAGTTGGATATTCTGATGAACTTGTTTGAAAAGCGATGATCTTCCCAAATATAGCAGTGCCTCACTGTTTCCCAAGAATGCATCTCAATTGGGTAGCCTAGAATGCCTAATTTCATACAATGTCAACCCTTTCACCCGATTATTACCATCTTAGGAAAAAATATAGGTCCGTTCTTGCTTTTGAAAGTATGAGTTAATATCTTTCCACAAATGCACCTCAATCTGGGTCATTCAAGAACAGTGATTTTTCCTAGATTAGTGATGGTGATCGCATGTTATAAAGCATAAGTCAACTCATTGCCCATTCCATCTTTGCTTGAATCCGATTGAAAAGCAACCTAAAATAAAATAAAATAAATAAATAAATCCAGAGATCTTATGCTAGATTAAAATTGGGCACTCTCACTTTATTCTGATTGTATCTTTATTTAATCAGGATTTAGGAAGGTTCCGTCTATAGAAGACTATTGATTAAGGTAAGCTGGAGGATTCTGGTGATGAATCACAAAAAAAGAAAAAGGAAAAAAAGTCAACGTAAAGAGCATGAGCACTCAGACATTGTTACATCGTGGATCCACACATTATAGGGCCAATCAAGTGACACATTACATGGTGTTTAATCCTGCAGTCCATCCCCTTTAGGAAACCATGCAAGTCTTAAAATGAAAAGAGCAATTAGCAGCGTTGACTGTAGAGATATTAAAGGCGGCGTTGAGCTTAAGACACATCAAGTGGTCAACCACGTAGTCACATGTATATTCCTGTCATATTTACCGATATACAGTATGGACTCCAGATATTATTTTTGGGTACCATAAGATCACCATTATTACCATAATTAGTAACTGGTAGAGTCAAACCTGCCAAGGATTCCACAGCCTTCGGTGAGCTTCAGAAGAACGCCCTGCTGCCATAGAAGACCCTCGAGCGGGTCTCCTTGGATGCTTCCAGCCCCTTTTCTGCACCTGCGGCGCCGCCGCTCTCATTGGCGTCCATCGGAAGCTTCATCTTCGCCAGGGACTCTGTGAACTGGTTCATGCTCTTCATGTACATGTCCACGATGTCCTGCTGCACCACCTTCTGCTCCGGCTGGACGTCGATCTTGATAGCCGAGGAAGAAGAAGAAGAAGAAGAAGAAGAAGAAGAAGGAGGAGGAGGAGGAGGAGGAGGCGGAGGGGAAGAATTAGGGGAGACGATGCTGCTCTCGGAGGAGTCGGAGGATTCCAGGGGCTGGCAGGGGATAGCGAGGAGCTCGGAGACCATCTTCTGGTTCTCGTTCTCGAAGTTCAGGTCGGGGAATTCGACGCTGTCGAGCTTCCAAGGGGCTGGTGGATCAGGGCCGGGAAGAATTAGGGCAGACGACGATGAAGGAGGAGGAGCGGCGGGGAGCTTGCCGGCGAAGGCGAGGGAGAGGGAGAGCCGGACGAAGCCCGACAGGGAGTGGAAGAGATCGGTGGAGGAGAGAGAGAATTCTCCGGCAAGCTTCCCGCCGCCGGCGGCGGCGATCTCTGAGAGAGGAACCACCGTGAAGCCGAGGAGCTGATCATGGAGGTAGTTCTTCACCCTACTTAGCATCCAGATCTCGCATCGGAGGGAGGAATCGAGGGAGCGGACCTTGAGTTTGAGAGTCTCCTCGAAGATCGGATTCCTCCCCCTGCCATTGACGATCTTCGTGGAGATGGCCTCTTCGGAATCGCTGCTCAGGCAGATCTTGGCGTAGACGTCCTGCTTGTGGTAGATGCAGATGTTCTGGATGTCGCGGGCGCGATCGATGAACACCTCGAGGTAGCCGGCGGCGGCGCCCCCCTCCGGCGGGAGAACCTCGTCGGAGCTCGGCGGAGAGGAGGAGGGGGATGAGGAGGATTGCGGGATGGAGGCGTCGTACGGGGTGCTGCCGGATGATGCCTTCGACTGATCGGAGGAGCCCATGGCCGGAGCAGATCCGAGCTAGCGGCGGTTCCTTCTTCTTCTTCTTCCTTGGGACGGATCTGAAAATTGGGGGAATCGGAGGATCAGAGGTCATCAACCTCCATATCTGGAAATCCAGGGACGAGGAAGAGGAGGGGGAAGGAAGGAGAAGGAGAAGGAGAAGAGAAGAGAAGTTCCTCTGGAATTGCGGAGGGGGGTGGGGGCGGTGGGATGGGTGTGGTGAGTGATTCAGACCTCCAAAAACCCTAGCGAACCAGCTCGAGAACGTCTCTTCTCCACGATCAAGCTCTGCAAATTATATAGACCAGAGGACGACGACGACGACGACGACGACGATCCAGGCTCAGGTTTTTCCCATTCAAATCGTCTCCTTCCTCCTCCACTGAGAGAAAACCCTAGAAATTCGGGCGCTCATCCCTGTAGAGGTATCGGTGGGAATAGGGCAGTAGCTAGTGGAAGAACGCCGGCGAGTTGACCTTTTCTCCATGAAAACTCCACGAATGCCGACGCCCGGCCATTGGTCCTCGCCGTCGTACGGCGACGGGGCATGATCAGATTTTTTTTTTAATTATATTCACACGTGGCACGATGTTATAATGCCACGTCGTATTAAGGATAAATGTGTACGTGAACAAATAATAATCTTTCAAGGGTTTGGTGCGGATAAATCCTCCCATAGTGACGAAGTCATTCTCCCCCGCTTCCAGATCTCACCTGGAAATCTCTTCCCACGTGAGGAATCTCATAGAAATCTGCCAAGTACTCCAGAGCTTCGAGATTCCCGTTGCAGACCTTCCACAGGGACGATACCTCCCCTCTGGCGACAACCCCCCACCTCTCACAGTCATCGATGAAAGCCAGCAGTTTTGAGTAGAAGGAGCCGTAGTTCATCAGCAAGAACGGGACGGGGAGCTCGGAGCCCAACCTCTGCAACTGAATTAGGGTTAGGACCTCGAAGACCTCGTCCAAGGTCCCGATCCCACCGGGGAGGGCGATGACCGCCGTCCGATCCCATGGGTTCTTCCTTACCACCGCATCCACCAGGCCGTGCTTTCGGGCGGAGAAGAACCTGCAGGAGTTGACTTATGTTCCCTGAATTGACTCATGTGGAGCTGAAAGTCAACCCGGGTTATGGGATTCACCACCTGCAAGTAAAGTAGGCCTCACTGGGGAGGTATGGGTGGAAGCTGGAGCTGCTCCACTGGCCTGCTTCTTTGGATATCTTGAATCCACCCACGGGTTTATCCGCAGAGAGAGCGCCTCTGGTTGCAGCATCCATGAGACCAGGACCGGCTCCAGTCCACGTGGTGCAGCCCAAGAGCTTAGCAATCTGCAAAGAGAAGACGGCCTCTGTCGTTGACGATTCTGTAACTCGGTACTTTCTAGCTAGTCAGCTAGAAATCGGTCAAAGAGTTCAGATGTGTCGATAGACACAATCTGTATATGCGGGGTGAAGAGAAAGAGAAGATGTGATCCTGTCAGATTTCTCTTGGAGCTCATCAGGAAGAGCAGCGGAAGTGATCCTATAAGAACTCATTTCCTGTCAATTAGATGCTAGAATTTATGAGATATACCGTAAATGATATAAGTTTTAATGAATAATGCGAATTTTTTTTTATTTTTCCGTGGTTAAAAAAGCGGATATGACGCCAGATGGCGATGAATTGATGAACACGATCTATTTAGCATGCAATAAAAAATATTTATTGACAGAAATAATGAAGGAAAATGCTTATAGCAATGAACACGTGGGAGGGTCTAATGCTATATATTTTCTATGGAAAGATTTCAATGATTTCAATGAAGGAATCTGGTATTTATGCAAAGATTCAATGTGCGGGTATAAGAAACCAGATATATCAAAGTCCCAGAATTTTTATTTTTATTTTCTACTTCCATTTTAACGCTGATGCTGCCTTTTCATTATTACGGAGGAGATCACAGAAAAAATCTTAATTGGGAAAATGTAAGCGCATTGGTTGACAAGGTCAAGGACTGCTTTAAGCGCTCTTATTGAATGACGGGGTGTGGTCAAATCGATCCTTTGTCAGCTAAAACTCTTGAATCCCATGTCTTCAGAAAAATTTAACGCTGTGAAGCACGATCTGCCAACTCCATCACAGAATACCCAGAGATTGAAGTGAATTTGCCGAAGAAAATATGAGAAGGAATGTGGGTGGGGGTGTATAGATTGGGAGAGAGAGAGAGAGAGAGAGAGAGAGATGAATACCCAGAGATTGAAGTGAATTTGCCGAAGAAAATTGAGTACTGTGGGAGGGGGTGTATAGATGGGGAGAGAGAGAGAGAGAGATGAATACCCAGATATTGTCCATCACAGAATACCCAGAGATTGAAGTGAATTTGTGAAAGAAAATTGAGGACTGTGGCAGGGGGTGTATAGATGGGGAGAGAGAGAGAGAGAGAGATGAATACCCAGATATTGTCCATAACAGAATACCCAGAGATTGAAGTGAATTTGCGAAAGAAAATTACGAGGACGGTGGGAGGGGGTGTATAGATGAGGGGGGAGAGAGAGAGAGGGTGCGGGGAACAGTGAGGTAGGTTGTGCTTCAGGATTGAATTTCCGGTTACTTCTGCTCAACCGGTTATACAGAGCTCAAGCTCTTTTGATCAACATCTTCAGTTGCTTCTGCTCAACGGATGAAAGAATGCTAACGTAGTTGCCTTACCTCTCTTCCCAGCTCCATTGATTGCAGATAATGAGGATGGTCTGGCTTGAATCTAGAAGAACCCAGATACAGGACTCCCCTCCCAAGCCTCTGTATAACCTTATAGCACTCCTTTATCTCCTCCTTCACCTTAAACCAGTAAGAAAATAACAGGTTAAAAAAAAATGAGCTTAGCTTTCTGGGTTTCAAGGTGTTCCGAGTTGGATCAAGATATCAGGGTTTTGCTTTTAGCAGATAACAGTTCATCAAGGAAATCAAGCACCGCAGAAACATGCCCAGAAGTCACCAAACGGGATCTAGATAAGCGGTAGAAGTTGGGATTTGGGTGAGAAGACACCAAGCAAAAAGTCAACCCGCTGATCATCTTCGTTGGGTCAAACGTGATCAGGTTCTCCCACCCTTTGTTATATATCATGAGGCTCCTGAGTAGCCCAGCGTTTCCATCATTTTTCACTATGGTAACAAGAATTATCCCAATTGAAATGCACCCATCGTCACAATTCAGACAAAAACTATGGTGGAACAGCTCAGATTTAACCTCTAACTGATGAATTCATGCTGCTTTTTAGCATTCTACTGTGGATTTGGCGCACAATTGAGAGGTTCCTGCGTTACCAGCTCACTCCAAACGTTCTTCCACAAGAGCACAGAAGATCGTAGAAACCCACTATCAGAAAGTACCAGATACCCAGCAGAAACAAAAGAACTTTCGCTCAGAAGAATCTTCCGCTTGGCAGAGATGATATGGGAAAAATGTCCACACGAAGAACAGAAAAAAAACCCTAGCACGCTTATGGGAAGCTTTACGGGGATCAGAAGAAACGCCTCGATTCAGTATTTACCGTCAAGCAGAGACGCACATTGCGGAGATGAGCATCAGGCAAGCGCGGAAAACGAGTCGTAGGCAGCCGTATGGGGGGGGGGGAGGTGGGGAGAAGAGTCTGCACCTCGTTTGGGCTTGCTCGTTCCGAAAAGTCGGGAGGAGCAGCCCGTTGCCTGCAAGATACCGTCCCCAGGGGCAGACGGATCCTGGGGCTTGTCCTCACGGAGCACCGCCCCGCTCTCCTCATTGCGAGAGAAACAACTGCTGCATCACCGTGGAAGAAGCGGGAGCTCCGGTGAGAAGGCTGGGGAGGGACATGGCCAACAGCTGAAGCGGCCATGGCCGCCGTCCCCCGGGCAGTCTTCTGTAAGGAAGATGTAGCCCTTCTTCTAGGAGAAATCGCAAATTCCGGGTCGAGCAACTGGTTCAAGTGGGAAACGATTTCGAATCCCGTCTATGGACTCAGCGAGGTGGGAAGGAAAGGTTGCGAAGGAGAAGTCGCCATGGCCCTCTGTCACAGAAGGCCACGGAAGAGAAATACGAAAATTTTAGAAGATCTTACGCTTTTTGTCTCGACGTTGACATTTTTCAAAATGAGAGAAGGATATATTCTCTTTTTTAAAAAATCAAAAATAAAATTTAAACATTTTTTTAAAGCCTAATTGATGGCTTCATTTTTTTAATGATTCTCTCTCTCTCTCTCTCTCTCCCTCTCTTTCTTTATGGGCGAGAACATGGCATCTTCACCAGCATCGAGTCAGTGAAAGGCGACAGTGATGGAAATTCGGAGGTGGTGTGACCCACAAAGCATCTGGGTCAACGCTTTGACTCGGTCAATATATTAACTTTATCAAATATATTAGGGGACGAACCCGTTAAAGTGGGCCGTGCTAGGGGCAGATGTCCATCATCAATGTCTGTCTTTTAACTTTTTCCTATGATTGGGCCTTCAAGGCCCAGTTGGGCCCGATAAATTTTGTACGGTGTTTCATAAAGGAAAAAAGAGGTGGGTGGGGGTAGGAGGGTGATTGAGGGGTGTTTGGTATGGAACTCTCCAAAGTCAACGGAAATTAGGCATAGTTTAAGGCCCAGTTTCAAGCCCTTAAATTCGTTGACCCATGTTTCTCAACTAACTCAATATGTTTATCAACATTATAATACATCTGGATAAAAAAAATAGGTTTTATTATTTTTGTATTAAAAAAAAGCTCAAATTGGCAAGGGAAGAAAAATGTCCTGACCAGATCTAACTTTTTTTTCCCTTTTTACGGTTGGGTGGGTCTCAAGGTCAATCCCTCAAGGACGAGAATGGGCTTCGTTAGGTGGTCAACCCGAGAATCTTGGTCAACTACCCATGTCATCCTGCCAAGCTGGGAATCCATCTTTTTAATAAAGTTTTTTTTATAAATAAAAACCTTAAATTTTAATTATAACGGGGAAATATTATTTACCTAATGCACCTAATGATGTATATTTTATGTGTGACCGCTTTGTCACACGGTGATAGTACACATGGGGCAGCGTTGTACTACGAGTTGATTCGTTCTCATGTGGGGTATCTGACTCAGTTCAGCGAAGGCGGTGGCTCATTACATGACGTCAGCAATGAGGTGGACTGTCCCCGCGTTTTTGAACGACCGTTTCTTCATTCTTCTGTTTGTCTACGGAATCGCTCCAAGGTTAGCTGAAAGAATAGAGAGAGAGAGAGACCTGATACGGGTTAAAGAGATGGAGAGATCCAGGGGGGGCATAAAACAGATTAAGCAGAGAGAGCGACACAGGTTAGAGAAAGAGATAGAGAGGGGAAGAGAAGGAAAGAAGGAAAGAAAAAGAGAGACAGGGAGATAAGGAAAGAAGAGAAGGGAGAGAGAGGGGGAGGGAAAAGAAAGAAATAGAGAGAGAGAGAGAGAGGAGAGAGAAAGTAGGAGAAGGGGGGGAGAGAGAGAGAGGACAGAGAAAACGGAAGAAGGGAACAGAGAGAGAGAGAGAGAATAGTACGATGACTGAACAGCTTATGATCGCTCGCTCGCTAGGCTGGGTCTGTCAGTGGCCACATGGTCGGAATACTCAATCCACAGACGAGCAAGTCGCTCCGTTCATACAGGGCCAAGTCAACGCCCACCAACCGTCAGCCTGCGTCTTCCACACGTCCCTCCCAGCTATATCTCCCTGCCCTCCTCCTCCATAACCATTCCACCAGAGCAAACCCAGGAAGAGAAGACAAGAAAAACGAGGTAGCACCAGCCATGGAGACCCTCCCCACGGTCTCCTCCCTCGTCCTGTGCCTCCTCCTCTCCTCCCTCCTCCCTTCCTCCTCCGCCGCCTGCAACGACGAGATCTTCTCCGGCCGGAGCTTCCAGAGCTGCGAATCCCTAAGCTCCCTCGACGCCACCATCCACTGGACTTACTTCCCCTCCAACGGCAGCGCCGCCGTGGCTTTCCGCGTCGAAACCGCTGGCTGGGCTGCGTGGGGGATCAACCCCACCGGGAGGGGCATGATCGGTACGCAGGCGCTCGTCGCCTACCAGAACGGCAGCTCCACCGCGGCCTTCGGAGCCAGCCTCACCACCAAGTTGATGGGCAGCCTGCGGCCTTCCACCATCTCCGTCAACACCACCGGTCTCACGGGGGAATACAGAAACGGGAAGATCACCATCTTTGCCACTATCGTCCTGCCCAACAACACCACCGAGGTTAACCACACATGGCAGAAGTCCGACGTCATCGCCGGCGGCTACCCGGGGCCCCACCCCATCGGTGGCGAGCATGCAAGTTCGGTGGGGACGCTGAACTTTCTGTCCAGCGCACCGTCGCCGGGGGGAGGAGATTCCGGCACGCCGGCGACGCCAAGCCCGACGCGCTCACCCCCCGCAAGCAACGACGGCGCCGCCAGGAGGGCCGCCGGCGGGCTGGGCTCTCTACTCTTGCTGGCCGTGGCGCTGGCCTTGTGGTGATCTAGAGGTCCTCCGATTGTGTGCCTGAGAGGACGGATCGATAGCACGACGAGAGTCGCTGGTTTTTCGTTCGGAGATGAATAATTGGCATGATTATATGGCTTTTTAGCGTCAATGTTTGTTGTGAATTAGTTCGTGAACATATTTTAGTTATTTTGATCTTGACGAAAGAGGGTCGGTCGCAGTATGTCCGTTTGTGCCGGAGATCTGGATGATAGAAGGTTGGCTGTCGTCGATTGATTGGTTCCTGAGAAAAGCTCGGATTGAAACGGTAACTCTACCGACCGTCGGTGGTCCTCATTGTACTGTTGACTTCCACCTCATCCTCCACGACTCGCGGCAATCGATGATAAATTACATTAATGAAAGTCTACAGATTCACCCTATAAATATAAATTTCATATATTATTAAAATATTTATAACCGTATTATTTTCATTAAAAGTAATGGGTAGCTTAAAAATCAAGGCACTACACTTTGATCTTTTTTATTCAGCTCGGTTAACTGACCATCGAAAGAGTTAGTGATAGAGACCTTTTTTTTTTTACTATAATAAGCATCACCAATATAAACACTTAAATGAGAATACAAAGGATAAACTTTGTCTTATGCCCTTCATAGTTTTAGTGCACTTAGAGCAAAAAGTTGGGAGAAATTTCTTGACCTTTAGGCGTATGACTTGGACTCATGTTTTTCTTGTAAAACCTTGAAATGATGCTCCTAGTGTCAAAAGTGGGGCCCCTAATTAATAGAATTCTGTTTGAAAAATCGGTTGTATGTTTCTACGTTTGTATTTGGGTCTAGAGAGAGAGAGAGAGAGAGAGTCAATCCCCTATTTATTAGATAATTTATTCATTACAAGGGATGCAATCAGAAGCTGATCTTAGATGATGTATGGAGATTAATATTTCATGCCTACATGATTTAATTATTTAATAAAACGCTTGGATCGACTAAGAAATAGTATTACACCTTTTCTATTTGTGATGACTTCACATTAGCATCACCTGATACCATCCACCTCCCCCCCTCTAGATCATTCCAACACATGCTATGCTTCTCTCTTCCAATTAGCAACACCCATAAAAGAGTAACATCCAAGCCACCCCTCTTCTAACCTTACTGAAAGAGAAACAAGGTAGCTTTGATGGTAGAGTTTGTTCGAAGCATTAAGACATTGGCAATTGGTGTTTGTATTACAATTTGTGAACTCTAAAGTAGGATTATAGATTTCATGGCAAGTAAAAAATGAGTTAATATCCATAGCTGAAGCAAAAATGGAACATAGTAAGTTATAAACTTACTATGTAAGGACGAAATATTTAGAACATTACTTCTAGATTCATAGCTGTAAGGACGAAATAGATAAATTTACATGATTCTTTTACATTAACAATTTTTGAGGCTTGAATCAAATTAGCATCCTAAGCAAGTGAAAAACTCAAATACAAGTTTTAAAGACTATAATAGTTTGTTTACATAAATTTGATGTGTAGCTTCCTTGGGCTTGGGGACATGATCCTTAGAGTGTGCATGTTCCTTTCAGATAGTCACTTTGAATGGTTAGGAATGTGATAAAAATGTAGTTTATAAAGAATCAAATCTCTTTTTGACTATCAATGATATTATTCTTGAATTTTCGACTTTGACATGTTTGAAAGAGGACTATCAACAATTATTCTTGACACTAGTTCCTAGTACTACATTCTTTTTGTCCTTTATATATATTTTACTATTGTGTGAGATATGTTATGGGTTATTTTTCTTCATACCTTATAAGTTGACTTGATATCACACAAATTTTGTAAAATTTAAATTCCATTGTTAAATGGAAATTTTCAAAAAGGGTTGAAATGGGATAATGTCAATGAATTAGAGGTTACATAAACATGACTGTAATAACTCTTCTTTGATGTTTTGATCACAATGAGTGTTAATAACTCTTTTTACAAAGTGAGTAGACTTTTTCAAAAAAGTAGGAAAAGACACATGAACATAATCATCTAGAAATCATAAGGGCTACACAAGGGTTAGATAATACTTTTCTTTTATTTGATGTGTATTCAATGACAAATACATAATGATATAATATAATAATTTTAAATAGTTAACTATGTGTAAAATAAGGTTGGTACCTAACAAAAAATGGCATGGTCCCCACTTGGTCTTTATATTTGTAGTTTAGTTTCTCCAAATAGATAGGGCACCTGTGGATAAGCCATGGAAAGGATAAGGCCATTTTTGGCTCTATGTGCTCTCACTATGAATAGGATATCCATTTTTAATGATGGTCTATCCAATTCATTAAAACTTCTCTATTTTCAACCCTTTGTTTTCTTTAAAAATCATTCTTATCCTCCCTTTGAGAGAATATTGTGGATATGATGGTATATCCAATAAGTTTATATTGAGTCTCTTGTTTCATGAACTCAATCCTTTCCATAGTTGCTAGGTTTATCTATATATTTTATATTTATTATTTTTTTAATTAAAAATGATATTAGTTTATTTATTGTTACGCTGATTAGAAGTATTCATGAGGAAATTCATGAGTACCAAAAAGAGAGGTGCTCAACACTAGTGATAAGCATTGAGAGGGAAATATGAAATCTTTTTATGCTTTTAACATGGCATAAAATAAAATTCCCATGAGAAAAATTGATTTTTTTTGTTGAATTTCATATTCACCATCATTTCACTAGCTTAGATGATCTTAGAAAACTTTTGATATGTTTTAAATCAAATTAACTATTTGTACTAATATTTTCATGAATTCACCCAAACAACTTTATTTTAATCTATTTTAACTTTCTTCTAAATATCAATAAATAAATTCAGAATTACACTCAGCCTAATCTAATATGTTGAGAATCACATAATGGTTAACCCAATCCTTATGCGGAAGTTTGATAGCTGGTCAGGCTCACATACATTAACCTGGTCTTAGTTTTGGATCCAACTTTATCCAACTTGCTATTATTTGTCAACGCCCCTTAATCATGTCATAAGTTAACAAAGTTCATATCCTTAAGTGGCCGAATTAATCCAAGTGGACAATTCATAGGCAACCTAACTTGACTACTTCATAGTCAACCATCTGGTGGAAACCTAACTTGACTATAAATTTTAATTCAACCACTTGGAAAGAAGCTTAGTTTAAAATTCATAGTCAATTTAGATTTCCACCAATTAGTCAAAACTACTTTATCCTAGTTAGACTCGCTCATATAGAGCCTTTTTTTTACCCACTCAGCCGTCATAGCTGGTCAAACTTGGATTGGTAGGCTACCTTAGATAACCTCTAATCACCCCAGGCTAATATTCCAGAGAGGAAGAGGACTTGTGCTAATGTGCGCCTACCCAGTGCTTCCAGGAGGTCAAACCCAACAAGCCCATCACATATTTGGCTTTTACAAAGGCCTCTGGGCTGAGCTTCACTTGGGCCGTTCAGCCCACTCGAAACCCAGTGATTTCGGTTGAGGCCCATCGAATCTACGGACCATATTTATTTCCGAGGTCTTTCAGAACCAGGTAGGGGTAGTTTGGGAACTTCTTGGAATTGGAACTCTGTTGGGGAAAGGGTAGATATGTAATCTCCTGCTACAAGTTAGGGTTTAAAGCACACGGCAAATGGCTCGTTCGTGCCTCCTCTCGAGTCTCTAGGCGGCGGCGGAAACTCCTGTTGTCGCCCGCTGGTGTGCGGAGGCCCTTCATCGGCGGTTAGCAAGCTTCCTACCCGTCTCTGCCAAGATGGGTGAGTCCGCTATCGCTGTAAAGTTTTCTTCTTCTTCCGCATTTAGTCCATTGCTGCTTCTGGGTGTTGATTTCTTGACTGGAGGGGGATTGGCAAATTCCAGGCATCTCTCGGGATTCTATGCACAAGAGGCGCGCCACTGGAGGCAAGAAGAAGGCCTGGAGGAAGAAGCGAAAGTAGGGAAAAACTTTCAATCCTGGTTCCTATGCCAATATACTTGTTCCCTCTCTTTTGCTATGTTCACTTATTCTGATGCATCTTATGTTTCACCGTCTTGCATTATCAATCGGTTTTTCTGTTGGATCGCGCCATCAATATCTTCTTATCCAAGTGGGGAGCTAATTCTTCATTTAGTTGCCTGGATTATCCGCATTTTTTTTCGGCGCTGTATGCTCTTTTAGATTGCTTTAAGATCCTGCTTCTGAATCCGTTTCGGTGGATAGGTACGAGCTGGGTCGTCAGCCGGCGAACACGAAGCTGTCCAGCAACAAGACAGTAAGGAGGGTGCGCGTGCGAGGAGGAAACGTCAAGTGGAGGGCTCTCAGGCTTGACACTGGCAACTACTCCTGGGGCAGCGAGGCCGTCACCCGCAAGACCCGTATCCTCGATGTGGTCTACAATGCCTCTAACAACGAGCTTGTCCGCACCCAGACGCTCGTTAAGAGTGCCATAGTTCAGGTTGATGCCGCCCCATTCAAGCAGTGGTACCTCCAGCACTATGGCATTGACATTGGCCGCAAGAAGAAGCAACAAGCTGCTGCTGTTGCGGCAAAGAAGGAAGGCGAGGTGTGTTTTGGACGATATCATGCATTTGTGTGACATTTATTTCGCTATCTCTTCGTTCAAAGTTATGCGCTTCATTTTATGCTGTAATTATTATTAGTCTTAGTATTATTATCTTCTAGATCTTTATCTTTACGTTGGTAATATAAGTATGTCACATGTGTAGATGGCCCATTCTATTTTTATGGTGATGGGAAAATGAGGAAACTCTGTACTAGAATAAATATGGACTTGTAGTCGAATTTGGTGCTGACTGTTAATTACGAGCCTTGTTTGATGCTCTATTTTAATAATACCTTGTTCTTCAGATGACCATTCATTCTGTCATCTTCTCTGTTCCTTCGTGCATCTAAAACTTTATCTCTCAAAATCTAGTTAATTTACCGATCAAACACTTTGAGGTGAAGTGTCATGTTGGGACCTCCAGATGAATGTTGCTATACGATGGAACTGTTAGTGATTGTCAGGGACGACTAAAAGGAGAAAAGGGCTACAAAGAAGAGGGCTCTTTCTATGCTTATAATTTATGCCTTGACCTTCTGAATCCCGCTGCTGAGCGATTGAAGAGTACACAGCTGCAAGTAGCCCTAAATGTGTTCTGAAAGGCGGCTTGGTGTTTTTTACAAGACGTTTCATCATTTTACAATTCTCCTGGAGCATTTGAAGGGCCTAAACCCTGAACCCAGAAACCCGGAACCCTTTTGGCTTCTTGGGCACATTATTAAGGTCTGAGGAGCTTATCTGTGTGGCAGGAAGGTGAAGGGGCAACTGAGGAAGCAAAGAAGAGCAACCATGTCACCAGGAAGCTGGAGAAGCGCCAGCAAAGTCGCACACTCGATGCACATATTGAGGAGCAATTTGGCAGCGGCAGATTGCTTGCTGCAATCTCATCCAGGCCTGGCCAGTGCGGAAGAGCTGATGGGTATGCCATTTTTTAGAAATTCCCTTTCTGGATATATCTAGTTCTTATTTTTCTCATGAAAGTAGAGTCCTTAAAGGATACTTAAATGACTTTTTTTCCCCTTTGTGGCCAGAAATTAATATTTTAAAATATCTCTGTTTGTTGATACATATTTCTTTTTTCTCCTCTTTTGAAAGTAAAGTAGTGCACTATTTTTTGTGGGTGTTATTGTTGGAGGATTTTCTCCCATAAACGTTAAATAATTTTCCTTTTTGGAGTTAATGCTTCCTCTCTTATTGTCACAATTAAGTAGTGAGTCGTTTTATGAGGTTTAAATGACCAGACTTTTCATGGATATTATGGGAGAAAATATAATGCTAGTAAAATCTTGATTCTTACTATCGTATCAATTATAATGGTTTCCAAAAGGGATAAAATAATGATTTTTGACTAAGTTTCTGAATTTATTAAGCTCAACATTTTATTTTGTTGATTGAAAGCCATGATGAGAATGAATCTGATTTTTAATCTCTAAAAAGTTCCCATTACTCAACCCGAATTGCTGCGGATTCGTGCTTCGAAGTAGTATTCCCATAAACTAGATTCAATTGAATGATCTGTGCTAAAGTTGAAATACATTATTCTTGTTGCCGAATTAAGGTTACCCTCAATATTTTTGACAGCTATATATTGGAGGGGAAAGAGTTGGACTTCTACATGAAGAAGCTTCAGAGGAAGAAAGGGAAGGGTGCTGCTGCTTGAATGAATCCCCTTCATGTCTAGGGTTTTTGTTTATCTTGCTTTTGATGGATTGACTCCGGTATGTAGTAGTGCTTGAGGTTTTACTTCCATCCATATGATCTCATTAATCTTTGGACAAGTCAGTATCAAATCAAATGGTTGACTCCTAAATTCTGCCTCAACATGGTTTTCATTGTGGGCGGTAACGGTGGCCGGGTCTGGTTCCTGCCAAAGCAGTCATCCCGCGTCATGTTCGCATTCCTGTGGTCTGATCTGGATGCCCATTTTTGCTGTCACATGGCAGGCAGCCCATTTTGTTGTGGGTTCGTCCCTTAGTTTATAGTATAGGGTTTCTTTCGTGTTCGGTGTTGATTACTATGGGGTTTGCCATTTTTTGCTTTGGGGGGCCAGGAGATGCGGATGATGTGGTTGATGAGCATTGCTTTGGGGAGGAAGAGTTAAGACTATGATGGAGGAGGATGAAAGGACCTTCTACAGATTGGTGGGGGCCCTTGGAAAAGGTGCCATGGTCGTCGTTCAGAGGGTAAGAGAGATGTGCTCGCATCATTCGGGATTTGCAAACCTTATAGAGTATGAATTCAACAAGAGATTGTGATTTGTTGTGCTTGCTATTTATTTATCCCTGTAGGAGATATTACAGGCTTTTCAGAAGTATTAGATACGTGAATTTGTAGAAAAAGTTGGGTTAGTTTTCTGCTAATTATATGAAAAATCTAGTGCATAGAAAATATAACAAATAATATTTAAGAGCACCAAACCTCTACATTGTTGAACTTGTGGAAGATCATTATATTATTACAAGGTCTGTAAAGTTTTCATCATAATTTATCATCTTATTAATATTTTATTAGAATTATAGAGAGTGAGAGATCATATGAGGTTTCTAGAATTTTTAAATATTTTTCAGATTTATGTCTGATATATCTATATTTTTCCATGGATGTATTGACACGAATGATGTGGTAGCATCTCTTAACACTCTTTCACTAAAAGTAAAAACTTTTTATACTAATTTATCTTTCACCCAATCACTTCCAATCCCATAAGGAATTACCCTTTAGTATCAACTTATTTTCCTTATGAATACATATTGATTTTCATGAGATCAACTCCACAAATTATATAATTTTGTATCCACAAAGATTTAACTTCTTTCGGTCAAATACGACTATCAGGAACTTGTGTTTTTGCTCAATACATTCTTACCACTTAGTTACCTTAAGATTTAAAGTAGATCAATGGACATACTAAGTGGTAAGAATGTATTGATAAAATACACAAGGTGTTGCTAGTCGTATGTGACACACAGAAGTTAGATCTTTGTGGATGCGAAATTATATAATTCACTAGTTTACTTGTTTTATTAGATCTCCAACATTTGAAATACAAGTTTAAAAATACATCATTTTTGAAAAATGCAGTAATAATGCTTGGATCTTTTAAATGTTGAATTTCTCTATTATTGGGAACTTTTGAATTCAAATTTGAATTAAACCTTTCTAATTTAACAGAGAACAATTGGTGTCTACATCAGATCCAGACGATTAAGTTTATTTTCACATTTTGTCCACACAAATATCTAGTTTGTCATCATTGATACATTCTTTTAAGAAATGTATAGTTGATTCACATAACTATCTTATTGATTTAATGCACATAATAATTTGGAGAACATATTTAGTATTATATAGAACTAATGAGTATTGTAACTATATGGTTAGATCATCATATATAATTCAAACGAAAAAACATTTCACTTTCACAAATTTGTCGACGTGTGTTGACTTATACCACATAATCATGTACTTAACCTTTTATTTGCCAGTCTTTCTTCAGTGGATAAATATTTATCCTTAATTATTCATATGGTAGAGAATCAATTAATCTTAAAGATTAAAGCTTTAGATTTGATTGTTAATATTATAATAATAATAATAATGAATAAAGTTGATAAAATTAGATAAATGTATTAAATATTTAATATATATAAATAATTATTATAAAATCACTTATCAATAAATTTTTATTCATAAATATCAAAACCTAGGGTTTCAACATGTTTGACAAGTCGTTAGGTGAGTTTTCAATGTTATCTTTTAAAGTAAAAAAAATAATATTTAAGTTGAGTTAGAAGATGGTGAAGAATAGAAGAAATTAAGTGCGGGGACTAATCAAACTTTCAACATACTGTGCCTAAGCCTAAACCTCTTTTCACTCATCACCTAAGTACCTTATACCTTAACAAAGAGAGTCAACCTTTTAAGAAAGAGTTAATTTAGATCACTGCTATAGAATTATATATTTGATATAGTTTTTAACTCTTCTTTGATGTGCATGACAAAACTTTAATAAATGAAGTAAGAACTTCCTTTGAGTGTGAATGAATCTAATAGAGATGTCTTAATTCAAAATTGAATCTCCTTTTTTGTAAGCTCATTTTTTTTAGTCTCCAATATTTTGTCTTTTCATCACTTGAAAAATGATCATGTGAATTCAAATTTCTTCATGTTTCTATGTCAACGCGTCAATGACCTTTGCACATACTTTTATTTGAAACTTGGTATTCTTACATTCGTTATCCTCAAATAAGATTTTTGAACTTACCATTATCTTCATGTATTATGTTGATGTATTACCATCTAGAGTGTGTGGGAATGATTTTTGTTCGTTCTTTACTTTGAGACTTGTTATTCTCACATCAGCTATGTTTGAAGCTTGGTTTGGAGATTTATAATTTATCATTGATTGTCTTTATTTCTGGGTTTGAGTTCAAATAAGTTTGGTTAGTTTGCCATTTTTTTTCAAATGTTTATCTATCATTGTCCAAGATATATGACAAATATTTTTTTTCTTCTTGTGACTTTTTGATGGCTTCATGTGGATATTTCAGACTTGATGTTGCATATAGGCCTTGATTTCAAATCTTATTGGAGACAATTATTCTTTGATATTTATTTTAACTTCTCCACTTAGTTTTCCAATGTGTCCTTGTTTATGTTTTAATTTCGAATTTATCAATGTTTGATTTCATATTCTTTAATTTTCTAAGTGTTTTTCTTGTTGAGGTTTCTGACATCGATCAGTCAATGACATGACTTAATCATTGAATAAAATTTATAAAATTAGAAAATATCAATTTTCAAAATTTTAGAAGTATTTTAGTACAAATATATCAAATATAACTCAATAAACTATTGTAAATATAATAAGAATTTTCTAGGTCGATCATAATAATTTTAGTTTTTTTAAAGAATATAATCTTTATAGTTTTTAGACTAAATGATGAAAAATATGAATTTATAAAATCACGAAAAAGGAAAATTTGAGTGTTGATGTCAAGATGATGCCATTGCCTAACAAATGTGACTTAGGTGAAAATATAGTTCCACTTGACGATTATTATATAAATATTTATAAATAATTCAATTGATCAAATTAAGATCTATAAAAATCAAAATAATTTTTATAAACTAAAAAATAGTTTCAAATTAAAAATCACATAAAATAATATTAAATTAATAACTAATCAAGTTTTAAATATGTAAAATATAGTTCTAATGTTGTGATGATAATCACAAAAAATTTGAACATTCAAGAGGATTATTGTACAATGTCTATGGCCTCAAGGGCTCTCATTAGACATGGATGATGTTGATAATTTTTAAATCATTTTAGGAAGCATATAAATTGATGAGGTGGATTGATAAAATATCTTTGACAATTATCACATGGTAGAACTAAAGTTTGATAGCTTTCGGATTTCCAATGACTTTGACCCTATAGAAATATGTTTGATTTACTGAAGGTGAAATACGTCTCATGGAGTTTTATCCTTAAGTTCACACAACAAGAGGAGGTTCTTTATCGTATTTGGTATGTCATGAGGAAATGACGACTCGTCTCTTGACAGATTGCTATGTTCTCGATGACAATGTGTTTGTCGATCAACTAAAGATGATTTTCTTGATGTATTTATAATTTTTTAACCTATAATCTTTCGTTAGTTGGTAATGACACTTTGTGAATCACATTGATGACCTTTTCGTTAATGATCAAGTAATTTTGGCGACTTGATCATTGGCTGGTGTTTGGCAAGAAAATCATGATTTACTCAGCTATAAACATAAATTTTGGCTATGGTGGGATTCGAACCCTTGATGCTCACCTAGTTGCATAGAGAGAACTAACGAATTACATGCATACCCTTGATAGTGACATCATAGTTGTGTTTCTTTCTCCTAACTCAAGGATATTTTATATAATAATTTTTCAACTTGTGTGTGGTGCCCTTTGAGTCAGTTGTCAAGTCCTAGTTGATTACTAGGTCTTCTTTTTTTCTTATTTTTTATTTTATTCTATCTAAAAAATATGAATATAAAAATTATATAAATTCACATAAATCATATAATTAGTCATAAATTCATATTAGCAAGTTAAAAACTATTTTTCTCAATTTAACATAAATATAAATCTATTTACCATGAGTTATAACATAAAATATATTATTGACTAATTATTAGCTCATGATAATAAATACTTATTAGTTAGGTTTTGAGTTCAAATCTTAGTGATGGTTTTGTATTTCTTGATTTTCTAGAACTTTTTCACATGTGTTGACACCTGATTTTCTATGCTTATATATTAATTGTATGACATTATATTAAACTCAACATAAAAAATATATGAAGGATATAAATCCTTGGATTTATTTGTTAGCTATTAGATTATTCAAGCATCATCAATGTATATTGTAAAGATTTCCTAAAGATATCAAACTTCTAACACAAGTCTTCATGAAGTCAATTTAATATTTAGTAAAAAAATGATAAATATTGTGTAAATATTTTATAAATAAAATTTCAAAGGCATTATTAGTACTAATGTGTAAAGTGTGATGACACACTTTAAACACCTTTATGTTCAAAGTTTACACTTTAGTTAATATTTTATGTTCTTCTCATAATTTAAAATTTGTAGTGGACATATAATAGAGATATACTTTCTAAGGTAAGATAATATCTTATTATATAGGCCAAAGCTAAAAAAATTGCTAGTCAATTTGTAAAATAAGTGTCAATTTACATTTTCTCAATGTTGTTTGTTTCATTTTGTTCAACCATCTTTGAAAGATCTTTCTAATAAGTATTTGTATACCTATATTGAGACAATAATTTAAGCTAAAAATGTATTGAATGTTTTGCAATGTGGGTTTAATTATCCTTTGAATCAAATGATCATTACATGATTTAAGTTTTAATTTTTTATGTCCTATTACTCAAATAATGAAGTTAGTTATTTAGACATTCTGGTGACAAATTCACTATTTCATCTTCAATCAAGTTGGCCAATATGATGCATAGTGTGTGGGTTGTTTGGACCCATGTACATAGTGAATTACACAATTAAATAATAAATAATTACATCTTGTAATTTTATTTTTTAAATTAAACTTTAATAAGTCTAGTGATTAAGATAGTTCATTTAAGATTGATAAAAATATTTTAAAATAAAATTTTAATCCACAACTAACATTGTAATAAGCATGATGTTTATAGTGGCATAACTAATCTAAAGTTTGGTGACTAAAACTTCTAATAATGTTTGGCAAGTTAAAGTCTCTATAATTTAGTGATAGATATAAACATTTAAAAATTAATGTTTGATATGTAATAAATATCATAATAAAAGGGATGTTTGTAGTAAAATAAAAAAATATGAAATATGGTGACTAAAACTTTTAATAGTGTCTAGAAAATTAAAGTCTATATAGTTTGGTGATTAAAACAAACTACTGTGAGATAAGCAATAAGTGTATTTTTTGTAATTTTTATTAATTAATTATTTTTACTTGAGAATCTTTATATTTTAGGTGATTTTACTGTGAGATTGTTTGCTGTAAAATATAAATAAATATTGAAAGCATGTAAATAAGTGACAAAATTAAGAAATAACTTATTGTCCAAATTTACTCTGCCTTATGGGCAACTAGAGACATCAGTGTGACGGCTTGACTTTGTCCAAACGTATCACACCATGCCGCAAGTCACAGAAGTATCATTTGAAAACATTGCGTCACTTTCTGAGGAGATCCACTGAAAAGAGGGGTCAACCAAGTTATCATCGTTGTCTGGGCGGGGAAGGGAAGAGCTGATCACTCACTAAAGGCCTTGAGTACAGTCAAGGGAGAAATGAATGAGCTTGCTGATCGTCAGAGGTGTTGATCATGCAAGAGGGAAGAATGGATTCTATATTTACGATTGACGTTGGGTTTTTAAAGATAAGTAATGATGTCTATTTTATTAGAAAATAAATAATTATTATCTTTATATCCTTAATAGTGATACGTGCGAGAACTTAAGTTCCTAGTATTGTGGTGCTTCATGAGCAATTAAATTAGATGTGCTTAGTCCCGTGGCGCACTAAGTGACACAAGAATAATCCACCATGAATTGTTGCCAACTAGGAACTTAGTCTTTGGTACCATGACGCTTTGCTCATCGTTGGATTATCATCGATGGTCACATGCATGTTGAGTGTTGGATTCACAAACCACTGATAGGTTACTTTACATGTATGGTATTGTGGTGGCTTGCCTACTATATGATATGCCTTATTTAATGACGTGACATTCTAAGTGTCGCTGGATCACACTGCACTCCAGACTACTACCTTGAAATAAACAAGAACTTTTAGTCCCACATCGGAAGATTTTCATGAATTGAAGTAAATATATATTAAAGTTATGCTCTCTTAGCATAGATCCTTTCTCTCAAAATAAAATAATACTCATGAACATTTTGGGAGAAGATAAAAAGGTGGTCCGCCCTCACACACATACGTGTGTATGACACCCCTTGCTCCATGACTGATTGGCCACCAAGACGTGGCAGGGGAATGACGCACATGTTTGCGAAGTGAGTCCTTCGCCACTAGAGCTCAACTTGTGGCTCATTTGGTCTAGGTCTACCCACTCAAGCACAATGTCCTTTTGGGTCAATTGCCGAGTGTTGGCTTGTCAATGGGCAATGATATTTTTATGTTTTATTCTTATATTTTTATAATAAAAAAATTTATGCTCAGGTAATAATATATTACTATAATTATTCTATAAGTTAATACATAAAATAAAATAATAAAACTAATTAAAATACAAAATTCTAGCTTTAATAAACAACCATGATCTAGAGTTTATGTTGGTAATAATGATTAGGAGAGAACTTATTATTGTAGGTGAAACACAATTTATGTGCCTCCTATTTTTGAATCTCCTCTAACGAAACTTAAGAGTCATTTTGGTTTTTTAGTCTAGGGATAGTCATGAGTTGCCCAAAGGTTACTCTTTTTGGCTGAGTGCTGTGGAAGAGGGAAGTCAGGTCACTTGCGACAATTGAGATAATAATCTATAGTAAAGGGTGTTGCATGCATATTAAAGTATATTTGCTATTACCTTGATAGAGAAGAAGTTTTCTTATGTGGATTGCTTATAATCACATCCAAACCAATAGGTTTGAACAAATTGACTTCAAATTAGATGTCTTGGTGGAGATCTTTAAGAAATTGTCTTGTAATATCTATTTGAGAAGATATCCAAGGACAACAAGTGTTCAAACTACTTTCGATATTTGACAATGGTTCTAATCTATTTATTTTCTAAGAATTTATGACCTAAATTGCTATTTGAATTGGAGTAGAAACACTCCAAAAGCCTATGTAAAAGGTTCTCTCAATTGCAAAAAGGTACTCTAACCCCAGTTCATTTATACCAAGTCAAAACTGTTCCTTCAAGACTCAAGAGGGCAATGGGAAGTATGTTTGCATGGCCGATCCTATAAGTGGAGAAGAAGAGCTTCGCATAGAAAATCCAATCCTCTAGATCTGACCTTCTGTAGAAAGTCATTTTGATCCTCCTAGTTGGTTGCCAAGGCTCCTTTTGTGGCTAAAATTCAAGGTTTTTTGTTTGAAATGGGTCTCCATAGTAGTGTTAGGATCATTATGACAGTTGCAAATGTTAGTTTTGAGTCATAAGGCATCCTTTTACTAGTTGCTAGGCTCACGGTGGACTCATTTGGTTGATGTGGGCAAGGGAGCACCTGTGTCATAGCCTTGGTATGGAAGGGTGTTTGTTGGACGTTGTGAGTCCTTGAGGGTGTGAAGCAGCTGATCTAGTTGTTGCTTGATCATTGAGATTTTTCCATTACATTCTTCAAACTTTGCCATGAAGGTGACAACATTTTGTTGTAAAGTGTGAGTCTCCTTTCAAACCTCTTCTAGACTCTTTTCGATAGGGTTTTTTTTTTTGAATCAGAGGTTTTTGGTGACAATTCAAATACCAAAATGATGAGACTTGTGTTTTAATAGTACAAAAGAGAGACGAGAGCCAAGCTAGAGAATATAGAAACTTCTTCTAGCAACAAAGGGAAAAATGAGGTATCTTTTTCCCTTAATATATGTGAAGAGAGAGATAAATGAAGGGAGGGAGGATATAAATCCCCATACCATTCTAGATGTTTGATCTCCTATTCTCCTTAAGAATCACCTAGTGATACAACCTGCTTCCCCTTTGGTTTGTGAGTCTCCTCTTTATACTGATAGAATAGGTATCTTCCCTTCCTTTGTTAGACTTTCTCCCCATGAGCTCTCTCTTCATCTGTTTGATGGCTACTATTCGGTGATGACTTGAGGTTTGACCACTCAGACGTTGCATGTTTGAGGATGAGAGAAACTCATCATATTACTTCTTAGGGGCCAACAAGATTTTTTTCTCCTAAGAATCATAGATCTTCCTCAGTTTAATTCTATTAAATTTGTTAAAACTTAGTTATTTGAAAGAGTTCTAAGTAATATATGTGGGTTTTTCATCAATTTTCTAGAAATTGATAACATAGTGGGCCGGGCTAATCCTCAGCTGTACTCCAACACTAGCAGATGTAGTATAGCTACTTGTAAAGGGCCAGGATTCTGGCCGTTTCCGCGGGACGCTAAATTTATCAAGGGGAGCTCGTCGGCAGTCTACCATCTCCCCTCTCCGCTGCCGAACAAGGAGAGAAAGAGAGAGGGTTTCTCCGAAGGGAAAAGTGCGATCACGGGCCTGGAGACGATGGATTCCTCTTCCCACCACCAGCAGTGGGCGCAGGCACAGCACCAGCAAGCGTGGCCTACCGCCGCCGCGGCTCCTCAGGGCTACCACCAACCCACCTCTATCGAGGAAGTGAGGACTCTCTGGATTGGGAACCTCCAGTATTGGGTCGATGAGAACTACCTCAGCAGCTGCTTCGCCCACACCGGAGAGGTTTGCTCTCCCGTTTGACACATGCTCCTCGGACTCGTAGAGCCTTTATTCTCCTCTTGCCCTCAGTGGTGGCGACTGTCTCGAGTGTTTCTCTGCGTCTGCTTCTTGCACGTTGTCAAAACCTAAATATGGGACCACATAGAAATTAATCGCGGACCACATACTGCTTCTCGTTATACCATTAAATCCCGAAACTATTTCAGATTCAGAAAAGATCACCTCTATATCTCGATTTTAAGTTTGTTTATAAAATTCGATTGAAAACAGCTCGTTACCATGCTTCTAGGTGGCATAGAAATGCCGCTTCTTCACTAGATGTCTATCGCGTGTGGTTAAAGCTATCAGAGAGGGCTTATATTGATATATTTCTCTCCTTCCTCTGCGTTGTACTGCTGGCCTCTTTCCTTTAGCTTGGCATATATAGACAAAAGTTGTTTCTTTATGGCGAGAAGAGAGTAATTGCATATTTATTTATTTATTTATTCCTGAGAATCATAAACCTTACCCCTTGTCTAAATAGCTGGCATCTTAAGTGCGTCCTCTCTTTTACGTTGGATTTTTTTGTAAGATTATTTTTATCTCTGTCAGCTCTAATGATTACATTTAGGCTGGCTTGGGATCTTTTAAATACGAATTTGGGTGGATTAGACGTGCCATTCTTAGATTTTATTTTTTCTTCTTCTTGGTGCTCTGACCATGAATAAAATAAATGGCATTCGTTAATTTTTTTTTTCACATTCTTGTTTCCCTTATAAGCATAAGGTCATAGTTTTTTGAGCGCAGATAATTCTACACTTTTAACTGTGGAATCGCTTTAAATGAATTGTAAGTTTAGCTATTTGACATTAGATTTCTTGGTTGTGCCGTTCTTTTTTTGGCTCTATTAGTATGAATACTTAGTTAGGTTGGTATGAGACACAGCTTCATAGTGGATTCTGTGGGATTTTATGAATTAATCTATGCTTGATGTTTTATGGGGAAGTTCATCTGTTCGTTATTTGATCATTCACCTTGAGATTTGAATAAAATTATTATTGTGTTTCGTTCCGTGAACAACTGTTAATGTTTGTTCCTCGCATTTTTTTCTTGTATTGCATCTCTTGACTAATAGTGGTTTTTGCTTCATGTGGACCTATAGGTTGTTTCAATAAAGATTATTCGCAACAGATTGACTGGGCAGCCTGAGGGGTATGGGTTTGTGGAATTTGTTTCTCATGCAGCTGCAGAAAGGATCCTGCAAACATACAATGGGACACAGATGCCTGGAACGGAGCAGACGTTTAGGTTGAATTGGGCTTCCTTTGGCATGGAAAAACGTCCTGATGCTGGACCAGAGCATTCCATCTTTGTAGGTGATTTAGCACCTGATGTCACAGATTACTTGTTGCAAGAGACCTTTAGAGTCCAGTATCCTTCAGTCAGAGGTGCAAAGGTCGTAACTGATCCTAATACTGGGCGATCAAAGGGATATGGATTTGTAAAATTTGTCGATGAGGCCGAGAGAAACCGTGCCATGACAGAAATGAATGGAGTTTATTGTTCCACCAGGCCTATGCGCATTAGTGCAGCCACACCAAAGAAGACCGCAGGGTTTCAGCAACAGTTACCTACTACCAAAGGTGATTACACTTTTTTTCCTCCTTGTTGAGGCATAGAGTTTTATAATGTTTATTGTGTCAGTATTGGTAGCATTACCAACGGCTCTTGTGATATATATGAGATCAGTTTCATTGGTGGAATATATGGATACTTTTTCTCATTTCATTCCCAATGAGTGGCTTACTTTTTGAACGCTTTCCTGGTGCCTTGAATTATAGCAGATCTGTTTCTTTTATTGGTAGCAGGATTGGATATAATTTGGAGGCTAGAGTAACCTGGGCATTAGAGGTTGGTAACTCTAACATTTAGAGTTAAATGCAGGTAGCATTCATGAATTGATATGCTCTACCTTAGTGCGTTGGCCAAAATACTGGAGAGGCGATATTAAAAATGGAAGATGTTGGATTCGTCTGCAGCCCTGGTTTCCCCTTTGTTGCATGGAATTAAATTCCTAACAATTTTTTTAAAAATAAAAATCCTAACCATTTGTCCATTACTGTAATAATTAGGCTCCACATTATATCGCTAAATGAGGGAACTTTCATTGGGAGATAGCCTTTCATGAGGGTGATGCTTGCAAGAAGCAACCGTATTGTTTGAAAACCTGTATAAAAAGGGTAAAGTATAGATGTTGATTATATGCATTTTTTTTCATAATGCAAATAAAGAAAAGTGATCACCATGTTTGGAGGATTCACAATGCTATCTCTAGTCCAACTAATGACCTTTTTATTTGAAAATATCACAATATTCATCTGAAGCTCGAGACTTGGATTCCTTCTCCTTCAGCCATCCAAATTTCACATCCTTTCATTGACTAATTTAAATATTCTTAGTCGACATTAAAGGAAATGAGTATACAAGGGTGTTGGGGATTTATTCCTAAAAGTAACTAAAAGTAGTTATGAAATTCCTCCTCAGTGCTTTTCAGTGTTATTTCTTTTGAAACAAGGAAAAATGGACTAATTTTTCTAGTGTTCTTAGAAATTTAAAGTTAAAACTAACAGTGCTTGGAGATAAGGAAAGACCTAGGAGAAGAACAAAAGTGCTGATGCCTTGTTGCCAGAGCTTACTGCAAGGAAATCATCATAAGCTTCAGGGTCTCACTGGCGAGATTGATTATTGTACTGTGTTATAGAATGTCCTCTCTTCAAGTATTAACACCGTAATGATGGAAATTTATTCAGCATAATGTCAAAACTTGGTTGTTGAAAGTTGCCCTTTTAGTATTTGTTTCACTGAGCAATGTTCATTATACTTATGACATGGTGAAGCGGCTTCTTTGTTTTTCAACTTGGTGGATAGAAACACGATCTGATAGGGAATCTCTTGAAATCTGGTTTCGAAATTATTTTAAAAGATCATCTATGCAAGTTTTAAAAAAACGGAAGAAAACGGGACAAAACCATTTTTTTTCTCATAAGTTTTTTTTTTTTTTTGGGCTTTCTGGAATCTGGACCAACCAAACAAGTGTTGGCTTTCGTGATTCATCTGTTAAACTGAGTTAGAGGAACTGAGGAAGTGGTTGAAGAGATAGGAGTCCCAAGGAAGAGGGCATCCTATTGGATGTCTGTGTTTTTTGTTATGCATATATTCAAATGATTCTTTTGCGGTCAAGTGTTTGAGCAGAAAGACTGAAGCCAAATCAGTTTATGATCATTTGAACTCTTTGATTTGTCGAATATTTAGTTAAGCATTACTATGAAAATAATTACTACAGTACTCAGGGAGACTGCGTAGGATGCGAGAATTTGGATCCTACTCACACTGGTATTTAGACTGGGTAGTTGCTTACTATGGGCAGATATCTATTTTTTAATGCTGCTCATTCTTAGAGTAACCACATTATGCCTGCTATTTTTTACAGCTGCATATCCGATGACTTATGCCACGCCACAGGTGCAGCCAGTTGCAACAGATGGTGACATGACGAACACAACTGTGAGTCAATATGTTTGTCCCTGGTCGTTTTGTCCCGAGGATCTGTCAATTTGCATCATTCTTGTTGTTGATATGATTTGGTATTATTCCTTGCAGATATATGTTGGCAGCTTGGATCCCAATATCACTGAGGATGAACTGAGGCAAATTTTTGCACAATTTGGTGACCTTATTTCTGTCAAAGTACCCCAAGGCAAAGGCTGTGGTTTTGTCCAATTTGGCTCTAGGTATGTCCACAATATTGCGAGTCCGTCTTCCATCTTATGAGATTCTGCATGATGAGGCACAGGCGTGTGACAGTTAATTTTCTAAATGCTCAAGAGGATACCCTTTAAAAGAAATATAATTCAATTCTTTTGGTAGTAACAATTAGCCCAGAGTCTTGACAATGCCAATTCATATCTCCCTTCCCTGCAGATGGTTTAGCAGATGCTAAAACAGTGAACCTATCTCCATAAATTTCATTTATTTATTTCATTGTCTTATTTGGATTTCTTGAAATCCAATACGAGGTATCTAAACAAAATTGCCAAGTGAAGAAATGCACCTTTGCTTGCTTTTTTTTCTTTATACTTTTCATGGGGATTCGGATGTTTGAAAATTTCAGTTGGAACTGATTGAACATTTGTCTCCGGAACCATGATTTGATATGCCCTATAAATTATTCCTTCCGTGGACGTGGAATTAGGTCAAATAAGCATGCCAAGGAGTGGGATGCCAGGCCTGCATGCCAACAACTGTTGCCGTCCGGTTTTAGTTACCTCATATTTTTTCTACATATTGTTGATTGTTTCTATACTGTAATCTATACCCATTTGCGTCATATTTACTATAGACAGTTTATATGCCAGGTTTTCCTTGCCTGAATGATGATATTCTGCTTTAATTCTGTAAAAGTTACCCTTAACCTCTTCTTTTTGGATGCTTTACATCACTGAATTTCCTCTTCTTTGCTTTTAAGGGCATCTGCTGAAGAAGCTATTCAAAGAATGCACGGGACGATGATTGGTCAACAAGTTGTTCGTCTTTCATGGGGTAAAAGCTCAGAAAATAAGCAGGTTTGTTTTTGAAGATAATCCCGACGTTTAATTTTTTTACGATTATCATTCTATAATGTATATCTTCCATAGCAAATGGTCATATTTAGGAAATACTTTGACTGCGCCAGAGTAGTTTGGACTTAGTCTTTGAAAACCAGAAACAAAAGTGTTTTCCTTGGATAGATCCCAGATTCAGTTAAATTTCCTCGTTTTTACGGCTTCTCTGAGTTTCTGTGCAACTGAGACATATAGTTTGGAATAATGCTATTAAGTACCTCTAGGAGGGGATGGCTGGAGATCTATACACAAATCTGTGATACACGCAGGGGATTCTCAACCATAAACCAGAAACCCTAGACAGGGGTTTCTTGATATAAAAGGTTAAAAAGGGTGGTCAATCAAAGCGCGCAGTCCAATGGAATCCGCTAATGGGGGGATCTAGTTTGTATTATATCATGTCTTGGGAGCTATAATGTTAATCCATTTCTACACCCTTCCCTCAAGCTGAGATTGGATATATCTCACGTTCAACTTGTTCACCGTTTTTGCATCTCTTATTCCTTCCCTGATGAAGTATCAGCTCTGTTGTCGATGGTTATTTGTATTATCTCATCCTTTCGCACAAGACTATTAGCGACCCTGATCTCAGCCCTGTTGTCACAACAGTATTTGATGTGGAGGGTAACCTTTGTACCAATGTGTGGGAGTACAATTTTCAGCCATAGCCACTCAACCAGTATTGAATCTAGCATACTCACTTCAGTATTTACTTCTCCATGAGTCAGGATGACCTCCCGTGAAGGTACATAACCCCGCAGTTGACTTTATATCATTGTGAGAGATTGTAACTTTCATCGACAATAGCTTTCTTCGAGCTGTCAGTGTAAGGAAGTAGTGTTCTTTCCTGGTGAACACTTGACGAACTTAACTGCTCTATCCATGTTCCCTAGAGGAACTTAACTTGACGACTTTTTAAGGGCATCTATAAATAGGAAACGGGTAGGATCAATTCTTCCTTTCTGAATACTTCAACTGATGGTCAACTGTTTCTGTAACTTTCATGGGTAGTTTTGCTTTCATTCTGTATACGTAGTATGCTAACCGTCTGCATTCTGAATTGGAAAGGAAACGCTTGCTGATCTCATGATTGGAAGGGGGTATGCACAGTTTTCAATGTTTCCTGACGCAGAGGTTTCCTTTTGTGTTCATGATCTCAGGATCCATCTGCCATGTGGGCCCAACAAGCGGATCCCAACCAGTGGGCTGGTTATTATGGCTATGGACAAGGATATGATGCCTATGCGTATGGAGCTTCTCAAGATCCGTCTTTCTATGCGTATGGCGCCTATGCTGGATATGGCCAATACCCTCAACAGGCAAGGACACTTTTCTGTCATCTATTAGTGTTGTTAACACTTCTCCCATTCTTTTATGGAGGAGGGCCTTCTATAATTTATGTGAAATAAAAGATAATTTGATGCATGCGTGTTCTGGGTTTTCTTCCCTCTTCTTATTCTGTGATTATATCTCGGAAATACTGCAAGTTTTAATGTGGAAATGAACCCATTCCGGGGTTTTACCCAGATTGGCAGTGACCCAGTTTGAGATTAATACGGGCAGAAATGGACTTAACCTGGTTGTTGACGTCATTACAGAGATCCCTTCTGAATAGTTTGGCAAGAAATAGTTTTCTTCTTTTCTTTCTCATGGCAGCTTCATAGTTTTCTGCCTCCTCTTTCCAGGCGGATGGTCTCTCAGACATGACTGCCATGGTGGGTTCGATCCCTACTGCAGAACACAGGGAGGAAGCTTTCGACCCGTTGGCTATTCCAGATGTGGATAAGTTAGTTCTCTCTCTCTCTCTCTCTCGTTTTCTTTGCTCACATTGCTTTCCTAAGGGATCTCATCATCTATCTGCTATCTTGAATCCTCTGGTTAGGTTGAATGCCACCTACACTGCTGTTCATGGAAACTCGATGGTGGGAAGGCCTCTATGGTTGAGGAACTTAGCTTGAATCATCATCATCATCATCATCATCATCATCATCATATGTAGTGAGTCAGATTTCAACTGCTTAACCTGATGGAACTCAATATTTCTGTTTCTTCCTTTGTGAGGCCTGTTCTTCATCATGGTTCATGCAGATCCATGCTTCCTCTATCGTTGTTGATATCTGATGAAACAATTTTCCTTCCCCAGGTAAGTTTTTTCCACCAAATGCATCAAAATTTCCTCCTCATCTTAGCGATCTCAAGAAGAAAATAGTAATCTGGATGGCTGAGAATCTTGGGGTCTCTTCTGAACTAAGCTCGTTCTGTCTGAAAACAGCTTTCATTCTCTCTGGAGTCCGGGGATCAACGAGGAAGAAAAAAAGCCTTTATAATTTGGGCATAAATATTCGGTCAACTCGCTTAATGTGTCTGCTGATTCAACCTCTCTCTCGCTCTCTCTCTCTCTAGATTATGGTGCTGTAGAACTCGGTTTATAAGATAAAAACCAATCCTTTTTTTTTTTCTTCCACTAATGTGGTCTTCCTCAGATGATTCGTATTAAGTTGTCGAACTCTATGTTAATATGCATTTATTTTCATAAGAGGACAAGAAAGTCAACGATACGCCTGTGAAGGATAAATGTTTTTAATTACGTCAGATATATAAAATAAAAAAAATGCAGAAAGTGTTAGAACACAATAAACTTATTTTAATATTCTGGTTAAAAAAATACGATGTTCTGCACCCACACCAGACCCTGCTTCTGACCCTGGGGGATATTATATTCACTAATTAAAAAAAAATGGTTACTATTTATGAGCTATGGGACATCATTTTGACTAAAATGTCTACCTTGTTCATCGGCTCTGTTCCGTACACAGCAGAGCAGTTCTGTAAATATTTATAAAACGTCCCATTAGAGCAAATAATATATTCAATCATATGAATACAAAATTACATATTCTCGACAGTTTACAGTCCTAAGACTTTTATTTTTTTTATACATGTGTAAATTATTATTATTATTATTATTTTATTTTATTAAACCTACCTCTCCACGCTGAACGTCCCTGTCTGGTTAGGCGGGCGTTCCGCTTTTAAGAAGAAAGCACGTGTGCTACCTCAGGCGTTGACGACTACTGGCAGTTGGATGACCTGTGCCTATTTTTCACAAGAACCCTTGTTAATAGTCAAAACTCCGTTCTTGGCCCTGCATGAAAATTATTCCCGTCGCCCCCCATCCGGGCTGGTAGATCTTTACAAGGATTTAGAGTATATACGTAAACAAAATATCTCATGGTGTTAACTGAGTCATTTGGGCCCGGACCACGGAAGTATAAAAGTAAATAAAATTATGTTGCTAGTTATTAAGGGAGCTCGAAGAGGGGCCAGTGCAATTAAGTAACTTATTTAATTCGAGTAACGTACGCGAATGAGGAACCTCAGATCCCGGTCTTCTGGTCCCGCGTCGCGGTCGGGATTCTTCTTTGATGTTGCAGAAGAACTGTTCTTTTATTTTGCCCAGTCAGTTCATCGCAGGAAGGAAGCCGCCTTCCCTCTCCCCATGACATGTCAGGTACGTTTCTACCGTTTTGACCCATCTCTGCTCCACTCTCATGAGGATGGGTTGGCCGCCAACTTCGCCTCTGCGGCGGGAGGGTCCTATCTCTGGTTCGGCAGGAATCTCCCTCTCTCTTCTCTCTCTCTCTCTCTCTCTCTCTCTCTCTCTCTCTCTCTCTCTCTATCTGTCTACCCAGGGTTGTATGTAGCTATCTTTTCTATCTACCCATCGCTCTATATTTCTTTTTATCTTTTTATGTACGTACATGCTACAGGGTGATGTTCATTTTGTGGGATTTTGGGCAAGAATTTTCTTTCATTCCAGCGATGAGTCGTGCTTGTCCTTCGGTTGTGTCCCTTCGGGGAAGAAGTCTACGGGCGAAAGTATTTGATTATTTTGTCCTTGAATTGACAGGTGGGTCTGGATCTTTGGAAGACTCCATTGCCTCTCTTGGGTTGGATCCCCCAAGATCATGAACTGAATCGTCTAAGGCGTCGGAGAGGATCCTATCGTAACGCTGCTGTACAACAATCCCCAGTGGGAAGATGTCGGCTTTACGCCTTTGGAAATGTTCCTACTATCCGGTGACCAGCATCGCCTCTCTGCTGGTGTTCGTTGTAGTGGCCCATCTGGTCTTGTCCCCGTATTTGCCGCTTTCACTGGATTACTTAGGGCCAAGTCGGATCCAAACATCTTGTTTGCCTATTAATGGCTCCACTGGAGGGAATAACACAGACTACATGGTGGGCAATTCTCAGCGGGTTCTTGATCTGGACGCCCAGTTTCCTGCCGATATTTTTCAAGCTGTTTTCTATCGAGGCGCCCCTTGGAAGGCTGAGATTGGTAGATGGCTTTCGGGTTGTGACTCAGTTTCCAAGTCCGTCGACATTAACGAGGTTTTAAATCGTTTTCCTTTTCAGATGAACATGATATCTGCCACTTGTTTCTAATTATGCAGCTTGGTTAAGTCAGCATTTCCCCCCCTTCTTTTGATAGAACATAGGAAGCAAAGCCTGCAAGGATGGTTGCAATGGACAGGGCATTTGCAACCAGGAACTGGGGGAATGCAGGTGTTTTCATGGATTTGCAGGCAAGTACAAAAATCTGTGTAATCGCCTCTATTCAGATTAATCCCATGTTCCATTACCAATTGTTGCGCTTAGTTCAATGTTGAAGGTCCCTCTATATTGAATGATAGTTAAAAACGTTGAACGCTGTGGCACCGAATATTGGTGAAATCATTCATCTTAAGAACAGGGGATGATAGACTGAAATGATTTTTTTCATCTCTTATTAAGGACATGTAGGCATGGTTCAACAGATTTATTTTTTCTTCAACTCTTACATACCCACATCAGTTCTTTGTATTCAGTTGCAATATTGGAGAAATCGTCTATCTGGAATGATAGGTGGATGATAGCGTGAAAGGAATTTGCTTCTTTCATCAGGGACATGTTAGCCTTGTCCAATGGATTTATTTTATCATTGTTCGATTTCTTTTCTACGCATATCTAATTTTTTTTATTAATGCATATATTGGTGGAAAATTATCTATGTTGTGGGAAAGGGAATGATGGTTCAATGGATGCATTTTTTCCTCCTTCAATCTTGTGTACACATTTATCTAGTTTCTGTGAATGGGACTTTAAAGTTTCCTGTCAACAGAAATTAATACAATATTGATGGTTTCAAAAAAAAAAAAAAAAAAAAAAACAGGGGATGGATGCTCAAAAAAGTTGCAGTTGGAATGCAACCTACCAGCATCTCCTGATGAACCCTATGGACCATGGATCGTTTCAATCTGCCCTGCATCTTGTGACAAAAGTCGAGCCATGTGTTTCTGCGGAGAAGGAACAGCCTATCCAAATCGCCCTGTTGCGGAGGGCTGTGGATTTGGAAAGAAGTAAGACACTGGAATTTCCCTTTATTAAAGTAAGATCTATGAGATGCAGGCCTTTTCTGCCCTAATTAAATTTTTTTTAATTCAAATATCTTTGTTATTTCATGAAACTATTTCAGCCCACCCTCTGGACCTGGTCAGCCAGAGCTTACGGATTGGACGAAAAAGGATCCAAATGTGTTTACAACTAATATTAGCGAGCCGGGATGGTGTAATGTTGACCCAAAGGAAGCGTATGCATCTAGGGTCAATTTTAAGCGGGAATGTGACTGTAAATATGACTGCCTTTGGGGGGACTTCTGCGAATTTCCAACCTCATGCAGCTGTATAAACCAGTGCTCTGCGCATGGGCATTGTCGTGGCGGCTTCTGTCAGGTGCCCTCACCGCCTTCCAAGCCCCATTTTTCTCGTTTAGTAAAATTAATTCAATATCACGAGAGAACTGGGATTGTTTCATAAGTGGGTTACACCTGAGAGGACTTTGATTGTTTCATCCTTTTATGATCCAATTTGGGTTGGGGGGGGGGGTGATATCTGAATAATATTGTCTAGGAATCTGAGCGAGTTTCCTACTTTTTATCAAAAGACCATTTTTGTTTAGAAAAAGATCATATTGTACCGAAGGTGTATTTAGAGTATACCGAATGAGTATAGCTATCCTCCCTCTGATACGGCAACGCGGTTTCAAGCAGTGTTTTATTGGATTTTGCCCACTTATGAATGAAATCTCCCAATCTTGATGAACATCCTGAATGAAAGTTTTTCCAATTTTTATCACAATGGGAGCTTTTGCTTTCTTAATTCATTTTTTCTCACCTTTTTTGCATTCTTTATTGACAGTGCGACAGTGGTTGGTATGGTATAGATTGCAGTATTCCATCAGTTCAATCACCCATGAATGAGTGGCCCAGATGGCTCAGACCTGCAGCAGCTATTTTACCCGATAGTTCTCCTGAAATCAGCAGGCTTGTAAGCATTAAAGCCATCGTCAGCAAGAGAAGGCCTCTCATCTATGTTTATGACTTGCCACCAGAGTTCAACAGCCACCTTCTTGAGGTCAGCCTCTGATATATGGCCAACCCTCGTTACAACTACATGAATAGCATTTAAATTCCTAAGGTTTGAATTTTTCAGGGGCGACATTTCAAGTTCCAATGCGTGAACAGGATCTACTCTGATCAGAACAGAACGGTGTGGACAGAGCAGTTGTATGGCTCACAGGTGACATCTATCTAATCCTTCAGATTTATTTATTTGTTCTTGATTAAGCAAGCAAAAAGCTCATACGATGTTTTCTGCTCTTCTGTCTCGAAGATTGCTTTGTATGAAAGTATCTTGGCGGGTCCTCACAGGACAATGAACGCAGAAGAGGCTGACTATTTCTATGTTCCAGTCCTCGATGCCTGCCTGATAACTCGTGCTGACGACGCACCCCATTTGAGGATGGAGGTAGGAATATCACCTGCTGGCGAATGCCATTTCCTTCTTTTTCCATTTCTCGTGAACCTGAACTTCATGATATAGATGGGAAATTTCTAATATCCGCTATATATATCGCTGGCCTGTAACTCAGGGGCACATGGGCTTGAGGAGCTACTTCACATTGAATTTGTATAAGAGAGCGTATGATCACATTGTCGAGCGTTACCCATACTGGAATCGCTCATCTGGAAGAGATCATATTTGGGTAAGATACAGAACACTCTGGGTACAAGCCTAAGGGGATCTTCATAAGTTTTAGGAATATTCCCATTTTAGTTATGAAAAAAAAACCAATGATTATAAAGACGGCCATTTCTTGAGCCAAATAATGGTTGTTCGTCGATTGAGCATTCCTAATTTATGTTTTCCACGTGGCTGATTTTTATTAAAATAAATCTGTGATCGTCATAAAGGTTGCCCACTCTGTCGTTCATAGTCAACTCTCGCATGTGGTTATGCATATTTTTCGGAAAATTAAATATCCCTGATTTTTTTTTCCCTTATCCAAAAATATAGTTATTCTCTTGGGATGAAGGTGCTTGCTATGCTCCCAAGGAAATATGGAATAGCATGATGTTAGTTCATTGGGGAAACACAAACTCAAAGCACAACCATTCAACGACCGCCTACCCAGGAGATAACTGGGACCATATCCCTTCTGATAGAAGGGGGAATCATCCGTGCTTCGACCCAAGAAAGGATCTTGTCCTTCCAGCGTGGAAACGGCCCGATGCAGGGGCTCTGGAACGGAAGTTGTGGGCTAGGTGCAGCTAATCTCAATTTTCCTTCTTTTCATGGTAAAAATATGACTGGAATTTTGAAGACCAGGGTCTGTGTTTATTGTTCTTCAGGCCTCGTCAGGAGCGAACGACACTTTTCTATTTTAATGGAAATTTAGGACCCGCATACGAATATGGCCGACCCGAATCTACGTACGTAAAACCCCAAGCAAAAGATACGTTCTTTTTTAGTGGGTACCTGGAATTTTTTCTTATTTTGTCCAAAAAATGTTCAGATATAGTATGGGAATCAGGCAGAAGCTTGGAGAGGAGTTTGGTTCGACACCCAACAAGGAGGGGAAGTTGGGAAGGCAGCATGCTCCAGATGTCGTCGTGACCCCAAGTCGAGCCTCTGATTACTATAAAGAGTTATCAAGCTCGGTGTTCTGTGGGGTGTTCCCTGGGGACGGCTGGAGCGGGCGCATGGAAGATAGTATTCTCCAAGGCTGCATTCCCGTGGTGATTCAGGTGATCCTACTTTCTCTCAAATTCGCAGTTAAATCACATAGTTGGATGGACAGCTGATATTCAGTCATGATTTCTCTGGTGATTTATTGCTTAATTTCCTCTCAAATAACCCGTCAAATTACCAAGTTAGGAGGACGGCTGATAATTCAGTTGAAAACCATGGTTGCTTTATTTTCTCTCAAATACTCAAATAATTTATTAAGTTGGATGGATGGTTGATGATTGGCAGAAATCCCTGCGGTGATTCTTGTGAAGATTTTCAAGTTAATAATTCATAATATTTATTCCCATTTTCACCAGAGATAAATCAGATGAGATTTTTTTTTTAATTTCTCAAATACCCAATTAAATTACCGAGTTGGATGGATTAATTAGCCTGCCGGTATATTTTAATTCCAAGTTGATAAATATTTTCGCCCCTGTGGGATTATTCCAGCAGCCAAACAGTTTCCAATTATGTATAAAAGTCAGGACTCCTCGTTAATATTTCTTATTTTTTCCCCTCACTCACTTTTCTTACTCAGGACGGCATCTTCCTACCATACGAGAACGTCCTCAACTACGAGAGCTTCGCCGTCCGAATCAGTGAGGATGAGATCCCCAACCTGATTAACCACCTCCGGGTAAGCTTGGAAGTTTTCTATTTCCGGTATACGCGGGTACAGCATCTAATTTTTTTTCTATATTTAGCTTCTGACGATATCTTGGGGTCGGGTCTCTTTAGGGTTTCAACGAGAGCATGATCGAGATGATGCTGGGGAACGTGAGATCGGTCTGGCAGAGGTTTATGTACCGCGATTCCATCATGCTGGAGGCGGCGCGGCAGAAGAAGTTATTCGGCGACGTGGAGGATTGGGGGGTGGAGTTCTCAAAGCTCGAAGAGGACGATGTCTTTGCCACATTGATCCAGGTAAGCTTCAATCTCCAGCTAAGAGCATCACCAGAAATAGACATCAGCCCAATTCTCTCCATCATTAGTTACCATAAAAAGGAGGGGGTGGGGGCCCATATAACGTTGACTTTATTCAGGTGCTCCACTACAAACTACACAACGACCCCTGGCGGCGGCATCTCAACTCCGCGACCAAGAGGGAGTATGGACTGCCAGAGGGCTGTGTGGGGAGAGGCTGGTAGATGATGACGGCGGAAGAAGCAGAGGGAGATTTTTACTAAGAATGGATTTTCTCACCAGGGCAATTGCTCATTATAGCAATGATTCCTCACCAGGGACGGCGCATTCTTGGCTCCTCTCTTCCTGTTCCACTCTCTCCTCTATTGGTTCTGAATGTATGGACTGTGTGTGAGCATGCTGTCCCAGAAGCCATACGAGAGATGAGGAGAAAGATCAAAGCAAGGCTATAGTGGGTCCATTCGTAGGAGCTCAGACGGTTTACAGATCTCGAGAGGCGAAGCATAGGAAATAAAAAAGAAAAGAAAAGTTCTTGCAGAGTAAAGAGAGAGACTAAAACTCCAAATAGTAAAGAGAATTCGATGAAAGAAAGGCTGAGATTGGTGGGAGGAGCAGACCGACGATGGGCTCTGCGAGGTCGATTCATCTTCTCGGATCCATTTCCTGTGGGTGAGTGAAAAGCTGGAGCAGTTGTTCCCCGTTGTTGATCACAAGTACTTGGCAAGCCAAGGGATTTCCGGGCAATCCTTCAATGCAAAGGCCACGTCGTCGCTGCCAGATACAGCAAAAATGTCAGTGAGCGGTGGGGAGCAGAATCAAGCGATTTGAGGACTCGAAATAGAAACTTGGTGAGCCTCGGAGGGGAGACATTAGAGTTTAACCTAATCTCAAACTTATGGGTGATTAAAACAAATCCTTTTAAGAGAGAGGGAGAGAGAGGGGGAGCGAGAGAGAGAGAGAGAGAGAGAGAGTGGCACAAGGGGTGCTAGTCCAGGGGTGATGGCCATGTGACGAGAACACAGGGTCAACCAGGTTCACTTATGGGAACAAATTGAAAGTAAAAGCCCCATTTTGGGTGCTTCCTCTATGAAGATCCTACCTGCTTGGGGAATCATTTGATTATATATGTTACGGGGAATCAAAGCTTTGGAGAGTGAAAAGTCAACATCAGAACCAACCTGGGAAAATTAAGCTGCATTTTCTGCAGCCTGTGCTTGCCACCTTCTTCACAAAGGATGATCCTACATTCACCTAGCTTGCAGCTGCAATCACACAAGTCAGCGCATACTCAACACATTACATGTAAACCACCAGAAATATTGTAACAGGAGGCTATTATCATCATCATCATCATCATTATTACCCTTATAAGTAATTTAGTGATTATAATAGCTGGTTAAGTTAATGAATACGATAATAAGGGCTGTGATGGAATTATTCCGTGTGATTCCTTAATCAGATGACAGTTTTCATGAGCTTTCCAGAAATTATCGCCGCCACCAGAGGGGAAAAAAAATATATACACCACAGAAGAAGCAGACGGGCTTACCCAACTTTGAAGAGGATGTCCCACCCAGGGAACTCTTCTCCATTGCTTGCACACAAACGAGAAGCTGCTGCCGCCAACTACAACATTTAGAACATCACAGATAGTCAAGGATGAGAGGAACTGGGTTCCCAAGGTTGTAGAAAAATGACGTAACTGTCATTTGAAAGATTGAAACAGATAAATGAAAGTTAAAATTTTCAGTCCTCGAGCTGGAATAACTCTATTAACGCTGCATATTCTAGAAATCATACATTCGACTGGCCGTTTCATCTCAGGCAAAACACAGTAAAAAAAAAAATTGATACAGAAAAGGAACGGCTTCATTTCAGGTAAGGCTCATGGTTTTTAAATGATGGAGCTTTTGCAGAGAGCTAAAATTAGTATATTTCTGCTTTTTCATTCTTCCACTTTACATGATAGAATCTCTGTTCTATGCATTCTCCTTCATGCTCTGGGTATTATGCTTCAATTGCTCTGTGGCTGATAGTTGCCGTATGAAGCATCACATCCCCCTTATATCGGGCATCTCTTTACCCTCATTCATCAGATCATTTTCCCAAGTCCAAGGCCACCTTTGAGGCTTCTCTCTGATTGTATTGTACGAACTGAAAACTGTGCAATCAGGAAAAAAAATATCCTAGCTGTAAAGAACTCATCAAATTTCAACGAGCTCCTGATCAAGACTAATTAAATAAATGCCTTCACTATTTTCTGTAGCGTTGATCCGAAGCAGGCGACTAAATAAATAAATTTGGTCAAATTTTTGATCCTTAATTGTATCTTGTTGATCTTAGATTAAGGGTTAAGGCTTATGATGATAATGATGAAAAAAATGCATTCATATAGACTAAGATATTTTGACTGAACAGCATGAAGATTAGGTATTTGATGAATTACACAAAATATTTATTGCCACATTAATATACTGTGCCCCAATATTACTTTTCATAACACAAGTAGTGATCATCCCTGCCTAAAGTCAAATAAGTTAGAACAACATAGCCAACTAATATGGCTTTCGACTATTCACTCCATTTGTCACTGTAAATAGTAGCTAGTGGCTGGGTTTCTTAGGCAACTAAAACCATAAAGGGACTAAAAGGGCAAGGTAATGCCTAGAACAAAAGGACTATGCAATATCTTTTATAAAGATGCCAAAACAGTGAAAATTACTATACTTTTTTTTTTTCAAGCACATGTATCTGGAAAAACTAAAAATCAGTTAAAACTTTGAATATGTAGTTAATTATTAAATCGAAGAAATTGAAATCACGAATGAAATATAAAAATCAATATTCACTTGTAACTTTTACAAATACAATGTAGCTTATTTTTCAAATAATAAATTCTAACTGATTCATCAATTTAATTCATTCGCACACACAATTATGCTGTGTGAGCATTTGCGTACCCTAAGCAATGTCTTAAATTTTTTGAGTGAGTGAGATTGTGTGTCCGATGTCCGATCTAAACCTTAGTTCGCCCATTTAAAGAAATGCCTAGATAACCTGAGGTAAGATTGACAACAAGTTGACAAACTATAATGTGAACAGACTTAAGGCAGTCCCCAATGCCGTTTCTTAGGGGACAGCTACAAATCCATCACTGAACTCATAGAAACAGGACTCCTGATGCACAAGTTTCTTAAATGATTAAGAACTCGCCTCAACTTCTTCCAGCAAGAGTTAAGCAGAAACAAAGCGATTTCAAGATGTACAAGAGTAATTTCTATTAATGGACAAATTTATAGGACTAAAAAATTTCTGCATTATAAGTTGAGGGGTTTCTTAATTAATTTCCTTTAAGGTATGCAATGATAGTACGACGCCTAAGTCCCTTTTTCAGCACTTGAGGAACAATTCACCGGTGAAAAATCGCAAGAAATGCTTCAAAAAGAATGGCAGAGATACCTGATTTTGATGATTCGCAAGACCCAAAAACCACATAAAAAAAGGGATCCCTGCAGCTATAAAGAACTGACCTTTTCAAAAGTTATCTCACAAATTCCAGTCCTGTAGACTTCATGAACCATTGCTACCATAAAAATTTTGCTCAATCTTGGGCAGCTCTTAATCACCTGCAAGAAAAAAAAAGACTGACTTTTAAAAAAAAAAGTTACAGGGGAGCATTTTACGCATTGCAGCTGCTGCACATTATGAGATGGAAAGTTCTCAAATTTTTGCAGGTAGTAGTAATTGTGTGCCTGTCTTGTTCGTACACACGATAATTGTTACTTAGCCAATTACAATTTCACTCATCAAGTTTTTCCTGTACCACGTTCCCTAGACGGCTGTCAGAAGTCGGGTAGAGATAGGGCTTAAATAGTCCAAGTCTGATCCTTTGAAGACAAGTCCAGCACCCTCATGACGCAGAGAAACCCAAGTTGCTACACTATGCTCGGGTAAACAAAGAACATAAATTCCAAACACTGGACATAAGTTGCTACACGACTAGACACTTAGACATTGCGTTCAGAAAATTCCATGCCACGTACATCAAAGCCCCACATTGATCTTACTTTTTCATATTTGAGTTTCTTATAAATCATGGATCACTAAGAGTATTCTAGTGAACGGCGTAGGCAATTGTACAGATCCAAGGAGGCATGGTTGTTTGATTCTCAGATGTCGACATAAATTTCATTGTGTCAACTTATAATTCAATATCATCATTTATGTGAAAACCTTCGAGCGGAGAGTCCAGTAAAACACCAACAGGCATGACCTCGTTCTTTTCTTTTACAAATTTCACAGGTTTTATACAATTCAAAATCCTTCTTATCAGGAAGAAGATGACATCCGACTACTCACTTGAATATGAGGTGCCTGGAACATTTCCTGTATAGCAGCTTCTACATCGTTTATACCAATGAGGAAATTTCCTGTAAAAATATACAAGGATTATTTCCATAGAAACGGACAGGTTAATATCGTTAAAAATTGACAAACTCAGTAAGCAGGCTACATGATTAAATATTTGGAAGGAAAAATTCCGAGCTCCATTGATACCAAATTAGCGAACACTGACTGGAGGTGTAGACTCCGCTGTTTACGTGTACAAACCCAAAACCAATTACGCCCCCCATCAGATCCTCTCCTCACTCTGTCACCGAGCCTATACTCGGACACATGAATAACTCACCAATGCCAAATCCTACAATTCAGATGTCATCCAGTAAGGTCTTGACTCGCAATATAAATGATTCTTGAGGCATTGATATGTCCCTCCCTAACCAAATAACGTTTTCGGTTCAGATTAAAGGAGCAAGAATCCTACCAATTCTATCTAACGCTAATGTCAGAAGTAGTGTAAAAGTTGTTCCTTTTCTAGATTTTCACATTAGGTGTAACAACTCAGTTTTTCCAAACACAAATGACATCCATCAAAGGGGAGGACACACACGCTCCCCTGGCATTATCCAAGGAAACAAGGGTTGGCATACAAACATGAAGTGAAATATTACAAATCAGATCAGCTGGTTCAAATCAAAATAAAACATAGGCTATCCAAGAATTTGAGGGATTATCACCAACAGAAATAGAAATTCTACTAACGATTACCAACGACAGGAAGAAAACTTGCACACATACCTAGGTAACTGGGACTAAGAATAAAGAGAAAAATCAAACAAGTATCCCAAATCAAGTTAAATCTATTTTTTAAGATTTAAAATCAGGCAAACACTCCTATAAAATGCTTCCAACATAACAAGTAAAACTAAGAAAACACATTGAGCGAAAACTAGCAAAATCACACGTAAAACCACAAATACTCGGTGACTACCAGAGAGAAAATAGGAGGGGTAAACAAGAAAAATATTCCAGAAAATTACCAGAATGACTAAAGTGATTATCAAGAATACGCCTGGTACGTGGAATCATAACTGATAAGTTCTTTCTCGACAAGTGATAAGACGCCTACTATTCTTATGAGCAGCTACCAAGAAGCATATGCAACGTAAAAATCATGGCACTACGACGTACTTCAAATTAAAGATTTTAACTGCAAACAACATATAATACTAACACTGTACATCGGGTCATATCAATGATGAGCGTTAAATGGATTATATCCTCCACATAGAAGAAAACATCCTCGCGAGATGTGCATAGAAGAAAACATCCTCCACACAGAAGAAAACATCTGCACCTTCAAAGTCATCTTCCTCGCGAGGTGTGCATGAAATCGTTAAATGGATTCATGCCTCAGATCTCCAACTGTAAACCAAGGTCCAAAACTAAACTGCGACTCAAGCCACACGCCAAAACTGGTCCTAAACCTCCTTATAATAAACCCAGTGCCATAATATAAATGTCTTCCATTCATTCAACCAACTTTTGTCCAATTAATCTTTATCCTCGACGACGCAACAAACATTACACAGCATTGGGTGGTCACCACGAAAATCGCTTGCATTCAAGGGCTCCAACTACCAAGAAATGCCTCATGTCAACAGCGCCACACCAAATTTCGTCATCATCCTCCCGAAGTTATGACTTAATGTCCTTTGCGCAATAAGATGGATAATTTATGTTGCTTCAATCAAACTCATTGCCAATGAATATCTTTCTTCATGGCCCCTAAGCATGTACATAGCCATACCTTTCAGTGACCCGAAATCCAACTAATTTAACTTCTTCCACACGACTCTACAAATATATCCATAGATAAACCGTCGATTTTTCTGCACTTTTCTTATACTTCACTCTAATGTTTGCCTACCATTTATCACAGAAAATATTCAAAACTTAACAGATACCTTATAAAGGTCCTGAAAAATTAAAACCTAAATAATGCAGGTTCCAAATATGTTAGTTTCTTCTTTGTGACATGTCCGGGGAATATATTCACCCACTCGATTTGACAGTTTTTGAAGTAAGACTCAGTCAAAATCAGCCACACGTAAGGCATCTCATTACAGGCAAAAAGATTAGAAATGATGGCAACTATCTATCTAATAAAAGGAACGGTACTTGCTTTCCATAACCTAGGAGATTGCAGTGAGTGCATTCATTCATCCAGAACTCTCATCACAGAGAAGCTCCAAAAATGACAGCCAATTTGAATTTTACAGTCACATCAGTTTTAGTCCTGCAATTCACGTGATAAACAAATATAGTATATGGATTAATTTTTCAATTGTCCATGCAATAATCCGAGCACAAATCAAACAACCATAGAGACATGTATCAATGCGAGCCGACCACTTGTCCAACAAAAACATTCGAAGATTTCGCAAAATGTTTCTAATTATACGCATAGTAGCTTCTTATTCCAACAAAAACTTTCTGATCTTGAACTGAATGAGAAATAAGGTACACTTATCTTCGTATACCTTTACTGTCGTTGAGGTGAAGGGATTCCACCATTGATTGGGGCAATTGCTTCTGTCTATAATCCGCCAATTCTGCTGCACGCCTGCATATTTCCAGGGCTCGTCTAGCATCACCTGAAATAGCTGCAACCTGTCCATAAAGTACTTTAGCGAACGCATTGAATCGAATAGACAACAAGTCAGCATAATGAACGTGCATGTCTATGGGAAATTTCATGCGCCCCAGTCAACAAACTTGAAATTAGCAAAACACGATTTACTGGATGAGTCATGAACATCGACCTTTCTTGAAGCGAATTCTACTGCCTGCTCCTCAAAAACGTTAACACCTCTGAGTCGACAAGATATAATTTCTTGCAGCTGTTGGTAATTGTATGGACCAAAACATAGTCTCTGAATTCCCATTCGACTTGATATTCGTGGAAGTAACTTGTCAGGAAGATCCATAGTGTTTGCTATGCCTGGAACAAAATAGCACGAGAATGATAGTTTCTTGCGGCATTATCCTCTCATCGTATGAATAATAATAATAAAAAACTTGTCTTCATAGACTCGTACCTATAACAATTAACCTGGAATGTAGTTTTGTAGGCCAATCAAGAATATTATAGAGAACCTGTCAAATATACATGATACAAGAGATAACAATCCAGATAAGTGTAAAGTCATTGTCAATACAGCAAAAACTAAGGCCTTAGGAAGCAGACATGCACTAGTTCTCATTCAAGATTGAACTATACATCGTCTAGAAATGCAGTGATTACCGATTGGTTTCTCGTAACAAGAAGGTCTAGTTCATCAATGAGAAGAACGCAGGGCCGTCTATCTTCTTTCCCCACTGTCTTGCCTTCACAAAATCGCTCATTAAGAAGGTGCAGAGCTTTTCTCCACCCAACTCTATGTCCCGTCAATGCTTCATAAATAGCCTGAAAAAAGTAACGTTAAATAGTGGACCATAACTGAAGAAATAGGGCAGTATTGAATTACCCGGTAGATAGTTTCTGGAGTAGACAATTTAAGACCGTTGATCTCCACAAGACAATAAGGACCTAGGAGTCCTGAATCAACTTCAGACCTCAGGTTCCTCATCACGGTATGCACTGTCATGGTCTGCAAGCAAAGCAAATACACCAAAAAAATAATAGGATTCAGAGCATGAAAGGGTGCGGTACAGTAAAATGTAGACTGTAGTTGTGTAGCTTCATAGATTAAAGTTATAAGCAAGAAAGGATAAAACTTTTATATAAAACAAGCTTAGATGAAACAATGAAATATAAAAGCGTCCTCATATGCAGCACACCTTGCCAGTTCCAGGAACACCATGAATATAAAGGCAGCGTCCTAAACAATTTTCCTCTGAGATAGCATTTTTTATGAAGATAGTGATCTCCTCCATTTCTCTGAAATAGAACATAATGCGTTAAACATATACTAAAACTCAAATTTCACCAAAAAGAGAATGCGGAGTATACTTGGTTCTGCAGGGCAAGGATTTGGGCAAAGTGGCTAACAAAAGCATAGTTTTCGCTTTCTCCAGTTCAGTCTGCTTGTGACACCTCACATGCTCTGGAATTTTCTTTATCCCTACCTTTTGAAGACCAAAAATCCTTCCCTTGCATGAGTTCTGTAGGGAGGGGGAGGCAAATTTTGATTGAGATGAAGCCTTAACGAGTCAGCGAATTATTGTTTGGATAAGGAACAAAACTTACCGCTGCCACTTGACGCATTTGGTGCTTGTAAGCTGGACCCCGTGAAGACTCTTTTTCATATTCTGAATCCCCGTCTGTGCTGTCATCATCATCCTTCGAAAATTTCCACTCCTCGTCAGTGTCGTCTTCATCATTCTGCCAAGAGTAAAAGTTATATTTCAACTTTAAAAGGTTGCCAAATATGCCTTTCCTTTATGCATCAAGTTTCAAATCAAGAATAAAGCATGAAACTAACATCATATCCGTCGATTTCTGCAAGACGCTTGAAACTGTGCCATTGAACATCATACTCGTATTCACACAAGAAAACATCGTCTCCTTCATTATCAGCTTTCACAAATTCTTTTGGATTCATAACGTAGCAGTGTCGAAGGACAGACTCCAACTGTGGCATAGTTAAAGACATCAGTTAAACATTAGTATCAAAGAAATGGATGGATTCAGTGTTTCTGGAAACATTCAAGACAAACTCATCAGAATTTCTGCTGGCCAAGAAGGAACTGTGATGAACAATGTAAAATACTATTTTTAGGGACTATTACAAAACCCTTCAGGTAAGATGTGCTGTCAAAAGAAGACACATTTTCTAATGAAGGGATAAAGAAAATCGTATTCAATGATAAAAAAAAGGCGAAAAAGACCAGCTCTGAGAAACTTCCAGTAGGAAAACAAACAAAAAATAGAAGTATATCCTTAAAACCTCATCTGAGGATGTCAACAAAATTCCTGTTATATATATTACAATTATCGCATCCAAAACAAGTTCCTTTACTAAAAATCGTAGTAACCAAGGTTGTATAGCGATTGACCACGTCATCATCGTCATCAAAATTTGTCACACCAATCTGGAGTTCACTAGGATTAGGCATCCAACTCGTAAATAGTGTGGATGCAGTACAAGGAACTTTCTGCAACGTTTTGGATGTAAAAAACGAGCAATTCAACATTAAAATGACAGAGATGATTAAGGTGTATGCATTTAACAACATGAACACCTTAACGGTCAGCTGAGTGCGTTGCCTTGTCGCCTAGCTAGAAAAAAGTCATTCACATGATTTGTAAAACGTCATAACGATGAATGAGAACATGCATTCAATGCCCAAGTGAATGCTTTAATAGGCTACACACCAAGGCATGGATACCATGACCCTGGGGGTACCTTGAAAATAGTACTATATCTCAACTTGAGATTTGTTACAAGTGGTTAGTATTATGTATTGACTAGAAATGAAAAGAAAGGGATGTATGCCCATCTTTTTCGTGTGCTGCAAAAAAAACTTACACGTAGACTAATCAATCTGGTGTTGACTATGCTAGCAGCTCAAGGTACACATACCCGCAGGATTATGTTTTCCTGGTCGCATTATAGGAACCTTACATAGTCTTTCACACTTTTGCATAAAGGACAGTAAATCCTTTCCACTGGAGAGTATACCTTAGCCCTCTCATTTCGTGTGCCTCAAGAGTCTCATTTCATACATCGAATAAGGCATCATACTTAGTAGTCTCCTTTAAAAATTCCAATGCCAATTTCAGCCTGACCATGGTTCCTGCCAGTCTGCCAATTCCTTTAAAGGGGTTGGCATCAGATATAACAGCATGTGATAGGTTCTGACTAATCTCTTGAGAGAAAGTTCATCCTAGGATCATGGACACGTCTACCTCCGCACATAATATGCATGTGGTGATAAATCTCCTTTTCATCCTGTTTGACAGACCAGAAAACCATACTATAGTAGCGGTCTTCTCACTAGTCAAATAAATATGACACAAAGGTTGTTGGCATCGAAAATTACATTGCTCATATTAAAAAGAAACTGAAATCCAATTAAAAAACATAAAATGCTCCATGGAATGTTGATGTCTGTAAACGTAAGTCAATAGGTAATTTGATAAACAAGATGAAATCACAGTGTGGCATAACAACGAAAAGTATCCAATTGGTACCGATAACAAGGTGACTCAAATGAAAATTAATCGCTACTAGATTATCTTATGGATATTCCAATCAGCTGAGAATTATTGAATCGTTTAATGTTTCATATTTTCTTGAGTATCGTTAGTAATCAGATTATATTCCTTACAAGCTCTTGTTTCATCCAAACAAGAGCTTCAGATATTTCCACAAGTTGGTTCTTGCTTTATACTATTTACCAGCTTCCGTCCAACCTTTCTCATAGTTGTCATCTCTCCACAAACTGTTTGAAGAGAAGGTTCCATTGAGTCAATTTTGACAATGTGGTCTAGGTTGATACTGTTTGAAGAGAAGGTTCCACTGAGTTAATTTTGACAATGTGCGCTAGGTTGATGTTAAACAACCTCTTGTTTCTTCCATTCGATCACTTATAAATACGGTGAAGCTAAAGTTATATGTGTATGTATATATATATATATTTAAAAATAAAATATTCATTTTGATATTTTTCACAATACATGCTCTGACTACAGATAAGGATCTGAACAAAAGTGATCGCAAAAATAAAAACCATGTCTTCTATCCATTGTTGCAGTACCAATTAAAAAAAATGTTCAAGAGGTTTTATGCAGAGTGAGCGAACGAGCGAGTGAGAGAGAGAGAGAGAGAGAGAGAGAGAGAGAGAGTATAAAAATCATATTAATTCAGGCGTTGAGTTGAAATCATTAAAACAGGCCCATGCGATTCCGTGTCTACAGTGACTCAAAAACAACAATGTACCACGTATGTACTTCAGAAATGGTTAACGTTATTTAATATGTGATATGAAGCATAACTTTTACTATATACCCATGCTGATCAAGATTATGCAACTACCTGTGTTTATAAGTAAAAAGCGAACCTCTACAAAGCAATGATTGCAATAAAGATGGAATATCAAAAATGTGACAATATTATTTTATAAGAACTGCACAATGGAAAAAATCATGACTTCTTTCGCGAGTTCACCTCGACAGTATCCATTTCGGTGGTGCAATAAAGCTCTCTTCGTAGATTATGTGGCTGTCTCCCAACTGCAGTCTCCTCAGGAATCATATACCAGCGAACCTTCGCCCAGTAGCTCCCATCTGGTTCTTTCCATAAACTAGACATTTAAATACCAGGAATTAGATGAATCAGTAAAAGAGCTCTCCAAGATTGTCCTAAAGAAAGGCCTATGAGGCATGGAGGCCAGTTGAACATCATGACAAAAAAAGTAACGGAGCAAATATTCACGTCCTTCCCCTTGGGTTGCTGAAAAACAATTAATAAAAGGATAATATATGGAAGAAAACGAAGTACTACATAGCGCAGGATTCCTGTCTGACAAGCAACATGTAAGCAACCAATTAGCAAATTAGTTGGCGAGTTTTCCACTCATCCTTAGCGGTCTGGAAATGTATTCAAACATTCAAAACAAATTATTGAGTCGATGGATTAATTGATGAATTTTCCACTAATTAATTCACTAACCAAACAATCAATGGATCCCCTCAAAATATACAAGCTTCATATAGGTAAACCAATGTGTTATTTGACCTGGTTATCTTCACACTTTTCAAGGTTTACGGTTCAAGTTTTGCATCGTTTCAATGCATTAACAGCGATCAGCCTCGGATCAAAAAAGCTGCGGAGATGTTGACTAAAGGCATGAAGTAGGGAAATTTTGAACTTTATCCCAAACTCACTCTTCTTCGCTTACCCTTCAATACGAGCTGCCCAAAGATCACTCGAAAGGAGCTTCTCCTTAAAAGTTCTCCGAATTCTCTTTCCTTCAGGCGGCTTCGGAGGTACAACAATTTTCCCCAGTTTCCGAGCTTCACAGAACGTGCAGATCCAATCGCCTTCCGGGACCTCTTTCAATGGAGGATTCAGGCACTTCAGATGGAACCCTCCCAGGCAATCGTCGCACTCGATCATTATGGATTTGCCCGAATTGAAGCATATACGGCAATCTTCTACCTCTGGATCGTCGGCATCGGACTCGGCATCCTCCCGCCTCCTCACATACACATCATCCCCGACCTCAAACTGTCCGTCATCATACACCACCTTTTTGTAATACACCCTTTTCTTCGTGGCTCTCGGTACATTATGCCTCTCTTCCGCCTTTCTCCTTCCCCCCCTCCTGGATTCCGGGGGATCGGGAGACCCAGGAGAGAATGCACAATTCCCTGGAGACGAATCGAACGCTCCGCCGATCGATCTTCTCGATTTCTTCGCGGACCGGGGCGTTCCACATCGATCGGATCCATCGGCCTCGGCATCCCGCTTCTGAGGAGTCTGCTGCTGTATACTACCGCCAGAAGCCAGACGGGGAGACCGTCGCGGCGTCAGGGGTTGCGGCGTCGCCGGCACGGGTGTTGAAGGCGATGGCTTCCCCCTCAGCGACTTCAGCTTGGATTTACAGGGGGTTTCCGCCATCAACCTCCCCCCGGCAGCGGGGGGTGCTAGGGTTCCGGGGTGAAGAAGGCTTCTGCAGTCAGCATGATTTCTAAGGCCAGAGTTTTTGGCGGGAAAAGATCCGATCCGCCTTGTGGGCCCCACCATCGGAATTGGCGGGAAATGGCTTCAACAACGGTTTGGGCTTTTCAAGTAGCCCAATATTTCTGAGAATCCGGTCCATAACGGTAGTCACTATACATTCCCGCAAAATACAGCATTTTTATGTTAAATTCAAATACATTAATTATTTTTTAATAAAAGATAAAGTAAAATTATATTAAAAAAGTAATATCGTACTCACAAAACAAGAAACTTGGAATATTATATTAACTATAAAGTAAAATTTTATATTAATATAAAATATTTACATACCCAGGACAAGGATAAGAGGAGCAAAGGAGACGACATTGCCATGAACTAGTGAGAGTTAGGTATGTGTCTCATGGGCATCTTTTTTCTTTGTAAAAGCTTAAATCTTTCATGATCTTGATCTCACATCATCAAATGTCTCAAAAAGTATTGACTCCTACTTTGTACACAATCGTATCATGAATAATGATTTTAGATCATACATCTTAACGAAACAAGGAGAACAAGGTAATGAAAACTCTATTTGTTGATCAAAGGGTAGGATTAGACTTCTCCCTTCATCTAACTCTATATAAAAATACCTAGTTGATGAAATTAAGAAGAAAAGGCGCAACTTTTTCCAAAGACTTTTAAACTATTCAATATAAATGGAGCATGAAGATAGATGTGCGGAATGTAGGTGCATTCCATACATGTAACATAATGTAATATGTTGATCTACTAATTATCAAATATATGGAATCCCATTAGAGAGTGAATGATTCATGGTAAAAAAATATTGAACCTTCAAGGACTCCTTTGTCCAAAACTCAAGTTCGTTTCTAAGATTAAAAATTATTTAGTTGACATTAAATGCATCATATTAATATGCATGAGATCCTCCTCAAATTATTCCTTAATTTTTGTTGTGATCTTGCTAAATTCATCCTCTAATGCTTGCACATAACCTCTTAACATAAAGTCCCTTGTAGAATTGAAATAAATAAGTCGGAATTATATTCCATTAAATAATGTAAATTATTATTTTAAAAATAATTTATGTAAATAGAAATAAAATGTAGTCTACTATTGCTTTAAGAAACTTGTGTGGTGCTTACAATTACTACTTGTGAGGTTTTCATAAGCCATGGCCTAGAAGCATGTAGGCTCTTTTCGTTGCCAAGTAACTGATTTCTCCATCATATACCAAAAACTTTCCATCTCTCAATCTTAGTTGAGATTGATGTAATACCCCTCACATTAAGGAAGTAGGTGTAGAACCTTCTTAGATTAAAATCCCAAGTTAATGATAGAACTATAATTATATATGTAATTAACTAATGAAATCCATGGAATATCCAAATATGCTAGACTAATCATAACATCAACAATCTCAACATTAGGTATACACAATTCAGAACTATAGAATATTGGTCCTCATAAAATGTCTAAACCAAAAACTAAGATGTAAATTGAACTTTTCTCTAAGAATTGATTTCCACATCTAGGATGAACTTTGATTGCTTCTCAAAATAGGATGTTATCTTGAGATCAATCTTTATGCTTCTAAAGTCTTACTTCAACAACTCTTTTTCACTATCTTTGTCTCTTCCTCTCCCTCTTTCTCTCTCTCTCTCTCTCTCTCTCTCTCTCTCTCTAACCACACTTGTTCATCTGCTGATGACGTCTCTTTGGGTTAAAGAAGAACGTGAGGATAGTTATCTTTGCACCTCACCACAAGAGACCTCAAGCTCTGCTTTGTGAAACCCTTATGGAAAGCCACAGACAAGAAGTTAATGTTGACACTCTCCCACAAAGTCGTCATGACAACATCATTGTGAACATCAGCCATTGTCAACCAAGTGGGCAGGGGCTTTTCTAAATAGTTTTTTTATGATGAGTCATATCCACATTTTGATCACATAACCTAGGGACTTAAGTTTATACATGATGATTAATGTTTACAATGTCAGTAAATGTTAGTGGCTTCCATTACGAGCCAACATCCCATAGGAAAGTACTGTTGTCTAACATGCAATGACAAAGGGAAGGCAAGGATGATGTCATTCTTTTTTCTTCTATCTTTTCTACATAGAAAGGCTCCATTAACCCCATGGCCTCTCTCCCTACACAGGACAACTCTGGGAGTGGCTTTGGCGCTGTCGCTAGAAGGCCCACACTCTGGGATGTTGGGGAAGATGAACATCCTCATTGTCCTTCTTGTATAATGCAAGAATGATCCAGACACACTAGAGAGAGGCAAAGGAGAGAGATTGGTAAAAATAGAAAACACACTGGTTCAGAGAAACCTCCATCTATGGTCACACAAAGTTTTTTTTCCTTCAGTGGAATTCATATAGCTATCTCTGGCAACACGGTGTTCACAGAGCTCACTCCACCAAATTAGACACTTACATGGCACGCCAATGTGGTCTATTTTGAAGAAGCCTTCCTCCCTTGGGACACAGACTAATTAATGTGGTCGGCTATTAGTAATTAGTTATCATTCTCAGTAGTAACACACACTATCTTATGCAATTTGGAAGTTACTATTTTTACTTTTTTCCTTTTTAGTAAGATTTACTTAATACTTTGTTATGAAATGGGCCTACATATTAGCGAGCCGAGGAGAGGAAAGTTAGCTATAAGTAGAGAATACTAATTTTTAGATATTTAAAAGTATTTCTGAACAAATATATCAATTATAATTTAATAAAAGTTTCAAAAATAGTTGAAAATTTTCAATTCGATCACACAGATATAATATAATATCAGATAATATTTTATAATTGTTCTCAAAGACTATGACTTTTTATAAATTTTAGACTAAGAAATGATAAAACAATTATTTAAAATTTACGAAAAAAGAAAATAAGGGTGCAGGTGTCAGGATCACATTAGTGATCGATGAACACGAATTAAGCGAAAAAAGAGTTTCACCTGATGATTCTTATGTAAGTGATTATAAATAATTCAGTTGGTCAAATTAAGATCTATAAAAGTCCGAAGAATCATAATTAAATGAAAAATAGTTTGAAAATTTTAACTTAGACAAATTATCACTAAATGAAGTAAAAATTAAGTTGAAAATAGAAAAGATAAAGTTTCGGCCTCGCAACATCAATCTTCAGAATTCTATGTGTTTGAAATGGTCATTAAATGATCTCTATGGCCTCAAAGGCTCTCTTTGGATATGGACAACTTAAACATTTAATGTATTTCCTTTCAAAGTTCAAGAAATAATTGTGGAAGTTAAACTAGTTAAAAAAATAGTAAAATAGAGTTCTAAAGTCACAACGACAATGTGTCGATGATGTGTCAGAATCTTGAGTATTCATGAAGATTGTCATACAACACCTATGACCTCAAAGGCTCTCCTTGGACAAATGCGATGTAAGTAATCTCTATATCTTCTTATGAAGTCTAAAGATCAATGAAATGAGTCGTCAAATCGTCTCCAATAGTTGTCACCTGACGAAGTAAAAAAATGACAACTTTATAAATCCCTAACGACTATCACTAGATAGAGATGATTTGGATGGAGATGGAAGACATGTTAGGGAGCTTCTTCCTCAAGTACGTACAACAAAATGAAACTTTTCATTGCATTTGGTATGCTCTCAAAAAGTAGTGACTCGGCTCTTAGAAGATTATTTTCTTCCCAATGACAACTTATTCGTTGATCAATCAGAGATGATTTACTCGATAGATTTGTAATCCTTTTATCACAAATCATTTATTAATTCTAATAACGATGCTCCACGAATCACGTCGACGAGATTTTTGATGATGATTGAGAGATTATGGTGGCTTAATCTTTCACTAGTGATCTATAAGAAAATCACGATTTAATTAGATAAAAAATATAAGTTTTAGTTTTGGTAGGATTTGAACCCTCGCCGATCACCTACTTGTATGAAAGAGAGTGAAATAAGTACACAAATATCCTAATAAAGCAACATCATCAAGGTACTTCCTTTTGATAAATAAAAGATATTTGAGATACAAAAATCATAAAATCATTCAGAGAAGGTGCGACTAGGGTTTAATCCCACATCGATTATATGTTGAATTATGAGAATCAATGAGTCCCTTTCTCACGTGTGTACAACCACTTCTTGCCCCACGCTCGATTGACCACCGATGATGTGGAAGGGGAGTGACGCACACATGCCCCCCTATCAGTTTATCCTTAACTGCTCGAACCTCTACTCACAACTCTACCCAAGCCACTACTCAGGACTCTACCTGACATTGCTTTCAACCCACTTCCTGGCCTGGTTGGCTGGCAGGTCCTCCCCTTTTTTTATCTTTTTTATTTTATTTTATTTTTCTTCATTTATCTCAAAAATAAGATTATAAAAATTATATAAAATCATATAAAATCACATAATTAGTCAAAAAATCATATTAACCAACTAAAAACTACTTTTCACAATTTAACACATAAGTTTATTTATCATGAATTAAGACTAAAACAATATTATTTATTAATTATTAACTCATTATAATGAAAACTTATCAATAAGGTTGTGAGAGAATAATAGATTTGACAAATACATGTAATACTTATAGATGTATTTTAGCCCAAAAGGTGTTCATGTCTTTGTAAATAAAAACTTGAGTGATGTTCATCATTGATCTTATTAAAATTAAAGATGTATTATTTAGGATAATAGTCAAATGAGAAAGATAATTTCTTTTGAAACTAAAAGTAGCCACATGAGGAGTGAATCAATATAAAAGTTTTGTTAAGGTGAGAGGTGCTAAGAAATCATACCATTGCAAATAATCTTTTATGCATGCTATAACACATGCATCTCATTTGTTGATACACAAATCACTTGTATCAACACATAACTTGACTTCTAAAAGAAATTATTTTTAAAAAATCAAAATTTCTAGAAACCTTAATTTACTCTCCCTCCTCTTGGTGCTTAAACTAGTCATACAAATAGAATATATATATATATATATTTCATTTTATTTACCTTGAGCCTCTTCATAGCTATTTGATTATACAATCATAAGAACAAAAATATATGATTTATATTTCATTTATTAATCAAGGTTTGAGATATGGTAGTTGTTAGGACTACCTAAATTTCTTGGATACTTTCTCTAAGAAGAACATGATAGAGTGGCTTCAGTATGACAACTTGATCCACTTGTATTGACTATTATTCCTTTTAATTTTTTTCAGTTTTTTCTACACATTTATAGGTAACTGACGTGGAATGGAGTATTTATAATGGAAATGTGGATATACGGCTGTCATGGGCCCGACAGCTGTTCTGGAGACATTTGGATGGACTCGTCCAGTCAATCAATGCACCAGAACCTTCTTCTTCTTTCCTCGCTTTGCGGCGACTGATAAATATGCGGACGCGGGTAGCGGCAGATATGTACGCGAGACGACGCCCCTCTCCCTGTACAGAGCTAACCCAGGCGAGAAGGCGGCTGTGCCGCCGCCTCCGCTGCCTGAGGGCCCTCACTCAGGCTACCTGGTGATCCAAGACGAGGAGTACGAGGCCCAGTCTACCTGCTGCTGGGGACTGTGCCGCAATCCGTACCTCGTGGAGCTTCCCTTCCCTCAGAACCGGCTACTCATCGTTGAGTACTCCCACATCGTCGGCGAGGGCAGGCATATTGACACCGACCACGTCTTCTTCGTCCCCGTTCCAGGCCACCCAATCTCGGCCAACCGATACTACGTTGTCCTCGCGGGGGGAAATCACGCCGGGTAAGCCTCTAACAAGCAAATCTGTCCACTCCCGGCAGATCCGTGTGTTTTTCGATTACCGCGTGATCTTGATCTCCGTGCCCATCTACCCTCAAGGTAGCTAGATCCCCTCTCTTTGATCAAGAGCGGGAAAGAGAAAGGTTCCTCAACGAAGGGGGAGAAATCCCGACTAAACCATAGGTCGTTGCTCTCTTATTCGACAGGGAGATATGCGCCTGCTCGCGAGAGCAAGACAGAACCACCTTCTGCTGCTGCTTCTGCGTCCATGACGTCAAGCCCAGGCCTTTCCGCGAGGGCGACGTCTACCAGGAAGTCGAGGTGATTCCCCACCGCCGGAAGGGAGAATTCCACGCCAGGGCCATCGCACCCGACGGGATCCCCCCCTTGTTCCTGAGGCAGCAGTGTTGGACCCTGCGCAGGTCCCTTCCGCGCGATTCCAGGGTTGACATCGGGTCCGCCTCCGGCGTTGACCGGGCTCTCCGAGAGAAGAGGCCGGACGTTAGCTTCCCGATCGCCGGCCCGTCGTCCGCCGCCGTCCTCGTCGGAAAATGGTACAGTCCCTTCTTCTTCACGAAGGAGGAATCCCGGCACAAGGACCAGATGAAGAGGTCCGTCTACTACGAGGTGACCCTCGAGCAGTTCTGGGAGCCCATCCTCACCAGGGAGAATCCTTCAGGAGCAGGCGGGAGCCGACGAGTGGAGGTGAAAGCTACAGTCCAGACCGAGTCGGCGTTCCTGAGCAACGGGGAGCCCGTCGGGGAAGAGCTCTCACAGCCCGACGGATTCGTCTTGTTTCGGCCGGCCGAGTCCGGATCGGGGGCGGTGGCACTGAGTTCTACCTTGATGGAGAGGATGAAATGGGAGCTGGCCAGAGGGAGCTGGGTACCCGGGAAAGACGGGGTGGAAGTGGTGGACAGGGAAGAGGAGTATCAAGACGGCGGCGAGTGGGCGGCGTTTGGGTGCTACCTCCTGGTGGAGAGGTTCTCGTTGAGGAGGCTGGACGGCAGCCTGGTGTTAGCACGCGATTTCAGGCACACCGACAAGATCATCACCAAGTGGGAGTGAGTGAGATCAATGGCAAAACAACGATAAAAATCCTATCTTGCTCATTAGATTTTCAGCTTCTTCGGCATCTCACGTGTTCCCTCGCTCGTGGGAAATATATGGTACTTAAGGTATTAGAGGGATAGAGACTAAACGATGCGAAAATGGTTTTTCCTTTGCTCTTCTGTCTAATATGGTATTAAAGTGGGGTTAGGGTTTCCGTCGTTGTCTCTAATCTCCCCTTCTCTCCAAGCAATCTCCGGCTTTGTCCCAAGCTCGCCTATCCTCCGGTCCTGAAGACACAAAACATATTAGAGGAGGATAATGAGAAAAGTTCTCGACCTATATCTTGTATTTCTATCATCTCGTCACAGCCTCATCCATTGGAGGAACTTCAACTACTCCGATCTCTAAATCAGCAACCAAGGTAATTGGCAATCCGACGGTAGGGGGCGAATTCTTCACGGAAGGAATGGGAGGTCAAAGCCTTCCAATGAGTATTATTGATATTGTCAAAAGTCTCCTTCTAACTATAAATAACCAAAGCTCTAGCAAAGTATGGAGCATCCTAGATTACTATCAACGTTGATCTGTATTCAATAGTTAATTAAAATTTAACTATCATTTTCTATACATTTATTGAAGACTTTAATCATCTTTCCAATTTCATCTCAATATGTAAATTCTTTAATTTCATCCGTAAGAAAATCCAGTACGAAGATCTAATGAGTCCTTATTTTCTACATCATTTTGATAGTCATGACTTAATTAACATATCACAGAAACTTACATGAGATAACTATGGTTTATGGGTCAAGTCATGGTGATTATTTTATCTATAGAAAACAAAAGTGAGTTTATTAATGGTTCAATATGCAAATCCATCGAGACAAATCTCATCCTTATTTCATCCTGAAGTTGAAGTAATAATATGGTCATTTCTAGATTGTGAATTAGTTTCTCAAAAAAAATTAACCAAGTATTTTATTTTGTATTTTGTACAAGAAATTGGGAGGACCTGGGATATAGACAGCAAAGTAATGGCCCTATGCTCTTTCAAATAGGTCATGAACTATTTAATGATTGAAAATATCAAGCGTATGTTGTAACATATTTCACTAAGCAAAAAGTTATTATGAAGGAATTGAATAGTTTTCGGCCTTTATATTCTCATGGAAAATGTTCATATAAAGGTGTAAAAGAAATTGACCATTTATTTTAGATGAAGTACATGGTGTCATTTTTTATGGACTTAAAATGATTCTTCTGCCCAAATTCGAGCCCAATTATTACTTTTTGAGCCCATTACATCAATGAACAACATTTTTCTTACTTGTTTCTCAAGCATATTATCAAAGAATGATCAACATTAAATCATCTCCTTGTATTGTTTTATCCAGCATTGTGTAAATAAAACACCACCATTATTGTACTCATTCTAACTTTTATAGAATCATTTAAAAAATGTTGTAATGTTCATATTATATACTAAGTTAAAACGGATGCCAAATTTTTGTCTCATATGTGTTAATCAAGCTTCTCTCAAGTTGGGTCTACATAAATGATTGAGTATGGTGGTGATAGTATTGAAAAAAAATTAAGAGATCTCAATGCAAATCAATATCAATATCACCCACTGATGACAATGTTTTTTGCACATTTGGTTGCAGCTCCAATGATTGTTCACAAAAAAGATATATCATCATCTTCTTACATGACAAGTGCATGCCTCGTAATTGCTTTGAACCTATCTTTTTATTTGGAAAATTTTGGATATTAAATGCAACTATTAACTTACTCAACAACACTCATATCTCAGTTAGTTTAGTTATTCATGTGATGTTGGACTCAGTCAATTTCTAGAGATGCCATCTTTATTCTTTAAATTATTCAGTTTTCATAACATCTAATGGGCAACTTGAGCATCCTTTTTTTTAATCACTTTGTAAGTTATAGTTCACATTGCAACATAATGATTAGAAAGGGAAACATAGCCAAAAACTTTTATGTTATGAATGTACACAATGTTCTTCCTCATTCCTTGCAACAATTCCCCTTCACACCTAATGGCAATCAAAAAGCTACAACATGTGCCAACGATGTCTCTATCTGGACATGATACAATAGGCCAGGTCATTTGTATTTCAAAATCCTAATAGCACTAAAAATGCAATTATCTATTTATTTGTCAACATGTAATGAAACCATTCCTTGATATTTATGTCTTTTAGTAAAAACAATAAAGATTACCTTTTTTGTCACAATAAAAAAAATTCATATCCTTTTGATACCATGCATTCTGATATATGAGGATCATATTATATTTTTGTCAACAAGGTCATTGATATTTTTTTACTATTGTTAATGACTCAGCTTGATTTGCATGATTTTTTTTCTATGGAGAATAAGTTAATTAAAAAACTCTTGTTCTAAAAAAAATTAATAATTCACACTCAGTTTGGCTATAAGATCAAATAGTTTAAATCTAATAATCCTAAGAAACTTGACTATAATTATTTCTTTAGTGAACATCACATTTTACATCAAATTTTTTTGCATATACAAACTTCAATAAATTTCAAATTGGAATGTAAAGATTAATATTTATTGAATATTACTCTAAATTTATTTTTTTCATCATTCATTGTAATATAGTTTTTGATGGATTGTTTACTTACAACCACATTTCTTATCAAGAGATATTATGTCCACTCTTCTCAATAAGATCAGTCTATATGAACTATTATATTCAAAAGATATTTAGCCTTTACTTCCACACTACCACAAATTGATCTAAATTTCATCATTATGTCAAATTGTACATTTTCATTGAATATATACTCTTATTATGAAAAATTATTAACTCTATGATATTCAGAGTAAACAAATTTTTGTCTTGCATGATGTCATTTTTTATGAAGTTGTGTTTTCTCATCATTCATTTATAGTTACCAACACTTTCTTAAATCTCTTCCCAAATCTAACTCCTCCCTATTGTCGCAACCAACAGTTCCTCTAAACCACAAACTTATTCCTCAAACACCTCATCATCAAAAATTACTTCCAATTAATTAACTTCGTTGCTAAATTTTTCAATAAGTGAATCTACCCTTATTAATGAACCCCCATCATATCTGAAATAATTTTATTATAATATTTTAACATATATCCAACTTAATAAAATAAAAATGCAATATACTTTTGGTGATTTTTTTATCATACATCCCTTTATCTTTATCCTATAAACATTTGTTATGTGTGATTCTTCTAACTATGAACTTTAATTTATCATCAAAATAGTTACTTTTCCTCAATGACGAGAGACAATGAAGGTTGAGTTAGTTGCTATAAAGTCAAATAACATGGGCAATTGTTTATTTCTTAACATAGAAATACTTTATTTGATGTCACTAGATTTGAAAGAAAGAATATCATTTTGAAAAGTTTATTAAATACAACAAAGTTTAATTAGTTGCCAAAGGATATAAAAATAATAATTAATTGATTATCTCAAAATATTTTCTCTAATTGGAAAATCTATAACTATTAAATCATGTTATCATTTACAATCATAAACAAGTGACATCTTGTTCAATTAGATGTTAAAAATATTTTTCTCAACTGAGATTTATTAGAAGTTTACATTGACTTACTTTTGAGATATCATTATAGTAAGAGCTTCATGATCATCAAGGTAAACTTGTTTGTAAACTACATAAGTCAATTATTAGACTTAGACTTAGTCATACATTTAGACAACAATATTTCCAAATTATCCAATCTGCTTATTCAATTAGATTCAGTTAGTCTAAATATGATTATTACTTTTTCACAAAGGCCTTTGGCTCTTCATTTTTTTCTCTATTTGTTAATATTCTTCAATTTTTCTTACATACTCTGCTTAAATCCAAAGATTTTGACACTTTGAAATATTTTACGGATTTCAACATGGAACATTTTCCAGCATTCATTATTTTATCTCAATGCTGTTATATTTTACTATTACTTGAGGATGTTGGGTTTCTAAGTTCTAAAATTATAATTGCTTTATACTCGACTACAACTCAATGTCATAATTAGAGAACTACTTGAAGATACATCACGGTATAATAATTTCATTGGTGGGCTACTATAGTTGACATTTTCACAGCTTGACTTAATTTGTGTGGCACAAAGATGAAGTTATTTATGACTCAATCTTCACATTGGCATTGCTATATGTAGATGCATCACAATATAGAAGATTGATTGATAAGCTATCTTATTTGACCTTGCCACATCTCAATATTACTTCAATATTACATAAATTGAACTAATTTATGGGTCAACTTAGAAATCCTCATTTGATAGTAGTACATCATATACTTCACTATCTAAAGTCACCTCATGTCCAAGGGTTATTGTTCCTTACTCCATCTTATTTGTAAATTCAGGTCTTCTTAGACACAAATTGAGCTACATGTTCTAATTGTCACAAATTATTGATTAGGTTTACTATTCTCTTAAAAAAAAATGGTAATCAACAACATTGATGTCATATGTCAAATCCAAATATCACACATTCGTTACTACTACTATAGAAATTATCTAGTTACAACAATTAATGTCAAACTTTTGCACCAAGCCACATCTTGTAACATTTTTATTTTGTGTGAGCCAAGTTGTTCATATTAATTTCAATCCTATTGAGATCAAATATCATTTTATTTGAGACGACTTGTTGAATGATTTAAATCAAACTTCTTCATATTTGATCTTATCACTAGTTAGTTGATATCTTCACTAACTGCTCCCAATCGGTCAATTATTTCCTCTATTATCAAAGAGAAGTGCCAAACATATTTAAAGTTCATCCTCAAAGAGAGTTTTGAAACCTCACACATGTCCCCTCACACATGTAAAATACACATTACTTAATGTAATAGAGGGATAGAAACTAAATGATGTGAGAGCAATTTTCCCATTCTCCTTCCACATAACACAACTTTTTTATTTTACAATCATAAGTCTTCCATTTAATTAGAAAAAAGGCATCTAGAAATGTTCTCATTCTAGAAATCATATTCCTGCATTAGTTGTACCCCTTTTTCTTTAACCACATGTTCAATGACTATTGATTCTATGATGAGCATAGTTTTTATGCTCATCTTCATGGGTTTGCTATTATCAACATCTTAAAATAAATTTTATCATAAGCATAACATAAAATAGGGTGAGAGGAATTCAAGAGCAATGATTTGGTATCACATTAGAATATACCCACCTTGTAGTGGTTCATCTCTATAATCATATCTTGAATGCTAATAGTTGCACTTGTGGTTGACTTTACCATTTTGTGTTTTAACATTGACTTCATGGCACCATATGAATTTTGCATTCCCTTAATGGCATGCATCAGATTGAGAACTCATTTTTTTAGCTGGCCTTGAAATTGCTTGCTTTTTTCATATTTTTTTATGCTTCATCCACTTAAATGCGTGTTTAGATAACATCAAACGTTAATTAACAAGCACCTATGCACATTAAAAATAATTATTCGAGAAAGATACCCCTCCAAAACGTATTAGTCAATACTACCTCTTTCCACAATCTCCAACCACATTACCAACTTACCTAACATGCCAATGTGTTCTATTCTAAAAAAGCCTTGCTCCCTTGTAAAACTCAGACTAATTAATGTGGTCAACTATCATTAATTACTTTACATTATTAGTAGTAATCAAGACTACCATATGTGGCTTAGAGGTTGCTATTTTTATTTTATTTTTTCTCTATTTTAGCAAGATTCTTTCAAGACTTGGTATGAAATGAGCCTACATTTTAAGGAGTCTAAGAGGGGAAACAAAAATTAGGTGGCTTCATTGACGATTAATGGGTACCAAGAGATAAATCCTTTTAAGATTAGGAATGAATAATATTGGCTTTAACCACTGCATGTCGCAATGCAGCAGCACGACAAGTGCAATGACAAAGAAGCGAGGTTCTGAAGGTAGTTTTGTGAACCTCAGAGCATCTCTCTCTCTCTCTCTCTCTCTCTCTCTCTCTTCCCCCCCCCACCCCTTGAATGATCTCAGGATCAAACAGTAGAGAGAACTGATCCTCCCTTCCATTTGGAGAACTAGTAATAACATCTAGACAAGGAGTCATCAGCTGTACAGGATGCAGTCAGCTAGACAGAAGGGAAGAACGGGGTAATAGCCCAGCCTAGAGGATCAGATAATGCCGCATATATTTAAAGAGGAAAAAGGAGGGGGGAGAGAGAGAGAGAGAGAGAGAAGAGAGAGCTTGTTCCACAGACGAGTAGACCGTCCCCCTCACCTTTCTCATCTGCCAAGGTCCCTCTGAGCGGCCTCCATCTTCCAGAGGAGCTCCCTGACATCGGCCTCCATCCTCGTCTTCATGTTCAAGAAGTCCTGGTGGGCTCGCTCAAGGGACTGGAGATCCTGGAGCTTCTGCCTCCGCCTCTCCTCCGCCTCGGCCAGGCGAAGCCTCACCAGGCGGCCAGAGAATTCCTCCTCAATCTTCCCGATCTTGGCAGCGGCGATGCGCTTCAAGCCCTCGGCTTCTCTCCGTGCATCGTCAGCACGCGCTTGGTACATCTCTGCCTCCGCTTGCTTGAACCTCACCACACCATCGAGCTCGTCTGCGGCGGGATGCTTCCCAAGGCTGGCCGCCGAGGGCTGGCTGCCGGCCCGATCATTGCCCAAGCTCCGGACAGCACCACCGCCGGAATTTCTTTCCGACAGGGACGGTGATCTCACTGCAGGCAGTGGCAGGGCCTCCCTGCTTGACGCAACCGAACCGTCAGGCAACTCGGTCTTCCTCCCCAGTGACTCCTGTTGAGGAAATGTGAGAGGAACACTGCCGCCGCCGCCACCGCCGCCACCGCCGCCGATGCCACTGGTGGATTCAGTCTCTGGATTGACAAAAGAGGAAAGATCAAGCTAACACGCTACCATAACTTTCTTCTAGAAATAAAAAAGTTGGCGAGTAGCCCAACTGGACCATGAACGCCTAAAAATCTCGAAAAAAACTGTAGATCATACTCTTTTTTCTATTTTTGGAACACTCTGCATATATATATATGCGCCCTTCCTCCCCCCTTCCGGTCTCTCTCTACTCTACTTTCTATTTCTTTACTGCCCACAAATCAGACCGAAAAGCAGATTCTTCTCTGGTGTGGAAAAGCAGAGATGCACTGTGAGCGAAGATATCCTTGAGGAAGCTAAAGCTTCCTCGACTTTTAGAGACCAAGATGAATCAAAAATGAAAAACAAGAGCATGTGGGGGCCAAAAAAAAGGCAAAACCCGAGATCTTTCAAGATAAATGCCAGTTAAGAATCAAGTCAACGCTAGCTAAGACTACTTCCGATCTCTTTCCATATATTCAAAAAGATGGGGTAATAATAAAAGACAAAATCAAGATGGGGTCAAAGGGACTATCCAGGAAAAAAATAAATAAATAAATAAATAAATAAAAAACAAGCGTGACTACTACGCCAGTATTCTGCACAGTAGAAGCAAGAAAACTTACCATACAGAAAGGCCAGAACGTGGTGAACAACCTCCCCGCAATCAGCTTTCTTCTCCAGTTTGATCAACTGCTGGTCAGCTATGGCGTGCAACCTCACGCCCCTGGGATCCTCGCTGGACGAGAAGATCTTCCGGATGTACTCGAGCTCCTTGGCTAAGACCTCCGGTTCCCAGGCCTTTGCAAAGTTCTTAAACACCTCCTTCACGAAGCCAAACATCTCTGAGGGATGACCACAGGCCACGCAGAGGAACTGCATCTCCCTCCCCCCCTGCCCCCCTTCTGCTGCACTGCGACCATTCCTGATATAGGAATGGCGGAGGGCGCAGTCAGTGTGGCACCAGTGGAGGCAGACGTCGCAGCCGACCCAGCTGCAGGTGTTGGAAGCCAAGTCAAACTCGCCACAAACGAGACACATGCAGGCGCTGCAGAAGCCATTTCTCTGAGAGCAGACCTTGCAGTCGCAGTCATCCACCGGTAGGAGGCTCCTGCACGCCATGTTTCTGCATCTCATATTCAGGAATATCTCGGCTAGGTCAGAGGGAGGGATGCTCTTTCCTCTTCGGACAAAGCCAGGAAGCCCGGTCTTGAGAGACACTAGAATCTCCAGCAGGGTGGGGTTGACCTTGGACAGGGATTCCAACGAGAGGTCTGACCTTTTCCGTAGAGTCTCCAGCAGGGGAGATATATGGGAGTGATTCTCCTGGTTTGTGACCATCGCAGCGATGCTCTCCTTCAGGTAGGCAATGGACTGCTCGGTCATTTCCTGGAGCATCCGGCCAACCACTTCTGCAGGCTCCGAAACAATCTTGGAGAGAACCCTATCGATGACCCCAGAGCCATTAGGGATGATCCGTTCTGCCTCCTGCTGCTTGCTCCTAATCAAGTTGCCACTGCTTCTCTCTCTTTTGATCTCCTTCTTAATACTGCAGGAATTGTAATCATCAGGCTTGATGTCCTGTCGCCCATTTGCAAGAAGAGATGTATGATGACGAGCAGATTTCTCATTCGCCTCAGATCTTTGGTACAATGGAACGGCAAACCCCTTGGGCCTGGATTCATTTGAAGGGTTTCCCTGCCATATGCCACCATTGGAGAGCTGGTCGACGGGCTTAAATAAAGGATGGCTGCCCACAGAGTTCTCAAAGTTCTCCTTGGAGTTCTGAGTGAGAGAGCAGCTAGGATTGTGGAAAATTCCCTGGGAACCTGAAAAGGAGGATTGTGAAGCAGTAAATCCATCTGAGTTTGCAGGAAGTGAGGATGGTAGAGACCGGGTGGCAGGAGGATGAACAGGGGAGGAACCCCTAGGGTTTTGACCCTGAGAATTGCGAGGAGAACGGGGTCCTGGTTGAGGATCACGGAAAGAATGTCCTGATGAAGCCCCAGGGAGACCCAGAGAGAGGTCCAGCTGTTCCAGATCAGGGTCTGACTCTCTTCTTTTGCCGATAACAACTCCACTGTTTCCCTTCTCCAGTCTTGAGGTATTAGTAGGGGAAAACAAGTCAAACCCTCTGCTGCTAGGCCCTTCCATTGCATCATCTTTATCCACATAGTTTTCATCATTGGAGGTTGAAATGGCCAACCCTTTACCTTTGTCCAGATCACTCTTTTCGACCATGAACTTCAAAGTTTTTCCTGCACTGTTGTTTCCTTCCACAGCTACACTGATAGCATCAAATAACCCCAATGGAGCTTCCGCAGCAACTTCAGGTGAAACCCCCTTGACCTCTTCTCGTCTGACCTCTGAATCTATCCATCTGTCTTCCTTCTGTTCTGTCTCTGACTCTAAGACGACATCTATACACCTTTCTGCCTCCTCTTTCTCGTCTAATTTCTTTTCAGGAGGAGCATCCTCCTCTTCTGCATTATTTCTCATCTTCTCCTTCTTCTCTGATTTTCCATGAGGAGGAGAAACATCCTTCTCCTCTGTACACATATCTGGTTTGTCTTTCTTCTCCAATTTTTCTTCGGGAGGAGGAACACCCTTCTCTTCACAACACATCTCTGTCGTTCCTGCTTCCTCTAATGTTTCTTCAGGAGGAGGAACGTCCTTCTCTTCTCCACAACTCTCTGCTAGTTTTGTCTTCTCTAATTCTTCTTCAGGAAGAGATAAACCCCCCTGTTTTTCCTCAGAAGATGGATCCTCTATTGAACCCTCTTCTTCCCCTTCAAGTGGAATTGAACCCCTGTCTTCTGACTCAGCTGGAACCAGTTTCTCCATTTCCAGTGCGCTTTGAGATGTCCCACCTTTTCCCAATTCTTTTTCATTTGGTTCATCATTCTTTCCATCTGGTTGACCTACTGGAGCATTCCCATGAGCAGGCAATCCATCAGTTCCATTGAATGAGTCCAATCCTGCGCCCAGGTCGTCGTCCTTCATCTGAGTAACATCCTCTTCTAGGCAATCCATTGCATTCACATCACCTGAGGATTTTCTTTCAAGTTCACGACGAACCTTTGACCCAGACTCGGTCTTCCTGGTATCCGCCGAGGTGGAAATTTGTCCGGCATCCTGTAAGGTCTCAGGCAGTGGGGGCTCTACATCGGGTTCCAGTTCTCCCTCTTCCCTTTCGCTGCTGTTGCTGGCTTCCTTCCTGGCCTCCCGAGGCTTCCTGCTACCTTGTACACTCTTCAGCTGCTCTCCACTAGAGGAACTCTTCGAATTCGTCTTCCCTGTGTCCTCTGACGCCATGCGATGTCCCCTGCCCGACGCCGTACCAGCAGACGTAGCCACAGATTTGCCATCATCACTGGAAGCATCCTTCCCGCAGCTTGATCTCCGCCAGGGGGAGTTGGTGCTCTCCTCCCTCCTAGGTTTATCCCTCTCCGATCGGAAACCCTTGGGGTAGTCCCTCCTCGACGAGTTGGAGAAGCTATCAGCCCGGTGGATACGATCGCCGAAATACGAGACGCGGGGCGAGGAGGACTGCACCGATCGATCCCCGCCATCTCTGTACCGATCGCCATCGCCGCCCGCTTTGCGCCGATCGAACGCCTCCGGCTCGTAGTCGAAACGCTTCCTCGACGACGACGACGACCTCAGCGGTGGCTCCCTGTCGATCTCTGGCGTCCGGTCGCAGGACGAGGAAGAGGAACCCTTGCGGCCGACACCACCGAACTCAATCTTCGGGTAGAAACGGCGGCGGGGGGACGGGCGGTCTCCGTCCTGATCCCGCCTCCCCCAATCCCTCGACACCCCCTTCTCCCCCCCGCCGTCCTCGTCCATCCCATCCCCATACGATCTCGGCCGCTTCATCGAGCTCCCAAACAAGGCAAAATCCCTCTCCACCAACCAACCCCCTCCACAGCAAGATCACCCCCCCGCCGGCGCAACCCTACCCCTCCCGGATCCGCGGGCGGAGGCCAAGAACCTGCGATCCAGCAACACACGGAAGAACAACAAGGACGAAACCAGAGATACCTCCCATCCAGGCGCCAGCGGCGGCCGCGCCGCCTCCTCCCTCCGGCGATGAGGTCAAGAGCACCGACGAGGGATCTCCCGAGCGAGAACGACGACGCCGACGGGGAAGACCGAGCGTGAGCGGGGGAGTCTCACATTCCCCCAGATGATGATGACATTGTGAGCCGGGGAGGGCTCAGATTTCCTCTCTCTTCCCTCTGCCCCACGAGTCAACCAACCTATTAATGGTCCAATCAAATAAATCCGCCGCATTTTTTATGTCTTTAAATATTTATTTATTTAATATATATTCAACCGAATATCTACTTTTAATTGTGATGATTAAATTAGCATCGGGTATTTATTTTAAAAACATTTTTTCGCTGTGGGGTTGGGGGCCGCCGCCGGTCCTTTCTCACTCCGCTGACGAAAAGACCAAGAGGGAGCGACTTTTTTAATAAAAAACCATGTTTATAAAACATATCCCAGAAAATAATCGCGTCCGCATATTCCGAGGTTAGTTTATGTTGACTTCGCCTATGCTCATATATGTCTGGAATTGCCGATAAGCCCCTTTGTTTTTCCAGGTGTGCTTCTGTGTCCTACCAGAACCACTAGTTGGGCATAAAGATTACGATTCTGTCATTATAAATAATACTAAATTATAATCCCACTCGGAACTCTCTCTTCTCTCTCTCTCTCGCTTCGTCTTCGGAAGACTAATCACACTAGTCAGTATAGGCGTCCCCCTCCCTCCCTCTCTCTCTCTCTCCGTTGACTATTAAACTATAGACAACTAATCTGGACTCCGTAGTCATCCTCAGAAGTCAAACGGCATGTGCTAGAGTCCATACAATATTTGATTTTATTTGGTTTCGGCTGAGAGCCTCTAAAGGTGTCACATCCGGCAAAAATAACTAAATAAATCAGTCTTATTAAAGTCAACGGCCTTTTTACCCTATTGAGCACACCGACAAAAATATTCAAGAAAATATTATATTCATTCTCGAGGAAGAGGTCAAATCTTCATTAAAGTCAGGAAAAATGTATTATCATTTTCCTCGAAAAAGTCAGGTATTTTTTCCCTGAAAAACCCATTTATTTTGATCATAGCTTAAACATTCATGGTTGATAGTGCACAGATAACAATAATAATAATAATAATAATAATAATAAAGGGATATATTTATAGTGAGATGATGGGAGGCTCATCCAGAAATATAGTTGACCTAATATAGAGAGAGAAAGCATAGGATGGCCATCTTGGGATCATCTTATCAGTATATTAATAAATGTTTTATTTTTTAAACCCTTTTTTTTAAAAAAAGAAATGATCCCAACTGGTTCTATAGTTCACGATGATTATTATTATGGAAGGAGAAGATACCCAGCCTGTGGATGAGCCAATCGCTAGATCACTTGAGCTCTTGGATCACTCCAAACCCTCATAAGACCACAAACATGGTAAAGTAAGACAAGGCTAAAAGAAGAAACATGGGTTCCTCAGAAACCGAGCCAAGGAGCTGTCACAGGGGCTATGAATAGAGAGAGAAAGCATGGGAGATGTTCCTCTTTCGAGCACAAGGCAAAACTAGCAGGCACTGCAAAACTGAAACAAGAAGAGGCGGAGAGATGCTGCTCAGCTCAGTACTTGATGGGGGCCAAGATGTCCAGCTGCGCTCCGAGCTGCTGGTCGGCAACTGCCTCCGCCTGGGCGCGGAGCTTGTTCAGCTGCTTCTTCCTCTCGTACGCCACCTGCGCCCTCTGCTTCCTCTTCTCCTCCAGCTCCTGGAAGCAAATATAGTAATCGGCCGTTTATCAGTGGAAGTGGTATGTTCTCGTAAAAAAATTACCGTATTTGCACAATTTAATAAGAACAAAAATATTCTAACGAAAGATGATAAAGAAAATTATCCTTGGCATCTGAAGGTTTCAAGAGAATTGCCCAAAATAGTCAACATCCTGAGGAATTCAATCTTTCTACTGCTATTACAAATAATGGAAAACCATTCGAACATCAAGTTAGCCATGACACGGTCAAACAATATTCCAAACTTATGTTAAAAAAATACTCCTGTGCGCCATTAGAAGGTCAACGAGCAGAAGACACGTCTCGGTACATCTAAGATGAACTGGATCATGCACTTAACTACCTAAGAGGCAGAGAAGGATTTACATAACAACACTGATAAAAATCACAAGACCGGAAATTATTACCAGGCATAGTAAAAATGGAGAAAAGTCAAAAGCAATCTATGATCCCCTCCTCTGTTCAAACCCTCTCATGATATCCTCCACAACTCCGGGCCAAGCCCAAATATGGCCTAATCAGCTGTTTGGGTTTACCACACTAAGGTGATGTCAGAACATTGCCAACGCAGCATTCTGAAAACTCACCTGCTAAACATAAACGATGGAATTAAACTAACCGTTGGTTTTTACCAAGTGATTTATGTTTTGTTACGAATCCACAATCGGAATGTTACCAACAATACCCATAAGAAACACGTTGAGAATGTTCCAAACAGATCGATCGCACTGCAAACCGCCAAAAAAAATTAGGCTGGAAACAATATTGGCATATTCTTCCCTTTGACTGTCACCTAGATTGGGCAGCAAGTAAAGAAAGAGAGCTTGCATATATGGCATATAAGGAAGATACATACTTTAAATAATGCATTTTTCGGGCATGGCGAATCATTTCTATGATTGGACTGAGAAGAAGAATCTAGTTTTGGCTCGACCAAAACCATTACGCAAGCATGCTCAGTCAAACCAAGATTTAGCCCGCAGAAGATCCGCTCAACTAGTGCTAGTGTTCCATGTTAACACCAGGGTAAAGGAAAGAGATAAACTCCAACTACTAATCCTATGGGAAATATTTGACTGTACAGTAAGTTAGATACTTGAATTACATGGGATCAGACTCCAAACGTTTCACAGCTTGAAACGGAGCGAAGCAGGCAAGAAGAAACTCTAGAAAATAGGAACTACCGAGGAATCAGTCTCTTACCCTTACGACATCGTAGTAGCTCCATCCAACCTCCTTCGATAGCTGACCCAACAAGCAGAACTTGTTTCCTTTCCGAAGCCTCAGTTCCCTGACGAATCAAATAAAATAACGCAAATGATTAAACGGAACAGATTTTAAGCGATTTTCGTGTGCGATAAAAATGAGACGCCTTACTTGAGAGCATCCGGAATGACCATCCTCTTTATCTTATCGTAGGGCGGGGGAACACCCTCGTAAGCCTTCAGCCTCGCCAGAGCAGCGGCCCCTCTCTTAGTCTTGTGTGGGATCATCCTGAGTAACATTGTTGGATAAAAATGCTCCAGATTCGTTAGCGGACGGAAGACGCCAACAACGCCGAGCGGGAACCAAAAATTCCCGGGAGATGACACCACCACGGGAAAGGAACGAACACTTACCCGCGGATCGTCCGCCACAGGATCTTGGCCGGGGCGCGGAAGTGAATGGGCCCGTGGGAGGGCTTGGTGTTCATCCTCTTGTTGCGGAACCGAGCGTACTTCATCTTCTGGCGCACGAGACCGCCGGAAATGGAGATCTCCTCGCACCGCACCACCACTACGCGCTGCCCATTGAGCAGCTCCTTCGCAATGATGGACGCGAGGCGCCCCAGCATGTGGTGGCGCGCATCGACCACCACTCGCCGCGCGCAGAGGCCAGACCCGGACACCATCTCTCCTCGATTCCTTCTGCAGCAGCCGCCGCCGGGAGAGGAGAACACAACCGGGCTAGGGTTTTCGTCAGAAAAGATCCAAGCGTATTTATATGCGAGGAGAGATCCCCGAGCTTGCGGTGTCCGACCTTTTTGCATATCAGTCCCTCAAAATTATTTTAAATTGCCTTACACCCATTCGACAGGTTTTGTAGTTTCCTTGGTTATGTAGACCGGTAAACCATATTAATATCCATCTGAAGATTTAATAATCCTTTTAAATATGCCATTTATAAATAGTTAGTGAAAAATGAATGTAAAATATTTATCTGGGTGAGAAAATTACGGCATAAAAAATAGAAAATGTAATTAAATATATTTCCTTGTGATATCTGTAATATTTGGTGTTTTAAATTTTCATTAAGTATAATCTGCTAATTTATAAATATTTAGTGAAAATTTAATGTCAAATATTTATCGGGGTCAGAAAAAACGACGGCATGAAAAATAATAGCTAACGTAATTAAATATATTTTCTTATTATATCTTTAATATTTGGTGTTTTAATATTTCAATAAGCATCATACTATTTATAAATATTTAGTGAAAAAATAATGTCAAATATTTATCGGGGTGAGACAAAATGACGGCATGAAAAATAATAACTAACGTAATTAAATATATTTCCTTCTGATAACTTCAATATTTGGTGTTTTTAATATTTTTAATAAGTATTTTAAAATACTACCAAGATCATATAGACGCTTTCACTTATATACCCATTAAAATCTAGTCCTCAGTGATACTTCTCTGTCTACGTTTATTGCATATATATATTATTACATTCAGCAAATTCATATTCAAAGTCAACGCTTACATTTTTTAACTTTATCATTAACCAGATAAATTCATTTTTTCTATGAAAAGTATGTCACCCCCCTCCCCCATCAATCCAACCCACAATTCTTCAAGCAATCAAACCGCAGCAAGCATCCATGTCTCAACCTCTCTCTCTCTCTCTCTCTCTCTCTATCTATCTATATATATATATATATCCATAAATATAGTCACACATGTATGTGAGGGTGGGTAATATGAAACCATGGCCTGGTGTGGTTGACCGAAAATGGAAAGTCCACAGCCTTAGAAAGGAGAGAAGGAATTATGGGGAGAAATGATTAACTCCCGGGTCTTGATTATTTCCTAAGATGATTTCAATGACGAACGCTTAGATTCACACAAATTCCTGCCCACTCGGGGCAACTTGCCCATCTCTGAACCCACGAAAAGGAACCTGTAGATCCTGGAAATATGTTTAATAAATATATGATAATAATATTAATAGTGATTAAAGATGATATGTTTGTACATGAAAATTGGAGCTGCCGTTCTGGTTCAGCAGCCGGCGGCCTTCCGGAAGTTGTCGAAAGGGCTGGACGCCGGAAGTCTCATCATGTGATCTGTGGAGCACACCGACGGAGAGCCACCGGAAGGCGGCGGCAGCGGCGGCGGCATTATGCTCGGGCTGGATTCCTGGTCGAGGAATGGGTTTCCCTGAAAAAGAATTTTGCCCAATTATGCGATCATGAGAAACTGATTAAGTAGGGCGGAGGATGGAGACGAGTGGGCTTCCTTGGATTATTTACTTATTTATTTATTTATTGGCCGATCGCGTGATCATGGAGAGCAGATTGAGATCCTGGAAGAGAGTCTGTGCGAGAAGGGAGGGGAATCGAGAAAGGGCAAGAAAAATGCTATAAATTAGGGTTTTTCAACTATGAATTCACCCATTGTGAAGGGCAGGGGGGCTTTGTTAGGTGATGGAGACTGCTAGAACTATCTAAAAACAGAAAAGGAGAAGACCCATGATGGAAAAATTATCGAGATGGAGCACGGAGATCAAGAACTAGATATCGATTACTAGAAGTCAGCTATTTCTGGATCGGAATCAGAGGCATTCAGATTGAAATCAGGTTTGTTCAACCATGAATTCACCCATTATACGGGATGAAGAGTGATGGAGACTGTTAGAACTATCTAAAAAGAGAAAAGGAGAAGACCCCATCAAGGAAGGAAAATTTTCAAGATGGGCTGCGGAGGAGATCAAGAACTAGAAATCGGTTCCAGATTACTAAAAGTCAACCATGGATTCACCCATTATGCGGGGTGAGGAGAGCTCTGTTAGGTGATGGAGACTGTTAGAATTACATAATAAGAGAAAAGGAGAAGAGACACATCAAGGAAGGGAAATTTTCAAGATGGGCTGAGGAGGAGATCAAGAACTAGAAACCGGTTCCAGATTACTAAAAGTCAACTTTTTTTGGATAGAAATCAGAGGCATTCAGATCGCATACCGCGTAGAGCTCGTCGGTCTGCAAGGAAGGGGGGTAGTAGTCTTCCGGACCGCCATCATGGGTGAGGAGAGTTGGAGGAATTTCTTGCCCCGGTTGAGAGCTCATGAAGAGAGACATCTTCTTTCGTTTTGCTGTGAGAAGAGCCTCGCAGTGACCGGCCATCTCTTTGAATGTGATGTCGGGGGTGGTGGAGACCGACATCCTTCCTACTTGCCCGGCTGTCTCCAAGACCTGCACAGCATACGATGATGCCACACGTAAAAAACAACCTGTTTTATGAGGTCGCCACCCAGATCAGCTTGGTGTTACAAAAATGTCAACGGATTCACCGTACCTTTCTTTCATTATTTTCAATTATTAGAGAGATTATGAGCACATCGTCAGAAAGGTACATTATGATGATGCTAAATTACGTTTTAAAAAAAGTCAACGGATTCACTGTAATTTTCTTTCATTATTTTCAATTATTAGAGAGATTATGAGGACCTATGCCTTAGACAAGGCAATTATATCGTCAGAAAGGTAGATTATGATGATGCTAAATTACGTTTTTCAAAAAGTCAACGGATTCACTGTAATTTTCTTTCATTATTTTAAATTATTAGAGAGATTATGAGGACCTCTGCCTTAGACAAGGTAATTATATCGTAGGAAAGCTACATTTATGATGATGCAACTTTAACGAAATAATAATAATAATAATAATAATAATAATATATGGTCTTTAATCGATTTTTAAAAGTTAGAACATAAAGAAATGTTATTTTTCTGAGACATTTTAGAAATATGATCGAAAAATAAGCACATGAGTCATGATCTACAAAATCCCCCCATTAATGTCCAGAAGGCTCGTTCTTTCAGAAGCCTATAGAAAACATGAGAAATATGTGCATGTATAGCGACAGATCTACAGGGTCCCCCCCATAACGGACCCAGAAGGCTATGCATCCAAAGATGAGAGGATTTCAGAGGGTCACCTACAACCTGAATATCAAGAAATCTCACCCTTCCCTGGATGAATGTTCTTGGCAGATGAACCCCAATAATATTCACTACTAATTATAGAGGTACCTCCGGTTCTTTTCCTCTGAAAATCCTTGTAGTTGGCATCACATGTTCATGGAGCTAAATATTTGACCAAGGATCAGACTCGGAAGCTAGAAATCCTCGAATGAGAGTAACCCAAACCCAGTTCTCTCCCCCATCCAGTATCTGACCAATGAATAGGCTTGGAAACTAGAAAGAAAATAAGGCAGAGGAAATGATCATCTTACCGATTCCAGAAGCTGATTTACACTTATGAGATTAGTGTCGGATGTTGATAGCTCCAGTATTGCCTCCAGTGGACTTTCGAAAGATTCAGCAATGGGATCCTCATCTACTGAGAAACATCCAGGCATGACCTGTAAAAACACAGCGGTTGACTTGTGACAGTGGATGTTCAATATGTGTGAGTGTGTACTTGCTATGGATAATCAGCCGGCATTACCTCTTCTTCAGATTTGCAGTCATTGGAACTGAGGGAGGCGATTTGACCAGCTATATCCACATTCTGAACCCCCAGGGGGCAGACATCGTCAGGCAAGAAGTCATTCAGCAGCTGCTTTCTTGCTGCTGATCGCTCAGACTGCAGAAACGTTTGGGAGTCAAAACCACTGATGCGGATGAGAATTCAGTCAAATCGATTCACAGGAAGGTCAGATTTTCAAACAGCAGATTACATCTGGCAAGTCTCCCAAGCTCCTGATGATCATAGAAACAAGGGATTCCTTGCCCTGGTCCTCGCCCATCACAACTGCTGAAATAGACTTCAAAGCAGCATAATCATCCTCTTTCGAACCATAAACATTACACCGGTTATCTGATGCACTTTTTACAGCTTGTAGTCTGCAGTCATCAATCAAACGAAGAAATGGATCGACCTGGCACATAAAAAACCACCCACGAGTAAAGATAATTTGGTACAGACACCATCTTCCTCCGCATGCAGCCAGTCCACAGCCGCTGCCATGAGCTATCTTATTTTGGTACAGGCCATGTCCATTCTCACAGTGTTCAACTTGGCACGACTTTCTCCGTACTATGGACTATTTCTGTGTTCTAATCATCCTTTTTTGGCAGTATGGCAGAATATATCTCATTTTTATATTCCCAATGGCGAGCATGACCTCATACCAAAATGATTGTTCACGATATGAGACAAATATTAATGGTAGTCGGTCATATGTTCATATCCATCGACGATAACATGTCACTAGACCAGTAAGAATATATGCAGGAAATGTTTACTTACTGTCGTGTCATTGAGTGATGCCTTGACAGAAGAGATTAGAGATGGAATGTTGTAAGCTTTAGAAGAGAATATAATCATGCAGGTTGACAAGGTAAAGAGAGAGCGGCGTCGTGATGGTGGTAGAGAAGCTGCAAGAGTGCCAAAAGATATAAAAATGCAACACATTTAGCAGGTAATACGACAAAAAAAATTGAGAAATCGTATACTATAACCGGTCACGAAGGAATATTACAGTATCTACACAAAAATAAACAACTATAAGTTATTTCATATCAGTTTGGAATATTTTCACAGTGTTATCACATTTATAGAAAGCGATAACTGAAAAAAATTCAAAAGGAAGGCTGAATCAAGCATTAAGGTGGAACCAGCGTATGGGCAACTGAAATTTTTTTTTCTCTTAACGGGTTCACATAATCTATTCAAACAAGTAACTCAAGAGAGTAAGATGTAGAAATGATAGAATGAGTATTAAAGATATATTTTTCAGCATTAAAACGCTGGTGACATCGTATTCAAGCCAGTATCAATCACTCCTTCAACAGAAGAATTGCTTGCATTAACTAGAAAAAAAGACACTTGATCTTTCGCTGGAAGCTTAAAGTGAAAGGCCCGAGGAATAATACGGGCAGAAAAAGCATGAGCCCCAAATTAAGAAATGAAATGGTGAATAGGGAACTGGCTACAGTTCAGGTCATCTCCAGCCTTTAATTCTTTGAACTTACAGCATTTACAAAATCTTAGGCACTATTCTCATTAATTCCAAAATGTTTCTAGGTGACTTCTCCTTCCTCATGAAGTGCTTTTCGAGGTTTCGACCCTGTCATGTACAAAGTAGTTCTCCAGATGGCAGGAGATAATTCCATTTCTGAACAATAAGACCAAAAATATTATCCTCTTGAACGAAGAAGATCAACTCTTCCCGTGATCAATGCCATCCATAGGAAATGAATCAGACTGATCAAGAGGGACCACAGCTGTTTTGCTGTGACCAATCAAGAAAGTGGTGACCAATACCAACCAGTATTTACTATTGAAGTAATAAATCAGTAGCAGGCCTTGTCCAAAGAAACTTGAGGTTGGCTAGAATTTCAACTCTTAAAAGGATTTCATGAGCCAATGAGCGCTTTGCAACTCGATGAAAAACCGCCCTGCCCTACCCACGGACCTGCTCTTTGATTCAGGCCCCATATTCATTAAAGTTGCAAGAGTTATATTGAAATAAAAATAAAAATAGTAACCGAGAAAACATATAGCAGAAGGGGAATTTCAGACATTTTCATGACGTAGGAAAACAACGGATGCAGTACAATCTTTTCCATTTCTCATGCTATGTTGTGACCAAAACATATCGCAAGGATACAAAGAACTAGCTTTTCCACAAATTTTAGCCAGTAATACTCATATAAATAAAAGTACAATAAATATTACCTCCGCTTAAGGAAACATTCCGTAAGGAAAATGCGAGTTGAAAGCACGAGATAATAGCATCGTGGATTGAGGTCTGCAAAACAAGAATAAAAAATACCGCACAAACTTAAGTTTTGCTTGAGGAATTTGTTGCAAGTTCATCAACCTGTAGAACATGCTAGTCATTGCATTAAGAGAAAAATGTCCGTACCCATATCCTCGTTTTTCCCTTATGGTATTACATAATAGTACACAAAAAAAATAATCTCCAGCAGGAAATGTAAATATTTGAATATAGATAAAGACCCCTAGTCTTTTGCACATTACCCAGAAAAGCAGCCAAAAAAATAAATAAATTACCATAGCAAGTTGGGCCAGCGCTCACCTTTGCTCGAGAAAACAATAGCACCAAGCTATACGTATGAGAAATTGCTTCATAGTTTTCTGGAGTATTTTCAGGAGAAATGGCTTGAGCCCAAATTGATGAAAGCATAAGTATGATCTGACGGGTGCTCAACCTCATAGAAATTGGTTCCTGAAGCACAACAGATGGAAAACAGTCATATGAGGTTTCAATAAACGAATCATACGTTCCATGATAATGGAACTTTTCCATGAAAGCGGAAAAATAGCTTGGTTCCTCATGTAGTTCAGTATGACGTACCATGTCCTTATATGAGATGCATAGGGATTTTTCATCTGAAAAAGATAAATGGGCATTTATCATGCTATGAATTCTACTTTGAGACGGTTGAAGTCCGATGGGTACTGCATCATTGTTGTTTTTCAGTAGCCCATCATCCATAATAATAGCTCTGTCCGCACTTTCTTGGCAAATATTTTCTCTCAAGGGTGACTTATCTCTTCTTAACTTATCAAAGAGTGCAGCTGAAGATGAAAAGACAGAAACAGTTCTTGAAAGTGTCCTTCGAAAATCATATTCTCTTGGAGCATCATGATTTGCCATGCGAGGACGAGGACAGACAGAGGATGGAACGAGAACTACAGAGAAGACACGATGAGCCCCTACGCGTGTTTCATGATCTGGATGAACCATGGCTAGTAGTAGCTGATGAAACAATGCTTCAGGAAAAGCCTGAAATAAGAATTATATAAATTTTCTTAGAATACAATGCTAAAACCAAACATTAAAGTAAAAAGATATACGAGGAAAGTATGCAGTAATTGCCTTGCTGTTGTATAACAGGTTTGCTACTGATGCCACAATTTGTGCAGTACGATATACAGTGGAAATTGTTGTCCTCGCAATGGGTACAGAAGTAGAGAGGTTCTCCAAAAACACGGACATTATATCAAGAATTGGCCCCGCATCTCCAACCTGAATAGAATGTGCATTTATGTTCTTCCGTCCAGTAATAACAAGGGCGACTACTGCATACTTTCCTCAAAATGCACCATACATGGTAGATACACCATACATTGATAAAATAAAAAAACTTGGTAAAGTGAGTTTTTCATGATAGATACACCATACATGTCGTTACTGCACCTCAAAATGCATATCCTCACTGAGAAAGATGAGTGCTTTAGATGAATTGATCTTCTACTGACGAAGAGTGGGGAGATGCAGAATGTACTACTAGCAAACTGCACTGATGTATGAGCTCCGACTTTATGGTTCCTCTCTCTCCTGGAAGACACTACAGGGAACGGAGCATCTGCACAGTCTCGGAGTCAGGATGTTTTGAAATTCAACCTGCAACCTTAGTTTGCTATGGTGACAACCGGAGAGGACCACGACATAAGGTTTGGGCTACATGCAAGTGACATTTACGTAGGAAAACAACGTTCACAAGTAATACGTCAGTATGGTTAATTAAATTTAAAAAAATGATCGTTTAAGATTATATATACAGTTATACTATGTACACCTGCAGAAAATATATGAAAATTAACGAAACCAAGAAATTATGAGAGGGCACTTTGCAGAAAAATAACCGCATACAGAACAATAAATGACAGTGTGTTTACTAAAGAGGATTTTGAATATGTTGTTCTTGGCCGTAGGTTGAAGCTCCAAGGCCCCCCCAGAAACCAAAAGACAAGACTCCTAAAACTAAAGTCATAAGAGAGACATTATGATCGAAAGTGAAAAAGTTAAAAGGGCTCTGTTAGAAAGTAAATATGTTAGCATTTTATCTCCTAAATATCGTACAATGGCGATGGAGATCATGAAAAATAAAATCATGAATATTTCTATAACTGAAGACAAAGAAAAGAAACATCTCAAACAAAAAAGTTCAGAGGTACCGCAGTGAGAAGTATTTTCTTTTTGACAACCACATCCGATGCTAATGACGTGGACAGAAAAAGATTTACGTCATGCGACAAAGAACATCTCGAGGGGAAGATACTTAATTTTAAACAATCTCATATTTTCTCACGCCTATATATCAAGGAATGTTTCACAAATAAGAGAACTGGAGATATTGAAATATTCATGTCAAAGATGCTCAAACATCCAGTTTGAAATAGTTATCCTGGGTCTCGGATGCCCACCCTATATGAGTCTATCTAGAACCATATTTCTATTTTATTTCGAATTCGAGTTACAATTGATAAGCTTACAATAAATTCACAAAGCATTTAAAGAAAAGGAGAACGTCCAAAACCAGAAATAGAGAAGAAAACCACCTTATGGCATAACTGTACAAGGCAGTCATCCACAGCTGCATGAAATTTGTTATTCCATTGGACCATCTCATCCCCCATGTTCATATCGGCAGCTACACAGCGCATGCTTTTCCGCAAATGCCTCATGAGGTCACTTATTGCCCCCATTGTAGCAATAGAAGGCTCGGTCTTCAATTTTTCAGTAAGGCGAGTGCCAACTTCAACAATGTTCAGCTGCATCTCAGGATGTTTTAAGACAGCTTTGTGATCAAGATGCTTGATCAATATGGACAGTAATAGATGCGCATTTTGCCCTAAAATAGAAATAAGGGGAAATTATTTAGCACATTGAAAATTATCTAACATAGGCAGTCAAAGCGATTAGTTAGATGAGAAAATAGGCAGTGATGTTAGAGTGTCTTTCCCCACTGATGCGATCATTGTTAGAAGAACAGCATATGATAAGACATGAAGCGACTTCATTGAAACACATTAGGAATATAGAGGAAGATAACCATGAACCGACTTCATTGAAACACCAAAAAGCAGATAGAACCCCCTACCATATTTTTCCATCAAAGATAGCATATCCATCATTATTGGCAGAGCAAGCCCGTGTTGCGGAGACCATTGATTGCAACTGTCAAAATAGCGAAATAAAGATTCCAGAACTCGTCGTAGAGTTGTGGCCTCCTTGGCTAGGTTGGCCATGTTATGAACACAAACTTTAGACCAAAAGCTTGGGAATCTGGCTTCTTCCCTGTGCAAATTCAATATAATACATCCGTTTTATAAAATGGACGCCTCAGAAGATAAAATATCACAAAAGCATTTGCAGTAAAACGTCATATCTTTAATTTTTAAAGTCCTTACAAAGTCGCGTTTAATTCTCCTTTCTCGTTTACCATCTTTTTCCAAGATGGAACCTTTGTAATGACGGCAGATGCAGAACAGACATGGCCTTCAACTTTGAGTACTTCTTGTACCCACTTATTCTGTGTTCCTTCATTGGTATGATCAAAACTCTCATCTTTATTCAGGGGACTTCCATAGTTTTCAAGGACTACTGATACTACCTATGCAGATGAAGCAATTAAAAAATTCAAATACATTTTGACATGAAAGAGAAATTTTCACAGGATTGATGAAAACACAGTAATCATTCCGCAGCTAAAATAGTATAACAAGAAAGTTAGGGTAGCATAGTTTTTCCATTGACGCGGAACTCCACATAGACATAAAACTATCTGGTACACGATTAATTGGATTAAAATAGTTTTAATGCGATAACTCCTTACATTATCAAATTCTGCTGAAATATGCGAGTATTCACCCATAAACCAAACCTGCGAAGTAAAGAAATAAATGAATCAATAAATATAAATATATCAATGAAAAAATAAAATAAAAATGGATCCCAACTAAACATATATCAAGCGGAAATAATTACATGAGCTATGGATTTATCATGTACAAATTCACAGCGGGACATTCAATCATGTAGGGAAAGAGAACCGTTAATCAGCTTTCATTTCCAGTAAAAAATAAGTCCGACATGCCCTAAAAAAAATTGGATAGGAAAAATAGACAAAAAGTGAATACCATTGAAGAAAGGGCTTGCAATCCTGCCGAGCGTAAAGGTTGGACTCTCTCGTCTTCTCCTATTTCTAGAGCAAGTTGGCATAGCTTAGGGATCAAGCCTTCCAAGTTGAACATATAAATACCATCCACCTATGACCGATCAAATCATTACATAATATGAAAAATATATGATTAATTTAACTGGATATATCCGCAAAAAACATGAAACTGATCTCCATTCCTTGTATGTAAGTAAATTATCTCATTAGAAAAAAGTATTCATACCTGACTATTGACAAAGTTAAAAAGTGTCCGACACCCAATGATGCGCATTTCATCATGTCGTGTTTGATCCAAAAGGGTAGAAATTATGCTCAATAAGCTGCTTGAAAAAAGTGGCCTGTCACACGTACCATTAGATAAAATTATGAATAAATCATGAGGGAAAAAAAATCTATATAGATAAGCATTAATTGAAATTTAAATAAACAATAATCTGAAATCTTCATAATCCGCGGTCAATTGAAATTTAGCACAGGGGTGTATGTGAATCCTATGAGAAACTTGAGATATAATTCATTGATTGGAAGGTCATTGTGTAAATAAGAAATCCATTTAATATTCGAATATGCAATTTAAATCAATATTTCCTCACGAAAATAATTAAAAAAAATCCTGAACAATATAGAACTTGAGCATGTGAGTATGACTAGGTATTCACCTTCCCTAACAAAAAAATGTAGCCATAGATTGTCATCATGGATTTGGTGATGGCAATTGAAGAATGTATGAGTTATTACAAAAATGAAATTGATGTGGATAAAATTTACGTGTCCTCTTGAGGATAGACTCCCAGAAATTTTATTGGGGAATTTTGGGTACAATGGAAAAAGGCTCCCATGGACTCAGTAGAAACTATGTGTAGGGGCGATACAAAAAAGGAAAAATCAGCATATTTTAGAGAGGTAGCAATTATAATGTTGATATTGGTCTATTCCTCAGCTAGGCAGCATGCGTTCCAATCTGAAGATGCTGTCGGTTGTTTGATCATTGATCTGTGTACACGACATGAGATCAGGTATATGCCTTTTAGATTGTTAATGTGTTACTAACGTGATTGTTCAACCATAGTTTGCATGTTAGCGGCAGCATCTGCGTTCTACATTCACAAGATGTTTATGATATTTTCCTGCATACCACGAGTCATAAATCTAGGATATTATCATTCGCTAACAATTTATGGATATGATTTTTCCCAAAAGACGTTTTTTTTTTGTTTTCACTAAGGAAATTTAGGTGTTTCTTAACCCTTAATTACATACCAGACTTCTTTGTTGCCATCACTGGTGTCTATGTAATCATTTACGGTAGTGATCCATCTATTCACCAGACATTGTGTTTTATTCCAGCTCCTAAGTGTAGTGAAATTTTGATGTATTATATTTAATAGAATCTACCGGAGCATTATTGCAAATTACCAATCGTGAGGCTTTTGGTCGTTGCTAAGAATATATTTCAAGCCAGGAGTATGCTGACAATCACTGACAGATTTCACCCAGTGACTTTTGGCCATCAGAGAATATTTTATCACTTACAACCTAAATGCCCTTGTCTGCCCAACTAATGAGAAATTTAACCCCATACTACCAGCGGCGATGATAGGAAAAGGGCTATGTGGGATTTTATACTATCGGAATGCCGACATTCCTCGCAAGAATGTCATGAAATTTTATATCTTACCGCTAAATCTATGGCCACAAGGACATCGAAGGGATTAAACCTACTTGAAACATTTGGTTAAGCTTGTATCCTCCCTTAAACAAACGAGTTCTACTATATCTAGAACGTCTTTTGATTTCAAAATAACCACGAACTAAAGAGCTTTGATTAAGCTGAACCTCTAATTCTTCTTGAACGTCCCCTTGAACGTTACTGGTTTGAGCTGATTTTCCATGGGACCAAATCAGTTTTTCCACATATTCTACTTAAGTTCTCTCATTTGATGAGGTGCCATATCAATTTTTTGCCCATCTTGTCCGATTGTGATTTAACAGAAGTGATAAAGAGCCAATGATTTTATTCAACATATATGTTTGGTGAAATCTGACTCGATCCATAAAGAACAAAGGCCATTTGTACAAGAGCCTATTGCAATAAAGAGCTTAAGTTGAGCTGGGCTCATGCTCTTTAGTTCAATTTTAATGTATTTGATCAATAGAAATCCCCATAGCTTTGTCAAAAATTCAGTAAGTTTCAACACGGAATTGACAACCTGAGACCCAAAAGAGTAACGAATATAGGACGAATTCGCATCGCTGAATCCCCACCCTGCAGTCCTTATTCAAACACCTATCATACTAAAGGCTTAATCTGGTGTCTGTCACTCTCATAGAAAGAGCTACAAGGTTAAATAACATGACTGATCCAGATCTATTCAAATCCAAAAACTAAAATTTTCAGATCAATAATTTACACTATCAGTGCACATTTATATAATTTTACCAGTCTGTTTTGTATTTTCGTGTGTGAGCCTATGCAGACATGCTTGTTCGAAGTTGTTCAGGTAAGAAAGGACAAAAGGAGGAAGTCCACTTTACCCCGGTCTTTATAGGTATAAATGCAATTTTGGCAAACTTTTTAATCACTTGAAAAGAAAGAAATATATATATATATATATATTTCACATTTTATTCTTTAGAAAAAAATTACTGTGAGATTATCACTTGGTTCCTCGGAAAAAAAAAACATAAAGGTTGAAATAGAATATATGAAGACTGGGAAAGATCATGCAGCAGGGGCATTTCGCAAGAAATCTTAACTCAGTACTTGAAAAAAAAAACTAAATATTATTCGAGGATGGGGGGCTTCACAAGTATGATGAATAACATAATACCCAGAAAGCATGCTAAAAAGTATGATAATATTTCAGACATATAAGTATCATAAATAAGGATGCATATTATGATTCATAGGAAGAAGAACTCACATTTGCTCCTTACAAGAAATTAATAATTTCTGATAAATGAGCATGACTGTTTTTGCAGAACTGAACTGTTCACTCCTAAGTTCTTTGTAGCACCTCTGCTCCAAGTAATTTGTTATCTAGAAATCATGACTGCTATTTCAGAACAACTGAATAAATTTAAAATCGAAACAAACCTATGCAATATAGAACATTCGGAAGTAATAGAAATATCTTTCACAGTACGTATAGCTAAAATTACCAAATAGAGTTCAGTCATTACACACTAAGGTTACTCAAATAAATACAGAAGTTGTTTTAGATCTGATTCTAAATTAATCCGATCGCCTATTTTAATTTCTTGTAATTTTCACAGGAGATACCCCTCTCAAAGGTTACATACTTAATTGAAATATTATAAATAAATTAATTGATAACCAGACTAACCACCAAGAAGTCACACGGAATAATAAAGCATTAAGACAATCTTGTACTTGAAAATGTGACAACGAGAAAACTTTCTGTCTTGGCATTCTTTCAAGGCATCAACTCTGTACAGTTTAAGAAAAACTCAAGATGTACGATGCATAAATGGCAAGTTAAACTCAGTCAATAAAAGTATAATTATGAATACTCCTAGAGTAGATTTGAAACTTCAGGAGATTCACTACCAGCGTCAACCTCCAATAAAATAACATCCACTAACCATCTTCCAGAAATCATATTTAACCGTTATCCCTTCTTTAAACAAAAATACCTAGGATCCTTAATTTTTCATAACTTAACTTTTAACCTTCGTATCAATAAAATTATAGTCATCCAAATGGATCGGAGGGAGAATGATGGAAAAAACGTCCAAGAGTAGTTTTCAAATATGTACAGCTCCTCAAGTAATTTTTTACGTTTTTGAGACTCAATACCAGAGTCCACTCTCCTACCAGATATTTTAAAAAATAAAAATAGAATTTATTGGTCATTCTACGTTAGCCTTACCAAAAACAAGGAGTAAATCGTCAAGATCTCTCTCGGAAAGTTCTACTCAAAATTTGAAGAAGCTACCACATATTAAACTGCCAATATACTAAAATCTTAACAACAGCAATTCAATCTGCAAACAATTGCTGATTCATGACATAAAAGGTTTCAATGTTGAATTTTACACTCATAAAAAAACAGTTAAAATTTAGTAATTCGTTCACCCATTCAAGATAATCAAAAAATTTAAATCTGAAGCCATGAGAAATTGTATTCTCTCTGGAAAAATGATGTCATCAACAATCATTGACACAGACTCTGACCATGAGAAGACCAGAAGCATTCTGTGAAACAGCATTAGTGCTGATCATTTCTGGTGAGTACCAAAGGGAGCACTACAACGATTTATATGATGATCAGTTAATGTAAAAGATATTCTGACTATTTTCTTATGAAAGATAGTCATCATGAGTAAGAAATCACAATGGGAAGAGAAATAAAACCATCATATAATGCATCATATTTCAAGTTCATCTATCTCTATTATTCTTTGGCAAATGTTGGCAAACTCTATGACAAAAATCTGGTACAATATCGTTCTTGAAAATATTTCTGATTTGTATTTGATGTTCCTACACAGTGAAAACATTTAAAATAGCGTTGCAAGTCCACTTAGAACATTCACTGTGGAGAAATTTATAGTGTTATCTTCCTCTCTATGCAAAACCCTACCCTCTGGAAATCCATTACGCATATCGTTTCTGTTTTACAACCTAACATCAAACTGAGGCAATCTTTTTGAACAGAATTCCATAGATTTTTTCTGCATCTTCATCGAGTACTCCATGTGAGAAAACATGAGAGTATCAACGTCCCATTTATATCTAGATTCATGGAGGAATCATAATTTTTTTAGTTGCTTAAGCCAAACCCGTTACTTCAGTAATTTATGTGATACTGAGTTAAGAAACCGTATCTTTTCACTCCCGCTTTATAATTAAGTTAATTTCTGTTTGTTATTTTGGCAGTCAGACTGAAGTAATATTCAACGAATGAATCAAAAGTGATGGTTTAAGCTGGAATCCTCATCTCGAAAAACATTTCATGTCTAAGGAGAAAATTGAACAAGATACCTTAGGGATGCGCAAAGGGTTTCTGGAAGCATAGTCGCATAACTTGCCAACTTTCCGGTCATTTGGTTCTTCCTCCTAAACAAGAAGGATATATGTCACCGGCTCATTCAACTCAAAAAGCCACTACATATATATGTGATAGAAACAGGAATATTAGTAAAACATGTAATAGGTTAACTATGCAATCAGAGCGAACCATCCACACTCATCAGGTAAAGTGCAGTTTGCATAGCTTAAAAAGGTATAAGGAAGCCAGAATGATCTATGTGAAATCCATCTTGTCGAGAGAATAAAACTATTTCACAAATACGTGAAACAAGTGATCAATCAGAGAAATCTGATTTGTTTCTCTGTGAAGGAAGCATGATGGCATGTGAGAAATGTATCGTCTGTAGTAGCAAAATAACTTAGTAACTCTTCAGTTGTGGGGAGAAAAACAGCAGTTGTATGGAAGAAATTCGAGTAAAGAATGTCAAGCAATTGGTGAAATTGAAATACTGAATGATAAGCAGATTTAACAAAATTAAAAAAAAACCTGTGATCGGGGAAATATATCAGCTAGAAGTTTCTTGTATCGCTTCACTGGTTGTCTGGACCTTGCCCGCATTGCGGGGCAGAAGAAGCACAAGCTACCGCACACGGGTAAAACTTTTCTTGACATCACCCCCATCTTCTTTACAATAATGATGTGGCCTTTGCTCTGATAACCTCGTTATCTGGTTGATTGATTCCTCCCTCTGAATGAAGCCCAAATCTTTCTCACCGAAAATGCTTAGGAGAGAGGGAAAGTAGCTTAACTCCTCTCCGCGACTTTCAGAAATCAGACCAACCTGCAGAAAAAAAATAAAAATAATAATCACTTAATGATAGGCAGATGAATAGTTAGATGAGCAATAAAGTAATTCCGGCTGTTGGAACTGTAAACAAAAACTAGACACTAAATAAAGCATGAAAAACATTGAATGTCAATCAACCAAAATGTTTCCAAAAGATAGAACACGGAATCCATCGAGGAATAACAATTCGACCGAAGCCAATGATTATTTCCCTCACTGGTCCAATGGCGCTCAGACAAGCGCGACCTCCAAGGATCAAGCAGGCCATAACGCGAAACAAAATGAAAACTCCCAGCCAAATGAAAACATGCACAATGCAGGTCCTCGTGAAATCCAGGCGCGATCAGCGGCGAATTCCTGGATCTCGACCGCTGAGCGTATGGCGTCGGAGCATTACCCGAGGAGACAGACAGAGCTCCGCGGTGTCTGGGAAGGAAGATCGGCCCGGGGTAGGGGCTCCGGAGCTGCTCCCCACAAAAGCGTGCCCCCGGGGGCCAAGGAACCACCAACAGCGCCCCGTCCCCCTCCCCCCAACCGACTCTTCCAATTAAGACAGACCGAGAAGACAACGTTGCCCAAATAACAAAAATCATAATTTTCGAATATAAACACCATCATCCCTCCCCTCCTCCCCTGCTTCTCTCTCTCTCTCCCCTTCTCCACCTCTCTCTCTCTCACACACACTCTCTCTTCCTCCCTCCCTCCCTCCCTCTCTCTCTCTCTCTCTCCGTAGGATATGAAAGCCGGTGAAGCGCGAACGCGCGCTCTCCGGCCGGAGTTTGCCAATATTACCCGTCGGTATGATATGGAATGTCATAAATACCCTCAGTCGGGAAGCCGGTGCTCTCGGGATCGTGGATGGCCGCAGAGGCCGCCACGTAGATGGAGAAGTCAGATCGGTTTCATACCAATGGACCGAACCCATTTCCCTCTTTTTTTCGCTATGTTTTAATAATACATAATTTATGAGAAAAATGACGGCCTTAGTTTATCACTATGAGACCAAAGTTCACATGTGATTCATCTAAATGATATTAAAAACATTATGATTCACCATCCTCGTAAACTTTGACCATATGAGAAATTATTTCATTATGACATCATCGACGAAAAAACATTTAAATTTGTCATATTTTTATTTTTTGAAAATTTTACATAATTTGACCTATCCAGCAGTGTAATATAAACACATTATTCATTGTGAAATCCAATTCATCGTACATTTTTTTTCTAATTTAATAATTATAATTATATTTAGTATGGGATATGATTATTTTACTTGTTGTATTTGCATTCAAATCTTATAACATATATTTTTACTAATTGGTATTTATTATCTCATCTAGTAAGTAAAACTATTGTTCAATTATTGAAAGAGGGATCTTACCCCAATATTATCTATTTTAAGTAATTTTAGATTATTCACTTCGAAATAAATACTATTAATAATATTAAATAACCCAAACCTTTTTGTGAGATTGTTGTGTTCAATGGAGATGACTTATCTACTGTTTTTTTGATAAAAAAAAATCTGAAAATGAAAAAATTGGAGAAATGTGTATTGATTATGAATTATATTTATTAACATTTAAATATTTTTAGAATAAAAACCAGAAAACCCAGATGTTTCGGATGACTAGCTAGATTGACTCCAGTCAATGGAGTCAACTATTATTGTTCTTGAGGATATATTTGTCATCTTTTGATTGCAGGGCTTGCAAATATGGGGAAACGAAAAAAAATAAATCAGGTTATTTGAAAATATTTGGGTAACCATTGGATCGGATCGAACGGTTCAAACATTGGTAGACGGGATGATCATTTGTGGAACCGATAAGGATCCGTTTCGATCATATAGCCAGACCATGGTGCTTGAAGTGGAGGTTGCTGCGGCCACTTCAGGAACCCCTCGGTCGTCGAAGCCGATGTTTGGACTCTCGTATGGAGAAATCTTCCTCCTCCTCGGAGCCACCGCCGCGCTGATCGGTAATCTCTCTCTCTCTCTCTCTCTCTCTCTCTCTCTCTCTCTCTACGGTCACCTTCCCGTTCCTGCGCTACTTTTCCATGGTTCTTTTTGCTGGAGTCGTCAAGTTCAGCTGTCAGAGTCGCATCTGGTGTTCTCTTTGGTATTTTATTTTGGCACGAATGAAGGGCTTAGGGTTTTCACATTTGAATGCAATCATCAAATCTCCAATCGTCCGTTCTTTATGCACCTTGTTTGTTCCTATCACGTCAGTGCGACTGAAGTTGGAATTTGGTAAGATGCATTGGGTAGGACTGCTGCATAACATTTCGGATATTTCTTATGATAGATTATTTAGATGTAGCTTTCCGTACCATCCCTAGGGCCGAAGGACCTCCCAGTCATTGCGAGGACAGCTGGGAGGCTTGCGGGACGTGCAATTGGGTATGTTCAGATGGCGCGGGGCCAGTTTGATAGTGTTATGCAGCAGTCGCAAGTTAGTCAGGTACCTTTTCCTCTTTAGCTGATCCGACAGTCTTGTTACCGAAGGAGTTCGTCGATAGATACCTCTGGGGGGCTCTGATTCTCTCTTAGCCGTGAAAAAGAAGTCAATTATTTATTTCTTTAAGAAACAGTTTATTTTTTATTTTATTTATTTTTTAATCAACGTATTTCTCATCCAAGAGAGAAAAAGGAAGAATGATCCGGTGAGATAATGGAAATAAGGAAGAGAACCGACATGCTTCTTGAACATCACAGATTGTTGACGTCATATTTAATTTCTTTTCCTGGAGAGAATTTGAGAGGTAAGTGGCAGTGTATATTTCCTTGAGAAACTGGTTATCCCTTCTCAGGAATGTGATAATGCTTCTGCAATGCCTTGTGATCATGTATCGGAATGGAAGGAAGATAGTTCTTTTCACACATGTTTTTATCTTACCTACTTCTTTTCTCTCTGTTAGGTGCACAAAGAACTGCAGGACACAATTGCACAGTTAGAAGCAATTCGTTATGAGGTCAGGAGTATATCACTCCTGAACCCTGGTCCACTTACAAGAAAGCTGGATAATACCGAACTTAAACCGATTGATGGTACAAGTTATTGCATGTTTTCTTTATACAATGGTGTGCAGTATTTTATTTTTTTGTGGTTTGCATCATAAAGAGTCACTGATTTTTTATTCGAATTCTCTCCAGCTTATTATCAATTCCTGAGTTAATAGCTATTTCATGAATGTCAGATGTTGTTTCTTCTCCACAAATCGATAGCTGGCGCAAGCCAACAATTGAAGCATTAAAGGTGTTGCTTAAGCTCAATTGCTGTGTGCTTGTTGGTCTTAGTACAAATGATTTCTAAGTTTTTTTTTCCTTCTTTTCCCATTTCATGCCAGGACCACGGGCCTTTTAATGCAGACTCAGCTAATGTACACAGCCAAGCAATGATATATGCGAAATTCGCTGAATCTACATCCGTAAAGTCTGATGATTTTAAAAGCAATGAAGATGGAGATAAGCACTTTGATAGTTTAGGTCTCTTATCCATTCTTCCCGTATCTGCTGAAAGTGCTGGATTACTACCGAAACCTGGAGGTAATTAATCACTCATTCACTAATGATTGGTACGCCCTGTCGTTTCTTTGACTCTACTGAACTTTTATGTCCACAAATTAAAGACCAAAGTCCTCGGTTTGTTGCAACATCCGATGACTGGCATTTTCACATGATTGAGTCAAAGGTAGCCGATTATTAATATAGGCTCATCTAATTAAATATTTATGGCGAAACCCTTTTCTTTTTGAAATCTCGAGTGGCACGGGACGATTCACAATGTCTGTATATTCATCATCTAGTGGATAAATTATGGTACTCAAGGCTGGTCATTGTCTTTGTGGCACATTGCCTTGGCTGGAATACTTGTGCTGCTTTTTTCGAGTCATTCTGTGATGGAAGATATCAATTTCAATGATACTCAACAGCCGTGCCTGCAATAATTTAAAAATTCGGCGAAGAATGATTATCAATTAAATAATTTCTGGGAGTGTTGGTTCTATCAAAATTTCAGAGAATATGAGTGGTGGAAGCTGACAAGAAAACAGAGATTATATTCCCTTTCATTTATCTTTCTCTTCGTTGTTCACATGCTATTATCTTGTGGTATAAGGCTCTAGATGGGTAACCTGTCAATCTTTTTCCCACAGATGAGACTAAGGGATCAGATATTGTGCTGGAGGCCATTTTAGAAGCTGAAGTGGCGCGGAATGCCAAGGATTTCTTCCGGCAGCCTGAGAACCAAATACCCAACCAATGAATGGTAGGATGCCTTAGACTGTTCTTTTGATTTGGGGATGTTCAACTAGTAAGCAATCCTGGGGGTAATTTAATATATGATACAGAAAAAAATGTTCATAAAACATGAACATTTAGAGTGTTGGCCTTGGCAGTCTTATGGGCTGTTCAGCCTGCTCTCATCCCTGAGATGAAAGTTTTGTTAACCATTTGAAGTATAGGAGATTCTCTCTCTCTCTCTCTCTCTCTCTCTCTGTCTCATGTATATATATACATATCTGTATATTTCCGTTTTTATCTATATACTTTCATATATGTACGTAATTTATTGTATAAAGTGTAGACTTTTTCAAAATAATACACGTAATTCTCATCCCTTACATACAAAAATGAAGATGACATTATTAAATATTGCAACCATTCTGACAAATATTCCTCATTGCATGTCCACCAGAATAATACAACAATAAAAAAAACACAAAATTTCCTATTACACTGGCGGAGGGGGTAAGTCTAGGAGAAGCCAAAACCCAACACAGTCGTCTGAGTCTAGTTTCTCTTGAATGGCAAGGAAGTGGAGCCCCCGACATGCCTTCTTCGCTGCCTCCCAGGCCTCAGCCTCCTTTGTTGTTGCCGGTGTCTTCTTGTAGGTTGCATAGACATAACGCGTGGCGACTCCGGTGGAGAGAATCAAGGAAGCTCGATCGATGTCTACCTCGACGGAGGACACTTCAAGGCCGTTGGTCCAGGCTAGTCTCACATAAAACAGTGAAAACCCTTAGAACTTAATTCTGCCATAGCCATAGCCAATTTACATGGAAATCTCCCAATTTCATTGCATGGGTTTCTAACTGTGGCGATTGCTCTTCATTTTTATTTTTAGGTGGATTGTTTAAAGATCAAACATAAGTCCTACTCTGTGTATCCAAGCTGATCTCATATCACATCCTTGAAATGCTTAGAATTTACCACTATCCATAATTAATATGATTTGTTGTATGAATGATACGCCTAATTTACATGGATATCTCCCAAATTCATGACATGGGTTTCTAATTATGGCAATCTTTCTTTTTTTATGGGCGATAACTAGAGAGAAGAGAAACCTCTAGTCTGTTTGTCCAAGCTGGTCTCAGAATCAAACACTCAAACCTCCTTGGAAATTAAAGCTACCCATAAACTATCTGACTTTTTTGTATGAATGATTTACCCGAATTGAAAGCAGACCCCAAGCTCATGATATGGATATCTCATTGTGACAATCTTTCTTGCTTTATGTGGAATAATTAAAGAGCAAGCATGCTTTATCTGATCTCAAAGCTAATCAGAAATGAATGGAGCATGCTCACATAGGATTAATCCCATTATTTAGCCACCCGCTTCAACGCTGGACTATTTCAATATGACCCTTTGCATGTAAGTTGACTTTTCAGCCTATTTCAAACATTTCAACTGAACCCAGCAACAAACACAACTCAGACACTACTTTGAAAAAAAAAAAAAGAAAAAAAAAAAAGAAAGCTTACTCAACATCCATGGCTAAGGAGCAGAGTATTGTGAGAATATTCTAACAATAAATAACAAGAAAATGTGTCTACTTATGCCCAAGTCTGTACCACACGTCTGATATATGGTGGAAGAAGTGTACCTGCCAGGGGTTTTGCACGAGAAGATGCCACAGCTAGTCCAGGAACCAGTGTCTTGTCATCAATCTCAAGACCCAGAAGGTCCAAGTCCAGATCTGAACCAAAGGCATACTTCCTATCTAGGGAGGACATCTCCTCCTGGAGAGCTGAAAATTGGAACCATTTAATTAACAAGAGTCAACTATGAATTATAGCTATTTTTAAAAAATAATTAATAAATTAGATCTGAACCGGTGTTTTTCTGAACATAAAATTTAATAAATAACCTAAAGTTGAATTCATGCATTTATCAGAGTGGGTAGTGACACATATTGATGTATTATTATTCACAAGAAAAAGAGACACACAAGTACCCTGTCTGATCTCAAGAAATCTAGTGGCTGAGTGCCAGAAGTGAGCAGAAACAGATCCCATACTATTATTAAACCAGAATCGAGCAAGAACATCCTGGAAACGGGCAGAACATCTCCTCAGTTTCAGTTCCATGATTCTAGAAGAAGAAATAATTCTGTGCAAGGAAACAAATCTGAATTATTCCCAGCTGAAAATCACTCTTCTCAATCCATGACCGGTCATAGTATGTGAAAATTACTTGTCCTATGGAAGAAGGAATCAGGCTTCTTTCTACTTAAGGAAAACTACCATCTTGGTTGATGCCTGTGGAACGTACTGCTCTCAGCTGCAAGTTCCTCTGTGTAGAAATCTAGGACCAGGAGCAGCAGAGGAACTTCCCCGAGAGATTCAGAGATCTGGAAACTGGGTCAAGATGTTCTAGCCCAGTTCTAACAACTCCCTGGAATCTCTCGAAACGAATTCCAAGAAACACATCTGATGGGTAGGAAGATTTTAGAAACTGTTTCTCAAACAACAACTCCTTTAAAACCTTGTCGAAACCATTGAATGGGCATGGATGATATTTATGTACTCCATGGGCATTGAACAAGCTATCAGATGCCATGAAAACTCATGAACACCAGCAGGGGGCCTGTTCCTCTCATTATGGTGTCTTTAAACAAATTACTCAATAAAAACCACAAAAAATAAAATAAAATCTATATTGATGATTATGACGATGTATATATGATGACATTGTAACACGAGCTTGATCATTCCATTTTTTATGAGAAATTCATATGGCTGTTCGTTTTTTTCTGCAATTTCTGAAATCTTGGTCTCCCTGAAAGAAAATGCATTCCGGCCAACAGAGTAGAGCATGAATTTACCAGAGAAAGGTAACTGAACGAAGGCCCATTTTTCCCCAAAAAGGTTCTCGGGGAGCTGCATTGGAAATGGGTTATCTAGGGCTAGAAGCGGCTTGGTCCCCTTTTGGAAGCCTGGGTGCCGCGTGTAGATAGTCTCGTATCTCTCTTCCAGCCATAGAACCAGGGATACACACTGCATCACAAATCATGTAGCAAGAATAAGTGGCAAAAAATCTCCTGCTTTCCACGAGCTTAATTTATCTATAATTGGAAACAACATGACATGAACAACTCTTCTTCCGAGTGCAGATTGAACAATTTTCCTGTATTTATTTCCTTAAAATAAAATAAGAAAGAAAGAAATCAAAGGAGCAACTCTTGTGCCAAGAGTGGAGTGTTACTGGGTCATAAAAAAAATCGGAAAAAGCTCAAGTCTTTCACCTACCCTTTTGCTCGGAATTGGCTTCACACACAGCTCATTGCAGGCCCTCGTTATTATCGTCTGCATCTGAGACCTAAATCCAATCAAAGTTCTTATAATCGCCTCAAAAATTCTTTTTTTTTCTAAAAAGAAAAACCCAGAGAAAATAACGTGGTGGGCACCTGAAGAATCTGATCTTCTCCGGCAGGGGGACTCCCAAAGTGTCACTAATCGTGAGGATGGCCTCCTTTAGGGTTACGCTGTTGATGACGTTGTTGGGGAAGTATCTGGTGTACTGCAAGGACAAGGTGCCGTCGCAGACGACGAGCTCCCAGAGCTTCTTCCCCCTCGCATCCAGAATCGGCCTGGAGCAGAAGTCCATCTCCCACTCCGTAATGGCCTCGGCGTCGGCATCTGGGTCCAGGTAGCAGACCTCCGTCGTCGGGTCGTCGTCGTCGTCGTCGTCGTCGTCCTCCTCCTCCTCCTCCTCCTCCTCCTCCTCCTCCAGCTGCTCCGCGTCGTCTTCCAATGGGGAATCTTCAGTCAGGGGGGAAGCTGAGCTCTCTGAGAGTGAGCTACGGCAGAAGATTGAGCTATGGAGGATTCCGGTCCTCCGGAGGGCTCTGTGGCTGGGAACAGAGGAGGGTCTGCAGAGGGGGAGCAGGCTGGAGGTGGGCTTCCGGAAGAAGGGCTTGTTGGGGCTTCTGAGTCTCGCGGGGTTAAGGCTCAGAGTCGCCATAGCCAGGGCTCTTCTTCTCCTCTCCTCCCTGCCCTCGGAGAGAGAGAGAGAGGGACGTTATCCACTGCATACGCAGGGGAAGAGCCAGGGAAAGCGCTAGCCGTTGAGAACGTGGCGCACGTTAGTAGTTGTTAGTTACTACAGATTAAACTGTGCACCAGCAGATTTAATCACCAATATTATAGGATACGTGGTGATCTCTATAAGCCCCTCCGCGAGTGTTAGAATTTAGCAATAACATGCGCTATTAGTGGAACGCTAACTTGCGCCTTGTAAGGTTATGGTTTCCTCAATCGGCAGTAGTGTCCTTAGAGCGAGAGAGAGAGAGAGAGAGAGAGAGAGAGAGAGAGAGAGAGAGAGAGGAGAGAGGGAGAGATCAGTCATCAAATTCATTAGAAAGATTGAATCAAATCCTACATGGAATTCCATTCCAAAAGGAAGAAACCCTGACCCGGACAAAGCCCAGCACAAGAAGAAGAAGAAGAAGAAGAAGAAAGAAATCGCCCCCCCCCTCTCTCTCTCTCTCTCTCTCTCAGACACAGAGGCTTTCTCACTCTAGACTCTGAACCAGGCTCAGCAGTTGATCCCGCACTGCTCGACGTCCGGGCCGGTGACCCGGGTGGTGAAGGGGTCAATGCGGACCCAGAGCAAGGAGAAGATGGAGGCGAGGAGGATGGACCAGACGACAACAATGGTGGGGGTTCTGTTCTGCCTCCCCATGAGCCCCTTGAGGAAAGGATAGAGATGGACGATGACCCAGAAGGCGAAGAAGAGCTTACCGAAGAGGGGCCCCCAGGACTGGTAGCCGCTGTTTATGGCGTAGGAGATGCCTGCGACGACGCCCACGAGGTTGACGATGAGCAGAGTCGTCGGCGGGATGAGGAGCGTCGTCCACTTGAACATGTAGAGCTCTGTGAAGTCGCCGTCCTCGTCGGAGGCCTTCGAGGTGACAGTGAAGTTGGTGTCTATGCCGGCCAGCACCTTCAGCAGGCCCTGGAAGACGGCGAAGAGGTGGGCGGAGACGCCGCCGATGACCCAAAACTGCTCGTTCCTCCACCACTCCTCGATCCCCACCCCGCTCCACCGCATCTCCAGGATCCCCGTCGCGAAGATGGACAGGAACAGCGCGATGAACCAGATGCTCGCGAAGTTGCTGATCTGCAGCGTCATACATTTCACCATCGGAGAGAGACCCAGAAGATAGAGAGAGAAAGCGAGATAGATAGATACCACGTGAGACAGAAGAGAGAAGATGAAGATGGAGAGAGAAAGCAAGAAGAGACCATGAGAGAGAGAGAGAGAGAGAGAGAGAGAGAGAGAGAGGATGAGAGAACTTGCCTGGGGGATGATGAACTTGCCGGTGAGGAGGCAGATGGCGGGGAGGGTGCAGTAGATGATGAGGGGGATGGCGGTGACGGGGTAGATGGTGGTGTTGATGTAGGCGAAGCGCTCGAGGAACTTGAGGCGGCCGCCATAGCCGTACCAGATGGGGCAGTGACGGCTGAGCAGGATCTCCACGGAGCCCAGCGCCCACCGGAGCACCTGGTTCAGCCGGTCCGACAGGTTGATCGGCGCTGACCCCTTGAACGCCGGCGGGTGCGGCATGCAGTAGATCGACCGCCACCCCCGCGCGTGCATCTTGAACCCCGTCAAGATGTCCTCCGTCACCGATCCGTAGATCCACCCGATCTGCACCCATACAGTTCATCCTTCATCCTCTATCCTCCCCAAACAAAACCCATCATCGTAGATCAACCCAGAATCTATATCTATATTTCTATATATCTATCTATCCATTAATACATAAACACAGTGAAATCATGCTGTGATCTACATGAAGGTGATTGATGATGATGACTGGTGACGAATTCCTGGGATCCAACGGGCATATTGAAAAAAAAAAATAAAAAAAATCTCCTTTGATTTTTCAACGGCATCAGTGCATCTGGTTCTGCCATGGCCTACATGGGTTTGACCTAAATATCTCCAAAGTTTCATAGAAATGAGAGAAAAAGAAGGTAAGGTCACGATGTGGGATCTCGTCTTTTTTTCTCTAGCAGCACTGCGTTGACCTCCAAGCAAGATGATGAGGAGGATGGTTTTTTTTTTTTTTTTAAGTTGAAAAAATAAGAATGCTGTTGGCATACCTCCGATCCCCAGTCCGTCTTGTCTTCATATCCACAGCTAATCACATGGATGGCTTCTTTCAGAAGAACATCGGGGGTCGCCGACTGAGGAACTCCACCATTTTCCATGAGTGTGGACGCCACGAAGACTGTGGATTGGCCAAACCTCTTCTCCAAGCTCATCTGCGACATGAGCAAGGACTTCTCGTCGTCGAATCCGGCGCCTGAGAAGCCAGAAGGCGGAGACAAATCCTCCGATAGGTCAACGAAGAACCAAGAAAAGCAGGCATCTTTCGACGTCTGTGGGGTTTAGATCAAGCACCCACCTTCGACTCCCTCTTCAATGTCTTCCAGGTTGAAGATGGGCACGGTGTTGTCCACCTGCTTGCTCGATTTCTTCTTCTCGGAGCCCTTCTTGTCGGACTTGGACCTCTTCTTCCTCGATCCGCCGCAGCAAAGTGAGAGAAAGCTGGCCTTCTTGTTCTTGTTCTTGTTCTTGACTGGAGGTTCATACCCGTATAAGGCAGTTCTGTTGAAGACGCATCCCGTGCCCACATAAACAGGACCCTGGATTCCATCCAGGCCTCTTAAGTTGATCTGCACAGCAAAGGAGGAGGGTATTTAAAATAAATAAATAAAAATAATATATAAAAAAAACACACACACACACACACACAGATTTGGTTTCACTGAACACAACCATGGGCTATGATTTAAAAATAAAAATAAAAATTGTGCCATAAATTACTAACACAGGCCACTGTTCCTCAGAGATGAGAAACTCGTAATAAAAAATAAAAATAAAAAATAAAAATCAAATCCATGAATGGAGTAATGGGCTATAGACCACTCACATCGAAGAAGACAGTGTTCCTGTTGGCATATCGATCATTCCTGTCAATACCATCAAACCTTTGCGGAAATTGCACATAACAAACCGATTTTCCAAGGTTTGGGTCCATAAGGAAGCACATAGCTTCCCTCAGAGCCTTGCTGTTGTTGATGTAGTGATCACAGTCAAGATTTAACAGGAAAGGGCCGTTGGTGAGGACCGCTGACACACGCACCTGTGGGAAACTTGCAACCCATCAAGAGTCTGGAGAAGGATGATAAGGGGAGTTAGACAGAAGGGTGGCAGCACTCACAAGAGCGTTCATAGCACCGGCCTTCTTGTGATGTTGAAAGCCTGGACGCTTCTCACGAGAAACATAGACTAATCGTGGAAGTTCATTGCCTTCGCTGTCTAGTCCTCCATTTTGGCCTAAGAAGACCTGCCAAACATATGTAATCAGCGGATGGCGGGCACGATTATCTTGTCAAACGTCGGTAACATATTCAGGGAGAAGTATGAGGGTTTAAACACAAGAGAACGATTTCTGGGTTGCAACCCCCCAGAAGCATGGGACAAGAAAGGTATCAGTTTTTTTGAACCCACCAAGTGAAATTCATAGCAAGCATTTCCACTTGAGATCGTAGCAACCAGAATCAGATAAGGTGGTCAACCCTAGCATGGATCCTATTATCATGAGGGCACATAGGGTGGAACTCCTGCAGGTTACAGTGACAGGTAGCCTACAGATGAGGTGGCCAAGATCAAAAGCAGAGGGTCAAGTATTTTTTTTTCTCCGATTTATATCCTTGTTCTTCTTCCTCTGCTCTTTCACGTTCTTCCTACAACAGCAACAATAGAAGGGTCCAGGCTGATCTGGGTAAAGATTGGGTCAGCGTGGGTAGATGTCTAAAGAATCAGCCAGTTTCAGATCAAATCATCCCAGAAACAGGATGTGTCAATCTGATTCGGCAGCTTTTCTAAAAGTTCAGGGCAGGGTTGGATCCCTCCCACGCATCTGAGATCAGCATATCGATCTTAAATACTTGCACAAACTCCATGGGAACATTTTTATTGTATGGATAATATCAGTATCAAAGGGAAGATGACAGTTGCTTAAGCAATAAACACTCAAGATCCCCAGAATTCCCTGACTTAGCGAAATAACAAGTTACCTGGATCATTCCGGGATGATCTCGAGTGTTGTTCCCTGGCCAAGGTGTACCATCTTGCATGATCCATCCCTCATCTGGAACTTTCTGTGCTTTTGCAACAAGCCCATTTATGCGGATTTTGAATTCCTCGTATTCCCTCTGTATCATACAACATGTTAATCATATTTTCCACTGCCACTAAAAGATTCAATTGATTGTTTAAGAAAAACAGAAGAAGCCATCCTGACATGAAAAACAGAATGCAGCTGACCTTCATGGCTCTCCGGTCCTTGACAAAGGATGGAAGAACTTTATCTTTCAAATAGTCAATCTTTTGGGTAAAATACCATTCAGGAGCCCTTGGCTCAATACTGTACTTCTTGCAGAACGGTACCCACTTTCGAGCAAACTCAGATGTTTCTGCCAAAGCTTCAAATGTCAACATCGCGGCGCCGTCGTCAGAGACGTAGCAAGAAACTTTGTCGACCGGGTAGTCAACGGCAAGGATAGATAACACGGTGTTCGCAGTGACAAGGGGTGGCTCTTTCAAAGGGTCCACAGTACTGACAAAAATGTCAACAGCAGACAACTGAGAAGGTTCTCCTTCTCTGTCATACCTATGATTCAACATAAACTCTACATTAATTTTGCCCAACCTTGCAGGCAGACATTGAATTCTTGCAAAAAATGGTACACGAGCAGTCACCTTAAGGAAAGCCTGTCGAGGTACGTCTCCCGGTTCACTGGAAACCATTTGGGGAACTGATCCAATATCCATGATATCGCAAACCAAATCTCACATATGACAGATAAGAGCCACAAGGGGATCGCATTTTTCACAGGATTAGTAATACGATAGTGCAGGAAGATGCAGAGGATAACCAGCCGCAAGACGATAACCATTCGGTATGGGTTTATCCTAGATGAAGGAATAGACACCTTCCTTGAAAGAGGTTGCCGTGCTTCGTCATTTCTGCATGGCAGGGAGATGCGCTAAGAAGGAAAGTAAAGCATGGAATGACATAGAAAAAGTAGCAACACTCTGCAACACAAAGAAGTTTTGCTGTGGCCATGAAGTAGAGATCGAGGGGAAACATTACTAACAGTAGATCGTCATCTATGTTGTAGTCAGTTGTTGCATCAATGTCTCCAACGCCTCTGCCCTCAGAAGGAGCATGACTAGTGCCATTAGTAACAGTGTGACCGTGCACTGAATTCTTGTCCTGTTTCATCCTCCAGCCATCAACCCTCTCCTTCCATGCAACATTTCCAAGTCCACCCGAGAACTCTCGAGAATGATCTAAAATGGCAACAGATGAAAAAAAATACGGTCAGAAAAAAACATCAACACCAAAGTTATGCAAAGTGTGGGATCCAAAGATATATATAAGAAAGACAAGTACATGATTGATTCCCATCTGTATAAGGAATAGGATGCACGCGCTTCCCACCAACTCCCGGAGACATCATGTGGTGATCAGGGGATGATGCAGGGATTTCCCCTGAAATCTGCAAGAAAGATGTAACGTGTTTGATCAATTTAATTATTCAACATTGAGAAACTCAATCCAAGGAGGAAATATAAGGAACAAAATTCACAACCTGGCTGTGAGTGATCAAAGGGATATGGCTCCTGGGAAGTTCCCCACTTAACCCACTATCATATTTCGGGCCTGAGACATCATCTCCCTGCCCATAGCTCAAGCGCCAGTTCAGCATTCTATCTCCAATATTTGGCTTATGATCATGATTACCAGATGGGTAATTGAAGTCGCTTGCATCATCAGCATGGCCATCGTCACCTTCCTCGCCTCGAACCGCAGGACTCCCTGATAATTAGAAAGGTAGATTGACATTAGGACACAAGTTTTTTCTTTCTCCAGGAATCATCAGTACAGTAGAGGAAGGAAATGTTCCAAGTGCCCAAGAACCTTTGTGCCTCTTATACTTGGTCTTGCACTGGGGACAAGACTGATTTCCATCCTTCCTCTCGTACTCGTAGCACGGCCGGCAGACAGGGAAGCCGCAGACATCACATGCAACAAAGACGTCTCCTTCAACCGTGGTGCCGACATCATCTCCGCAGATCTGACAGACCTGCCCTGGCTTTTGACCAGACATTTCCTGGAGAATCGTCAGAAAACGAGACTTAACCCAAAGTTTTTTAGATGCATCATGGCCTCGCTGGACAAACACGCTACATAAAAGACATCCTCAATAAGCGGATCTATGAATCAGTGAGATGAGAAAAAGAAAGAGATGGTACTGACCCTGCGCACGCCGTCTGTCTCCATGAGAGGCCCTCTTCGGCGTCAACCCCTCAGATCTCGCTGAAAGAGTTCTTATAACTTATCTGAAACTTCTCCAACTGGAATGCATCCGATGAATTCCCTAATACATCACAAATCCAAGAAATTTACAAGGAAGCGACGAGAGAAACAGGTCTAGGAATGCGCTTGAACAGAATGTGATGAGGAAATCAAATGTATCGAAGGAGAAGTGAAGGCTGTGACGAGTCTTCCTCCCCGCGATAAAGATGCGCCAGTTCTCACAATCTGCATTGTGGAGATCTGATCTAAAATGGAGCACGGTACGAGCTCAAAAAAAAACCAACCCGCCAGTTTGGCCTCGCCACACCCAGATCAGAACGGAGCGCCGGAACCTGATCAGGACCCCCGCCGACCCATCAGCAGCGAGTGTCGGCGCTCGGACGGAGAATCCCGGAGAGAATGAGGCCCTGCTCTTCCCGGCACAGCTGGAAGTAAATAGCACCACCGACAGCGAAGACAACATTGACCCCCCCCCCTTCCCCGCCCTCTCTCTCAACACCGACAGGAGAAGCCAACGGGGTGAAGTCACTCCTCCTAATGCATTAGTTGGCCAGTTCAGCGTCTCACGTGAGATTATTTATCAAAAACATCATAATATTTATTTAATATTTTAAAAAATACATATATTTAATATATTTATGCTTGTATCCAAAACGGAAATGAATAACTTCCGAGGTTTTGGACACAAACAGAAGTTTTATATTTGAAACGCAAAAGCTACATCCGCGAGGAGGATACTTAAAAACCGCCAGCATGTGTGGGACCACCAGTGGAGGTCAGCTGGTAACCCAGAGGCGAATGAAGGGGTTTTATAAAAAAAAACACGTTCGAGCACGAGGCCGCCGTAGGAATCACGTGCACCACAATGCTGCAGAGTTACGCAGCTGGGGTGACGTGGCACGCGGCGGCGCGCTATCCTTCACTGCGCCGGCGCTTTCCGTCGGCGAAGCGTGGCAAATTAAAAATAGGGCACGTACCTGAAGGGAGAATGGGCTCTGAGCCCAATAAGAAATTCGGAGGCCCAGTAGTAAGCAGTACGATCGGCTCAATAGCAGAACGATTTGGAAAATGGTTGACCGAAATGGTCAACCCTTACGAGTAGCCAATCCAAGTCAACAGAGTTGAAGGGTCCATCATTTAGAAAATTTTGTTGCCCGTTAAATATTTTTTAATTATACAAAAAATTAATAAATATTTCATCCCTGACGGCACAATTTTATGGGTCTCAGTTTCAATAAATATGAAAAAAAATTAATCGAGAGAAATAGGATTCTTCCCCAATAAAATCCATCTAAATAGGGCAACAAGCTAGATAGAAAGCCTAGCCGAGAGCAGGATTCTCACGGTCTTAATCTAGAAGTCAACCCAAATAAGTCATCTCTCCCACTACAGTCATCCAAAGGTCAAGGACTGGAGGAATCTTCAACAGGGTTCTCACGGTCTCAATCTAGAAGTCAACCCAAATAAAGTCATTTCTCCCACTAGACAGACAGCCAAAAGCCAAGAACTGGAGGACTCTTCAACAGAGCTCCCCAGGTCTCAATCTGGAAGTCAACCCAAATAAAGTCATTTCTCCCACTAGACAGACAACCAAAAGTCAAGGACTGGAGGACTCTTCAACAGAGCTCCCCAGGCCTCAATCTAATCAAAGCCATAAGCAGTAAATTCTCAAACTAAAAGGAAACCCAAGTCAAGAACTGGAGGGTTCTTCAACAGAGTTGACTTCTCTAGGTCAGAGTCCAATCAAGCCACAGGAGTTCCACAATGGTGAATCCCATCAGTGTGAATCTGGAGCTAAGACTACTCTGTATCAGGCCTGCACTTGATTAACATGACGAGGAAAAAAGAAAAAAAAAAAAGAAAAGAAGAGAGAGAGAGGGGTAGAGAGAGAGAGAGAGAGAGAGAGAGAGAGAGAGAAGAGACCCCAAAACCAATACCCAGACAGTAGGGGCTTCCTTTGATTGCATCAGGAGGACCCAGAGGGAGATCCAGCTGCAGCATTCTCCACAAGCAAAGGGGTCCTCCTCATTTTCCTTTAGATATAGCATAATCCATTTCCTTGGTGGCTGAAGGGAAGAGCTCTATGTAACGACTGCCGAGCATCATCCTGTCCTTGACCATGGCCAACTTCGAGTCCTCCGCACTACCAAAGTCCACAAATGCTTCACCAGTTGGCCTCCCATCTGGGTTCAGCACAATAAAAATGCTTTCCTCTGAGAGGCTAAAATCCTTGAAGAAGTCCAAGACATCCTCCTTCCCTGCCGAAAATGGCAACCCTCTCATCCGTAGAACTCCAGTGTGCTCTGCCGATTCTTTCCCATCATCGACTGATCTCATCCTCGGTGGGCCGCCGCCGCCGCCGCCGCCGCGGCGGGGGGAGCCGCCTCTGCTGTCGGAAACCTCATGGGCGACGGCGGTGTAGTACTCCTGCCTCTTGCTTCTGAAGACCTCCACGTACCTCCTGCCCATGTTCTGTCTGTTCTTCTGGATGGCGAAGTCAACTTGGAGAGGGTATGCCAGGACGCAGAAGGCTTCTCCGCTGAAACGGCCGTTCTTGTGGACGAAAAGCACGTCGACGATGTCCAGGCCCTGGAAGAATTCGTGGATGTCGAGCTCGGTGCAATCGAAGGGGAGGCCCCGTAATCGGACGACTGGGAATGGCGGAGGATGGCTGATGTACCCATAAGATGCGCCACCATACATAAAGCTCGAACTGGGTGAACCCCCAAAGTATGTCGGGATTGGATCAACCATCCGCTGCCTTTTCAGGCCCATCTCGCGCCCGTCGCCTCCGTCCATGAATTTTCTTTGGTTTCATGAGTAAAAGCGAACGGCGAACAGTGAGTACATTATCCACTGGAATGCAGATATCACTATGTACATATGCATGTATGTATATATCTGGTTGTAACTGATTCAAACATCAAAGCATGTGATGATCCAAAAAGTACATGAGAAACAGACAACAGAGCTGTTTTCCATCAAGAATGAAAAAGTTAGGGGATAATCTCAAATGACAAGGCAGAGATAAGAGTTGAGAATAAGAAAAAGCAGATTTATGGAAAAAAAATAAAAATAGATCCGACATCTGTATCTCTCCGCAGTGAAATCAATCGAGGAGCACCATTTTTTCTCAAATAATAATTTCATCAGCATACTACTACGACAAAGTTTGCCACATCTACAGGAATGTTAGTTAGGGGGTTACTAAGTCAGATTCTCCTAGGAAAGAAAAGGTCGCGTGGGCTGTGAAGCTACAATGAAGAAAAACATTGGATTTGATAGCACATTGCTTTGCAGCAGAGACCATGAAGTTAGTCAACCTATGGTAGTCAGAAGTTCGTCATGATGCAAATCCTTGCAATAGCTTTCACAGGAATAGAACAGCCAAGACAAACGGATTACAGCAAGTACATCTTTAGGATAGAAGCTCCAAGAAGTTAGGAAGAATCACGGGCAATCAGCATGTAGAGAAGACATGAAAGGGAAATAAACAAATAGATGAAGAACGAGGATAAAAATGTTTTCCATTTTCATACAATGGTATCTGCAGGAGAATGGTTGTCTTTCCCCACGTCTTTTTCAGATAAAACCAAGAAATTCCTGAGGGCAGCGCTTCATCAATCAAAGTATTCAATTCCACTCACATTGCCTTCATCACTAAGGAAGATGAAACTGAGAATGGATAATAATATCTAATCCTCTTGCTGAAATATAGTTATAAAATTATAAACAAAATACTGAACAAAATGTAACATTAATAAATTAGCTTTCTTACAAGTTGGACATATGATGTTGATCTCCAGTCTGCATAGGATCCATCATAAAACAACAAGAGGTAGATAAACATGTAGAAAAATCAATTGAGACACTAACAGTAGGGCATTGCGACATCTATTGGAGCTGAAAAAACGCAGTCTAATGTTTTTCTTCTGTATAAAGTTTTGGAAAAAAAAAAAAAATTAGAACGGAAGAGAGCTTGTCTAACATCAGAACAAACTTTCATGAGAATGGCAACGTCCAACAATCAAGAAAGCACAAGGTACCAACAGATGCCTGGCTGCTGATGTCTAACTGCGATGAACTGGAGGCCATTTCCAGTTTTCATGGCAGATGGGGAGGTGATGATATTCTCCCAAAGTTAAATGATCATGTGATTAACAATAGTCCATCCCACACTGCTGTTTACAATGGGTGTTTTAGGGGCGTAGATAAGGAAGAAAAGAAAATGCTTAAAAAGATGAATTAAATAAAATAGCGGATAAATGTTTAGGATGGCTAATGTTTGATAGGTCATCCGCGAATTCGAGGCAGAATCTTCTGATCATGGAAGAATAAACAACCATCATTTTCAGATAATGCAGTGGGCCTTTTCTAATAAATTAACTGACTTCCATTATTTCCCCACAGGTGGAAAAACAAAGCTCTAGAATGATATAAGATTCTAGTACCCCATCTCCAGTAGGGTGAGAGGTTGCGGCAAAACCTGTCTTGAGGGGTGGGGATCACACCACCCAATTTTTTTGCAGACCTTATTTACACACTTGTATTATTCAGAATAGCCATTTGTATCTTGTTACTTTACCTTGACTTTGATAAGAAAATATCCTTGGACCGCACCGACTAGGTTAACATTAAGTCGGGAATCTGATAAATCATTTGAGCAGTTTCCTTGGCTCTTCATGTCTTAGATGACTAGGGCATAACGATCAGTTATTCAATCCAGCATGAAAAATTCGGCGGATTACGCTCTAAGTTATCCCAAGATCAGAATAGTTGCGAGCCCAAAAGGAAAAACTATATATTTTGAAAATATCAAAGGGGGAAAATGGTGGATATGAAGATCAATCGAAATTATTCGACAACATTAGTGGCGTGTATTGTTAGTTTACCCAGAACAGATACGCTACAGTCTCAAATTCAATTTAATACGACCTTAAAAAAAAGCTGAAATAGGTAACGAGGTGTAAGGTGTTCTGGTGGTAAATCCGAGACATATATGAATTAGTCTTGTTAAGAAATGGCTTTCAAGGAGACAGATTATGAGCTTGTCGGTTGGTTTACGGCTTTTATTCTATTCCTGATCATGAAACCTAGAAGACACCACAAGCTGCACATGCCACCCTCGCAAAAGAAAGCTCGAGCAGTGAGACGATATCTTCGAAAACAACAGCACACTATGCCCTATGCGAAACAAGCAGCCGAGCAGCGTGAATTCGCCGTCAAAAAATGCACGGCGTGGAAAACCCTAGGAAACCATCAGAAATAGAATCGGTGATTTCCAGCACGAACCCTAAAGGGCGCTAAATAGTAGATAACGAACCCCGGCATCCGCCATCAGAAATTTCAAACAAATTCGCAAGAGGTAACATGAAAACGCACAATTCTCCACGTCCGTTCCAAGGCTACACAAAGGCGAATAACAACTCACAAAGGACCGAATCAAAATGGGACCCCGCCTCATGGAGGACTTGAGAAACATCACTTCAAAGGAGACACCCAGGAGACGGATGAAATATCCCTACCGTTTGGAGAACATGGCCGGCCGCTGCTGCACGGGGCCACCGCGACCAGAGCTCCTCTCTTGATCCCCTCTCTAATTCGCTTCCCCCCACACTCGTTTCCTTCCTCAGCTTGCGCTCCGCTTTCCTCCCCTCCAGAGCGAGAGAGAGAGGAAACGACCGCCTCACGGACAGGGAGGGGGGCTGACCGAAGGTTAATAAAGAAACTTATTATATTCCTCTTAATAGATTTTTCAAACCTTTTTTTTTTGTAAATTAGGATGGTTCATTATTAATTAATTAATTAAACGAATAATTCATAGGAAAGTATATTATGCACATATGGACTAGAACTAAAGATATATGTCCTTGGCTCATATCAGCTGTTATGAGGTCGATTGAGGATAAATATTTAAAAATAAAAAATGCAAAAAATATGGTGATAATTAGGAGGCTTATGAATTTTTATCACAAATTACTTCTCAATCCAAATCGACATATAACTAGTTTAGTAATGTGACGAAACAATATTTATAAGATAAACAATATTTAAGATTAACGTTATTATTTAACAATTTCTGTGCAAACTAGATGTACACTAAGTGACTACTAAGTGACTAGTATGCAAGCCCTAATTAGGCCCAACATACACCCCTGCGCGTTGTCCCACTGGATGAGAGAGACAGAGAGAGAGATGTTTGCTTAATAGAATCCATATAGAAAAATGGATTTACAGTGGTGCTCTCGTTAAAACCCTGATGGTAGAATGAAGCTCCGAAGAAATTATGAAGATTGCCATTTATGGAAGTGCAGTAACAATGTGACTAGCATGCCAACCCTAATTAGGTCCAATATAGCAGCATACATGCCTGCGCATTGTGTCACATTGAGAGAGAGAGAGAGAGAGAGAGAGAGAGAGAGAGAGAGGCAACGTAGCAAGGCCAAGCTCGCTTAATAGATTACACAAGGAAAATGGGTTTTCAGAGGAGCTCTCTCTGGTTAAGATCCTGATGGTAGAATGAGCCCATGATGATTGCTATTTATGGGAGTAATTTTAGGGTTTGGGAGAAGAGCTCTTTCCTCTGGTAGATTCTAGACAAGGCATGCAGAGATTACCTAGAGGGAGCAATTAAAATAGTTGGATCTTATGATACCTACCCCCTTCCTCCTCCAGAGGAGGAGCAAGAGAAAAATGCAGGGCTTCGAAGGTGGGCACAGGAAGCTCATCATGGAAACATTCCCTCGAGAAACTCTTCAAAATCTTCGTTCCCATCATGCTTTCTCCTCGCGGAAGATGATGATTCATAATCTGATATAATCATAAAAACGTTGACTTTTTAGCATCTGGAGTATGCCCAACAAGTAATTTTCAACACAAAACAAAACCCAATAGCGAGAGAGAGAGAGAGAGAGAGAGAGAGAGAGAGAGAGAGAGAGAGAGAGAGACGGGGGGAAACTCTGGGGGCTCTTCCATCAAGGGAATCTTTCTGATGACAGTTTAATCCAACAAAACAATACGTGAAGCTCAGGTCATCAACTGTTCTGATACATAATATGCTATATTCGGAAGTTTTTTGGGCCTGGAATCTGTGTGATCTTGCAGTGGTCGAGTTCAGGATGATAACAGTGAAATAAAAAGTTATTGGGTAGAACTCTGAAATGGCCACAGGGAATTGCAACAAAACAATAAGCGATTCCATCCACCACAAAACAATTCACCCGGAGAAGCTTCAGGATCTTAGAAGCCAATGAAACCAAGAAGTAGTTCTTCACGCTGAAGCACATGAAAGGAAGGATCAATAGTATGGTTTCATGTCTCATAATCTTAACCTTAAGGTCTCCTAATTTCCACAAAATCTTACTCAATGATGATATATCGAGGTTTTACCAAGCTTTTGAATTGAAGGGCTTACAATATCACTATACGGATTTTTTTCCCTTTACTATAAATGGGCTTGTTCTATCTTCGTCATTATATTTCAGGCATCTGCATCGGAGATTGCCAATCCCAACAGGTGATCAGAAAACTAGCAGCACAAAGAAATTATCCAGCATCAATAAAGATGAACAACCTCACTAGTACAAGATCTAATAAAAGCAAAGAAAGCCACAGAAGCGTGACAACAGGGGGCCAGGAGTTGAGACCTTTCTTCCTTGCATCACCTCCTCCATATTCATCATCTGAGCTACTGTCTCGTCCACTTCTTTCCCTGATTATTCGTTGACCATCAGTAATGTACTCCCACCAGTTATTATTAGAGAGAAATGACATGTAACAGACTCAAAACCTCTTCCTCTTGAGATTATCTTTCTCCTTAGCCTTTGCCTGCTCCTTATCTTTCATCCTTCTATAAACAAGCTTTTCTCCACATCTTCAAGTAAAATAGCAGTAGAAAAATGCAATCAGGGATGGGAGGCGGCAGTTAAAGAATTCAATTCATTTTCACATAGGCATGACGCGTTGAAGAAACATGACTAATATGCACAGGCTTTCCATACTCACACCCCCTCCAAAAAAGGCTAGATTAGGGTACAAAAGCGGAGAAGAAGCAAGAAATATAATTCAGGAATATGCTAAAAGACAATCAGTGGAAAATTAACAAGGCCAAAATTGTGGAAATTAATACGGAGAAAATATTACAGCCAGAGATATAGTAATTTTGCATCAGAAAAAAATGTGGAGGATGATAAACTAGCTAACATATATCGTTTGGAAGAATCAGCATGTTGACAGGTGAATGACTGGGTAGCTAATTTTCCAAAAACCTGGATTTCATAGCCTTTCCAACATGGTAAAGATGATTTTTAATTATTAACCTTAGTATCACGTAGAAGCTTTCAACATAAAATACCTGAGCATTTTTTTTACATAAATTCTTGAATTGGAATATAATCTAGATTTGGGAGGAACATTTAGTTGTGCCAGATTCAATATTGACTAAAAATTCCTAACCTATGACAGCTGGAAAGTGATAAGAGCTGGAAGACCTAGCAAGGAAACCACCACTGATAGGGAACTCGTGGAACTACTGCCATTGCATATTGTTTCAAATAACATAATGGAAACAGAAAAAATATGAGATAGGCTTCGTAAGAAGATTCACAAGCTAATTTGCCTCACATGGGTAGTATGGGATAAAATGTTCAGATTTAAAACCAGAATTTTCCAATAAAAGGTTGCCCTCCAAAGACAATATAGAGGCAACAAAATCAGGTAGCTCAAACTTGATGTTGATACCAAGTGCCTTCTATGACACCATATCAAAAGCAAATGATTATAGTTTTTTGTAACTAGTTTTTTCAAATGGAGTCCAGTGGCTGGTTAGCACTGAGAAGCATGATTTAGTGAAAGGGTAGAGCAGAAGATGCAGCTTTCGACAGTTCAATCAGATTTATTGGATTTTTAAATGATGTGATTTGGGAAATTTCAGTACCCATGTTAGGTATCGTTGAGAAGCTTGGTCCAATAAAACTGGGGAACACCAATAGCCATGATTTAGGAAATTCGGTGGAAAAGAACTAGAGGATAATTCCATTCACAAACAGGCATACGATGGAACTGATTACTAAGTAACAGAATGAATGGCAGAGAGTAATATTTCTGCTACCGTGGAAGACTCTTAAGTGACTCGAATTTTTCACAAAACTTAAAGAGACTTAAGTTAGAACATACAGGTGTGGTGCATTCCAGACTCAAGCTTTTCAGCCTAAAGAGAATTCCCTCCCTGTGTGGGAAGCTTCTTATACGTGCTAGTCTTTTACTTAATGTAGAAGTGATTTAGTCAGCTTTAAAAAATTGTTTCAGGAAATCTGCCATCTTCTCTTTAGATCGTCCAAATATGCAGCTTCCCCAACGTGATTTATAGTCATTCTCTGTCTCAAATTAGCTTGCTTAACATCTTGTAAACACATCATTTTTTGTAATATTGTTCACTTGAAGATCGGATGATTACTTGAAACAGAAAATTAACCAGGGATGGATCCAAAACCAATTGTTCAAGGATATTATAGCGTGGCGATTTGGAAAGTTAAGATCTAGTAGACAGCGATGTAAATCCAAAACAAAGGAAACCATCGAACAGACGTTCCTTGGGTAAAAAATCTTATCAAGATTATGGAAATCGAGTAGATCATGCAAAAACATAGCATATATTAAAAAGGGTTGCTAATGAAGAACGCCAACCTCTTGCAAGCAACTAACTTTACAAGGGCCTGTTTACTTTCTCCAGCTTCGAGGTAGGAGAAATTGACCTATGAGAATCCAGCAGTGCAAGAATCATCATGATTTTACACAACTAAGAAAATATCATTTAGTAAAATTGATTTTGAACTATGCCGCCTGTGCTAAATTAATGTTTGCACAAATCTGCTGCATCAGCATGATAATAGCCGATCTTAGCATAAAAAATACTCGAAATATTGAAGGAACCTAAATTTCACTACGTTTCTGTACTGAAAAAGAAATTCTGCAAATGGCAAAAAAAAGTCCAACTTCTGGTTGGGGGAAGGGATGGATGGCCCACAGCTTTATGAAAAAAATATAAAACGAATGTTTTTGGAAAAAATGACTTAAAACCTTGAAAAGGCTGACTATACACTGTTTAATTTGGGCCAAGAAGACCTTTGAGACAGGGCAATGGTGTTTGAAAGCAGAGCAGATAATCACACATCCGTAATCCAAGGAGGGCGATCTCTCTCAAGAAGAGGATTAGGTCTGATCTGGAGATAAGATAAACTAGGATTCCAAATAGAACAAACAAAAAAAATGACACTCCAAACGGACGAAACATTTCCAAGAAAAAAAAAAACAGTAAATTGATATGTAATTCAAATAGAAGAAACACAATAAACGGTATTAAATTTCCTCTTGTTAACATTACCACAAAAAAATGCCAAATATAGATCCACACCAATGTGTCAAATGAAGCAGACAAATGAACATGCCTCATAACTTCCCAAGTCACTGTTCTCATCGCACTCTCTATTACCACAGACAAACTGCCCTGCAGAAGTATGAAATGAATCATAATTAGAATGAAGTTATTATGCACTGTTTAGAAATAGGTGAGTGAATTCTTGGCATAGAAAACCAGGAAAAAGAACTCACTACCATGTCAGATAATATAGCAGTGAGCTTATAGATGATATACCCCCCTCAAAGCTGGAAACTTATCATAAGGAGACTTGAATGTTGTTTGGAAATAATCACCACTTGAATTTTAATCCTTCTAATCACAAAGAGAATTTGATCTTTTCTGAACAATGAAATGACACCTCAGATTTTTAACACAACAGTGACGACTTTTTATGTAGCCCAGTCTAACAGAGTTCAACAAGATCTAGATCATAAAGGATTCATGATGATTTGAAGGACAAGAGGAGAGGCACACAAATTATATATGTATTTATATATGTCTATCTCAGAGAGAACGGGAGAGATGAAGCCAGAATACAATACTAATCTGTCCATAGCCAATAGTACCATAACGTGGGCAGATACAGCAGTTTGATAATTTTATAAGGATAAAGTTGAAATATGAGAGGGATGTAAAAAAAAGGATGTAATCACCAGCAACCTTTCCCAGATATAACTTCCTTTTCTGTCCTCCATCTTAATCCAATCTGAAAGCAGAAGAAATGCTTAGAAACTAAAATAAAAAAACTTAACAAGACCTGTTAAGATTGGAATATAAAGAGGATAAATAGACTACAAATATAAAATATATTACACAACAATTTAAATGTGCCATTCATACTATTGAGAATAACTTTTCTTTGACATTTGACAGTATAGATCATAGAAACTGAAAGTATATTTATTATAACAGGTTCCTTCCTGGCTTCCATGGCCCACGTTTCCTATTAAAAAAAATAAAAATCCCTTTAAGGGGAGATGGGAAAATGTTTATTAAAAGCAAAAGAAGGTTTAGACAGATTAAATGAGGTCAGGCGCCCAATGCAACAAGATTATTTACGACAATTACTGACTAGGTCCAACCAGGAGTTGTCATGTTTTTTGGAGTTTATATAGGGTCAGCACGAGGGTTGAAAAGGTCAAGGGAATGTAAATTGCCACCTAGAGAGCCTGCACTTGCGTTTGGCTAAATAGCGAATTCCCCACTATGGAACCCCCATTGACCTAATAAAGTCCAGTTTAAACTTGAAGACATCAAATCATTAAATGAAAATCAACACAAACCCACTAGAACAAACTCAGCCTCATTATTGTTAGTGTTTCAAGCTCAGAGGTCAACAAACACTAATTCAGAGCAAGTTTATGGACCTTAATATCATACTTACACAGAGATATAATGTTCACCTTATTGGGCACAGCTACCAAATTCTAAAAATTATTCAACGAGTGTCAATTACAACCTCTAACTGGCATGCAGTCTTCAACACAAAAAACGCTAATTAGGCATTCATTTTACTAAAGGAAAGGAAAGGAAACAATCTCAGAGAAGAACGTGGTCACTTAAAAAAACAGTTATAAAGCAGCTGAAAAATGTAGAAGGAATGTAAACTTCTTCATATAAATCAGAGAAGGCAAACCATTAGCTCTAAATATCCTAAGAGTCTTACCTTGCCTTTCCTGTACTGTGACATGTCAGCAATGCAGTATCTTTCAAAGGTTAAGGTATCTAATGAAAAACCCGAAGTGTAACAGTTATATTAATATAGATTAAGCCAACCAACAGTGATTCAGATCATTCGCGTTTGAACCAAAGAATATTAACAAGTAGATATCTATATGCATGAAATGGAGACTAGAAAATCACCATATGAAGACTGGATATAATTTTCTTTCTTTACACCATTTCTCCTTGGACGACAAGATCATGCTATCAAACACAAGCCATAGTTGACATCAATAATCAAGTATCTTCTGCCTCACCTGTGTAGCTGGTAAAATGCACAAAGGGGTATCCACATTAAGATCTTCTAACAGAGAGATTAAAAGTCGCTGAAATTCCTGTGAAGATAAACAGGTTTGACTATGATGATGATGATGATGAGTAACTAGTTAGAAACAATGTACTCACTGGCCTTGAGTATTTTTTTCTTTAAATCAAACATGTTATATTCTTTTATAAAGCTATCGTTAATGAGTCAAACTTCGCATTCCTTCATCCCTTTACATCTTAATTTTTTATTATTATTAAGTTACGCATAAATTTCAAACTACTATCGTTTTTTGTTCAAATGCTTTGTGGCCTACATTTAAAAAGCATTACATCAAGTTTCGAACAGTAGTTTTAGCCATATTAGTGCGACTCAGGTATTTGTATTTTTGAGAATACTAATACCACACTAGGTCTTGTGTCTTCTCAAAACATTAGAGGGTCGTATTCTTACCCTCTTCATGCAGGCAATTGGGTTCTGCTCTCAGTTAGATACAAGGTCATATCCTTCCTATGCTGACATTATACATCCCTACATGATGCCCATGCAATTGGTCAACGTTATATTAAACATCTCAAGTACCTAGTTAGCCTGCATGACGCCCCTGTGACTCGGCTACCTAGTTAAGTGAGGATGCACTTGCTTAGATCCAAACACACATCAACATATCCACCCATTGAGATCCCAATTTATCCAAGACAGTATCATACAGTTTTAATATGCTATTAATATTTTACGTGCAAACCTCACACAACAATTGTTCATTAAAACTTAGACATCGCAATGCTGACATAACTGAAATTTGAAGTGTTAAGAAATTTCACCTGCTATAACGTCATGGCAAAAAAAAAAATCTGCAAAGGTTCCATGGAATATGATATTCTTGAAAATGACAAGAGACACTGCCTAAGAAATATGAAATGACAGCTTTAGAAAAAGTAACCAGTATATGCCAAAAATGTTAGAAGGACACTCTTCAAAGGATACTCTTTGAAAAGCTTGTCATAGTAACGTTTTACAAGTCTTTTCTCCCAAGATGAATCCACATCATCTTCCTCGGATAAAATGAACCTTACAAAGAAAACAGAAATATTTTTAGGCCTGAAAAGGACCGTAAATATAAAAAATAAACACTTTAACACCAGAAATTTTAATGACGTTTTTATCCTAATTGAGACAAAATTTCCGGACCAATGCCATGAAAGACTATTCTATGAAAAAATAAAAAATCTACACATATAGTTGATAAATCCAAGATAACATAAGCATCATGAAAATCATAAAAAAGGCGAAAACCTTCTCTACCAGAATCAGCTTGAATCTCATTTATTTGCCAATCAAACATGTCACAAATCAAGACGGCAGAAATCATTTAAAGACCAAAGAATGGTGAAAACATATGCAACAATCTGTTTTTCAATCAACATCACATGCTAGTAGAGGAAACGCAATTAGCTTGTTCACCAAAATGTGACCACACTGGACATCCACGGTAAAAACATATGATTGATAATTGTTCATGTCTTCTCACAAGGCGGAGTAAGCAAAACAAATTTTTAGTTTTCGAAGCAGAATTCCTATTATCTATCTTAAAGCTTATGAGATAGCTCGTGTGACAAAACTTCTCTCGAAGGTAAACAAAGGGAATGGGCCTCACACATGAAAATACCCATTAGCAGAACAACCATGTTATTGATACGCAACATAGGCACGTTCCTGTTCAATTACTTGAACAACCACCACTTATAACATGCTCTGATCAACTATCTACCCTTAATAAGAGAACAACGTCCGCCAAGTTGGATAATTTCAGTTTTACTATTTCAGTATTCTATTTGATTATGAGATGGAGATTATGGTTGCATGCTCCCTTGGACAGATTAGACCACTCCAATCCTCACTCTGCAGCTCCTATAAAGCATTTTTCCAGACGAAAGTGGAGTGTAATGGGCAGTAAAATCGAGTGTTATATGCTTAAGTGCCTGGGTACAGTTTTCACCGAACCATTGATAAGCTACTACAAGCTAAAGATGTACAGAGACTTTGTTCCACTTCAAGATGAACCAGGGATCAACGACTAAACTGAAACCATTCAAGATAGTTCCACTTTTGATCGGAAGTAAATGAATCGCAATAGATACAACAAGAAAGTGATTGGAAAAGTTGAAATTAACTGCTTCCATTGTAATATGTTCTAAAATCGTCTTAGGCATATTTTTCTTCGGCACCACATTATCTTTCATTTAGATGAAGATTATTAATGATGGCCATTTGAAGACATTGCCCTTAAGGCATCATACCCGGTTCCAAATGAACAAAACATAAAATAAAGCTTTCGAAAACCAAGAATTTCCCTTTTACGTTTTAAGACAATTCAGAAATAGTTGAATTTTCATAATGGGATGGAAAATGAAGCGCTATCATGAAGGGCGAGGCATTTGGCATCAGGTTAATATCATCCTTTGGCAATTCCATTACACATGATGTACGGAGATAAATAGCTAACTCACCTGTATCCTTCTCGCAAAGTATCTTGGTCAGTCTTAACAGGCATTGTAGGACGTACCTTTTTTTCCTTCCCATAGAAGTCAGCTGAAAAATTAGTATGTTCTGGTTCGTTAATCGTGTCCCATAAATGTCCAAAACAAGGATAAATTCAAACCAAAATCATCCTGAATAGTTTTATAAGGATAAACATAGTAACTCGGATAAAAATAAATATTTATGTAATACGATGTATAAAGAAAGGAAAGGAAAGGTCAAAGAAACCCATATGAAGGTTGTGGTTGAGATGATCCCATCACACCAACCCTCTATACTTCAAGAGTTGAGGAAAAATTACTGAAACCATAAGCCAGCAAAGCAAGGAAGAGAATATTTTAGGATTGAAGCTGTTTCTATCTTTTATAGCATGTCTATAGGTTTTGGGATGAGATTATACATAGCCATAGAAAAGCTTAAGATGTAGAGTATAATACCATCAAAAGTATTCCAGCAAACGGATTTCTAAGGGTGATAAGGAAAAATGGAAAACAATGACTTACTTGAAGAAGTGCAAAGAAGGCCATATATTAAAGTCGTACTTTGAATTTCTAAAGACAATTTTTTTAGGGAAATTATGAGCTTCGTTCCGTGATCCAAGGTTTTTAAGGCAATAAGGCAACGACCTACTGCCTAGGCGAAAAACTAAGGTGATTAATCAGTGCTTTGTTGAAGATGTTTTCTTTTTTCATTATTTTTCAAAGTAGAACAGTGAGCTGCTGTTGATGAGGACAACAGCTCTAATCTGCATTGTTTCGTTACCATCAGCATTTTTTTCCCTTTTGGTCAATGATAAGAGTGAGCTGCAGTCAAAGATAGATATTGCGTACAGATGTGGTATTTTTCGCAAAAACACATTCATTTTTATGTTATTCACTAATTTAAAATACTTTTATGGATTTAAACTTATTCCTCTGTCACCATCCAAGTTCAAGCAATTATTCGCACTTGTATTTGCCAATGGTTGGTCATTCACATTTACTAAACCAATTGCAGGGACGCCAACACCCCGCCCAATTAATGAAAGTCACATCAGCAAATACGGCCATCTGCAAAATGCATTTTCACGTGAACTCCTTAAAAAATGCAGCCATCACCGTGTCACTAGCATGAATCCATTTGCAAGCATCGTATCCGCAAACATCTCTTGCATATAAGGTTCTGATGGTCTGGGCATCTGCCCTGCTCGATTCAAAACCATGGTAGCAACCAAGAGATACAAAAATTGATCATTTACTTCTGAACGAGACATAATCTGACATGAGTGGGGTGGTTCACAAAAGCAAAGGTGAGGAATCGTTTAATTTTTCAGGAAAATAGTTTAACATGAATGCATTGACAGTGTCATGTTGAGGATAACTACTTTAGCTTCACAAAATGGACTGAAACCACAAAAACAGACGAGCTTATTGCACGATTACTAAAATGTATCAGTTAGGTGTTTCCATATGTGGAATGTAAGACAGTCAGGAAAAATCAACAAAGATTCTTCATTTCTAAAGTCTGAGGGTAAAAGCGATGCTATGGGAAATAAATGCGGAATCAAGAACTTTCGATCCAGAATAAGTCGGATTCCCTACAGAACATTAAGACCCTTCGAATTATAGAAATTAGGAGAAATGTTTGAATGCATGTAGCCCCCTGATTTTGTCTCCTATCCAGGGGACTGTTCATCATCCACTCACTATAGGACACAGGAATCCAGCAAATAAATAACTCATTATATGCATGCGTTCCCATATCCATCAGTTCAAATCCATAGGTAGAGGTAAAATTCGTATAAAGACGGACGATATCATGGACTCCCATGGCAACCTGATGCAACACACTGTTGCATATCCTAAACAGCTCAAAATAGTCGCAAAAACTGATACTGATAGTCAGTCTAAAGATACATTCTTGAAACTTCGTCACATGATCACTACTTTCTATATGTTGAAGTCATGCACAATTACGGCATCATATTTTCATTTAAAACTTTACTGAACCATACAATCAAAAATTACAGCATCAATACCATATAATTTTCGTTAAACATTCAATATAGAAGATTGATTGATCAACAATTCACGAATGAAGATGTACACCGTTTTACAGTTTTGCGTGTTCACAAAAAAAACTCATACCCAGAGATGCAATTGGGTACAAATGAAGGTTAGCAGCCCAAGGCTGAAATCGTGATAACTGTAATCTGGGCATTTAAGCCATCACCAAGGATTAAGTAACATCAATGAGATCTCTTCAGTGTCCACCTTTACAATCTAAGCAGGTCCTCGTGAGTATATAGATAGATAGCTATCCATTAAAATTTGGAAGGATTACAACCAAGTCACAGTGACAAATGCACAACAAACATGGAGAAGCTGATAGAGAAGATTTAACCGGATTAAATGGAAAATATCTGCTTCACGATACTCATTGATGGCCTTAAATAGATACTTATAGAAAATAGGTAAAGCCAGACAAAAGGCCTGCCAATTCAATATTGTTTTGGAGAAGGCATTGGCCCAGAAATTCGGGACGAAAAAAGCTCGGCCTAATAATTACAAAAAATAATAATTTTTAGGAATACTTTTAGCACCCAATGGCCTAATAAGGCATTGTGTCACACTACCTAGGAAACAAGCTCATCATACAAAATAGCGTAAAATATCAATTCGGTACTTCAGCGTTATATTAGGGTTAAAAAACCTTTTGAAAGCCTAGAGCCAAACAAGGAATTAAGGCCTTAAAATAAAATAATTAAAAAAATTACTGTGCTCACACCTAACGGATTTGAATAAAAAGCGATCCTGTGTTCCTACATGTGCCAACACAATATGTTAGATGTCACATAGGGTAGCTTTTATTTTTCACTGATAATTTGGTCTTATATGAAATTGGCATTATCAACTCCAAATTCAAGCCGAGGAAAAAATTCTGGAAACAACAGTTTTTTTTGTATTTATCTTGTTTATAGAAAAACATTGGTTTTGCTTGAACGCATGAAAAATTATTAAAAGAGGACCTATTTCACGCCGGTAATGCCTAATTCTTGCAATATGTCACAGGACCACTGTTGCCAAGGTGAGTGCCATATAAGATTAATGAGAAACCCGTTTGGACGTGTACAAAATACAAACAGCTCATATGAAAAAAGTCTCCATAATCAATCTCTCACCCAGGGTACAGAGAAAAAAAGAAACACGAACCGTAAGTGAGTGAGTGCGTGAGTGAGTGAGTGAGTGAGTGAGTGAGAGAGAGAGAGGAGGGAAAGAGAGAGAGAAGAGAAAGAGAGAGAGAAGAAAGAAAGAAAACGACGTACCGTAATCCTTGACAAACTTCTTATGGCGTTCGTATGCATTAAGCCCTCGGATATCAGATTGGTATTGCCTGCAGAAGAAGACGTTATCATTCCCCCACTTCCGTGCCGAAACCGGACCGATTTCGAACGACTGAACCCAAAGATTCTCCGGGAAGAAGAAGAAGAGGACAGAGAGACAACTCACAGTTTCCGTTCCTCTCTGTCGAAGACACCGGCCTTGAGGAACCGGAAGGAGGCCATCCCCTCCCCTCCCCCTCCCCCCTTCCACTTTTCAGAAAGAAGCGTTCATGTCCCGGCGATTGCGAAAACAGTGGGGAGGTGAGCAGGTTATATACCCTCGGTGATTTTCGCACGTGCTTAGGCACGTGACCATGAGAGGGTGTGCAATCTCACGGTGGCAGGCCTAATCCAAAGGATTAAGATACGAATTAAAATTAACCATAGTATTTAATATTTTTAAAAATAATTATTTGGACGACCAGCCGGGCAGGGCTACTTCGGCCGGGCCCTCTCTTACGAGGCCCGGCCCGAAACTATGGGCCCATCTCTAGCCCCATCAAATGCTATTTTAGAGAGATATATAACTAATATTATATGTATATATATATATCATCAAAGTCCTCATCCGACTCATTTAAGAATGTAAATATTTTTATTTGAATTTAATTTTCAAAAACTAGTGTGCTAGTGTTCTTTTATTTTTTATTTTTTATCTCATGAAAAAAATCTCCTGGCCCCTCCCAGCTGGCCCCCTCCAACGTTTACTGGGCCCTGGATGGCCCATTAGAAATCCCATGAACTTGCCAGGCTGGTCAAAACCCAATAAGAGAGAGAGAGAGAGAGAGAGAGAGAGAGAGAGAGAGAGAGAGAGAGAGAGAGTCGGCATTTTTGTTCCCAATTATAGGAAAAAATGAATCAATTCAGGATCGGAATTCTGAAGCCACTCAGAAAGATGCAATCTTTAATAAACACCATGTAACCTTCACAGACGTCATCTTTTGATGAACAGAACGCTGCTCACTGCCTTGAGAGGCACGATTTTTACGAATGCTTGTGTTTCCACTGGCATCAAAAGATGCGTAAGTTTTGGAAAAATAAAAAATAAAAAAATTCTAGAAGGCCAGGAATGGATTAGACCCCAGCGAAGACCAAATTTGGCAAAAAATTAGAAGATAAGTTGACCCTATCTTTCTTTCTGTTCTTGACTTCAACGCCCAACCCATACCAAATTTGGCAAAAATCTAGAAGATAAGTTGACTCTATTTTTATTCCTGTTCGTGACTTCAACGCCCAACCCTTAAATCCAGAGAGTTTAGAAAAAGAAATCTAGAAGGCCAGAAATGGATTGAACCCAGCGAAGACCAAATTTTGGAAAAATCTAGAAGATAAGTTGACCCTGTTTTTATCCCTGTTCTTGACTTCAACGCCCAACCCTTAAAAACCCATAGTAAATTTAGAAAAATTTAGAAGACCAGCACTGGATTGGACCCCAGCGGAGACCAAATGATAAGTTGACCCTGTTTTTATCCCAGTTCTTGACTTCAAGCCCTTAAACCCAGAGTAAGTTTAGAAAAAAGAAAAAAACAAAAGAAATCTAGAGAATCAGCAATGGATTGGATCCCAGCGAAGTCCAAATATGTGAAAAATCTAGACGATCACCTGACCCTGTGTTTATTCCTGTTCTTGACTTCAAAGCCCAGATTTGGGAAAAAGAAGGAAGATCACACCAGGTCAACCCCAAGGCTCATTAAGCTCACAGGCACCGTCTCCCCTGCTGGTAATGGAGGGTTCATCCAAGTGGAGGGCACCCCAACTATTAAAAGAGGGAAACAGGACTAAGAACACCCTTAGATTTTCCATGGAGACCATCCTGTGCTACCCTCTCTCTGTTTCCAGATATGGAGAAGGTTAGGTGCACTGATTCCGGGGATGGGGGGACAAAATACCAGATTTACAGGATTAGACAATTAAATCAAGTGTAAAAATAGTGGCTTCACTCAAATGGAAACTGCTAAAAGAGGAAAAAAAAAAACTGAACTAGAAAAACACAGGCAGATTTTTCATTGAGATCATTCCCAGCCACGCCTCTTCTTTTTTTTTCTTCTGTGGCAGGTAATGAAAAAGGTTAAGTGGGACTAAATTCAATCTACTGGAATTCTCGAGGGGTCGGTCGGTGAGAGCCGCTTTTATTTTCGGGGAGGGGGAAAATATGAGATTTATATTCGAGTAATATAATCAGTGATCACAAAAACAGGAGGGAAAGTTTTGTTACTGACCAGCATCATATTCTCTCTCTGTCCCACCAAGATCTTCTGTGGCTCCACCAGTGTTAGGCTCCAGATCCTCATTACTCGCTGCCTCACCCATTGTCGTCGGTTTGGCGCCGTCAGAAGGCTGATCCGACTCTGTTTGATTGGCGTCGGTCTGTTTCGTGTCCCTCATGCCGGAGAGCGCCAACTTCGGAGACCACTCGAGCATGTCGTCGATGATGTTTGATACCCGTTTTTGGTACCTAGAAGGAACATGAATCTCATAAATAAAATTGGGGAAGAACTCAAAACCAGCTTTTATTGAATCTGCTTCAATACCTAGTAACTCCCCCTGATGAAGAATGTTTTAAAAAATAAAGTATGATCAGCATTGCAAGGACAATAATCTAATTGTTGCATGCTTGGAGTATGTTGATCACCGCAGTATGCAGTCATGCGGCAATTAGATTATTGTCTTAGCAATGCAGATCATACTTAATTTTTTAAACATTCTTCATCAGGGGGAGTTGCTATACTTGTGGTATATGTTGATGATATCATAATTACAGGAAGTGATGCCACTGAACAAGAACATCTTAACAAATGTCTCACACCCTGATGAAAGAGATTCAACAATTTATGCAAAATATATCATTTACTTTATTAGGTAAGTGTATAAAAATGAATACTCCAGAAGAAATGAACATCCAAAAAATAAAGTGAAGTGGGGCAGATCCCACTCTCTCTGATGAGCGATATCTGATCGAGACCCTGCTTCTTTGTGGGCATCAGGGAAAAAGGAAACAAGAATGTAGATAAGAGCATGCAACGGGGAGGGAGATGAAGATTATGTGATGTACACTTTGGACTATAAATGGATAATTTATAAGCTGGTGCCCCCTTGATCAGGAACAAATCATGCTTATCTAAACTGCCTGTATTTGGAAAAGAAAGGGGCTGTGAAGTTACCTGGCTCTGGCCGCTTCATCAGGAGCATGCTGCCTCAGAAGGAAGATGACCAGCAAGACTACGGCAGCATAGAATAACCTTGATGTCCACTTGGGCGGTTCTCCTTCATCTTTCTTGGGCCAAAACCGTATCAGCTCTCCGAAGGTAGTTTCTTCCGCATTTATGTTGGGGAAAATCCACACACGCTTCCCGAGAGTTATCCATAAGGCGCCAAACACCATCGCCCTTACTGAAAAATAAAGGACATATGATCATAAGGCTAAGCCTGGGCCGCTTGTAGAAACCACGGACCACAGGGAAGATTTCCAACCTAGTACAAGACAGTAATCTGCTAGAAGAGTTCATAAATAAATTTGACCATTGGGTTTATAGCTTTTGTGAGAGAAAATGGAGAATTGTGCGTAACAACACAGAAGGTTGCTCTTTTACACTAAATTTTTGCCAGAATAGGCCATGTGAATGGCGAATTATTTGGTTTTTATTGAAGAAAACACACGCATTGGGCATCTAAATCATCAGAACAGATCTAAAGGAAGAACAGTTACGGATTGTTTTTCTCGGTGCTTATGAGATTCTGCAAGATTAGACCATCATAACACAGTTTTCAATAGTAGAGCTTGATAGTAAATGTGATCTGAACCCGCGATTGATGGGATAAGATGATTACACTCATGATGATGTAGAAAAGAATGTATATTTAGGAGTTCAGCGCTAAACTTTCGGTTTCCTAGTTGTTAGGTAGGTAGGTTCCTTGCTTTGTGGCCCAGGTGCTCGTATATAACAATCATCTATGATGTGAATATGATAAGAGTTTTTCCCTTCGTATATTCTCCAAGGGTTTGTGCCGCTGTTCAAGAAACATATCCAAAGGAGGAGCCGTTACGTATTGTTTTTCTTGGTGTTCATCAGACTCTGCCAGATTAGACCACTAGAACACAGTTATCAATAGTAGAGCTTGATAGCTCACGTAACCTTAACCAGATTGATGGGATAAACTGATTACAATCATGGTTATGTTAAGAAATCTTCTGCCCAAGGATTTGAAGAGGGTTTAGAAAGATGCAGCGGAAAATTTTCGGATCATGAACTGAATCTATGCAAACTACTGCACCATAGAAAAGCTCTGAAGTGTGTTTAAATGACCAGTCAGTGGAGGAGTTCCTGAGAAGTCTACTGCTGGTGAAATCACGATTTGTTAACTGCACAGAGATCAATTTTCACATAAAAATGAATGAACGGGAATCATAGGGAAAATAAATATTATCTCCAAGAACAATAGTTTAATGAGCTCTCATAGTCATTTGATACTTCATCTGTAACGAAGATATTACTTCTTTCAGTAACTTCTAATCAAACACTAATATTTTATTTTGAAAAATATCCTGAAAATGGCAGCTGAGATTGTATACATAGATGAAATTCATCCAACGGGATAAATCACTTAACATTGAAGCAGACAACATAAACATATTTATCCAAAAGATAATCTTATTTGTCATAGCAGCAAGGATTAGAGTATCAACAAACACAACAAGTGGCACATGTAGTAACCATGTGCCAAGAACATGCTTAAAAGCATGACCATCCCTAGTAATCATACCTCCTCACTTAGAACGAACTATGTGTAGTAAACAATGTAATCCATTGACAGATTACGATTCATTCCACAATGGGTCGTCTATAGAAGCAAGTGAACGTAATGCACAGCTCTAAATCTATTAAAGAGTATCCTTCTATACTTGTCCTATTATCTATGATCTTCTTTGATATGCAATCTGCCCGGTGTCTAGATAAGACAACCCGTTCAAACCTGATTCATGCCAATTCTATTCCACAATGGACAGAGTCACAACAATTCAAAACTTTCGTGCATGTCATTGGACAAACGTGAGTTTCTATGTCTGAAATGTCTATTTATCATTGGTCAATAGTTACCACAACACATGCTGGCAACACACTGCGATTGAAAAGAATTATAAGAACACAGAATGCTGGATTTGGAAGAGAAGGCACCACGGACTAAAAAATTGCGAAGCTTATACTCAATGACGTCAACTTCCTTGCGGTTAAATGCATAACTTTGCTCAGAAAGGCCAAACAGGTCCCTGCTAGTTTACTGTTAATGTCTACTCAAATATTTCTGACAGAGAAGAGGGAAACAGGCATCAAAAAATTGAGATCCACACTGTCTGAAATATAAAATGTACTGGAAAAGTGGTAAAGGAATACGTGAAAGGTTGCGTGACTCCCAATAGTGTCTGACTAGGAAACCACAAAAACAGTCATATCAGGCATATTTGGTCCAACTTGCATAACTCGTAAGAGTCAGATCGACAGATTTCCATTATTTAAACCCATGTAAAATCTAAACCCTCCCTGACTGATTTTGCCAAACAGTATTTCCATTTCTACACTCTGGAAGAGAGAATGTGGAAAGGAAAAGAAAAAAGAGTGACAAACTAGGTGGTGAGAACCAGCAAGTATGTTCGTCTTCCTCTCCATTCTGGGTTAATGGCAACATCCTTTTTCAATTCAAAGACATGAACTCTAAATGCTGCAACTCGGACTCCAATTAGAGTTCAATGATTCGCAAGTATGTTTCTCCATGCAATCAAGCAACATGAGTTCTGACCATGAGTTGGCTGATTCTGCTGATCTCCACCCAAATCAGAACTAATTATCCTGAAGAACCAGGCCAGATTCGTAATCAGTTCAGGTCAAGCTTAAGTCAGAAACCCTGCTCATTTTGTGATTTCCTGGGATATAATCGGTGCAGCTGTCACTAAATAGCATGAATACAGTAATATGTCTATAAAGACACAATCATATAAAGCAGATATTTTTCTAGGAAAGATAAAGACGTATTATCAAGTGGAAATAATTTCAATTACTCTACATCAGGTGATATAAATTCACATCAGACGGAATGCATGACTGCCAAATAGAACAATAATCCAAATGTGATTTACCTAAAAGCAGGTTCACTATAAATAGCAGAGCTCCAGCACACGAGTACAGCACTAGGAGTTTACAGTGGTAAGGGTACACAGGAAACAAGCACATTGCCACTGCCACAAGAGGCCAAAGGAATGAAAGAATTGTCTGCCATAGCGTTCGTCTTTTCATAAATGTCCACGCAAAAAACGCATCATTTTCAGAGAAAACTTGATCCTGCATAGCAATGAAATGAAGATTACCATGACGAATTTAAGCGAATTCCTGCAACTCAAAACGATGCATCATCATTTAAATATTCTGATTCCATCAGTTCTCAGAAATCTCTAACGAAGCACTTTAGAAAGAACTCATGTACTTTCTATGGTTCCCAAATTAGCCTGATATCTACTATATCCAGCATACTCCATCTTATGCTACTTCCCCGTAAACATCTTCCATTACCTACAATTGGATGAATCTGTTCTACAAAACATCCAAGCATGGCGAAATCTTCCATTTCGGCTCATGTGAGGTTCTTCTAAGCAGTAACGACTGTCCCTCCCTCACTCCCTCACCCCACAATAATGTTACGTTCACTGTTCACCAGCCTTTTCTGTAGGAAGACAGTAAATAAAAGCATTGTAATTGTTGATTTAAAAGGCTCACTTATTCACAGTTTGTCTAACAAAAGTAGAATTTGCCTTATTCTTCAAAAAATCTCAACCCACAGCAAGGTAACTTCTGCCCTTATTCTTTATAGCCACTTCAACAGAATGAGTATTAAACTTTCTTGAAACTTTAAAGTTGCGCACATTGTCCCATTTTAACATAGCCTCTTCTTGATCAATCCTTCACCATTCCCAAAGAAAGAATACTTGACAGCAGCTAGTACTTTTTTCCCACTACCTTCAGAATCTTAATGACATTCATGTTGGACAACACTGATAGGATAGTATCCATCCCTCTCATGCCAATAGGACTCTAGCTTTTGCATCTTTTTTCTTACCTCCAGTCAAACCTGGCAACTATATCATTCCAATCCTGGGATCTGATGACACCGATCAATTAAAGAACTCCCAGATATTCAAAAGGAAGCCAAGTAAAACCACAGCTCAAAAATTTAGCAAGTTCATCAACACTTTGGCGAAACAACAAAAAACTCTGTTAACATAACGAGTTGATTTTCATGGTACCAAAAAGTGCAATTTTTACACTAGCTGGTTCATTTTATAACGTATATATGCTTTCAGCCATGAACACACGTTTAAGCATGCCAAATGTTAAAACAAAGAAACCAATGAGGTAAGTTCAGCCCTGAAAATTATAAACCAAGTCATGAGAAAAATAAGGCATTGTACGTGCAAATTCAGTCTCGAATCAAAGAGTTGCCCTAGTGTTGACAACTTAGGAAAGATTTCAGCAATCCACTAATATTTGCCAAAACATTCCGTTCAAAAGAGAGATCAGAGCATAAAGAGTCAACAGAAGTGTCAACGACTTCCCCAGATATAGAAAAAAATTTGACAACTAATTGAAATACGTAAACACATCTACTTCAAAATAAAATCAGGGAAAAAAAGTCACAGTATGTATCAAGAACTTCAAAGAAAGGATAAATAGCCCATCAACATTTGTCAACACATCTAGTTTAAACTAAATACTAGAAGACAAGGTTAACAACCTACAACCTTGTGTTAGAGAAAATGACTATAATCCCCATTATAAAAAAATTCAGATGTAAGAAATTCATTCTTTGCTTTCTTCAGCAAAGAATATTGTGTCATTTCAAATTAAAGGCATATGAACATCAGAAGTTTTGGTGGACCTCCGCAAAGAATTGAGGATCCAATGAAGACGGATGGCAAAGTTGATATGGTATCCCCCAACTTGAGTCTGCTCAATCTGTAAGATATTCACCAATATTGACACCAAACATAGTTGTTTCAATAAAGTGCAACCGATCAACTTTTGCTTGAATAAAGTTAGGAACGTACTCCTCTAAGTACATCCCCAGTTTACCCAATTACATTCTCGAAGTACAGCATCATCACCACTCACTTCTGAGATCTTTACAGAGCTTTATATACTGCAGTATAGTTGTCAAGAAGGATCTATCATAAAAGAAAGCCAAATAATCTTTTATCCACATGCTCCTTCCAAAACTTGATTTTATTTTCTCTCATCCATTAGGAGGACTCGTAAGTATAAATAAGTGGCCTTTTTTTTTTCTCGAGAGAACTCTGTCACTAGTTGAATGTTTTGGTTATAATACACCTTGTATCCCTTCTGTTCTCATTCCATTATTAACTTCTATTTTCTTCTAGCAATTAGTTACCATCGAATTTGTCTAAGAATTTCATAGTGTGATTCAACACCAGAACGCATAGAATTCGAAGAACTAAATATCTATTTTGACAATGTTCAGGAGAAAAGTACAGACGCCATAAATTCATTTGAACGGCGACCGTATACATCAATCTACAAAAGCATAACACAAAAGTGAAAGGCAATACTCTTTAATTTAGATTACCAACATGTTGTCTGAGAAGGAACTTTGCAAGGTCAAAGTTCTCACAAAAACTTGTTTTTAATGAAATCAAGAACAGTAAGATAATCGATTTTCATTTCTGAAAAGTAAACCGTTTAATAGAAGAAAATGACAATGGAATAAGAATGAAATGCCCTAAACCAACAGAAAAACTTACCCGATAGATCTCCAAGTGTGCTGGCCAGGATGACAATTTTTTCTTCCCAGGACGAACAGTTTTTGTGACACGGTCACATCGTACCAAAAGATTCTTTCTAAGCAGTATATTCACAACATCTTCTACATCTAACTCCTTGTCAGACTCTAGAATCTCTTTTATTTCTGGATGGTTGGCCATAAATGCAACAAAATCCTTTCCCCTAAAATATTCAACCCTTGTCTCTTGCAAAACAGCCCATCTGGATTCAAGTTTCTTATTGTCTCTGACTTTCTCAGCGAACAACTGGTACACATCCTTTCCTGGAGACGGTTTCTGCATCAATAATAAGGAAGTATGAAATTGCAAGCATCCTATGCATACATCGTATCACAAAACACTATTCACAAAAGAAAACTCATGTTTGGCAAAGAGATGACAAGATCTAATCAGATAAATCAACCATAAGATTTATTCTATGTACCTATGGGCAGTTTAGATCAAGTCAAGGATCCAAAGATTTCACGAGTTTTATGACCGTTTGCCGACCTGATGTCCACCCTCTACATTGTGGAACCACCTATCACGTACCTTGCAACTTTATACTAGAAGGTTTGCCAAAAGTTCTATGAAGCCAGCTGACAGGAAGAGAGGGACAATTTATGGCTAACTTAAGAACATGCAACTAGAGAGTGATGGTCAGATCATTCCCCTCTCTTTTGGAGGAAATCAAGCAGATACCAACAGGCAAAAGTGCCAGTAAGACATAATCAGATGCATAAGGATAATTGATTCTATGTCATGCATAATAAGGAAAGCATATCCAGACAGTCACACACTCTGAAATGACGAAGTCATGGTTTCCCAAGTCCAAGCTGCAGAAGCAACAATTATCTCTGTAACTTTTGAACATAATCTCTTACAGCATATGAAAAAAAAGGTTTTCATAAAGAAAAACCAGCAACATTCGAGAATATAAACAAATGTCACTGGATAGTGATCTGGAAGATACTCATAGGGGGCAAGAATAAATGATCGTAATAAATAGAGAGTGAAATAATCTGACACCAAGACCTCAAAGTTCCTAAACGTACTAGCTTTTGCGACTTTATGAACTCTAAAATATCAGGTACCTTGTACCATAGGAGTATAAGGTTTCTAAGAATGTAATGCATGACTAACGATACCCGGAATTCCCAGAACTAAGCACAAACCACTCGGAATTCCCACCACTAAGCATAAGCCTCGGAATTTCCACCACAAATGACACTTCCATGTCTCACCGGGTAACGGTTCTAATCCAAAGGAGGCAGCCTCTGTCAATCAATAAAAATTTATACACAAGCTACATTACTCGACCATGACTATACACAGCTAACCAAGACCCTTTCAGAAGACATACCTACAAGAGACATTTGTCCCACTGTATCTTGATTCTGGTCCAAACAGGGAAGGCCTGAGTGAGTTCATAGAAGGGAATAAAATTGAGTAATACGACAATATACTTTCCTAATGTCCAAATCGAAATCTGCTAATAGTAACGTGAAGGATGCTCCAACTCAGTTCATCCTCATTTTCTTAAAAAACTGAAAAATATTAGTAACCCAAGTCAATAAGATGGTGAAAAATGTATTTCCTTCTTTTTTATGCTACAGGGGAGAGAAATACAAGGATTGTTAGTTTGTTAAAGACTACAGAGTCAAAGCTTCACATAGTTGGCCAACTTATGCCTAAAAAACTAGCAGTAATCTGTTTTAGTTTTATTTAAAGATGAATTTAAATGTATGTGATAAATATGACAAAGCTATGCAAGTATACACAAAAGAAGATTTTAAATTACACCAACACACTCAGAACACTCCAAATCTCATAATTTAGAACAGAACTGAGTTTTAATCAAACCTTAATAAAATCTAAATCGCAATCACAAGGTCCATGTCTTCAGCAAATGATGCTTTTACAACTGCATCTTTGTATGTTCTTCCATTTTTACTAGTAAACATCTAGATGCATCTGAATTAATTAATGGATACAAAAGCCCAGAATGGACCACAGTTCGTTGAAGTGGAACAAATAGTGCCATATCTCAAATTTTGCTCTTAGCAGCATGTGCTACATGACAATAAAGATTGAGACAGAGATGAAGCATTTGCGAGCATTGACTTCAGTAGTGAGAAAGGGATTGATACTAACAAAGACAACAACGACATAGCAGAAGATGATGCCACTGACAAAAACGAATGAACTAAGAAAGATCCAATCATTAGTCTGTCCTTCAACTCATATACATGTTGTGGGGTAAAGCTTTAAATTTTACATGACCATTTAATTCATTTTACCGCTTAACTTTGTGAAAAAGTTTAACATTCATAATATTTTGAGCGTTTATTCGTGTGATTCAAGATTTTTAACATCGTGTATCAATGTAAATGATTGTTTTATTTATCGCATGTAATAGTTTACTCTCAAAATAGCATTAAAAAAGGTGACAACAATTTCAGCATTGGCGCTTCACACAAAAAGGGTGGTTTGGCAACCATGACCCATCACATCTATTATCATAGAGCTAGTTTGACAAAATTTTCATGGGCAGCTGTCTGAGCAATCTTATATATCCTACAGCATTAGGCACGTAACCAGGCTTCAGCTAGATTATGTGTTGCTCCGCTCGTCAAAATATACATACAATTTAGAGTCACAATATTTGACCGTATATTATGAATGGTCGTTTTATAGTGCATATAAAGCGCATCCTAGCCAACCTGTCATATAATATTATAAGGAGACAGGAAGATGTTGTAGCATTTGACCGTCTCTTTTTGTGACTTTTGAGTCAAATCCTTGAAGGATGTGTTTCTTGTGAAAGTATTCTATGTCTAATGTAGTATTACCACCATATACTTCCGTCATGAGCAATACTTCATGAAGATGAAGAGATGATGGGCAAACAGTATTGACCAAGCAGTATCCACATTACTGTTAGGCATCTATCAATGTTAGGTTGAATTTCATTTAATGGGGTGCCCCATGTGTCTACGCCCAATTTCATGCACAATTAGGTTTAAAAGTTTCTCTAGATGACCATCAGCTATTGAACACAGTTCGACTCCATTAACAATTTTAAATTTCTCTCACGCTACCATCAAGAGGACTCTTTCGCATTCTAAATCAGGCACTTTATTCTCAATAAATACCACTTTCATGCCTACCATTTCGCCACAGATTATTTGTTTCGAATGTATATTAAGGATAGGAATCATGAAGTTTGACTTTCAATTCGATGCTCCCAGTTTCCATTAATATTGAATATTATGTTAATTTATTTTCTGTATACTCTTAAATTAAAAACTTAAAATTCCATTTATAACGAAATAATCAAAATTTAGTCATAATATTTAATATTAATTAGTTTTGAAGAGAACCTTTAACCATATCAATTTGGGTCATTCAACAAACCAAAGTCAGGATGAATGGAGCTAATACATAAACCATCAATACATTGGCCTTTTTTGTAACTATGCTAAAAATTGATATCGAGAGATACCAACATAAGGGGAAGTATATGGCCACACCCGACTAGTATTATGTATTGTATTCAGTTTTGCCTAGAAGAATCTTCTTGAACAATGGCATACCCAAACTTTGTCAAGTCAACAAAGGGATGATTAAAACTTGACAGTGGAAAGGTTGTAATAATCAAATAATAAGATAAGAAATAGAAAAATCCTTCAATTACTAAATTAGTATGAATACACTCTCATCTGTCTCTTGATGCCACAATTGGTGTTCAGAGGATGAACGTTAAGTTTCAAAAATTTCATTTATCTCCTTCATTTAAGTCCATCTCAATATTTAACATTCCCCCTTTTTGTCAAATCTGATACACTTTGAAAGGGGAGGATGGCAATTATGCAGACTGGCCGTTAGAAAGTAGATATTCTAACATCAGGAAAGTGCTCCACATTTCACCCGACCACTTGATTAAATTTCAAGGGAATTTTGCCTGCATTCTAGCTTACAGGCCAACCATCAAAATTTCCACTTATCAGACATTTATCCGGCAAAAAATAACGCATTTTTCATGGAACAACCCTATGAATGCCTTCACTATTCGCAACACTTGATCACCTCCAAAGTGTCATCTCAAAAATTGTGAACGAAAGTGATAACTTCTACGGAACTTTATATACTGATCCTCCTATAAGACAACTCTCCAAGACGGAAATTATCGTGAAAAGGTGGCAATGATGGTCACAAGCTGAAGGGATACTCCGTTGTCTTAAGTTGTGCTTGACATACAAAAAATCCCATCCTCGCGAATTTGAAACGAGACGAAAATTATTAGTCATCAGAGTGAAACGCACCCAGAACTCAGAGTTTATCACAAACCCGAAAAACTGAAATTATATTCATTCCCCGAAGAGCCACCGAAATCCCTAAGCCCTCGATAAGTTAAGATCACTGCATGAGACCTAAGAGGTGGATGGGGAAACGGCACCAAACGCCTGGACGCGGTGATTTGGGGGAAGTGGGGTGGAAAAACCCAACAAACAGTAAGAGTCGCCCAAACCTTGGAGGGTGCATCGCTGGGATCTTTCCCGCCATTCTGTGACGCGCCCCGCCGGATCCTCTTCTTCTCCGCCCCTGATTTCGTCATCCCCGCTGCCTTCTATCCTCCGTCTGTAGAACCCTCTTGCCAACGTACTCTTGTCCAAATCCGCCGTAGTCGCGCTGCCCCGGTTGCCTCTCTCTCTCTCTCTCTCTCCTGGGGCTTTCCAGAGTTGAAAAACACGGGGTCCCGGAGGGAGCTCCCGAGACTCCGCCGCGTGCAGTACGATTTATTGAGAGGTTTTTTATATTTTACCCCTTTAAAATATTATCAATTATACCTCCATTTAAATCCCACAGCAACTATCCACCCCCCTCCAAGGCGTAAGTTTCTCTCTCTCTCTCTCTCTCTCTCTCTCATCTAATTCCATACCAGGCTCAAGAATGAAAAATTTGAAAAATGTCCCTAATAAAATAACTCAGTGTTCAAACATTTCTTGCCTGATTAACCAAAAACTATAAATCCTCTCCTTTTATTTACTAGATGCACATAAAATGTCATGTGCCTCTTTTTATTTCGAAAAATGATAAATAATAATTGACAGTGCATCGTTTTTAAAATAGTACCTCTTAAATTTTAAAATTACAATTTTTATCCTATATTTTTTTATATTTTCAGAAAAACCATCATTGTGATGGTGTCGGTGGTGGTCCCCGTGAACTTTATGGCTCGTTCCCCCACGTTCAAATCTTATTTGGGCCTCCAAAAACCCATAAAGCCCAAAACCCATCACTGGCCGACTGATACTCGAATATTCTCGCAGGTCCGAAGATTCTCTAGACCCACGTTCACCCGCACATGGTTCGGCACGTGCGGAATCGCCGGACAAGGAAAATGTTGACCGAGTCCCCTTGACCCTGAATAACCAGCCGCGGTCCGCCCACGACGCCTCGCTCGGTCAAATAAGTCAGCGGCGCCAATTTTGACTGACCGTTAAATGTCCATTCTGCCCTTGGAAACTATACCGCGTCGTGGATGAACAAGTTGGGCCGTGGACCCCACAGATGCCGTCGTACCCACTGGGAAAACGACAAACGTTAGTCCATCCGGTTCATAGGTTGCACTATCAGAGACGCACCTTCGCAGCGCAAGTCAGGTCGTATGGAATTGACTGCTTTTGTCCACTTGCCACGTCATCAGCCAACCCACTCTCAGCATTTGCGCAAGGAGGTCAATAGAGAGGGCGTTGACGCTGCTAGGGCCTTCACACGAGCCTGCCATGACACGAAGAGGAGAGAGGGACGAGAAAGAGAGAGAGAGAGAGAGAGAGAGAGAGAGAACCATATATATAATATGCATTTATTTCTAAAATATATATTTATAGACTAAAAAGTCCACTCATATGCCAAAAACATTAATCTCATTTTTTTCTGTTAAATATTATAATAAAAAAGTAAATGTTGAGAAAGAGAGAGAGAGAGTATTTGGGAGGAGTGATAAATATTGTTAATTATAGAAATCTGGACGAGTAATGAAATAAACGAGGAGAGAGAGTGATCCGTCGGGGGGGGGGGGGAAGAGTCGAGGAAGGGGAGAGTCATTGACCGTAGCTCTTCATTCCTTCCTCGTGGAGAATCTTCTACCAGGGAGACTCCTTCCCCACCTCTCTTCAAGGGCGGCCCCAACCCCCTCTCCGGATTCCTCTCGCGCAGACTCCTGTCCGATTTCCTGGAGGAGGTCGCCTCAGGTGGAGGCAGCGCTCGGCTCCAAGCACCGGCGGAGGCCCGATCTGCCTCTTCTTGGTGATCGGTGGGTTCTCCGCGGAGGTGCGAACTGGACTTGTGATTTTCACGTATCAAGGCATTTTCTCCCCACGAGATCGAGGGAAATCTGATCCCGTAGCAGGTGAAGGGTTTACTCCGGAGTGAAATTGCGCTTCCGTTGGTCGTGGGCTGACCGGAGAAGTCACAGATCTCGGTGCCCCCGCTCGTTAGCCAGAGTTTCTGGATGGGGAACTGTTGCGCCTCGCCGGCCGTCGGGTCCGGGAAGAAGCCAAGGCCGCAGATGAAGCCGAATCCCTTCGCGTTGGACTACAACAAGACCCCCGCCCCTGGCAGCAAGGTCACCGTGCTGAGGGATCCCACGGGAAGGGACATCGGGGAGCGGTACGACCTCGGGCGGGAGCTGGGGCGAGGCGAATTCGGCATTACTTACCTCTGCACAGACAGGACCTTGGGGGAGGTCCTCGCCTGCAAGTCCATCTCCAAGAAGAAGCTCAGGACAACCGTCGATATCGAAGATGTGCGGCGGGAGGTGGACATCATGAGGCATCTGCCGAGCCACCCCAACATCGTAAGCCTCAAGGATACGTACGAGGACGACAGCGCTGTTCACCTCGTAATGGAGCTGTGCGAGGGAGGGGAACTCTTCGACCGCATCGTCGCTAGGGGGCACTACACGGAGCGGGCAGCGGCAGAGATCACCCGGACCGTCGTCGAGGTTGTCCAGGTCAGTCATCCGGAACTTGAAATTCTCAGTGAGATGAAACATATTCCGGCAATTCGATTTTGGCTACAAAGTCCTCGAGGATCTTCATAATTGAGTCAACTTTCTACTCCTGATCAGCCTCAGAGATAATTCAACTCATCGAATCGTTTGCTATTTAGCTCTTACACTGTCCAATCTTTGCGAGTGTGAGAGACTGTCTTGTCGTCTGTACGTATGCTAGGATCCCTTTGGATCAAGCTCCATAAACAGCATCCATGTTTATCTTTTGTTATGTGAAATTGATAGATTTTTTTTGCAGCAGTTATATGGTCTTCTTACTTTAGAGGACTTCATAAATTGCGATTGATTTTAAAGATATAATATTTGTTTGCTTTACTCGCAGTCTCAGACTCGCAATTTCTTCTAAATTCTGTCACAGATGTGCCACAGACATGGTGTAATCCATCGAGATCTCAAACCCGAAAACTTCTTGTTTGCCAACAAGAAGGAAACATCTCCACTAAAGGTCATTGATTTCGGGCTCTCAGTGATGTTTAAACCTGGTATGACCACAGAACTTTCTCCGCATCAAGTTAGTCTGTTATCTACATAAATTGACCCAGGTTAAATTTGCACGTATCTCTGAGCATTATTAATATGTGCAAGTGTTGCGTTTATATAACGCCATTATCCCTCTGAATCTCGGATGGTTTGCTTCCAATTCTGTCAAATGTTTCAGTTCAAGGCAAGCGTACTTATCTGTTTGCAATCTGCTTCCTGTTGCAGGTGAGAGATTTACTGAGATTGTGGGTAGCCCTTACTACATGGCGCCAGAGGTCCTGAAACGAAACTACGGACCTGAAGTTGACGTGTGGAGTGCAGGCGTGATCCTTTACATTCTTCTTTGTGGAGTGCCACCGTTTTGGGCAGGTCATTTCCGTTACTTGAGTTGGGGAATACTCCAAACTTGTTCTTGTGACATCTTCTTGCTTTATTTCAGTTGCAACCGCCATTTATTTGTGATTTCTTACGCCTGGATTTCTCTTAAAACTACCTTTTTTTCATTCTTGTCCAGAATCGGAGCAGGGAATCGCCCAAGCAATTATCCGTTCTATCATAGACTTTAAGAGAGATCCATGGCCAAAGGTCTCTGACAATGCCAAAGACCTTGTCCGGCGGATGCTTGAGCCAGATCCTACTAAGCGTCTAACAGCCCAGGAAGTGCTTGGTAATGTGCACATCCTTTTTGTATTTATTTTTTTCGCGGATTGAAGGTTTTATTTGGTAGATCAATGACAATTTAGATCAATGAAACATCCTTTTATATAGTAGATCAAGGAAAATGTTTCAATTAATCGTGTGTGTTTGTGCAATTTTTGAGGTAGGTGGAGATGATGTTCTCAAAACTTATATGATTTTACCAACTATCTAGTGCTAAATGTAACTGCGGTTCAATATCTCATGGAATCTCAGCCGACTAGTAGCATTCCGGTATTGCATTTACATGTGTTTGTTAAACCTCATACGTTTTGTTCGTCATTAGGATGCCATTAAAAAATAAATAAGACGAACACCGTTTCGTTCAAACGACTTTCAAGAAACCCTTACTTGCTTTTAATCGATCACCATCCCTTCCAAATTGTTTCAGATCACCCATTTCTGGTGAATGCCAAAAAGGCTCCCAACGTTAACCTAGGAGAAACTGTTCGTGCAAGACTCCAACAATTTTCTGTGATGAACAAATTCAAAAAGAAGGCTCTCAGAGTAAGCCTTGGATTCCTCTGTTTCCAAACATAGCCTTACCTTTGCAGATGCGCCATTGATTCCTGTTCTGTGCACTGAGCGAGAGCTGAAAGATCATCGTCTGTTGCTGCAGGTGATTGCCGAGCATTTATCTGTGGAGGAAGTAGCTGGAATAAAAGAAATGTTCCAAATGATGGATGTGCACAACAATGGAAATATAACCCTGGAGGAATTAAAATCCGGTCTCCACAAAATTGGGCAGCATATTCCAGATCCTGATGTTCAGATATTGATGGAAGCTGTAAGAATCCTACCATAATATTGCTTCAGTTTCTTGGCAACTTATCTGCTGAATTGAATGATCCTTAGCTCCGAAAATGCACATCTCCTTGTCGATTCCTTCCTCCTGGCCTCTAAAGATGATCAATCGAGAAGCTGATAATGGGTTGGATTATTGTGATGCGACAGGCTGACGTTGATGGGAATGGGACGCTGGATTATGGGGAGTTCGTCGCTGTTTCGATCCATCTGAAGAAGATTGGGAATGATGATCATCTGCGGCAAGCTTTTTCATACTTTGATAAGAACAGCACCGGGTATATAGAAATCGAGGAGCTCCGGGAGTCTCTGGCCGATGACTTGGGCCTGAATTATGAGGAGGTCATCAAGTCTATCATCCACGATGTGGACACTGACAAGGTCAGCTGCAACCTGCACTTTCTTCCCTTTATATTGCTTTCATTGCCATAATTCATATCACCCATTTACTGAAATTACCCTAGCCACTGTTTCTTTTGACTTGGGATAGAAATAGCGAGAGAGAGAGAGAGAGAGAGATCAGAATTGGCTCAAGCTCTCTGTTCGGCTAGTCAGAGTCACTCAAACATAAATCCTCTTTATGTTCCTTTAGTGCCAACAGCTGAAATTAGCCTGTCAGCTGTTCTTTCAGTGAATGGGCCTAGAGAGAGAGAGAGAGAGAGTAGTCAGCTGTTCTCTTTGCATCGCTTTCATAGTCATCATCTATGTATCTTTGAAACCATATATAGATACACATAGAGAGAGAGAGAGAGAGAGAGAGAGAGAGAGAGAGGAAGTTAGAGCCACTTAAAGATGAGATTCCTGGTGCAGGATGGCCGAATAAGCTACGAGGAGTTCACGGCAATGATGAAGGCGGGCACAGACTGGAGGAAGGCCTCCCGTCAGTACTCCAGGGAGCGGTTCAACAACTTGAGCCTCAAATTGATCAAGGATGGATCTCTCCAATCGACACGTGGCGGCAAATGAACACCAACCGTCGGAAACCGTGGGAAACCTCAGAGATCCCTTCTCTTCCTGTCCTGCCCATTCAATTCTTTTCCCTCTCTCTCTCTCTCTCTCTCTCTCTCTCTCCATCTTTGGGTTTGCCCCCGCAGAGATTTGGCAACCCAAAAAAATGGCTTTTTTTCCCCTCAAAATTCGTTTAGATATGGTTTTTCTTTTTCTTTTTCTTTTTTTTTCTTTTTTTTAATGTTAAGAGGGGCAGAACGGGGGTGGGTGGGCCCACTGGAATATCTGTTTTTTTTTGGCATATCTGTCCTTGTATAGATAGAAAGATGTACGTTGCCTCATCTTTACCGGCTTTGTTAAGCGAAATATCGAAGAAAGTTTCAGTCTTTTCTTTCTCTTCTATACGCTAAAAAAATAAAAAAATAAAAAAATAAAAAAATAAAAAAATAAGCAGAAGAAGAAGAACACGTTGAGGGGTAATTAAAAAAGTTATTTAAAATGTGAGGACTTTTGAAAAATAAGTGATATCAGCCCCTTCCCCATTAGTCTTTTAGGCTATCAGAGGAATCTTTACGGCGCCGTCCTCTGACCAGTAAATCGTCACCACGTGGATGATGATTGAAGTGGGCCCCTTTCGAAGGAACCTTCGCCACATGAGGCCCTCCACAAAACAGCCCGAAATAAGCGGTCCAGGTCGCGCTCCCATCTGGCGGTCGGCCATGTAGTTCCGTACGTTTGAGGGGCCCATCTACCGTCCGATGTAGATCGGACGGTTTTTGATGGTGAGGAATAACGCGAGGTATGGGACGTGTACGCTTAAATTCCGCTCTCGTTGCCTCACTCTCCTTCCTCTTTCCTCCTCTGCCGGCGTCCGCTGGATGCGCATCAGCTAGGGCCGCCCTCTGTTCTCGGTCGGAGCTCCGAAGCGGCCTCCAATGGCGACCACTTCCGCCCTCGCCTGGAACCTCGGCTTCTCCCCTCTCTGCTACCGCCGCCGCCTCAGCGTCTCCGGGGCCTCGCCGCAGTCTGTGCGGCCGAGCAGGCCCTCTGCCTCCATTGGATCTTGTCTCTCTCTGCGGAGAAACAATGGCGCCTCGTTCTTCAGATCCTCTCAGGGAAGATTGGAGCGGATAGTTCCGGAGCCGTTTGCGTGGAGGAGGAAGGGCGCTGGGGTTGTCCGCGCCTCTGCAGCGGGTTCTCCGCCGGCGCCGGCACCGGCACAGCCATGGCAGGGGGCGGCTCTGAAACCCCTGGCCGCGTCGATCGCCACCGGGGTCATCCTGTGGTTCGTCCCCGTCCCTGGTGGCGTATCGAGGAACGCATGGCAGCTCTTGGCGATCTTCCTCGCGACCATCGTCGGTATCATTACGCAGCCGCTCCCGCTCGGTGCCGTCGCACTGATGGGCCTTGGGGCTGCCGTCCTAACCAAGACTCTCACCTTTGCCGCCGCTTTCTCGGCCTTCGGCGATCCCATTCCGTGGCTCATCGCTCTAGCATTCTTTTTTGCCCGAGGGTTTATTAAGACTGGTCTCGGGAACCGCGTTGCTTACCAGTTCGTTTCCATGTTCGGGAGCTCCTCCCTTGGCCTCGGTTACAGCTTGGTCTTTAGTGAGGCGCTACTCGCACCCGCCATTCCCTCGGTGTCTGCCCGGGCTGGGGGCATCTTCCTCCCACTTGTTAAATCACTGTGCACCGCATGTGGAAGCAACGTTGGGGATGGTACTGAGAGACGATTGGGATCATGGCTGATGCTCACTTGTTTCCAGACCTCGGTTATCTCGTCAGCCATGTTCCTCACGGGGATGGCTGCAAACCCACTGAGTGCGAATCTTACACAGAGTGCTATATCGCAGACGATTGGATGGACTGATTGGGCTGTGGCTGCGTCGGTCCCTGGACTAGTTTCGTTGATTGTCGTTCCATTGCTTCTGTACATTGTCTACCCTCCTTCAGTAAAGAGTAGTCCGGATGCTCCAAAGCTCGCGAGGGAGAGGTTGAAGAAGATGGGACCGATGACCAAAAATGAAATCATCATGTCACTTACGCTGCTTCTGACTGTAAAGCTCCTCTCTCACTTTTCGATTTTATTTTCCGCGTTCTCCCGTCTAATTACTTGCCACATTTTTGGTCATCTCCTGTTGCTTAGATAGCCTAGTCTATTTTTACTATTGCATGTATTCAAACATAGAAGCTTTTGGCATCCATAAGATGATTTTCAGATTGCAGATGTTAATTTGAGTTCGTGGTATTTCCGTGCCCTCCCTTTTCTATCACCAGCCGAAAGTGTTAATGTTTATTTTTAGGTACAAAAATTATTCATCCCAATAGTATCAAAAGCTTCTATGTTTGATCACATGGCTTCATCTACTGGCGTATGCAAAGAATTTTGAATCAGGATTTATAAGGAGGAAGAGAAAGATGGGGACGCTGGTGAAAGATGCAAGTTTAAAATGTTGGATGTTTGCGTGATTTATGATGGATTGGATTGATTGAATAAGATCCTTGTCTTTTGACGCCTACTCCTTGAGATTTATTTCATGCTGTACTGACTGGGGGTTGGGGTCAACTGTCCATTTTTCACAACAATAAAAATTTTTTCCAAGAAAGGGTTCTGGGTTGAAGAATTTTCCTCCATGAGTACTTTTCTGAGCTGAAATTGGTGCCTTTTTGGGATGCTTTCTTTTTGGTTCGGGGCCATTTTTTTCTCTACCCTAGGAAAATGAGCAGGGCTTCCAGACTTGCCTGGACATTGACTCCCTTAGTGATGAGTTATATTACTTTGACCGGCTAGTGGAAAGCCTCTTGTCATATAATTTTTTTTTTCTCTGACATACGAGTTCAGAAGAATGTAGAGAGTTTTAATGTAGGAATACATTTCAAAATATCATACATCGGCTCTGGCAATTCTTGTTTTATTTCTTAGCTTGGATCTTTTCTTTTATATAATCCGAACGTAAGTGAATTCACTGGAACTATTTATGATCACTGAAGTGGCATAATTTTTGTGTTACGAGACGTGGTGGATGGCTCACCTTAGTGAACTCACTTAATTGTTGGCCATGAAATGGTTCTCTTGATGCAAGCGTTTTCCTCCTCCTCTGATATTCCTCTGTAACAGGTGGGCCTCTGGGTTTTCGGAGGGGTGATAAATGTGGATGCTGTGACTGCCGCTATTCTTGGGCTGTCGATACTTCTCGTAACAGGTGTAGTGACTTGGAAGGAATGCTTATCTGAAGCTGTTGCCTGGGACACACTCACTTGGTTTGCCGCACTCATCGCCATGGCTGGGTATCTAAACAAATATGGTCTTATTTCCTGGTTCAGCCAGACTGTAGTTAAGGTATATACCTCCTCTGTTCATATCCTTTCTACATTTCATTTATCTATTTTGTCTCCATTTATTTTGGTTGATTTAATTAAGAATTAAAAATCATGTCATGGCCATCTGGCAGATTACTGAGAGCATGCTGGTCAACCGTTCTTCTGTTAATAGTATTTCAAAGATGAAATATATGTTGCCATTCATGCGTCTTCTGTATTTGCTCTTTTCCTTGTGATATGTTATTAGATTTACCTGTAAAAATAGTTAATTCTCTCACAATGGAGAATCTAGTTATGGACAAGAGCTTTCCATTCACTTAGAATTCCTGGTGTGGTGTCTGCAGTTTGTGGGGGGGCTGGGGCTGTCTTGGCAGCTCTCCTTTGGGATCCTGGTCCTTCTCTACTTCTACTCGCACTACTTCTTTGCTAGCGGGGCAGCGCATATCGGGGCCATGTTCACGGCCTTCCTCTCAGTGGCAAGTGCACTGGGCACGCCGCCGCTGTTCGCAGCCATGGTGCTCTCCTTCCTCTCCAACCTCATGGGCGGTCTCACCCACTACGGCATCGGCTCTGCCCCCGTCTTCTATGGTGCCAATTACGTGCCACTTGGCACCTGGTGGGGATATGGCTTCCTCATCTCTGTCGTCAACATCCTCATCTGGCTCGGCATTGGTGGTGTCTGGTGGAAGGTCATCGGTCTCTGGTAGCTCCTCCACCACCACACCCCTTTGAACCCACCTCTCTCTCTCTCTCTCTCTCTCTCTCTCTCTCTCTCTTTATCTGAGTCTCTCCTTTTTGTTTATTTTGGTGCGGAAAATAAGAAATTCTTTGGTAGGACTAATGAAGAGAAGAGGAACTATGAACGAGGGAGATGTTGGAACATATATATTTTTTTTTCAATTTTGTCCCCCGATTTTTGATCTGCTCTTGTGGAGTCTGATTCATACCTCATGGTGTGGAATTGATTATTATTATTATTATTATTATTATTATTATTATTATATGTATTGGTGGGGCTGATAATGGTATTTTGCTTTGGGGGAGATAATTGGCTGACCCCAATAGATATTTATTTATTTATTTTTCTGAAATTCGGTCTCGTCGGCCATCTGAGTCAATATTCCTTATAATTCCTCAACTGCTTATATTAATGATGCACGAAGAGGAGGCTGGGCCGGCCTGGGCTTTCTGGGCTTTTATCGGGCCTGGCCCGGAAGCCCGGAAAGCTCAGAGGAAGCACCGATTCCCCCTATGTGGCAATTATTTTTTTATCCCTGTTTATTTTTATAGTTTATTAATTTATACTATCGATAGAAGGATACGCCAATTGGTGGGAAGATTGCCATCCGCCGGCCTTTTGTGAAGGAAAAAGAAAGCAGACGAAGAGCGGCGCCAAGTGTCCACGTAGGCGATGATCGACGATATGGTTTTCTATGGCTCTCTCTCTCTCTCTCTGTCACGAAGCTCCGAGAGCATTCTTCAGGGAGAGAGAGAGAGAGAGAGAGAGAGAGAGAGAGAGAGGGTGTTGGGTGAAGGCGTGCCAAAAAGGTTATGTCGAGCACGCTTGAGCTGAATGAAGAAGCCGGGTGACAGAAGTAGATACCTCAACTGATGCTTTCCTCTCACTCCACCCTCCCCATGCATCCAAATTACAGGGAGCGATAGAGAGAGAAGAGAGGAGAGAGAGAGGGTGTTTCTTGTGGGATGGTTCTTTACCCTTTTTTTTGGGGGGGGGGGAGGCTGAAAGGTGAGGAATGGCGAGTGTCCACGGAGGGCGAGATGTGTTGGGATTCTCCCGTGGACGACGGGAGCAGCAGCAGGAGCTCAGGGGAGGATGGCAACAAGCTATAAAGGAAGAAGGAATAAAGAGGAGGGAAGGAGAGAAGAGAGAGAGAGAGAGAGAGATCAGCGAGGGAAGGCCGCCCCACCCACCGCCAGTCAGAGACCGCAGCTGCTTCACAGGTGCTTCAGGTACGCCACACTGCCCTTGCATTCTCTCTCTTGAGAGAGAGAGAGAGAGAGAGAGAGAGAGAGAGAGAGAGAGAGGGTCGATCGAAGGCGAGAATTCTGGAGGCGGCTTATCGAAACTGGCAATAATCAGCAACTGGGTCAGTCAATCTGAGCCCCCCAAATCAACAGAAATTATTCCATCTGAGCTCGGCGGCGGAAGCATAATTCTCTGGGCGGGTGGTTTTTACTATCCATCTTCAGGAAAATGGTGAACGTGAGGGGATTAGGCTCAAGAAGCCCCCGAAGGACTTCAAGATCTTCGATAATTAGGGTTTTCCTCTCTCTCCCACCCCACCCTTCGCGCACTGCGCGTGCATGGGGTTGCTTCGCGTTCATGCACGAGTGTTCGCGTGTGCGTGTTGGCCCCATGCGTGTCACATGCACGTCCTTACAGACCACCTTACTGATCTCTCTCTCTCTCTCTCTCTCTCTCGGTCTTACTATCGCAGTGTGACGAGGAGACGTGAAGCGGATCTAGTACGGGTTTGCTAAAAATGGGAATTCCCCCGGAGAGCTGGAGGGAGGGGGGATGTTAAGGAAGACGTGGGGCCAATCTGGTCCTCTGCCTCTCGAAGAACAGTGTGATTGGATGACGATGAAGAGAGAGAGAGAGAGAGAGAGAGAGGAGGGGTTGAGGTATGACGTCCACGTTAGCCAGTGGGCACCATCGCCATTGTCGCCGTCTCCTAGCGCACCCACGGCAAACCAAACCCTAAGCCCCCCCCACTCTTGGCTCGTGGCCTCTGACTGGGAAACCCACCGAGGGAAGGGTGGTTAATAACCAGTTCAGAGGGAGCGAAGGGGGTCTCCTGTCAACGTGGAGCGTAGGGTTTCTTTGTCTTCGAGGGGCATCGCCATGTGGCCTCTCCAAGCCGCGGCCTATCCAATGGGGCCACATTCCCCACAAAGAAGGCATCTCTTCCGAAGAGCAGAGACAACGCGTCTCTGTCTCTGTCAAGTACGCCCCCCCATACCTTTCTCCAGAGCTCCGCCAGGTCTTTCTGCAGCATCGTCGCGGGCTACCCGGGGGAGGTCGGTGCTAGCAGCAGAACCCCTGTGATATCCTCATGCAACTATGATGCCGAAGATGCTCATCTCTCAGCTCTCCCTCTCACTTCCTTCTTTTTCTCGTTGAGTAAGTTTTAACGCTTCTTCTCTCTCTCTCTCTCTCTCTCTCTCTCTCTCTCTCTCTCTCGCTGTAGCTAGCTAAGAAACATTGCAGAGAGAAGATGCCCGCTGCGGAGGAGCCCGAGAAACCTCCAATGGCTGTCGAAGAAGCTCCTCTGAATGATGATGATGATACCCAGATCAAAGCAGTAGGGAAGGACCCGCTTGGGGGAGAAGACAAGGAAGCCGAGTGCAGAACAGTCCCCCGGAAGACGGGCCTCTTCATCTTCTTCAAGGATGCAAGGTAGGAACCTCTTCCTACCCAGGAAGACTTGTCAACAGTGAAGAGAGAGAAAAGCAGGGGAAGGAGATCAGAAGCTCTGTTCATGCAAGTTCCATCTCTGATAAAGTTTCTCTTCTCTGAAAGGAATGCACTGAAGCTGGACGCAATGGGCCTGGAGATCGCAGGGATCGCAGTCCCGGCGGCTCTGGCCTTGGCGGCCGACCCTCTTGCTTCACTGGTGGACACCGTATTTGTAGGACAGATTGGTACATTCTCTCTCTCTCTCTCTCTCTCTCTCTCTCCTGTCTTCCATCTGCACGTAATTTTTCTTTCAGGGTTTTGGTTTCTGATCCTGCTGCCCTTTATCTTCGTCCAAAAATTGTGGGTCCGGTCTACTTCTCTTTGTTTTCGAAAAGAAATAAAACATTTATAAAATGAAATAAAATAAAATTCGCACAGTAAAACACCAGATCAACAGAAATCATGCGCCCCACTGAAAAAATAAGGGCGAAAAAGCAAAGTTCATCCAGATACACTAACCTCGTTGGGTGGAGCGCAGGGCCCGTGGAGCTCGCCGCTGTTGGGGTCTCCATCGCCGTCTTTAATCAGATATCGAAAGTGGCCATCTACCCCATCGTCAGCGTCACCACCTCCTTCGTCGCAGAGGAGCACGCCGCCCTCCAAGAGAAGGCTTCCTCCGCCATCGCCACTGCCGCCGCCGCCGGTGGGTAGACATTTCCGCCTCAAATGCCATCCATCCCTACATAGGACACAGGCTGTGACAGCAAGATCAAGAGCCTCTCAGCCTCGGATCTATATGCCTTTTATTATATGAAATAATCTGTGTACACACAGTGGGTTGGGTCCCACTGCCACGTGCAGGATGACCATCAGCCCTCCCGGACTTCTGGACTGGAAATGTGTAGAACAACCCTTTATAAATATATATATATATATATAGATATAAAACCTATTTTAGAAAGATAAAGCGGAGCACTGAAAAATGGTGCGATTATTTCGCAAGTATTTTTCTTCTTGAAATAATCCCCCTTCAAAGTTTTTATTTATTTATGTGTTTTAAAAGGTCCTTAGGAAAGTATGATAAAGAAATATATACAATTATTGTGTGTTCCATACAGATGCAGAGGATCCCAGGAGAGACTGCGTGTATGGGCAGAGAAGGCAGTTCATCCCATCGGTTTCCTCAGCGCTGGTGGTCGGGGCAGTGCTCGGGCTTCTTCAGGCTCTGCTGCTTGGCTTCGCAGCAAAGCCATTCTTGCGCCTCATGGGAGTAAAACCTGTAAGATTAACAACAAACCTATATATATATATATATAGATATATTTACATGCATATATAACATTGTGAAAATTGGATTGGAAGAGGCAATAACTTTCCTCTGAAGAATTAACACTTTCCACCTGTGATCACCATGGTCAAAGGTTTTGGACCCTTATTTCCACGTGCCTAAGCATTTCCAATCTCTCTCTCTCTCTCTCTCTCTCTCTCTCTCTCTCTCTCTCTCTCTCTCTCTCTCTCTCTCTCTCTCTCCCTCTCTCTCTCTCCCTCTCTCTCCCTCTCTATGTACATTTATATATATATATATATCTACCTTCAGAGATGTCATGCAATTCAGAGAGGGGAAATAAGGGAATATACCTAAGCAGCATGGGGCAGATGGGGAAATGAAAATTGAACAGAAGTGGAGACAGCCGGTTGCCTCCATTGACTAGCTCCCCCATTCCCATCGTTCCTGCATGGAGCAGACACAGAACTCATGTTATTCATCCACCTGCAACCATGTTTCCCCATTTTTCAGGAGCATAACCACGAACCTACATTTTTTTTTCCCCTTCTCGTGATTCTCATTCCTGCACATTCCGACTAGCTTAGCTAGGAAGCTCCTGCTTCTGTAAGGGGTTTGTACGTAAGCTTTTCATCTGACAGGGTTCACCTATGATGACTCGAGCACACCGGTACTTATCACTGAGGTCAATTGGTGCTCCTGCCGTGCTCCTGTCTCTGGCCATGCAGGGGGTTTTCAGAGGGTTTAAAGACACAAAGACTCCTCTATATGCCGTCGGTAAGCTCACTGTCAGGCCTTCCTTCCGGCTTCAGAATCTCTGTCGGGTTTTCTTCTAACAGACGAAGCTCCTAGTTTTCCACTCTTTTGGGTTATGTAGAATATGTGATTATCCTTTGGCTGGAAGGGAACCTGTTCTTCTGAAAACTTCCAATTTTATATATAAAAGCAGATGAACTCGAAAATGAAGCTGAACTTGTAAACTGGAGATTTAGTGACCGACATTATCAAGATTTCGAAGCCATCCGATTTCTATTTTCGGAATTATTTTTCATACCGCATGTAGGAATGCAATTTCCATTTCACTGAAAGAATTTTCTTGCATGATCATAAGTGGCCACGGATGAATCAAAGGGCATTCATTTTCTATCTTGATTCACTACCACAGAACCGATTTATTTTATTCACTACTAGATTGTAACCAATCTCCCTCTCCTCGGAATGAGAATTAGTCTAGAAAATCGATTTTATTTTAATTTTTCAGCAATGAATGCATTACCAATCTGATATTGTTCCATCTCACGTCATGGGCTTCAAGACCATAATCTACTCTTTTTCTTTTCCCTTCTCATTTCACAATTCAGTGGCAGGAGATGTCACCAACATTGTATTAGATCCGATTTTCATATTTGTCCTACGTTGGGGTGTCGCTGGTGCAGCCATTGCTCATGTTATATCTCAGTAAGCACTCCAAATCTCTATGGCTTTCAACAGATTTGTCATTGATCCATTTCTTTTCTACTTTTCTATTGGGGGTGGGGGGTGGTTCTATGAGAGTTCTTATTGAATGCGGTAACTGTAGGTATCTAATTTCGGCAATACTGCTGTGGAGATTACTAACCAAAGTTCAAGTTATTCCATCAGATGTCAGAGATCTAAAATTTAGTCGCTTTCTCACATGTGGTAAGATGCTTCTTTCTCTGCTCCTATCCGATTCCTAATGAAACTTAGTGATTTTACAACAGCATTGCTCAGCTTCTCATGCTGACAGTAACGACGTAATTGTACGTTCTGTATTCTTAGCACAAAAATAAATAACTAATATATATACATATATATATGAATGAAACTTCTTTACCATTTCTGTAGCCTCCACGTTTCAGGATTTCATCACAACATTGTTAGCGTGCATGAGCCGTCAGCATAACATCGCCTGATATGTCAGCACACCCATAACTTAAAACAGTTCACATAGACATTGTACCTCCCTTGGGCGGTGCAGAGGAGTAGATAGAAGAAATCAGTCTACCTCCCCTCAATATCACCTTGAGAGGGCAAGCGAAAATAAAAGCTCAAAAGAAGTTGATGCAGGGAAGACAGTTTATATGAAATGATAAACTAGAATCCTTATTCAAAATCCTTATGACGTACCTTCCTTGTTCACCTATGCCTTTGAAAAGAAAAATTGAAGGATCATAAAAGAACTTCTCGTAGTTGAGATTGCAAGCAGAATATCTTGAGCTTCCCTCACAGCCCTTGCTGTGGTCTGCCAACAAAATAACCTTTTGTTTGCTTTAGATCTTACCTCTCAATATAAGCCTTTGCATAGTGGCGTCTGAAAACCTGAGAATGCTCCTATGTCATGCTAATATATTCGGATCCACGCCTCTAATTTTGGTCCCATATTTTTTGAGATGAACAGGATTTTTACTGCTGGCGAGGGTAGTAGCAGTTACTTTCTGTGTAACACTGGCAGCATCACTTGCTGCTTGCCGTGGACCGATTGCAATGGCAGCATTTCAAGTCTGTTTGCAGGTTTGGTTATCAACATCGCTTATTGCAGATGGATTGGCAGTTGCAGGGCAGGTAAGAAACTCTTAGCACGGCAATGTTTCCATTTGTAGTAGAAGCACATAATATTCAGCATGTCAAAATCTACAAATAAACTGTTCAAATAAACTATTCAGCATATCTGATTTCAATAAAATCACAGCAGGTCAAAATCTACAAATTCCTACACTTTTCTATCATGTAAACTAAACCATTTGCGAGACCATTAAATTCCTCTAACTTCATACCTTCATGGAAAATTCAACGAGTTCATATTCTTCTTCAGGCGATCATAGCCAGTTCATTTGCCACAGGAGACCATCAGAAAGCAGTGGCTGTTGCTTCTCGTGTGTTGCAGGTGCATCATGTCACATTCTACCAGAAATATTCTTCTGAAGTTCTTAAGTATTCATTATTCATTGATATCATCACAGTTGGGTATTATTCTGGGATTGGGACTCTCTGCTGTTATCGGAATTGGCATGAAGTTCGGATCAGGAATATTCACAAAAGACAAGAATGTACAGAAATTAATCCACACCGTATTACCGGTAAGTAACCTTGGACTCATCCCTTTCGACTGAAAAAAGATAAAATTGAGAGACATCTTTGAGCTCTCTACATATCTGTACCATGAATCCACGTACAAGGTCTTTCTAGATTCGAAAACAACATGATATCTGCATGGATTTTCATCCGGATAAATCATTCACTAACAAATGGCATCTCTAATATCACATACAGTTTGTGGCTGCTACACAACCAATCAATTCGTTGGCCTTCGTTTTTGACGGTATCAACTTCGGAGCATCAGATTATATATATTCAGCTTATTCTATGGTATATTAATTCAAACCTCTATCACTAGGGAAAGTAATAAAGAGAAACTGTTTATTTCGCTTGCGTATGAACTAACCACTTCCATTCAGGTTCTGGTGGCTATTCTCAGCGTCATTTCCCTGTTTATGCTCTCTTCCAGCCATGGGTTCATTGGAATTTGGATTTCTTTAACAATCTACATAAGTTTGCGGATGTTTGCGGGTATTTGGAGGTACATTAACAACTTTTCTAAACGATATTTACTCATTTAGATAAACCACTAATGAGTGAGAGAATGATTTCTCTGCTTCAACGATTCACCACAAGAAATCCTGTTTTCAATAGGTTTATTTATTATTTCACTAATAGAGACAATAAAAATGATTATAAAGAAAGAATGAGTTGGTTAGAATCTTAAAAGTATCTGAATTTTTAATTATCAGAAAAGTTTAAAACTTTTATGAAGATCTTATTGATGTGTCAATAGGAGTGGCATTCCACACCGATGAAAATCATGCCCCGAGTAAATACAAAAAATAGTAAATGGAGGAAATATGGAAAAAATAAAATTAGCGTTCAGCTGTTTAAGGTTCAGATGTCAGATTACCTTTTGCACATGGCTTACACCTTTCTGACCAACTATGTTAAAAGGACCATCCTCTGTTACTAAAGTATAGTTTAATTGTATGTTTTTCACATTTTGAAACTACCAACCAGTATTTTGTTCCTCTAGGCTCTTCAATCAACCACAGTCTTTAAGAGAACGATAAGGTACGGTGTTCCAGTTCATGCTGAATTAGAAACCTTGAATCCTTTAAGGAGTACATTCAGAGTTATCCGGAGAAATATCCTCCAAGACATAGATAACCTTTTGGCAACCTGATTGCCCATTATGGATGAACATGGAATCAGGTGTTTTATCTGATTAAGTATACAAAAGTTTCCAGCCTTATACCACTCAGACCTCCAGCAATATCCACTCCGAGGAAGGCAAACGTCATGAAGAGTTCTAAAACTCTTAAACTACAAGCTATAATCATATATTTCGCATTTTTATGTCCTATTGCTAGATCTCATAAAAGATAATCAAATCTAATACCTTATTTTTCAGTTTTAGTTGTCAAATCTGAATGAAATATTTCTATCCTAGGTATCTTTACAAAGAGAGCGTTAATCTGGGCCTGAAAAAGACTAATTTCACTCACCGATTAATTATTTATTCCCGGCAAAACCAAATGTGTTGACTATAATTCTTTTATATTAATTTACCTTTACTTTCAGGATGGGTGCTGCGCAAGGGCCATGGAACTTCCTCGGTCATTTATCAATCTCTCGTTGATGGCATGCAGTTTTGTATTTCTTCAGATATAACTCTATCATAGTTTCCCACTGAGAACACCATTTATCTTTAATGCTTCATACGTTTTCAAAAATCATAGTTTCGAAAATGTTTTGCATGCTACACATTCTACTTTCAATTAGTCCTCTACTCTGACTTATGAATGAAATCTTGGTTACGGAAATAGTGACCTGTCTCCTTAAGGTAATAATAGATGAAGTACTATGACAGCCATTATATATGATAATCTATTGTCGTCGTTCCAGCACTTGTTCTCTATGCACAGGTACATAAATTCCAATCTGAAAGCAGGTGTATTTCGATTGGGGGGAGGGTTAGGCATTCCGTCTGTTGATATTGGACGATGTGCTTGATCTTTCATGAGAGCATGGATAATTAGGGATTAGGCTGAATGTTCTCTCAGACAGGGTATGGTGTCAAATACTGGAGATCCAGAGATTACTTTCCATATCTTGGATGCATCGTACCTGGTATAGGTACGACTCATAATAGATCAGAAATAAATGGATGTTCTTGAAAATCATAAATCAGAAGAAAGAGGGATTTTTTCTGTCAACCAAAAAATAAAAACGTAGGTTTAGCAACCCCTTCAACCCAAAGAAACTAACGGTTTGTATGATTATCGACCCAGTTGTGTTGTGTGTCAATGAATATGTCATGTTGGTCCATTCCACCAGAAGAGCTGATCAATTTTTTTTTAACGAGAATGAATAATTTTCCAGGATAAAGGTGAGATGAGAAGGTAGAAATTTGTAAATGGAGCTTTTAAATTTAAAAAAAAATGACCTCCAGTGGTGTCTGTCAAGTGAAGGAACCATGACTAAATTTAAATTTGCACTGAGTAAAAAAATGTAACGTTGGATGTCAAAAATGAAAGCGGATATTTCACATCGTAAACCTTGCCAATGTAAATAATAGACATAATCAAGGGCATTAATAGGCAGCTAATAGCTGTGGAAAAAACTGAATTAGTCCACGTCGTAGAAAAAATGCATGGGCAATCCATCAAACCACAAATGAAACGTATTTTATCAAATCTTCATTACTCCTTGAAATGCTTTCTAAACATATTTATAAAATGATTATCTTATTTTCCTTACAGTTCAAAGACTACAGCCAAGAATGATACTCGCAATATCACAAAACGATGCAAACTGAAAATATCTCGAGTTGGATGTAGTAGACCCTATAATCAAAATGATGCTAGAATCATTTTCTGCAGGACTTGGGTGCCTTATCGAAGTATCATAACACTATTCCAGAAGCAAATAATTTGGAAATTCCGTCAAATTGATATACATTAGAATCCTACTAGCATGAGTGCATTCTGGTGAAACTATGAGAGACTAATCTTGTAAGGACTCACACTGACCCGTAGTTATCTAGAAAAGAATATTTTAAATAACGCTTCCCAAAAGAAAAACCCACGAAGGTCTAAAGCAAGAGGATGACGAAGCTATAGGAGGAAGCGGACATGACCACCGATAAACAACATGGGATTCAAAGTGATAACCATTAAAATCCCATAAAAAAAATCATAAGACTAAATTCATCCATCCTTTCCCACCAACATACACAGGATCCAATGGCGATACCCACATAAACAGGATTAATATGCACATCATAATAAGGAAAAAAACATACACAAAAATTCAGATATCCGGTTACTGAAATAGCACCAATATACTTACGCACTAAAAATGGAAGCAGGTAGAATTGTAACGGAAGTGACATAACATTTCCTTGCCATATGTTTTGCAGATACATTTCCTATGGCCTAGCGAGAAATAACTTGTTCGTCTCCCACAAAAGGGTGGATCTAAATTTTCGAGTGAAGAGAACAAAGTTGAGCGTAGAAACGATGACGGCGTCACCTCAAACATATATTTTTCTGTAAACGAAATCAGATTAAAACCGATGATTTTGAAAAAATAAACTCAATAATAATTATACAGAAACGGATGATTCTTTCCTCTTCGGGCTAACCAAAAAATCCATCGCTAAACCTACAAACTATCCATATGCCGGGTATACGAGACGATCCGATGAAGAAATTTTGATCTAAACAGAAATTCAGTCTTTACCGTAGAATAACCGACCAAGAAAGAGAACCAAACAAAGTCGTCGCAGAGGACGAGGATCACGCGCTCACCTGAACTAGTGGGAAGAGGAAGACAATTAGAAAACAGTGGATTTAATGCCATATGAAAACCACAGGCGGCGGCAAACTGACGGCATCAAATTTAGGGTTACCTGAACGGGTAACCCGCCAACGATGGATGACAGGATATCCGAGGACCTCATAATCCCGCCCACAGGCGGGGGTGGGGGGGGGGGTACACTGCCGGCAAAACCAGGGTGAGCGAAGGCGAAGAGCTCCTAATTGGAGGAAGCTGTTTTGATTTTTAAATAATACCCCAATCATTATTAAAATATTACAAAATGTATACATTACGTAAATGTTTTACATTTATACCCAGTCATCTCATCGCTCCTTCTGTTGGCTTCGTTCCTGAGGAAGAATACAAAATACGGAAAATTATATCGTTTTCTGAAAGGACAATTATGTAATTAAAAAACGTACGAGCGCATCCGATTTATATGTCCACGTGGCTCATTGAGGTTATCTTAGAATGTTTTAAATGACTGATACTGAGGCCCAGTGGTTAAAATTCCCGGGCCCGGCCCGGACCGGCCCGTTGACATCATTATCCGATATTATTTCAATGAAGAAATATTTGCCGGTGGAAGCCGACCTTTTCGGCAGCGTTGACCAGCGACTGGTACAAAACCCTCGTGCTGGAAAAAATGAAGCATCTGGAAACTCGACGGAGAGCGGCCCATCGGAGATCAGAGGAGTGGTGGTCGAGGAAGGAGACGACTCAGTTCTGGCTAGGGTTTCCATAGAGGGAAGAGAGAGAGAGAGAGGTGGAGAGGATTATGTTGCAGCTGTTCTTAGCCGTGGCCTTCTCGGCGGCGCCGCTGATGCTGTACTTACCGCCGGTGAGGAGCCTAAGCCTGCTGGTGGAAGCGCTGGAGGCGTTCCTCCAGCAGGCAGACCTCCACACCGTCCAGCTCTCCTCGAGCCTCCGCCGTGGTCTTTCGCGGATCATGGCCCCCTGGATCGGCGCCCGAAGGTAGGCAGATCTGCAGAAGTTTCTGATCTGTTCTGGGAGCTTTTCCGGTTGATTGTATATCTGTCCAGTCTACGCTGGCGGCGGGTCTTCCGCCTACATCGATCCCTCTTCTCCCTCTCTCAGATCCGTTAGGGTTTCCGATTTTGCCCTATCTTTCTTCTCTTATCTGTCACCCCGCGATTGTGTGTGGCGGCCGTGTCTTCTCTTCATGGAATAAGACAGAGATTGGGGGCGGCCTGCGGCAGGGATCCTTCGGTTCTAGCCGATCGATTCTCCAATTTTTTGTGAATTCCTGTTGATATCCGAGCACCTGCAGTGTTCAAAACCCCAAACGAAAGATTCTGCGATCACCGCCTGACTCGAATGCTTCGATCGAGATATCCGTCAATTGATCTTAATTTTTTGAATCCCTGAAGAGTTTCAAGCTATGGCCGCCGTGAATCATCTGCAGTGACCAATCGACTGTCCTTACGAGCTCGCTCTCTCTCTATTGAAAGTTTTTCGAGAACTGTACCAATTTAAGAAGAGTTTTCTCCTTCTAGAGGGGAAAAATCGAAGATGCTAATAAAAATATCAATTAAGATCGAATTGTGCAATCATTTGACTTCAGCTGGATCGGATCTGTTCAACCCGAGCCGCTGACTTAATTCTGCAGGTCAATCCTATCCAATTCCTCGGACCCAATCGAAGACGTGATCCAGCTCAATTAGGATGAGTTTCCCCACGGATTTTGGCCATTTTTGCCTCAGTGAAATCCATCTGACACGGGCTTGCTCTGATCAACATTTACTATTTACGGCAACATAATAATGGGCTGCTCTGATCTCATTGACTTTCCTACGGTGAGTTCAGTATAGACGTCCATGGAATTTAGTCAAAATGAAGTACACAACATGCAACAAAACTCAATCCCCCCCAGAAAGATAAATTCTCGGTTACAGAAGGTTCCCCAAAATAGGAAGAAAGATAGAGAGAGAGAGAGAGATTCAGTGAAAAACAGACAGAGGGGGGCTATGACTGCTCACACTCTACCGGCCCTGCTAAGGCTCACCATCCGAGCCGAGGTCTCATGCTGTGAACCCTTCACCGCCGCCTGATATGGGCTCCTGCCATATGCATCCTGGTATCTCCCAGTATGGTAACCCGAAGAGTAGCCACCACCACCGCCGCCACCGCCTCGGCCACCTTGCCCACCACGGTCCCTTGAAAACCCGCCGCCGCCCTGCTGCCCACCACCGAACCGGTTGCCACCACCATAACCGGGGCGGCCCTGCTGCCGCCCTCCCTGTGAGGCCGAAAAGGACCCATCTTGCCACTTGCCGCCACCCCCGCCGCCACCGCCAGTGTAATCCTGGCCCTCCCCGCGGCGGCGCGGAGGCAGCCCGTCGAGCCCGCCACCAGTCCTTGCCTCGTAGGCCCTCTCGTTGCTCTCTGCGAGGATGTTCAGCTTGTCAGTGAGCTGGAAGGCAAGGGCCTGGAGCCGGGTGGGCTCGACGTTGTGGAAGACGATGCACCGGGTGGGCTGGTCCCAGCTGGCCTGGAGCTCTTCGGAGATCATCATCTTGCTGGCGACGCTGTGCGCATGGTCCTCGGAGAGGCCGAACATGGCGGCGAGCCGGTCCAGGCTCAGGGAGTCGTAGCAGGAGGAGTAGGTGACGAGGAAGGTCCTCAGGGCCTCGTCCTTGATCTTGGCCTTGAGCATGTCGAGGATGGCCTCACGTTCGCGGAGGAGCTTCCAGGTGCCGAGGGAGTCAATGACGGCGAAACACTGCTGGAAGTCGCCCTTGGTGAGGGCCCGAGTGGCGGCCATCACATGGTCGCGGACATTCTCCGGTGGCCCGGTGAAGGTCTGCCGCTCGCTCATCTCGAGGAGCCGCCGGAAGGTCTTGCTGATGACCCGGCGCCGGGAGTCGTGGGTGTTGGCGGCCATGTTAGGGACCTCCAGGAGCATCGCGCAGATGAGGTGGACCGCCTCGAGGAGCTCGAGGTTGATGTGCATGTGGAAGGGCATCTGGTTTCTTCTCTCTAGTTTTTCCTGAAAGAGTCAGTGATGAACTCAGATGATTCCAGAATTTTCCCCATAACAGGTAAATTAAAAAAAAAAAAAGGACCACTGAATCGATCGGCCGTACCCAGATGGGCATATTTACACATTTCTCAAAAGATTTGTCAAAATCATTATTCCTAGGCATATTTATCAGGATAATATATATCAAGAAATCATGGTAATATTTTGATATAGCCATCATGCGTTTGAACAAATACTTCCTCACTGATGCTTAAAATAACGCTTAGCATAGAAATAATACAACATTTTAACTATATCAACAGGCAGTTAGCTTAGAGATCATCATGCACACATAGCAAAGCACTATAGACATTGGATTGTCCACACCAGAAACCATGGGGGAAAATGTCACCAGAAGACTTCGTTTCCCAAAATTACACATTTTTGTTTTGTATTCTTAAATCAAAGAGGGTAAATAAAAAATCTGGAAATCCTCGAAGATGATTTGAAAAGGAAATATTTTTTTCCAATCTTGAAGGTGCCCTAGAATCAGCAAATTACCACACAAATGCTGCGAGACGTTCCAAACGACGGCATTTAAAAAACAGGTCTTGTACTCCACACAGGGCGAAACAAGGGAAGAAATATTACGATCAAGAACAAGAAAGATAATCACACATAGACAATATAGGCATAGTTTATTCATTATAAGCCGAAGCGTTCTTGATCATGCGTACCTGTTCTGGAGTTTTCTCGTGGTAACGGCTCTGAGAGACACCTTGTGCAAGCAACTCCTTCACTCGCCCCCCGGTGTATAGCTCAGAGAGACAGCCAAATGCCTCTGGAACGAGGCCCCCCCTAAAGGCACAGAGACCAAGTTGGGCCATCGCGCGGTTGAAGAGGATTTGGGTGGATCTATCCATGTGCTGGACGCCATCTTGCAAGTGGCTCATTAGCAAAAGATCACGGGCAACTGCAAATTCGTCAAAGATGGAATGGTGATAGATATCACAAAGCATTGTCCGGGCCTTGGTCCTCTCATCTCCATGCTTGTAAATAAGAGATATAAGAGAATCCATGAAAGCACGACTGCTCTCTGGGAAACTGGGCACACGAGAAGCAACCTCAGGAACCACAACAAAGGACAATGGGCCCCTGATTTCTTCTTGTACCAGGCCCTCCTCACCAGCTTCTGCGTCATCCTTATCTTCACCATCTGCCCTTCTCTCAGCCAATCTCCTCATCGCATCATAAACCTCCTGTGGCTTGTAGTATACAAGCTCGACCCGTCTCAGTGCAACCTTAGAAGCTGCCTTGAAATCCCCTAATCTCTCAAGGTAATCCTGGACATCCTGAGCTAGAACAAGGAACATTGGTTCATCCCTGTGCCTCTTGACATACTCATTTGTGTGAGGATCAATACATTGCAGACTCTTGAAGAACTCTGAATCAAGCCGTTCAACAAAAGAAACCAAGTTTCCCCAAACTCGGATCGTTCCCTTATAGTCTGCACCCTTCTGCGTCTCCTTCTCCTCAGGCTCCACTGAGTCGTCAACCAAAATGTTGGGATGCTGCTCCAGGATGTCAAGAACAATAAGCATGTTCTCCACACATTTCTTCCACACGTTTATGGGCATGTGCCCACTTAAACTAGGGTTTATGTCAAACTGCGCTGAGATGACGCTGAACAGTATTTCCAACTTCTGGGCAGGTGTTTTGGCCACCTTTGTTAAGAAAGTAAGCTGCTCGACCTGCTCAATCCTCCCAGTTCCTTTCCTACCTCTCACAGCCACAATTTCCTTGAACTTTTTGTCAACTATTTCCCACGTGATCTCACTAGGATCCTTCATAAATTGCTTGTCCATTAGCTTATCCTTTTTGCTCATTTTCTTCTCCCATGCCCCCTCACCGGTGCCCTCACCCTCCTCACCTTCTTCTTCTTCTTCTTCATCAGGCTTGGAAATATTTGTCAAGTCCTCTTCAAACTCTGAACCCTCTTCTTCCTCTTCCTCTTCCTCCTCCTCCTCGCCCTCCCCCTCACTCTCTGGCTTCTCCCTGTATTTTATGATGTAGTCCTCAAACTGCTTGTTGTTCTTCTTCAGCTTCTGCTTCATTGAATTCAGGGCCTTGGCGTTGCTACTGCTCATTTTTTTCTTCGCCTCCTTGTTTGCTAGTGCCTCCGCCATGAAATCCTCGAGCATCACCAGGGCCTTTATGTAAAGGCTTGGCGGCCGGTCTCCCTCTATCACCCGGGCGACCTTCTCCAGTTGCTTGTTTATCTTATCGAAGCTCTCCTGGAGACTCACCCAATCGTTGATCTTCATTGCATTGCGGATCTGGTCCAACGTAGCCGCCATCTCATCTAACCTCTTGTCACGAGCTGAGCGGACAATGCGCCTCTGCCCATCAGAATCATCGCTGTCACTTGCGTTATCAGTCTTGAGGTATCTGTTCGTCTGTGTCCGCCCGCCGCCCTCTCCGGGACCAGCTGCGGTCTCGGACTCTTCTTCATAGTCACTCTCTTCCTCCTCAGTATCGCTACCACCCTGCCAACAACACAGAGAATCAATCAAAATTCTAGATCGATAACTAGGGTAGCTAAAACGGAAAGATCATAAAGTCAGGGAAATCAAATGAATCAGTGGCCTTCGATTGAAACTCAGGGACGAACCTGTGTCCAGAAGCGGGAAGCCATCTTGCTGAATCCTCCTACTGCACCAAATCAAAGGCACTGCCCTAGCAAAGCGATCTTCAACGCAGCAACGGCACTAAAATACAGAAACAGAAGAAACAGATTCAGAGAAATGAGCATAGATTGTGGGCAAGAAAAATATCGCGAACTAAAAAACCAATCCAGAAGAAGATCTCCTCACTGAAGGAAACCCTAATTACCAATACTCGCAAAAGCATGAAGAGCGAAATCCCTCCCAACACGATTCCCAATAAATTAGACCAAAACTTACACCAAGAGGGCCATATTTCCTCACCTCGTTCGCGCCTTCCTTACCCGCGGAGAAGGGAGCTCTTTTTCGCAGGGTCCGGCGAGTTACAGAGGATGGAGGCGGCGCACAGGGATGACAGGAGGGTTGGCGAAGAGTGACTATATATATGATAAACTATTTAGTGGTATATCCAATTTTAGTTGACAATAACATTTTAGTACAATACATATAAATATTTATGTAAAGACCTGCCTCCGGGCAACCGCCTCGCCATAATTGTTTATGTAAATACTTTCACCCTTAAATTTAACAAAATTTTAAAATTCATTGAATGATTAAAAAGCCCAACTAAGATAAAAGTAAGAGTACATATCTTAGCACTAAAATAAGATTATACATCGATTTCTTTGAAGCTAAATTAAAATAAGATCATAGACTGCTTTGAGGACCTTCATTTAAAAATATAAAATAATAAATATTTTAAAATATATACCATTTATTATAAAGAAAATTTAAAAATAAACGAAAAAAATGAGTAACCCATGATATGTGGTGTCATTAAAATGTAGTATAATTACTAGTGAATAAAACAGAAAAAATAAAATAAGTAAGTTATGATGCATAATTGGCCACTATAACAAAAGAAATAGATATTGATATGATTAGAGATTCAATCTAGAGTGACTTTGGAACATGTCTTATGCCAAGGTAGGTCAAGCCAAACTTAATCAGCCCATTAACACCTCTACTAATTTTCCTCTCTACAAATACTCTTCAAACATTAACTAATTGATTGTAGCATGAAAACTTTGGTAGAAAATATTTCTTACACCCCTAACATATTTCTTCATAATCATGATGGGCATGTTAAATCAAAGGCTGAAGTACTATTTTCATGACTCATTAATGTAGTAAGTGCATCCCATTTTGACTTATGTCATACTTGATGCTATAATGTTACAAGAACATATAAAATGGAATAAATGTAGAGTTAGTATTGATTAAAAATAAAACAAGATTACAAAAATGTAGTTGGGAAAATAAAAATGTAGTTAGAATTAAGTAACTTAATCTCATGAAAATTTGTGAATAAATATTATGATTTCTCAAACTTATATGCACTATATTTAAGTTGGGAGATAAATCAAATACAATACCCCAATCATCTCCCTCATCATCCTTACTTTGTGTGGTTCATTAGTATATCATCATAACATATAATAAACCTCATTGTAAAATAGAATTTTATATTTTTTAAACTGTAGTTGCATCCTTAATTCCCATCAAACACTATAAAAATGTACTTTATTAACAGTTTATGTCAACCAATTAGGATGAAAATATAGTAAATTAAAATCCAATGTTGCCTATAATTAATTTTTCATCTTGTCATTCATGAGATAGTTTTACTGTAAAATGAAGATAACATTTTTTCTCTTTGTTTTTCTCTAGATTTTTATAACCATATTGTTAGCTATTTCATTAAATTGAGAACTTTGATATGGACTCTTGTACAATATGACTTCAGCTATCATATAAAGTCTCACATTTTCAATATATGAAATTTGGACTTCAATGTAAAACTAGCATAACAATATATACGTTTACACTTCAGAATCAACAACTAATTTTGTAACTTTTTTTTTGTGAGTACTTTTTAAAAAATGACTAAATTATGGAAATGAAACAAAAGCTATTTAATTAAAGTTTTTTTTTTCCTTGATACTATTTGGTTTAAAATGGTAAAAGCCCGTCATTAGACACAAGTGCTTGTAGGCACTTGGATATTTCTAGACTTATAACTCTAGGATGATGAGCAACCATCATAGTTCTAGTGTTTAGCTGCATACATCCATAGATATAGAAGTGAGTGCTGGTGGTTAATGATATCACAAGTGGGAAAATAGTGGAGGCAACCTAATACTTGTTGTTTAGATGATGAACTATTTATGAGTAAGGAAATCCAATATATATGTTTCTAAAGGATTTTGGTTGAGAGGGTAAAACTGTTATAAATTGTCTCTTCTGCTTCATCATTTCAATCATCCATAGGTAGTGGACTCACTTGAATTATGATGTCCCTTGTTGCATCAAACTTTTTACATCTTGACCCACTAGAAAAAAAAGACAAATCTACCCTCCCTTTTGATTTTTTCCTTACCTTGTCTAATTCAATGTCATCAAATTATTTTTTTCCTTAACGCACTAAAAAAATGGACCAATTTAAGCCTCTCTCTCCCCTGATACTCTCTAAAAGCTAGTGATTCTTGATCTTAATCCTTTTTTGGCCTTCTAAAAACTAAAAAAAATATCCTTTCACATTAGCTTTTTCCCTAGTTAGTGATACCAACTAGCTAATCTCTTTTCTCTTTAGCCTTTTGATTACTCACAAAAATATAATCATTTATTTTATCATGGAATGAATTATATACTTTGAATATTGGCCTTGCACACCTAAAATGTTGTATTTAATCTAATTAAGAATTAAACATTCAATTTTTTTTGCACCTAAGATATGGCCTTTGGTGTTCCATCGTGTCCTAGTTAATGCCTATAGAGGGATATTCATTTCCTTTTTAAGTAGTGATGCTTTTTTTAATCATTAGGTTTCTCCATTTGAGATTGTGAGTTCAAAGCTACTTCTTACCCAATGACCCACTTTACTTAGCTTCACTGTAAAAAGTTGTAGCTCCACACATGGGAGGATAGCTAGGCGGAGGATAAACTTAGCACATGTGCGTGGGGAGTGTACTTTGTTGCTTATGTGCACATGTATGAGTACTCACACCCCTAAGTATTGGTATTTATTTCTATGTGTATACGTGTGCATGTAGATGCAAATAAGTACGAATGCCCCCCATGCACACATTAAGTAGCTCACACTTCTATGTTGTGTACCCATCCAGACACAAGTAGCTCACATGGACCCTTGTGTGCATATGTCACATGAGTACCCCTATGAAATTTGATACCCCCCAGTCCCCAGTTGGGGCTATCTTCCTTTGTCGCACAACCTTCATGTTATAAGCAAACATGAACTACAATGAGGTAAATATCAAATGAAAATTGATAGGTGCAAGATGACTAAGTCATTTACCTATTGAAACTCTTTTCATAATTTTCTTTCCTTCTCAATTAAGTCAAATGTGCCTTGGACCACTCTTATGCTTGGTATCACATAGCTAGACATTCTAGAACATTATTTATTCATCTATTTTTTATAGTTTTTCTCTCATTTCCCCTTTCAATAGAGGAGTGGAGATCCTTACACTTTCAATAGATGCTTTAAAATAATTTTTAGCTTTATTGATGACTATACACATGACATGTATATTCATCTCATTGAGTGTGTAGAAGAAGTTCATTGCATTGTACTCTTTTGTCGATGGATGCATTCAATGATAATATTCGTGTATCTATACTCATTAAAGTAATGATAAAAAGATCTAGATCTTGATGCTAGGAGGAGATGCATACTCACTAAAAAAAGATCTAAAATCTCCTAATCATTATATTCAAAACAAAGATCATCATAGACATTACATTTGTTGGGATATTAACATAAATTACAAAGTTCAAGAGGGTATGTGATGTTATTCCTATATGTGATCGATCATAAAGCAACGTCAAGTCGTCAAGTGTGCGTACCGACTCTAAGGGACCTCAAATGATTAGTCCTCTGTTTTATACTCTTCATATATATATATATATATATATATATATATATATATATAATTAGGCCCTAAAATTAAAGTTCAATTGCTTGGAAAGTGACAAATACTCCAAATAACCATTCATACTCCAAACCATTATAAAAAACCATGATTTTCCATTAGATGTGTCACAAGCTGTGAAAGCTTTGCTTAATTGGGTAACAATCAGGGTCACAAAGAAAATGGTCCTGCCCAACTTATTCCTCATTTGGTAAGATCTACATTGCTAGTCTACATACAACCCACTCCTCATGGGCCATCCCAGACTAGGCCCGGCTTCATAGTAGGCCCACTTCTCAATTCCGTACCGGCTCCAGGAATTCTAAAAGCTATTGGTCCCATGGGTGAGTACCAGCCCATTAGCCTCTAACCAACCGATCGTCTGAGGGCCCAAGGTGCAGTTCTGCCCCGGCACACTACCCATCGCACTTAACAATGCCCATGTGGGGCCCATTGAGGGATCTTATCCGGTCCCTCTTGGGGTGGTCTTTCTGGCTAAGGATATAGGATAAGGCTCAAGTATCCCGTTCCTGCGTCGTATCATATCGAAAGGTCAAATGACCGTTCGACTCTGAAAGGGGTATTACGGGTATGAAAAACATTTCTCACACTAGAAATGGGCGTAGCTCCTCCTGTGCTGCTGTAGCAGATAAGGATTTCCAGAGGAGCTCTCTTCGACTGGGAGTGGAAGGTCCGAGGAGGATAATCCCAGGAGAGAGAAACCATGTTTACCGCGGCGGTGCCGTCCGCTTCGTCTCCGGCGGCGTGCTCCGTGCCGTCCTTGATGCGCAGTGGCGCCTTTTACGGCGGCCAGCAGCGGTTGTTCTCAATCGCCGCCAGATGCCCACGGGTGGCACCGGCGATTTCGGTCCCCGCTTTCCCCGTCGTCGAGGCCAAGGCCTCCACTAGCAGGGAGAACCGCACCGCTCGTCACAAGCGCATCCGCAAGAAGGTGAGATTCCGTGAGCTCTGATTTCGGCAATGTGTTGTTATCTCTCCCTTCGTCCTGCACTTATTCGCCTATTTTTTTGAGTTTTTTAAACTCCTGGTAGTATCTTTTACTCCGTCCTTCGGTTTTCTCCCAAACCATTGCTATTCATGTCTGTTTACTATAAATTTTTATTTTTCTACCGATGGTTTTTTTCCCGAACAGGTGGAAGGTACCCCGGAGAGGCCACGGATGAGCGTGTTCCGCTCTAATAAACATATATATGTCCAAGTGGTTGATGATACCAGGATGCATACATTGGCTGCTGCTTCAACAATGCAAAAATCAGTATCTGAGGAAGTCAACTATTCTTCTGGGCCGACAATTGTAAGTCGTGTTGGATTCATTAATCCATTCTGATATTTCGAGGGTCTTCATTAAGTATACCCAGTAATTTTTGTAATTCTTGTCATTATTCTTGTCAACACGCTTTTTTTTTGTAAATTTTGAAAATAAAATATTTTCTTCTTTCTTGCCAATGGATTTAGCTGGAAATTACTTTGTGAGGATAGGCTCAAAGACCCACCCAGTGATAACCCGTACTCCAGCTGGCATAAAGTCAAGTGGTAGTAACTCGTTCATGGATCATTTTGGCACAATTTCGTCAGCTCCAAAGCTTTGCAGACTTTCTGGTCTAAGAGAAACACCCGATTTATGTGCAATGTTTCCCCCATAACTATTTCCACCTGGTCTCTAGAAACAGTAATTACCCTTGTGGCTCCATTTCCTTTAGGTTTTGTAACCCATTGGAGTTGCAGAAAAAAATTCCTGCGTTTATGAACGAATATAATGCTTTATTTCATGGTCGAATTCTTATTGTAAAGTCGTAGTTTTAAATTTTATCCCAATTTTTCTAAGAATAGTATCCCAATTTCTTCCATGACTCAATAGTTTTACAATCTATCAAGTCATGGCATTGAGGGGGAGGTTAGGGAAAGGTTTCCATGCTGAGTTGTTGTGCATGACAGGATTTGGGCCAAAAGTGGCCTACCAATTGGGATTCCAAGGCCCAAGGATCCTGTGGTATACAGCTTACCCCATTGATATTCTGACAATTCTGACAGTAGAGCAATGTACCTCGTGTTCATAGCAGCAGTGACATTGGGATTGCTTACACTTTATTTATTGAGACAGTTGTCTTTCTGAAGGAGACTGCCTCTTTGGTTCTTAGTTTGTAATATGCTTTGCATGGTTTCAGAATTTTAGTATCATAATCTTGATGAACTTTCCATCACAGTTCCCTAACCGTCTTTTCCTCTGGAGATAAGTCAGATTGGTCTCCTCCAGGTGCCATGCATGCTTTTGGAATATTTTCTATTTCTTCCTCTGGGAGTAGAAACTGCTGCTTCCACACAAATAAAATATTTTTAGACATTTTATTTTGTGTAGGCACTCTAATATTTTTCACGCATTGATGAATTGTGCATTTTCCTGAAAAAATTCTGGGTGAGTTTAACTTCTAAGTGAATATTCTTTTAATTTGTACTTTTATTTTTCTTATCAAAAAAACATGCATTGATGCATTGTTCATCAAATTTCATTTATACTGTTATTAACTTTCACCTGTCAGAAGTAGAAGAATGAAATTATTCGGAATTCTCATATTTTGGATTACACGAACTTGAGTGAGGTCCTTTTTCTCTTTGGTTTTTCTCTGCACTGACTGCCCAGATACCGAAGTTTAGTAGCTACTGATTGTCAGTGCCCCCTTACTAGGCATGCCGTATCCCAATTCAAGACGAATACAGAGACCTTCACTTCCACTGATAACTTTTATTATCTCAAAACCGTCTTTTTATCATTCAGCAATAAATTATCGTATCATATTTAATCAAAGTTGATAAGTGGCGCATGAAATACTAATAATCTTGTTCTTTCTTATGTGCGTACAAATGATTCTCTTCACTCTTAAGAAGCAAAGCTCGCAATATATTTTCCATAGTTTGACGAGATATTCCCTATTAAGAATCCATTTTCAACTACGAACTAAGTGTATGCGCTAGTTTGCCATTCATGGTTCCTGGTCTAACCACGAAAGTTCCTCACTGTGAAATCATCGTTGGCTCTTATTTCACTTCAGGAGGTGGCCAGGAAGATTGGTGAAGTCATCGCAAAGGCCTGCCTGGAGAAAGGAATCACAAAAGTCGCCTTTGACCGTGGCGGCTACCCCTACCATGGCCGGATAGAAGCCCTTGCCACCGCTGCCCGGGAGGGTGGTCTTCAGTTCTAAGGCCTCCACCTTATGGCCCGACATGTGAATCGATCTATAGACTGCTGGCTCCGAGGATCTCAAGCAATTAGAAGCTTCTCATGTCCCGGGTACCCAAGGATCTCCCTCCCCATGGTGATGTTCTTTCTGTAATCTCCAGTTCTAATTTCAGGATCCTTTTGTTACCAGTGTTGGAAGTTCTCAGTTCTTCTTTCAGTTCTTTATTTTCTCATTGAGCTCAAGTAGCAGTGCCCTTGCCTGCACAAAGTGGGTTGGGAAACTATATCTCACAGGTATGTGATGCCTAATTTGTTTTCATTTGTCATATAAATCATGGAATACATACCCACCTTAATAGGTTTATCTTGTGTTCTAGCAACGCACTGAGTGAAACCTCTTTGCCACTAATAGATTGTGCTGTTTTTTGGTTTCAAGAAACCCTTTTGATGATTCTAGAATGATTTCTTGGAATGGGCTCTAAGAGACGTGGCAGCCTCTCATTGGATGATACTAGGTGTATGGAGTCTCATGAGAGTTTGACATAAATTCTTACTAAAACTGTCTATATATATAGTTTCCAGTTTTAAATCTGATAATCCATCCTCACAACAACCTCCTCACAATGGTGCAACTAAGGTCAACTCTCATGCCACTTTTGGCAATTGGGCCGCACATGTGGTTGACCAACGTGGGTCATGTGGACAAGACTTACATATTGGTCAATATAAAATAAAACTGCAACTATGATAAAAAGGGTATGATCATTAAGCTTGCTATCGATTGATTTTGAGTTGGATGGCCCAATAATCTTAGCCTTGCATCATAAGCAGTGTTTGTTCTCAGACAATTGATACATCTTGTTGAATAAAAGGGAATGTCTTGAAAATAATTTCAAATTGGTTAGCATAAGGCGACTATGTAGTTATAAAGATGAGATTGCTACACTCATCAGAAGCTAATGAAAGTCAAGGATTGTTCTTAGGCTGCACAACCAATATATATATATATATATATATATATACATAGGTTGCTATTAATGGAACATGGTAGGAACAACCCAACTTGTGGGAACTATCAAGTCGAGTATAAGATGTGAAAAATGAATTCACCCTATTACCCCAAATATTTTTACCAAACCCTAGATTGGTGGTTTGCCAACCAAGCCCCATGCTCTAAGAAGATCATGATTTTTTGTACCAATTGAGATATTTATTGTCTTCATTTCACTTAATCTATTGTTTATTTAAATCAATGTTTCAAACTTTGAGGCTAAGATAATGGGTCCAATTTATGTTAATATTATAATTAAACACCATATAAAATTTAAATCAACCAAAATTCTCAGTTGAGGTCAATTCTTGAGGAATCTACTCCAAATAGCTAGTTAACATGCCAATGATCTGATTCAACTGGTCACCTCCATACCAAGAAAATCTCTTATCATTCGTTTGACCCTACATGTCTTCACAAGAACTTGATTATAAACTCAAAAATGGAATCCAACCGAAGCTCAGGCTCTGCCAAATCGGGCATATTTTATTTTTATTTATGGCTCCAAAAAATTGGTCCATAAATAAAAAATAGGCACAACCCAATCTGTTGTTGGGCCTAGTGTAGGCTTGGAGTCCATTCTCTAGATTTGGCTACAAAATTGGGCTTTGCCTGTTTGGGCCCATTATATTATAATCTGGTTATCTCCTGTTATATTCCATCGATTTATATGAGTAAATATTTTCACATATTTCATTATCTGCTTGAATCGCTATATATATATATATATATATATATATATATTAGTGGATTAATATCGACCTGAGTTAATCCGGGGAACTGAGATTTTCTTCCACTTGATCATTCTGAAAGTGTTTGATGTCCCAATCTGATATCAGCTGCTTTTGACTTTGACTGTATTCGCGGACTCTCTCTCTCTCTCTTCTCTCTCTCTCCATTGCTGCTTGCTAGCGCGGCGTAACACCTGTCCATATCTTCCTGGCCCACTTATCCGACGAGGGCCCGACGCGGATTGGCTCCTAGTGGCTTCCTAAGATGGCGTCAACATCAGCATGATCCATCCAGCGGGATCCGCTGATACGACAAAGACACGTCAACTGGCGCTTACGTGTCACAATTATGAGGTTGTTCTCCAAGGGCATATTTAAAAACGTCGTCTGAGTGGGCTCTCTCACGCTGGCGGATTTCCAATTTTTATAAAATTATTATTTTAGCGTTGTTTTCTTGTTAACATTAAAATTTATAATATTTTATTAAAAATTATCGAGTTGGCGTTGTTTCTTCGTAAATTACTATTTTAAGCATTCCCTAACGACACATAACATTTTGTTGAGCGTCTTACTGGGCCGAGTGGCCAGAGTGGAACCTGGCCAAATTCTCATCGTATCCAGGGGCCCATTTTCTTCCAACATAATTGTCATAAGACCAACACCTCTCTCTCTCTCTCTCTCTCTCTCTCTCTCTCTCTCTCCAATAATGACAAACAGATGGTTGGGCTGGGCCTACACTATACCCGTTAGGCCCACCCTCTCTGTCTCAAGAGGTCTCATTGGGTCGGGTCTAAGCGGTAGGGAGGAGACTGTCTTTGTCTACGTGTGGGGCCTAGAAACGTTGACATGATGGCAATAGTGGTCAACCCCCCCATATCTCCCTGCCTAGAGCTTCACGTGTTGGCCCCCACTCTAGAGCCTATGTCTTAAACGGAGCTCTGGGCTGAATGTGGGCCCAGTCCTCCTCTCTCATGGCTTCCGCCGTCTCATGTGGGCCCCTCATGCACAGTAAGTACTAGCCCGTAGACAGTGGAAACATACATTTCAATATTTATATTAACATTCAAATGTCACAAAAATTCCAAATTCGGTAAGAAGCTGATTTTCCCTCTCTCTCTCTCTCCCTCTCATCGATGTACCGTGTACGTGGATACCGAAGCGCACCTTATCGGGAAAATGTCTCCCCTGCGGTGCAGCCAGCTTGAGGTCCACGTCAGAGCTGGACGTGGACAGCGGGCCCCACACCTGGCCGCCTCAGCAGCTTTTCGAGGGGATCTGCGTTGTGGGGCCCACTCTCCCGACACGTCGCCCTAACGATGAGAGAGACACGGCGCCGGCGGGGAAAGCGCGCTGGGGCGTGTGGCCTTGGACGACAAGGGCTGGCCGACACGTGTAAGGTGTGTCGGCAGACTTTTATAGTTTACCCCTCATTAAGATATCCATGTCAAGACGAATTCCTTCGATACGGTGGGCTTCTTGAAGGATCCTTGATAATAAGTCCACGAATCAGAGGTTAATTTGACCAGAATGAGGGGGAAATAATGTAGAAATAAGTTTGAGGAGGACTGTATTGTCAAAGTACCATGTGGATCCCACATGACGTCATATTTTACACGTGGATGACCTATACTCGTACCACCGGGTTCATCGGTAACCCCCTGAGCCCCCTCCCCTTGGATTCGAACCGTCGTGTTGACAGGTCAGCAGTTTAGTTGAATCCTGAGATCCAACGGTCAACTGTATTTCACAGCCTTGGGCTAGATCTGAACCATCAAATCAGAGGGAGGGAATTAAAAGATCTGAGAAAATGTGGGTCTGCGACTGGCTATAGCCGGTGGAGGAAGCCGCCACGTCATCTCTACCGCAAGCGAAGACCATCCTGTGATTACTTTGGGCAAGACTGCGGCGATATTTAAGTTGCACACGTGGCGCACCTACCGCTGCTGGTGACGCAAAAGGCTCATCTGACGGCTCGGACACGGCCACGCTGGCTCCGACAGATGAAGACCGTGCGTTTAGGCGAAGATCTGACGGACAGGATACGCAGTCGGAGGTCGGGGAGACGATCTGACCGTACGTCCGCGCCAGAAGCGGCGTTTGGCAACGAGAGGAAGTGCCAAAGGGAGATGTGGATGGCGGAGGAAAGGGAGGAAAGGGAGGAAAGGGAGGAAAGCGAGACTGGAGATGGGAAAGAGAGAGAGGTAGAGACAGAGAGGGTGGAGGAGCGGCGGCGGCGGCGAGGGGAGGGTGTTGATCCAGGAGGTTGAAGGAGGACTGCGCTGAGGAAGAATCATCGATATCATCTCTGTCTTCAGCTTCAGCAGGCGGCACCGTGGAGGTGACCGGGCTCTCTGCGGATTCTGTGTTGGCCTGGAGTGGTGGTCGGGGGGTCGTATGCGTGTTTTTCGATCTGGTTTTGTTGTGGTGAGAGGATTAGGTACCAGATCGGCGGGGTTCTGGTCTGGTGTTTGATGAGAGAAGGGGGTAGCAGATGGACCGGAATAGGGACGGGAAGAGGGGGAACGTGGCGGCGGTGAATGGAATATCGAGGCGGAGGTCTCGAGGCGGAAGCTCGAGGGACTCCCCTGGTTCGATTCCGGTTCTTGGATCTCTCTTCCTTCGTCTGCCTGTTGTTTTCTTTTTGTCTACTTGTTGGTTCTGATATTGGATTCTTGTGGTGCAGATGAGGATGGGGGAATGGAGTTGCAGGAGACGGTCCGACTTCGGGATCGGGGGAGTAAGAAGAATCGAGATCGGGAGAGATCCGGCCGTAGCAAGCGAAGAAAAGGGGACCGGATACTTCATGGGACCAACAGGGACGAAGGAGAGGAGAGTTCCGAAGAGAGTATTGACGAAGACGAGGAGGATGATGACGACGACGCCAGTGGAACTGCCCGGCCACCACCACCGCCGCACCAACCCTCGCCTCCGCCCTCATCTTCGCTGTCAAACCACAACCACCGAAAGGCCTATCCAACAAAGGTAATCAGAGGCCCAGTGGTGTGGAAGGTGGCGGATGAGATGATCGGTGTGTCAATTCCAAGGAAAGCTCGGTCAGGTAGCAGAGTAGGGTTTTGTGATTCTAAGAATGGTTCTAGTTTTGTGCCTTTTGTTCTCTAAATCCAAAAATTTTGAACGGTTGTGGATATTCTTCCGCTTTGATTTTGCAGCGTACGCGAAAAGGTCACCTGAATGTTGGGTCTCAGGTAGTGGCTGTGCTGGAGGATCTGGGGAGCCAATTCATCGGCAAGCTTCAGCTTCTCCTCCGAGGCTAGGTGGAGGGGCTAGTGCTCCCGTTCCGACTTCACCATCTTCCTCCAACGCTTCTGTCAGAAAAAAGATGGTCTCATCTACCTTCGTTTTTATTCGAGTTTTTACGCCAGTTCTCTTCTTCGTTTTTAAGGCTGGAACTCAACCGCTGTCCCTTTTCTCCAGAAGCAGATCAGTGGGACCAAACATCGACCGCCGAAAATTTTGAAGTCTCCATCATCAATCCAAGAAATCGAGATCGAGGTTGCTGAGGTTTTGTATGGACTGACCAGGCAGTTTCAGGTTCCTCTGAAGCAGGAGTTCAACAAGCCACATTCGAAGGATGCAAATGAATCCAGCTATGACACTAAATCACGTGTTTCATCACCGAGCTCGATCTCGCCTCCTCCAGCAGTATCTCAGGGATTGCTGCAGCACAGTTATAGCACTGCTATGGCTCCTTTACCTGCTGTGGGTAAGTATGGCTTACTTCCTTGAACGGCCCCCCGTCCAACCCCCCCGCCCCTCCCCAACGAAAAAAAAAAGATGAAGAAAAAAATGAAAGCAGAAAAAGGAAGATGTGACGCGTGACTACTCTTCAATTTATGATGGAGACTCTTCTCTCCTGCTGTCTGCAGCTCCAAAGAGGAAAAGGCCTCGACTAGTGAAGGTTGACGACAAGACTCCTGCAGATGCTACCGTTCAGGCAGTTCATCCAAGTTCCTCTATTTCTTCGATGTGTAAGACAACTGATGGGGATGAGACTAGAGTGCAAGTCCAGTCTCCAAGGTTACCAAAGAACGCAGAACTAATGCAGTCAGAAAATGGCACCCCTTCTCTCGTTCAAGTGGAAGGTAAACCTGCAAGTATTCAGGATGAATCAATGAAGCCAGAGAGCAGCAGTGCATCTGATGTGAAGCCTCCAGTCACAGATTTGGACAGCCAAAATAGGGTGGAAAAGAAAGATGAAATTAAATTACTGGCCAAGGAGCCCGTTTCTGATGAATTGATCACCAATTGTACTGAATCTGACGTTAAACTGTAAGCATTGAGATTGTGTTTCTTTTGCTACTTCTCTTTTCAACATGAGGCTTCTGTTCTTTCTCATTGATTTTTTTTTATTGCTCCTCTGTTTTTGACAGTGCCTCAGCTGCTGATAGCCCGAAAGAGAAGTTCAAGATTGATTTAATGGTTGGTTTTTTTTAGCTATCTCTTATGACGCAGTCTTTCCTTTTTCTTCTTTTCTATCTGAGGAACTACAAGTGCTAACTGAGATCTTGGTTGTGCAGGCTCCTCCAGGGAAGTCCTCGCAGGAGAGGGAACTAGATTTCCTCACGGAACACAAATTTGCTTCGCCAGAAATTGAGACTGTGAGTAATCTTATCCGTTTTTAGACGGCCTTTTACCATAAAACTAGTGGGCTTCTGTTTCTGTTGTGACATTTTTCTTTTCCAGGGAAGAAAACACGATTCTGTGAAAAACCGAGTGGAAAAGTCCGAAAGAAGCCCAATAACAGGGGATGCGGGCTTCGAATTGAAGGAAACCAAGAACTTGGTTGAAGAATATGATTCCAGGAGCCCAGTCAATAAGAAGTCTCTTGATGTGAAGTTGGAGCCTGCGAAATCGGATAAAGAGGAAATTATTTGCGGCAAGCTCCCAGGTCCGAGGCAACCAGGGAATATTCCAAAAGCAGAGCCTACATCAGAGAAAACGGGTACCATATTTGAATCACTTTGAAGTTATCCCGTGCTCAGGAGCCTAATTTATTGATCACAGCGGATGGCCAATGAGGATCTCTATCCCTTACAAACTCTTATATCTTGATGTTTTTTCAGCTACACAAGCTGGATCCTTGCCTTTGCCCATGGCTGCGGCTGGCTGGCCTGGTGGTCTTCCTTTTGGGTGAGAATTAATACTATTCAATCAAATTTAAATCATGGATTGCTGTGAACACTCGCTCTCCCATTTGCAGGTATATGGGTCAAGTTCCATTCCTGCAGCCTGCTGTGCCGATAGATGGGACTGCAGCCCCGACCATGCCTATGCGGGTACTTCCATATTTCGTCGCCAAGTTTTGCTGTTCTTTGTGAATTGGCTTCATTCTCCACGGGCAACTCTCACTGTATTCATGTCGTTACCAACTTCTCCATGCAGCAACTTCGCCCAAAGCGGTGTGCCATCCACTGCTACATCGCACATAACATATGCTTCCATCAGCAAATTGCCCAGATGAACCCCTTTTGGCCTGTGGCTGCCGGCTCCACCCCCATGTTCGGGGCCAAGCCTTACAACCTGAATCTCATGCCATCTTCGGCATCTGCCATCCTCAGCAATCCGCTGCAGGGAGGGTTTCCCGGGGGCTGCTTGGGCTCCCTGCAAGACAAGGCCGTCCCTGTGTTTGGGCAGCTCCCTGGCCAGTCTCCCAAAGAAAAAGGCTCCGCTGTGAACTCTTTCATGGATGCGACTCAGAGGAAGCAGCTTGTTCTTCAGCAGCCCCTGCAAGCAGGATCTACGAACAATATGCTGGTATGGATTACTTCATAAATGTGTTACTTTTTGGCTGCAAAGTTGGTAATACTGATGTCGAAATATCGCCTGTTGTTTTTTGCTCGCTGTTCTTTTCAGCACACTCCGGCTTTCATTTTCCCTCTCAATCAACCCCAGGCGCCTACCTCTCAAGTGGCTGTGGCAAAGTCCTCTGCTGTGAATGCGGCTTCCTCCAGTGTTTCTAGTTCTGCTGCTGCTAGTTCTTCAGGGTCAGGGGCTGCCCCCACTGGCACAACTGCCTTGAACTACTCTACTTTGCCCCAGGGGGAAGCCCAGTACTTTCTACTTCAGAACAATGGCTATCCTTTTCCCATTCCGGCCCATGTTGGTGCTCCTCCATTCAGAGTCGGCAATCATCCCCAACCAATGGCCTTTCTGAATGCCTCCTTCTATGCCTCCCAGATGCTCCATCACCCACAGTTGCAGCAGCTGCCACCACCTCCACCCCCACCGCCACAACAGCAACACTATCCTAACCCACAAGACCAATCTAAAGCGAGCCCCTCTTCATCCCAGAAGTACCCTCAGCCACCACAGAAGGCCCCTGATGGCAGTGCCAGTGTGGGAGCCGGGTCAGCCCAGGGCTTCTCAAACCCTAAACGGCAGCACATCCCACTCCATCAACCTCGTCAGACGGAGACCGAGACAGGTGGCGAAGACAGTCCACCTGCAGACCATAGATTGCCGCAGGCACAGCGGGGCATCTTCTGCCACAGCTTCTCAGTTCCTGCTCATCACCAAAATCTTGCATTCATGCCGGCCGGATTCACAACAATTGGCGGTGCAAACCACAGTGAAAAGCAGCCACTGTTGCTGCCCCAGCAACATCAGCACCACCAGAATTTGCATCTGCAGAACATGAAACCTGAGGCAATCCCTCAGACGCTTGCCATGCCCTATGCTGCCTACAATGGAATTCATGGGTTCGATCTCTCATCCGTCACACAGAACCACACGATCTTCCAAAGCCTCCCAGAAGTGGCCAGGAATGGATCCCAGTTCTCTGCAGCTGCTGCAGCCACTGCTTCCCCGCAGGGATCAGCCCAGAATAAGAAGGTTCAGCAGCAGCTCGCCGAGGATGGAAAACAACGTGGGAAACCCATCAATGTTGGCCCTGCCGATGAAGAGCACTTGAAGACGGCCTCGCCTGGTAAGGCTTCCAGTGGTGTTTCTCAGTGCAGCCTCTCTCCATCGGTCTCCAACTCAGTCGATGGCTCCTCTCAGCCATTAAACCTAGCCCCTTGTGGTGACAAGACTCCTGTTCTAGGTGGCAGTTCCTCCACTCAACACCAGCTGCAGCAAGCCATGCTTCACCTTCCAAAGCAGCACCAGAAGCTCCAAAGTCAGAAGCAGCAGCCGCAGCAGCAACTCCAGAAGCAGCAGCCAGTAAGCAGTGGGACGACGGTGAATAAATTCCCAAATGCTCTTGCTGGCTTCCCCCAGGGGCTGATCCAAGGAGGCAGCCCAACACAGTCTCCACAGTGGAAGAACTCCGCTAGAGCAGCAGCAGCGGCACCGCCTTCTTCTCCAGTCAAGAGCAACCCTTCCCAGCCGCCGATCGGAATCCCACAGCAGAACCATTTGAGCACTGCCGGTCACCATGCACATATATCCTTCGAGGTGGGCGGCGCCTTGAGGGCGGCGCCGCCGCAGCTGCCGCTCGTTGGTGTTGGCAGCCTCTCGTCATCTTCTTCATCTGCCATTGGGCCGCCGGCGGGTTCGGCCTCCAGAGGTGGTGGCGGCGGCAGCCCGAGGATACCCACTGGAAGCAAGGGTGGGCCAACGAGCAGCTCCTCCTCCCGCCAGCAGCTGCCACCGACGAAGAATTCTCCTGCTAGCTCAATCAGCAAGTCTTCAGCAGTGGGAACCCGCAATGGGCCCTCCATTCTCGGGCAACCCCAGATCAGACCACCAAGCTCAGCCATGAAGTCCCAGCAGCAGCAGCAAGCTTCGCAGCATCCAAACCAGCTGCAGAAGAACCAGCAATATCCGCCGTCCCAGCTGTTCTTCTCCCCTCAGTCCAATGCTGCCGCCACCGCCACTGCGTACTACCCGAGACGGCCTTCTGAGCAGCACCACCAGCCAGTCTCCTCTGGTATGCTCTCTCTCTGCCCTTCCGCACTCTCCGGAAGCTCTGCTCCAAGCTCAACAGACGCCTCAAAGTCAGCAGCTTCCGCTGCCGCCACCGCCAACCGCGTGAAGACTGTTGCTCAGTTCTCCGTGGCTCCTCACTCCGCCGGTGCAACCTTCCCCTACCTCGGCATGTCGGGGGCGCCCGTTAGGCCCACCGAGCAGAAGCCTACTGCCGGTACTCCACCCCTCCAGCAGCATTCTAGCAGAAGATCAAATATTTATATATATTCAATCATGGATAGGGTAGAATTGGGTCTTGCTCATCTGTTGAAGACTGAATTCTCTTGCCCAGGAAATGACTCTTTGCGTCCCTGCTGGCAGCAGCCTGAGAAGAAGAGGTGAAAGAGACGACGGGAAGGAACTCCCCCGCCACCAACATGAACCAGTCGCCGTGCTGCCCAGGCTCCGCTGCCGGCAGTGAACACCAGTTGCACCCACAGAGGAGAGAGAGGGATAACCCAGTGAGATTGGCCCGTTGACAAGCTTCAGGGTTTCTCTCTCTGCACTAAAGGGCGGCTCTTCTCACAGTCAAGTGTGAATGCTTGTAAAAAGACCGGCCCTTTCCTCTCTCTCTCCTCTCCTGATTCCTCATTTTGTAGTGAGTGGTAAAAGAATCGCCTTGCACGGCGGGTGATTTAATCCCTCCGCTGCCCACTTGGATACATACACATGTATATCTATACCCTTCGCCTCTCTCTCTCTCTCTGTCTATTTCTCTCTCTTTTTCTCTCTCTATCTCTATATTTCTCTCTCTTAACTTTTTCTCTCTCTATCTCTCTCTATCTCGTCTGTGAAGTCTGATGGAGGTCCTCGTGATTCTTTAGAATCAGAACCTACGGATTTGTCTGTGAAGAATTTCATCGAACCAATGGCGTGCGCGCCTCTTCTTGAGAAAAGGCATGGATGCCGACTTAATCCTGTGGTCCATATTTGGTTGACTGGTGGGTTGGATGGTCGCGATCTTATTCGCTTTCTTGTGGTGGGCCCTACCCCATGGGCCTTCCACGTGTAGGCCACCCGTCAACGACCTGGTGGGCCATAGGAATCCGGGAGTTTTAAATACGCCCCGGAAAAAAAAAAAAAAAAAGAAAACCGTCGGGAACCGAGACGCCGCACTGATGACCTGGCTAAGATATCCAGATTTAGAAGACGAACACGCCGACGTGGCTATTATTTACCACATTTGGCCCGACAGAGACAGGTCATGAACGCCGAAAAAGTACGGCTAGTCAGTAGGGCCTTAGGGGAACCATAAAACCGGTCCAGAATCGGGGCCCATTATCCACATCTAAGGCGTACTGCCTCAGCCGGCCCAGTAATTGGCATCCGCCGGGGGTGGAAAAAATGAATGAAAGCGTGGAAACATCATTCCACACTGTATATTATTAATTCTATTTTCATACTCACATGTGAATACTTATTTTTTATTAACCCCCAAGTTTTTACTTTTTAGTAAGCTAGCCAACTCACCTCAACTCACTTGCTAATGAGAAGAAGAGAAAAGAAGACAAAAAAAAGCCAGAAAAAAAAGAAAAAAAAAGAGAAAATAAGAAGAAAAGGAAATTGATTATTCAATGCCTTAGTAGATTCAATCTATGATGCACCCAGACGTACTAAATTTCATGTGACTAGGTTGTCCAAATTTTAGCACTCATAGGTAACCATTATAATAGCATTATCATTTTGGATATTAGAGTCCTAGACAAAAAGGATAAAGTCCCTATAAACACAAAAAAATCAAGAAACATTTCGAAAACCATTGGAGGCATTTTCTTTGGATATATTAATAAATTATCCAATATTTTTAAATATTAGAATCAAGGTCTGATCTTTACGAGTAACTTCGAGGGTGATGCATAAAACACTTTGGAGCTTTCAAATCAAAGCTCATACTCTTCACACAATAAGAAATATTAGTGTTTATTGTTGTATACTTAAAAGACATTTTTTCCCATCAATGGCAAGAGATCACCACTAGTTGGGTGGTAATCTAGATTAGCCCTGTGTAGTTATAACTTTATAGACAAATGCTAGTGCACTTAAGCCCATTAGAGTTTTGAATCTAATAGAAGTAAGTTGATGTCTTTGGAACCTAAGGTAATGGCTTTCAAAGAGTAGACTAAGTGAGGTTGGAAAACTACCATAAATTTGTGTTTTTTTTCTTTCATGGCCCAAGTTGACTCTACTCACTTGCAAATAGAAAATTGCTTCATATGTAGACAGACATTTCTTCATCATTTCCATCCCATGTACAAGGATCCACTTTCTTTATCATTTTGAGGAAAAGAGTGAAAGATCTACTAGTAAATTAGCTTCGTTTATAATAAAAGATAAATTCTAAGCCTCTATGACAGATCAAATCATCCAATTCATTCCAAAACCACTAATCAAAGTTATGTTGAAAGAGTAACTTCACCATAACCTTCCTCAAGCATTTGTGTCTCATTTTTGTCAAATTTCCTTTGCTAATTTTCTTCAAATTCAAGAAGCTCATTTTCTCATCACAAATTTGTTTGTACATAGTATATTCATATTTATAAATGAAGGTAATCTACAGAATGTTAATATATTTTTTTAAAGTGAACAAATATTTTGGTGTCTAATGTATGGAGATAGACTTGTGAAATCTATCATGTAAAGTGATTTGTTGATTTCATGAATTTAAGTTGTAGTTCTCTAAGAGAGAATGGTGAAAACTAGGGATATGACATCTTGGTAAGTGGATATAGGTCATGGAATGCTAAATAAGCATAAATATGTGATATTTACATTCCATTACTCAATATGTCAATCCAGCCAAGCCAATTGAGTTTGTGTCAATCTAGTGTGTAGATTATGTCGACCAAAGCTTATTTATGTTAACCTCAGCTAATATTTGTTGACCCATTAAGTACATAACTAAGACAAATAATCTAAAACACAAGCAATTTCAAGGACCAGTTCAGCCCCCCTCATGGTACTCCATCTACCCTACCTTGAGACCAAAGAATTATGTGCACATACATTACTAGATTAAAGGCAGTTATGTATGAGCTTTGGAATCAAAATTTTACAAGGAGTTTTTTTAATAAGAATATTGAAAAGAATCATCGTAGTTTTCTACAAAGATGACCTATTTGAAAAAAATGCTATGATCACAATAAAGTGTAGCTCAGGTCTAAAAACGAATGTATATGATTTATAAGTTATGTTACTTTTTACATTTATTTTATGAGAATAAAAAACATATTGGAAGGACATTTAAAAGTATTCTAAAGAAACCTTATTCAAATGAATCTATCTGGCACTAAGGAAACAAACAATTGATGATTATTATTATCGCCAACATTATTCTTATTCTTCTTTTTTTTATATGCAAGATAAAAGTAAATAGCATATTAGATGATGTGATATAGGGTTTTTTATTTGCTGAACACTATGGGGAATTGAATTGAAATATCTTTGTTAAACTAAGAAGTTCATCCAAACAAAAGTTAACCTAACTAGAGAAAAACACTTTCCTCACTTGTCTTAATTATTAAGTTAATCTGGATTACATTAAAGTCTGTAACCATCTTTTGGATAATTCCCTATACAAGGAATGCATTAGAGCTTGATGTTAGTGTATGAGGTAGAGGAAGATGAATGAAAATGCACAAAGAGATGGATGTACAAACCTAGCCAGAGAGAGAGAGAGAGAGAGAGAGAAAGAGTGATGTTGGTTCTACTATAACATCATCAGCCCATCAGATCATCATGCATTCAACATTCAATGTTTTTTGTTCTTTCCTCATGTACGAGTATAAATTCCACTTGTCATACCAACTATAAAATATTGGCTATAAGATCTTGTGTAATTTTGATGATGAAAAAAATGTATGGAAGAATCATTTGATGAACTCTATTGTTGTAAAATTAACTACTCTGATGATCTTGATGATTGTTGTTCAAGGAAGCCTGAAAATTGTGAAAACTAAATTCAAAGGTAAAATTATCATTTTATATTACAAGCTAAATTGAATATTCTCATGACACCTAAAAATCCTGAAATTAATTGCATATCATCTATATATGATTTATATAATTTATCGATTATTTGAATGTCATTTTATCTATACATTTTGTATGCCTTGATTCAAGTGTCGGCACATGAGGAGAGAGAGATGGCCGTTGGTGCATCACAAAATGACAAAAATGGAAGTGATTATTGGGACGTATGGCTTTACAAGAACACCAACTTTACGGTTAAATGGTAGTTAAAAAATCATGAGAAATTAGGAAAAATAGTGGATATAAAAAGAACACTATCCCCAACCAAAATAAGAGAGAAATAATGAAGAAAGCAAGACAAGGAAGACAACCTAAGAGCAACAAAGGGTAAGAAGGGGCACATCATCAATGAGAAGCTTTATAAATGAGAAATTAGTGGAATCAATTCTTTGGGAAGCATTAGGTGCCAACAAGTAGAATGATAACTCATTCACATTGTATTTTAGGGTTTGTATGGTACTCCCTGTCGATCAAGAGCTGTTAATTTGGAAGAAGAGTATGTTCCATATAGCTCCTTAAGAGAGTCATGGATTTGGAAGAGATGAATAAATCTCATCTAATTTGGTGCCCCAGAGTTGTGAATATAGGAGAAGATTTTTAGGTAGAATCTTGAGTTGACTGGATCTTGGTCCCCCCTCTTGGTGCCTTATGATGCCACCTACATAGATCCAGCATAATATCTTATAGTGATCTAACTTATTTATGATGTAATGCATAGATGTATATATGGTGTAATATGAGATGAAGAATGAAAATGCAATGTAAATAAGCTAATTCACCAGCGACATAGCCTTTGAATTAGCATTTCCCTTAGTAAAACAAATAATTCAAATCGCATTGGGCTAAAGAATTAGGCCAAATTCCTATGCCCAAAGTTAGCACAATTTCCCCCAATTACGACCCCCCCTTCACTGATTCGACCCTCTTAGGCAGGATCCGTAATATACCTGCACCTCCTTCCTTCCAATGGTCAACGCTGACCCGTTCTCTATACAACGAATCAAAAGATGTTGTGAGGATGATTTTGGAGCTTTGGGGTCTGGAGCGTTGATGGGTCAGTGTTCAGAGAATCACATGGCTCCGGGCTTCTTCTTCAAGCTTCTGAAGCAGACAGCTCGGCCAACTCCTGCTCTTGCTGCTTCCTGAGGTGGCTCTGGGCAGTGCTCGTCACTATCTTGCCAAAGAAGTTGAGCAGCATCAACCAGACGACACTGTTCCAGATCAGGTTGAACGAGATATTCCACTGCTTCTCCTAGAGAAACGAGGATTTTGGTCAAAAGTCAGAGATGGGCAGCAACGCAATTTACTAAATAATAAACAAATAAACATGTACATTATGCACATATTGAGCCTTCCTCTCCAGGGCAGGGAATCCGGGTTCTGCCCCCATATCTGGGTTCCATGAGTATATATATATATATATATATATAGATTCATCGTTTTTAGGAGGGAGGAAAAGGGGCAGTGGGCAAACCTTTAACTTTGGGACCTGATGCATCGTTAGATATTTTTCCTTCAACTGATGCAGACTAGAAGAAATATTTGGCAAGAGTGAAGAGAACCCGGGAATGAGTCCGAGCATCCAAATCAGCTCATTCTCCAGCAATTCCAAGAGCTGATTATTGCACAAAGAGATGATAAAAATTGTCTGCATTTGGGATTGAATGATATTATTGTTAGCTACACCAATGTTGCAACAACATAGTATTCCCATTTGCACCGAAGGAAAGATTATGCGAGAGAAATATTTAGCAACTGAGACAAACCTGGATGTGAGTCTTGATTATCGCCTTTCCGGTTAATGTTGCGAGGAAGAATTTCCAGAAAGGAATTCCAAATTGCCCACACAAGATACCAGCAAGATCAAACAGAGGGTTGGGAACCTAAATAAGGAAATAACAAGTAAAGTTTAGTCTTGCTCACAAGATCTAATTTTTAATGAAATTTATAAAATATTTCAAGAGGAACCAAAGAGCTGTTGATTGGCTACTGCAGAGAACCGCGAAGGATCTCCTAGATATTAATGAAGAGAAAAGGCATTAACCGATGCAAGCAGCAGAATCGTGAAGAAGTTTAAATGTTGGGCGTGAGCGAGAATCTGATGTTTTATTCTATTAAGCAGAGCTGATGTGAGTCCATCATCGTCTGAGGATGGAGTATTTAATTCCTCCACCGCATCCAATCGGCCTCCAGACCGGCTTGCTGAAAACATAGAATTCCGTTGTGAATAAAGAGGACTAAATGAAAAATCCGGAAAAAAACATGAACATAAACTAATTCCTAGTTAGTATTTACCCTTCGAAAACGATCAATGCCAACCCGTTGAAGAGATTTTTGTAAAAAAAAATAAAAAAATAAAAAAAAAAGAAAAAAAAAAGAAAAAAAAAAAGGAACACAGACATGATTGTAGTTTGATAATTCAAAAAGCTAATATCGAAATATAATCAGAAAATGTAATATCCAACTCGTTGACTGGTTCTTTGCAGAAAGAACCCTAGGAAAATCTGAGCACGATAATAAAACAGCAGAGAATGGTAATAATTTTCTTCCCTGGGCGGAAGATTTCACAGCACAGACGGATATTTCAGAATAGATATAACCCGTTGGAGGAAAAAAAAACATGATGTAAGTTTAATACACAGACGTTCACCTAGGAGGCCATACTAATTAAAAAAAAAACAGAAAAAATTTTACCAGCTTTGGAGATGAAATATGGAGGAAGCTCTCCAAGTGCAGTTCCAATGCCCCAAAGAATAGCCTCTGTCTGGATTTGGGGAAGTATATTGCTGAGTGGAACAGCCACTAACGAATCAGGCAAAGATGCAAACTGTGGAGGGCCAAAATCAGAGCAATTCCTTTCAAGCCACGAGGGGCCTCTGTTTAATTGAATGGTGTCATATGTTGCAGACTTCAAATCGACCCGCCCACATTGCACAGCCTTTATGGTAAAAAAGGCAATGTGGGGGCCCAAATACAGAACAAATGTGTGCAAACCAGATCCTGAAATATGTCTAGCTCAATTAGTTTCGACTGTGGATGCATATGGAAGAACATCAGCCATAAGATGCGTGAAAGGGAAATTTCTGTCAATATCAACACAAGTTGAAAATTTCAGCAAGTTTGCCTACCCTTTTTTCAACAACAGATCAAAATCAAGTCAAACTTGCCAATGACATGCATAAACATAGACTTTTTTTCAAGTTTTACTCCGGGTCTTTCACATAATCGAAGAGCATCTGTCACTATTATGATGCAACTTGTGGAAAATGATCACTTATAATTCACTCTAGTGAAATGCTTGTACTCTTGCAAAAACAACTCCAGGGAAAGAATCCCAAACCAACAAATTCGTGAGGTTAACTGAATATTAACCCAACTAGAGGCTGAAAAATAAAACAAGCACTTGAACCAATGAATTATCTTTCAGTAGGTAAGTTGCCAGAAACTTGCGGAAATTAACACAACAGGACGCCTATCCAAAAAAATAGTGCATCCATCTAATACTGGCTTTTATCGGCCAACGCATTGCACCAAGGAACTTAAATGCACAAATTTCAATTCTTAACTCTAATAGAAATTAGCCATAAGAATTTAAATATTATACTGCAAAAGAGAAAGGATTCACTACTCCAGTTCAAATAGCCTCAGTTTGTACCAATTAACTGGGACCATCATTACTGATCTTGCTCCTAATGAGTTGGCCGAAAACTTTGCACTAAATCCATGTCTCTGTTACATCCTTTCATTCAGTTGAACTTTTTCAATCCCTCAACTTCTGTTAGATGGTCGCTTTTATCACATACAAGCTTGGTTCAATTCTAATTAGGTCTCGACCTTCGTCATGGGATCCACCAATTGATACACCCAAGCATTATGCCTCCATGGTAATGATGTAATGTAAATTACTAATCGATAAAGATTGCAAGACTAGGTTCCACTTGCCAAGGCTGGATTGATTTCTTTATGAACTAGGCAAGATTATATTGCAGAAAATGTTTTTGGTGTGATTTGTACTAGCATCATTTCATGGTCTAAAGAACTAATGACATCTCGTCAGTTTATGAACAGCTTTGTGGTGTTTTGCTTTTTTCCTCAACATATGATGGAATTCTTGACTATCGGAAAATAATCATTTGCATATGAACCAGATCATGCGTTGATAAAAATTACCATCATCTTGTGAAATATCCTTATGAATACGGAGAAATAGTGTTTTAACTTATATTAAATTAACTTATTTTTCAAAGATTAAAAATCTCGTGATTCTTCTCCAGTTATTGTGAATTAATTCTGAGTTTGATGCTTCAATATCTGTAATAAAAACCTGTGAGTTCTAACCACCGTAATGCGGGCACATTCTATGATAAATGAGATGGCTGAATTGTGCACCCTCGACTCAGACCCCATCCCTCCTTATATGCATCTCAAGGAATAAAATCATAGCATGTAACCATACATGGTAAGCTGTCTGATATAGCTTTAAATCAATAGTTTGTGTACCCAACAAAACATGGATCCTAGTGCAGAAAATAGGAAAGCCCTAAACATAGAAAGTTTATACTATGGATTAGTCATCAATTCATCAATTTGGACGTTTAGTGGAATTTTTTTATCCAAAATGGACAAAAGAAACAAAAAAGAGTGTGCCACTATTTCTGGTTAGGCAGCATAAAAAACGCATTACTACCAAAATTATCCCAATTCATAAGCTAAAGACATACATGTAAAAGGCAGAACAAGGACAAAAGGTCCAATTAAGAAAAATATATCAAAATTCTTATAAAAGAATGCTCAGATTTGACATTGAAAATCAAGAATAAAGATAAATAATAAATAAACAACACGAGGGAATTATTTTCAACCAAAAGGTGTAGGATAGGGAGTCCAAAGAAACAACTAGTAATTAAGGGATCAGGATTTAAGTGCTAAGAAACAGTCGTGCACAGAACATTCATATAAAAACAGATCATGATCTAAACACCAGTCTACCTCAAAAAGTGCCCAAGACGTCATGATCAACCGATTCTCGTAAACAGTAATTTTTAAAAAAAGGGATGGATTACCTAGTCCGATCGATGATGCCACACCAAGTGCCATCCACCACACTCCAAATCTGAAGTAATGTAAAAACTCCTGCACATGCTGCAAAACACCAAAACAAAGTCAAATAGAACAGCCAAAACCATTCATCAAACCAAAGCAATCTCAGACAAAACAAAACATTTCAAAGCCAGTAGAAATAATAAATATTGGTTATAATCAAATAAGAAATGTGACATCAATCACCAAAAAAGAATGAAATAGCTATATGTGAACAGTATAGGGGAGAAATGAATTTCTTTGCAAAGCAAAAAAGAGATGATTCTTAGGGCAACATTAATGCCGGAAGTTTCCAGAAAGAACACTAAATATTCTCTCTTGAACTTCCAAAAGGTGATGCAAGACATGGACTTCTTAGTATATAAAAAAAGAAAAAACCAGGATAGAAAGATAGCATGTTGATGAGAAAGAAAATATTGGTTTTCATTAACATTTAATAATACTATGGTACATTAAAAAAATGATCAATACCTTTTCGTGAGGACCCTCAACCACCAAGAGGGCAATTAAAATAGGCACAAGAAGGATGGTCATGACCATAAACGATCTACCTTTCCTCACCAGGAAGACAAGTGACTGTTTCAGATATTGTACAGTCCCTAAGGCAAAAAGTCGTAGTGTTCTAAATGGCTGAGATGCCAATGTCAAATTCTCTATCTCCAAACGATGCCTACCCTTCATTTCTGCAAAAATAAACAAAGGAAAATAAACTGCCATCAGATCTTCTCAAGAATGAAAAATAAACACCTTCTTACGTCAAGCTTCTCGTTCTCATTCGCATCCAAAACATTATCTCCAAGCAATGTCATAAAAAATAATCCACCAAGTAAAAAGCACAAGGAATTTATATGAAACTATCTTTTCAACGACTAGAAAGAAAAAAAGGGTTCAGAATTTATATTCAAGCACCACTGGATGTAATCAAAAAGCTTAAGGCATCCACATCGTCACAGCAAAACAAAAAAATAAAATATCAATTACATTTAAAGCTATTATCTTCTTATTAAAAATAAACTAAGATATCAGAAGTTCCGTATTCAGGATTATCGTTTTGACTTACTCAAAGCATGCGTTCTAAATTGCCACCAGACTGACCATAAAAACATGCAACAGGGTTGAAATACATGATTGATTGGGTCAGGCCGGGAACCATACCTAATAACAAGTTAGGCTCAGCCACAGGACTTGTGATCATGGCCAGTGATTGCCCTGTGACTCCGGGACAAGTTTTTTGACCAAGACTGTTCAGTTCATTATTTTTCTTTTGCTTTCTCTTTTTGTAATTTAACTACACTCGCCAAGAAGATTGCCCTGTCCCAAGAAAGTCTGCAGTTCTCACCTCATGCAACCAAGAATTTACGTCATCATGTTAACTCACACTATAAGCCGCCACGGCTCTTCACCTCTCCAACTATCAACGGCCATCCGACAGCTGGTCCTTCTACCAGCTTAATGAGAAGTGAATTCCTTCAACATCCCCATTCATGTAGTGTAAAAATCTTCGCTTTCCAAGGCCAAGTCTTGCTACTTCCATGTGAAAAATATTGCCCTGAGCGGGCTCTGACGGTTTGAGGCAAGCAATGCTAGAGAGACAAATATTGCAAACTAGAAACGCTTTGCAGACAGGGCCCTATATTGATGAAGGTGTCGCCAAGGCCAGTCCATTAGAGAGCACAGTACAATTAACCTATAGCACATCATGTGGTTATGTACGTCGTTCAGAAGAATGAAATACCCATGAGTGATTTTCCGAAAGCATCAATGTTCTCGAAACCTACACCACGCCAGAAGAGAGCATATGTGCCAACATTTGATGGAGGATTTGCCCATTGAATTTGACCCAATCCAAATCATAAAACCCAGATCAATTATCTAATTTTATAGGTCGTGGTTCACTTCAGGATGCCATGATTTTGGCCAATTCACAGTCAGATAGAGAAGAGGAAGTTCAAATGAATGGAAAAGGGATAATAACTTTGCATGTAGATAACTTACTTGTGTGGTATGTATCATACCATTTATTCTCATCTTAAATCTTGGTTCGTCTTCCAGTTAGATACACTAATAGACTAAAACTACATCCCTCCGGAATATAAGTCAATTCATTCGAAACAAAGATGGACGATATGACGCAGAGCTGATGCTTGATATAAATAGATCAATTCTGAAATTTTCTGTAGATATGAACACGTCACTCAAAAAAGTATTTTTCAAATGGCGGAGAAAAATAGAGATGATCTTATGGTCGGTGGCCTCTAAAGGAAGTAATAAGCATTCTAGTAATATGCACCTTTCATATTTCCACTTTATTGGAGTCGGAATTAATCTCACTACTGGATATATATAACCATCAGGGTAAGACGGAAAAAATACGTCCTTTTGGCCATAGCACACGACACGATTATCCTGGGGAGGAAAACGATCTTCAAATCCTTGAAGGCCCCAGCTGTGAGCTTAATGTTCCTCAACACAGCGTCCGCACCCGAGTTAGATCCTCACGCCACTCACGTAGAAAGGGATAAACCGAATCTCAGATCTCAAGAAACTTGAGAAGGATATGGAAAGCCAACCTGCGATCGGATCATCGGCATCATCGACAGATGAGTGTGGAGACTCCGCCGCGCCCAGCCCGGAACCCATCTCAACGCGCCTGCCGCGTACCTCGACGTCTCAGAGTCTCTCCCCTCGCATGGGCGTGACCCGCCGCCGATTCTGTAGAGAGAGGAACCAGAGGCGCTGGGAACAGTCCGATTGGATCAGGGATCGGGGCGCCCGCCTGAGGGCTAGGGTTCCCTTCCGCCCAGATCGACGCTTCCCGCCTCTCCAGCCAAACAGGACCTTCCTCAGAAAGATAATCAGAGAGAGAAAGATAATGAGAGAGGGAGAGAGAGAGGGAGGAGAAAGAGGGAGAGAGAGAGAGAGAGAGAGAGAGAGAGAGAGAGAGAGAGAGAGAGAGAGAGAGAGAGGATGTGAATCCCCTCCACGGCAAGCCAAGAAGCTTTTACGAAGAGAGAGAGAGAGAGAGAGAGAGAGGGGAGCTCTCTCCCTGCTAGAGTGACAAGCATGATTAAATGGACATATGATTCACGCGCTACGGAAAAAAAGAGAGTATATTTATCGTAATAGTTTTCGTACCTATTCGGTATGAATCACAAACCTAGCCCGATTATTTCTCACGACCTTGATTTTATGGTCTAATTTCATGCATATTCTCAACACACGCCCTCAATTTCGCAAGCTAATCATTTATATATATATCATAATTTATTCAGCAGTATCAAAGGCCTCCTAATTCTCTCTTTGAAGCCAGCAAAATTCGTCAATGGCGTTCAACACATCTCACACGGCTCTCTCTCTCTTTTGCAGATAAGCTTGGTAGAATTGATAATAATTTATTTAACGATGCCTAAAATGAAAAAGAGCCCTCACCACGCGCAAAAATGTCCGAGCTGGGTACGAATTTATAATTCCCGATAGCCGCGCAACAGATTCTGGAAATAAAAACAAGTATTCCTTTTACGGCAGCATATACCCTTTTTCTGGATCGGGTTCGTCTACGTGGCCCGCCCGCGTGGAGAGGGAGAGGGAGAGGGAGAGAGAGAGAGAGAGAGAGAGAGAGAGAGAGAGAGAGAGAGAGAGGAGGGGGGAGGAGAGAGGAGGGACTTAAATAATACTTAAGGGCAAAGAGGAGATGTAGACAGCCAGGGCCGGGCGAGGGAAATGACGCGGGCATTCACAGACTCAATTGCGAATTGAATACTGGGAAGAACTTTAGTTAGAGAAAGCATCTATCATTACTCTTAATCAGGAGCCAGACGAGAAGCAAAAGGGAAGAGAGCTGATTACTTCAAGGGACCACCAAGGTAAATATATCAATACAGATATATGTCGTCTAGATAGAGGAATAGTGGAGAGAGAGAGAGAGAGAGAGAGAGAGAGAGAGAGAGAGAGAGAGAGAGAGAGAGAGAGAGAGAGAGAGAGAGAGAGAGGGCATCAAATCCAATGCGTTAAGGCAAACAAAACATCAGAAAATAAGGGATACTCCATAAAAAAAGCAGAAGACAAAACAAACCCATTAAGGAAAGCACCTGAAAAACAAATGAAAAATAAAGTTGGGATAAGCAATCAAAGGGCCTGACTCAAGTTTTTCAAAACTTTGGAAAAATAGACCCAGCTCAGTTTCCATCTGAGGTAGATCTAGGCGTAGATGGATCCTGGCTCATAACCATGCAGGTTGCTTTCCACCACGTGGCTGTCCAATGATAGCCCATGAGGCAGGCTGCTGTCTGTCTGTCTGTCTGTCTGTCTCTAATATCTGAGACAAAGAAGGTCAGGACATTAAAGAGTTGCATGCAACTGGGAGCCCATTCATCCCACATCCTGGGTCAATCTCTAGAACAGAATGATAGACTTGAGTCGACACAGACCAATATATTATACATATTGATGAAATCAAGCCTCCACAAGCTCCACAAGAACCACTGTAAACATTAGATTGATAATTGACATCCCAATCACAATCCATGACACAAAAAACAGGTGAGATGGGCAAGTGAAGGAGCGTTGGTCTAACTGGAAGAAAAAAAACTGCACCAAAGAGCTCGAAGGAAGAGAAACAAAAGAGTAAGTCCACCAGCGAAGCAGAGCAGACTCATACTTGGATAGGCACTCAAGAAGAGGCACCACTGTGCAACGCCTGGGGTTTCTTTGATTTCCTGGTGGCCAGCTGCGTTTCAGGCTGGAACAGAGAGAGAAAGGTTTCAGAGTTGAGGGTTCTTAGGGAGAAAAGAGGAGTCCACCACATGAACACCAAAGTTGGATCCCATATAAACGACACTAATGGAGGAGATTACCTCTTTCTTCACAGGCTCTTCCTTCTCGGACAAGACCAGCTCGATGTGGCATGGTGACGACATGTAAGCTGAGGAAATGGGGATGATTGATTAAAAAACGAGCATATATAACCTTGGGTTCAAGGTCCCAGAAGGTGATCTTCACTCACGGTTGATTCGCCCATGAGCCCGGTAAGTGCGGCGTCTCTGCTTCTGGGCCTGATTAACCTGGATATGCGATATATAGAGAGTGTCCACATCCAGGCCCTTCACCTGGAAGATGGAATTTATGACCAGCCCTCTATTAGCAAAGATAACCAGAAATAGGCATCTAAGCGTGGAGAAGAATCGATTGAGATTACATCTGCGTTGCTTTCAGCATTCTTTAGCAGGTCGAGAATGAACTTTGCAGACTTTGCTGGCCATCGGCCTTGCCCATTCGGATGGCGGTTCTTGGCCTGCGCAGTGCGGCCCACACCCCTGCAAAACCTCGTGAAGGGGATTGCTTGCTTATGGTCAATGACGTCCTCGAGATATCGCCTAGCCTTGGCCAGTTGCAATTTACGGATTGCATGGGCGGTCTCCCTCGTGTTCTGCAAGAATAGAGAGAGATCTTGGATAATGAGATCAAAGCCACAAAGTAAATCAGCATCATGAATGAACATCAGCTAATTATAATTAATTAATTAATAATCCGTCATCATATAATGATCAGACACATCAGACGGCTCGTTGAGCTAAATTTTAGTACAAGTTATCGTGTCAGCCACAGAACCTCCATATGTTCATCCAATTGGAATATCATTTATCTCCAAGGAAATTAGGTGAGGGCCTGTTCAGGATTAAAAGGCCTCTTGTTTTTCTCACTCCTAAAATAAGCATCTAAAAGAAAAAAACAAACATAAGATCAATCCATGATTAATGGAGTATTATCGGATATAAAAAAAAGCAATAGGTCTGGCTGGTGTTATTCACAAATCTTTGTCAACATCAATGATATTCTCTGATAAAGCCCCGTAGAAAGAGATCCAGCGAAAATGCTCGGAGCGATTATGTAGGCATTACAATATTCGGATGTTTATGAGAAATTAAGAAGAGCACTAAAAAATGGCGTCACGACCCGCATATCATTGTACAGAGTGAATAAGAGCTTCAAAGAAATTTACTCGCTGATTATAAACAGGAATTTACTAATATACAACTAAAAGAAAGAAACACGGCCATCCACCTGAGAAAAAAACTAACGCCAAGATCAGCGGATGGCAGAGACTGCAAAATATTCAATGAAGTGCGCACGAAATAGTACTTTGTGGCCATGGAATTGCCAGCAACGTTGTCAGGTCTAAATATCCCACCAGATATAACAAGGTAGCAAGGTGATTCAAAATAAAGGAGAGCATTAAATTAATGTAGGGATTCTTCAAAACAATCTAAATTAGTAGAGAACATAACGTCCACGCACCTTGAAATGAACCCTTAGGTCCCGCCCCATGGCCTTGGCAGCTGTCACATAATCAAAGAGACGGTAACAAAAGAGCATCAGTCGGGTCGAAACACAACGATAGAAGCCATAAACACTTAGTAGAATGAGGTTAATCGGTTGCGCTACTCGTAAACACCGAATAAGCGCAAAATTCGCAGCTAATGCAAAATAAACATTAAAACAGTAATAAAACGACGTGGAATTCAAAGGGATGCTCATGCGTCCACTTCTAATAAAAACTCTCCAAAATCCAGCTCCATCAAAGATACAAGATAGGAAGAAGGTTAGGGATCAGATCCCTTCCAGACTTACATTTGGTCGGATTGCCCGGTTCCCTCGAGTACTTTACCTAAAAAAGAAGAGGGCACCAAGCTACAATGAGGATCTTGCTGTCTCAACAGAAACCCACTAACACGAAAGAGATGGGAACCATCATGAAATATGGAAAATTGATGGATAGCCGCATACATAGGGAGAGAAAATGTGAGGACAGAAGGGGAGGGAATGCATCTTACCATGACGGCGTTGACGCACAGTGGCCCTGTTACTTCCTCTTGACCTCCGTCTGAGATCGAGTGAGAAGAGGAAGGAAGGAGGCTGTCTTCGAATGGCGGAAACCCTAAGTACTTTAGTCGATTGACAAGGCCGAGGCTATCTTAAAAACATGGGCCACAATCGGGAACTAGGACGGCCCATTGGACAAACAATGCAGGGGGTTAAAAAAAATTAAACTGTGGATGGAAATAATCGAAAAATGAAAAACAATATTATTCAATTTTATTTATTTATTTTCAAATTTTTATCACTAAACATGAAACATAATAGACGACCAAGGAAAGCCTTAAAATGAGTGAGCATTGAGTTCTTGAAAAGTTATATGTGGGCTACAAATACGAGGAGACCCAATAAAATCCCAAAATAAGATTAGAACCAAATAAAGCGCATGAATAAAGTGTCAAAATTTTATTTTTCGAAAATGTATTGTTTTTAAGATAGTTTGAACTTATTTCTTATCCTAATTTGATTTTTTGAGGCGCCCTAATTGATTTTTAGGATACCTAAATAGCCACACTATGATCCTAAAATGGTCTTTGATTATTATTGAAGTTTTTGTTCCTTATGAGAGAATTCTGTGTTTGTGGATTCATGTTGTGAATTAGCTGTCCTCATCGTAGGATGTTCCTTAAGACTTGATGATAGAACCCTTAAATTATACCAAGTAGATGTTGCATTCTTACATTGGAGTTTTTCTCTTGTGTCTTTTCTAATTGACACAATAATAAACATGTCGATTCATGTGGAATCACTTGTCTTAATTAACCTCCTTTCAATCTAGATAGTTTCAGGTTTATCAATATATTAGGTGAGAATCATTGGTGGCACTTATTAAAGAGAGTTGTACTCTAGATATTCCTCGTTCTCATGATAAAACTTCAATAAGGATACATGCGAGGCTAGATAGATCATCAATCTTTAAGCAAGTTGATATATTTAGCTAACCTACGCACCCATGTCAGGATGGAGAACTATTATATGGGGTTGTTTTGTTCGTTTGATACTCTTGTATTGGTTTTGGTTGATGCAGAGTAATATGTAGTCACTCATGTTGAACTCCACATCATGTAGGTGTCAATCTACACACTTTTTAAATCTAGTATGTGATCCATGTCAACTACTCACGTGCCTCTACTTAGCATTCCTCATGCACATGTGTAAATCAACATGTCACTTGGTATGTGGCCTCTTGATAACATGCTGATTATCACATGAAAGACGTAATAATTATTTTATTTAAGAGCTTAAATCTGACAATTTAGCATACTATCATATTAAAAAATACACATTTATTATTTATTTGAATATTTCATGAAGTTTAATATTTTAGAGATTTTTTCAGAATTTTTCTCTAAGTTTTACAATCATAATTATTGTTTATTAATATGAAAGATTTTTAGGAATTTTTGATATTTTTTATGAATTTTAGGAAGCTGACATATGCTTTGACAAACGAGATTTAATATGTGGAGATGAGGCAATGGAATCAAGGGCTGAGGCACTGACACACGACGTCACCAAATGAGGAGATCGAAAGTCATTGAGAGTATTTACACAATTAACAGTAGATAGAGCACACTTATCGAAGGTGCAACAGATTTCAACATTAAGGAAGATCCTATGGCTACGACAAGACCTTCAAATCCAACATTTTAGATCAACTCGAAAGGAAATCGACTCTCACCTCATCTTATTGTGGCCAAAAAGATGAAAATACCTTCACTTAATCACAACCCTAGATCAGATGATTTCAAATGAATCAATCTTACACGTGTACTCTCATACCCTTATGTAAACCCATAAAAATTTAAGCCTCCATTTAGGGGTGAAAAACCTAACTTCGAATGTCCCGATGTTTAGTTGACTTGAATGAAATCACATTGAGGTTCTACATCAATCTTGATGTGTTTTGAGTTGATTCAAGCTTTGGTTCGTAGTTGAGATTGTCAGAGAAGCGTACACCCGAAGAGGAAACTATTTGGCCTTTGTGAAATATAGAGGCCTAAGATAAGTTTCGCTAGGTCTGATCATTTCGAGTGTGAACAACTATCTAACTTTCATATGTTTGAATAGATAGAGGTATGCTATTAACTTTGTATTACAATTCATTTGTGAGTGTTTTCCTCCCTTAATCGTCTTTTGCATCGTTGAACTTTCGTTTCCTTATTTTTGATGGCGAAAATCTTTCTTACTAGCCTTACCTCTCTTTGAGTTCGTTTGATTTAAATCTATCAATCAAATAAAATAATACCTAATTAACACCTAATTCTCATTCCCTATAGATCGACCTTGAACTTACTACAATACTTACTTATTTTAGTATTATAATTTGGTAAATTCGTGATTCTAAATATTTTTGATCAATTGATTTGAGACTTTTCAACAACCTTCAATTTTGTTTTATCAAAAGACATTGTTTCTAGGGAATGAGTGCTATTAGATATGAGTAACTTTTTAATTGAGTTAAATTTCCATCATTATAGATTTCAAAGGAGTAATTTATTGAATATCCATGCATTAATAGATTTTTTTTTGAAAATTTTCATAATCTATCATTGAGATAGATAAATATTTACTAAAATAGAAGTTTAGTATTCATTGCATTTATTTAAATATTTTAAATTAAAATTTTTATATATTGATTTTATAATTTTAAATTTGAATAAGTTAAGGTGAAAGTGTTTTGGTATACTAACTTTTACTCACTATTATTGTTTCCTATATTTCTTTCTTTTCTCTTTGTCAATACTCATTTAGCCATATTCTATGCAAGGTCATAGATCCCCAAAAAACCCATTAGTGACCCCTAAACAAAATCGGACTAACACATCTAGCTCGGACACTTTGGAAAATCCTATACCAAAAGAAAATCTTATACCAGAAGAAAACCAAATGGCCCAACAAAACCCAAACATTGAGAGAATGAGGCTGAAAGATCATTTTGTCCCTCTCCAAAACTCCCCAATAACTAGAGTGAATGCACCTATAAGTGAGGGGGCGATTTTTTGAGTAGATCATCATATTATGCAAATGCTGCCAAATTTTCATGGAATGGAATGAGTCATGAGGAACCATACAAGCATTTAGAAGATTTTTATCAAGTATGTGAGATTTCTTATTATCCCAATGTCCCATTAGAAGTGATCAAAATGAGATTATTTCCTTTTACCCTTAAAGATAAAGCAAAAGAACGATTTAGAGCCCTAACCAAAGACTTAAATTCATGGGGTGAAATGGAGACCACTTTATTAAAGAAATTTTATTTAGTAGAGAGAACTAATGTCGTGAGGAAGACAATTATAGATTTTAATCAAGGACCATATAAATCATTTTATAAGGCTTGAGTGAGAATGAAGGAATATACTAGATAATGTCCCCACCATGAGATTCAAAATTGACAGCTAGTTCAAATATTTTATGAAGGATTGGGAGATAAAGATAGACATATGATTGATGTTGCTAGTGGTGGGACATTTATGATTGAAATGTTGGCTGAAAATAATGCTCATCATATAACATTAAATCAAAAGAGTTTGATCTAGATATCAAAGATAAAAAGGGAAGCAAAAATTATGTGGCTGATCACTTGTCTAGATTACGCATACATAATGATATGCCTATTATAGATGGTTTTCTTGATGAGCATTTGCTTACTATTAATGTATGCAAATTATCTTGGTATACTCATATAATTAATTACTTGGTAACATGGAAATTACCTCATAACTGGCCTACAAGTATTATACGATTTTTTTTTTGTAAGCTGATGTATTACTTTTGAGAAGAATTAGAATTATTTTGGCTAGAAGTTGATCAAATCCTCTGCAGATGTGTCCTAGAGGAGGAACAATTTAATATTTTAACTGTGTCACTCTTCTACATGTGGGAGACATTTTGCTTCTAAAAAGACAGCTGCAAAAATTATTCAAAGTGGCTTCTATTAGCCAGCTATTTTTTGAGATGTTTATAATTTCTGCAAGTCATGTACATGTCAAGTTGCTATGAATATCTCCAAGAGAGACATAATGCCACTCCAACTAATTGTAGAGATAGAAAATTTTAATTTATGGGGAATTTATTTTATGAGTCTATTTCCTTCTTCTGAAGCTTATGAATACATTCTTTTGGTTGTGGACTATGTTTCAAAATGGGTAGAAGTCATACCTACTAGAACAAATGACTACAAAATTGTTCTAAAATTTATTGTTTAGAATATACTTTTTGAGTTTGGCTGTCCTCGTGCCATCATAAGTGACGGAGGATTTCACTTTAACAATTGTCATTTTAGGAGTTTGCTTAAGAAGTGTGGTGTCCAACATAGGATCATGACCCCATATCATCCCCAACTAATGACCAAGTAGAACTCAACAATAGAGAGATTAAATTTTTTTGAAAAAAATTGTTTGGTATGATGGTAAGGATTGGGCAGCAAAATTACATGATGCCTTGTGGGCCTATATAACAGCTTATAAAAACTCTATTAGCATGTCTCCTTATTGTCTTATATATGGTAAATCTTGTCATCAATCAATTGAACTTGAGCACCGTGCTTATTCAGCTATTAAACAACTTAATTTGTCTTTAGACCATGCATGGAAACATAATCTTCTTCAAATGTAAGAACTTCAAGAGCTATGAAATGAAGCTTATGAGGACTCGCATTTACAAAGCCAAACTCAAAGCTTTTCATGGCAAAAATTTAAGTTGTAGATCATTTTATGAAATCAAAAGTTTGGTTATATAACTCACGATTAAAATTATCCCTTGGTAAGCTCAAGTCTCATTGGGATGGCCCTTACATTATTGTGCAGATCTCTAATTGTGGAGTTGTTTTAATTTCAGATCCTAAAATAGGAAAAACCTTCAAGGTTAATGGCC